TTTTTTTGCCCCCGAATGTGTATAACTACTATGCTTGCTCGTGATACACAAACAGAGAGTTCGCTGACTTCTCTCTCGTGCCGCGCTGTCAAAGACTCGCGCGGGGGGAGGAGGAGGGCCGGGCAGGGCAGGGCAGGGACTCGGGGCAATGGGCTCCCAATTTCTAAAACGAGGCGCGACAAGACGGTTTTTGCCATCGCTCTCCTGCCCACACGACGTGTATATAGTACACACACACACACACAAACGAAATGCCCTCGTAAAAGTCTATTGTGTATCTCTGCGGGCCGGATTTCTACGTAACGAGGCATTAAACTTTTTCGATTACTCTCTCGTCGGTACGACCGAATGCCGCCACGTTGACTGGGACGTATTTCGAATCTTTTTATTCGTATATTGTTCTCTACGTGTTTATGTGTGTGCGTTAGTAGAACTTAAAGAAAACCACAACTCGAAGTCGAAAATTACTCCAAGCGAGAGCAAAATTACATAAGCTTCTGTGTAGCGTGCCCTCGGTCACACGCGCTGCCAAAGTATACACTATTATTATATACGCTCTTTAAAATTACTATCCGTTCGATTGGCCAAGAACAATCTAAGAGTCTTTTTTTTCTCACTGAATTCGCGGCGTGTGTCATCGGATGTCGTGCGCGTACATAGACACACGATCGTTAATCGATGAGAATTTCTTCTTTCCGCGATCGTTCGCAAGTAGTTCTAGGTCCATCTAATAATAAAGCTCTCAATTGCATGTGACTTGCGCAACGAGGAAGAAATGTCAGAACTGCGCAGCGCAGCGCGGCTATGTCGCTCTTTTTGCGTATGCACATGTGTTGTAGGACGCGTCTCGCGTTTGTCCGGCTCGTGGATCTTTAACGGCTCGAACACAAAGCTACGAATGACACGTTATACGCGTGTACGCCTTTAACACAGATTTATCTATTCATAACCGACGAACGCAAGAATACGGTGCTCTCTCGAGGTTGGAGATATTAACATTGACACGTGTTTCGAATTAACGACAGCTTTCGAATGTTTTATTCGAGCGAATGAGCATGTTACCATCGAGAAATTTTATAAGTCTAAATCATAGTGGGAAAAAATCACGCGAAAATAATTGAACCAAGGGATTTTGACTGTTTGGTATTTGCAAACACTCGAAAGTAAAAGTTAACACAGGAACAGGAACAACTTTACGGCGTTGCGGCGCTAGCAGCCGCACACGAGCTGCAGCGTCGATCTCAAGGCCTATAAACAACGCAGGAACGCATTTATAATACGCACACGAACGAACGAAACAATTACCCCGTTTGTTTACATTATCGCTCCTTCTTTTTCCAGAATTTCTTTGTTCTCGTTCGAAAATAAATAATAAATTCCGAAAGTTATATTCATCGAATCGCGGCGCGCGTAATATTGTTGTTTTTTCTCCAATATACTTTCTGCCGCGCGTTCTTCCTTCCTTCCTCGGATAACCCTACCCCCGCGCGCGATAGGTGCGTCGTTGTCGTTTCCTTTTTTTTTTTTTTTTTATTACCTATACCGCCTGCGAGCTCTCCACCATCGAGCAACGCGATCCGATTCACATACACTCACAGGCTCGTGCGTGCATAGTGCATGGACACAAAAAAAGGTGGAACGCGCAGCGCAGACCAGGTAAATTTACGATGTAGCAGCAGAAAGTAGAGTAGAGAGGGAGTTATATTGTATAAGGCTACTCTTTCGCCTCGTATGGGTGCGCTTGTGAGCTTTTGTTGCGTATGTGTGAGTGTGTGTGCGTGTTTGTGTGTGTTGTTTCTGTGTCGTACTACGTACGGGTCAGCCAGACGGTTCACGGTCACGATGCCGCCGCCTCTTATATGCGCATGAAAGAGAAGCTCTTAGGTGTGCACCTCTAATGCGGCACAACATGCGATTTTATAGTATAGTAGCGATGCGCGTATTAGACTCGCCGCAATTCAATGAATTGGACGCGTAACAGCGAATGAGATGGACGAGAAATGTGCTCGTGATATCACGCACTAAATCAGATTATAATTTTTGATAGTATACCCTTTTTAGTTTGCGTTCGAACATTTTTTTTATTCTTTCTTTCCATCGCAACGAGACTACCTTTTAGCTCGAACGTTATCTGATCCTTAGCACGTGTTTACTCTCTTACAAATGACTCTCGTCGGGCCCCAAGCGCGTCATAAATATATCACCAATTCGAGGACATGCATTCCCGAATCGAGCCACACACACACATGTGCGGCACACGAAAATATTTCGAACGTATCAGAAAAATTGAGAAAGTAGAACGAACGGCGATTAAAGTGTGTTAACGATTTTTTGTCGATTTTAAATACTATCATCGACATTCACTCGTCGCAGGAAGCCTCGCACACACGTACATTTAATGAATGTAACACTCTTGTAAGGCAATATCGCGCCGCGTATTCATTTTCGGTTCGTGTATGAATCGCGCGACGTTGGCAAAATATGGCCCGTCCACTGCTCCTGCCGCATGCTGCTGCGAGCGTAATGCAACGTCAACGATATGCGAACCGGAAAAAGACTTTTAAATTAATAATCTTGTACAAAGAAAAGTACAAATAAATTATTGATTTATTTTATGTAGAAAGTCGCTCCGATGGAACGCGAGTATTGTACTTTATGCTTTGGCGCCCTCGACACGCAACAACTCGACAATGTTTACGTTCGTTGTTCGTACATTTGTTTGGCGAAATAATTGATAATTACCGAATCACTGCGAAATTTCTTGAAATTACGCCCACGCGATTTGCTCGAAAAGATCTGATAGTATCGGATAGTCGGAAGAAATAACAGTATAAGTGTAAATAGCGATCACTCGGATTCTGTGAAAAACGTCACGCACTGTATATAAAAGAACGAGTTAGAATCTCGCACTCGACTAAAAAAAAAACCGGATCATCGTTAAAAGACGGCAGCATGGCTCGCGAATCGAAATCGGTCTGGCCAAATTCCGCAACGGATCTTACTGCAAAAAAAAAAACGGCGGGCAGGCGGCATTGTATCACGAGGTACGCGCGCGCGTCCGTAATACAGGAGAAATACAAGAATCTGCCGCTATACCATAAGCATGCGGCTATCAATTTGAAACGATCAAATCCCTATGTAGGGTGTATCAAATCTTGGGTAATTTTTCGCAAAGCGTCACGAGGCTTATACATACCGTGCAAGTGCGCGAAGTGTATACGGTGCAGTGAATTGTTGTACGGATCTCTCAGCAAAGCGGAACGCGGCGCCGATTGCGTCCGCCGATAAAAATAGGATATGGTATTACAGGGATGCACGACGTAGCGCGTAATAATACACGTATTGCCCTCTTCTTCTTCTGCTTACTGCACGTAGTACATTATAAGATCAACTGGGTCAGACTCATTTTAAGCGCGGGCAAGTGACTCTCGAGCGAGCGAGAGACATTAGCGATCGTCGAGAAGCGATCATCATTTTCGATCGATCGATCGCTCCTCTCTCTCTCTCTCTCTCTCGAGGACTGTTGCCGCCGAGAGAAATTTCAATCGGCCACGTGCAAGCAGTAGCAGCGCGGCTCTTAATTCACCTCCCGCGCTGTGCGCAGCTTCGCATCTTTCGCACATACATGTAAGTGCATCGCGCGGACAATCCCGTTATATAGAACGCGCGTGTGCGTGACTATACACACACACACACACATATACCTGCTGATTATATAGTCGACCTAGGCTGTTTGCCGCTGCTGCTGCTTATAACCGCGCATGTAATAATTACATATGCACGCGCCACGCGGGAACACGCTCAGCGTTTTTTTTATGTATTTGTGTGCTGCTGCTGCTGCAAATATATAGTAGTACCTTTTCATGCGCCTTTAGCACCGATTCAGCCACGCAAGACCCGGAGACATTATTTTCTTCTCTCTCTCTCTCTCTCTCTCTCTCTCTCTTTCAAGCAGTGCACACTGCACACAGCTCTCCGATATATAAGCGTGTCGCGACGCGGCACCTCGTCCTTTGAAGTTTAGAATATTTTGATAGCCGTACATATATGCAAAGTAGCGGCCTTTGTAATGTCACACTCTTTGAATATGTTCGCGCTTTACTTCTTTCTTTCTTTCCTTCTACTGCTGCTGCTGCAGTAGGGACTCGATTGAATCGTCACGAGGATGTGCTGCTTTTTCCGCGAATCGTCGTCGCGTCGATTCAATGGCGCGAGAACTTTATATAAGCCTACCATTTAATTTATATATAGAACGAATGCTAAATCGGCAAAAACTACGCGGCAGCCAGGTAGTTCTCGTACTTGACGAAATTATATTTGCGAGCTCGCGCGACTCGTGGAAAAAGAAAATTAGATAAGTTACGGGGAAAAAAAGTGATCAAGCTCTGTACAAGAGTCATGATTGTGCGTGCGGGATTTTACATGCGTGTGTACAGCAATTACCGAGGAGAATGGAAAAGGTCAATTCCCACCGTCGGCTGTGTGCGATCTAAAATGATCTTAATAAAATCTCATTATATTTACATGTAGTTATACAAACTTTCTGTGCGATAGATTAGAACGATTGTGTGTAAGAAAATGGTGGTTAAATTATAATTCCGATGCAGCTGCGTTTCACAGTTGCGAATGAACGGACGCGCGAGCGAGTGAATCACGAGTGCAGTTAGTAAAAATCGCTTTTTTTTCTTTGTAAGCAAGAAGCTGCGAAAGCTATCGATATTTGGAATGAGTGTAAATTCTGGAAAATTGAAGCCGAGACTTTGATCGCTCGATAAATGAGAATAAAATTAAGAAATGGAACAAATAAGACATTTCAAAATTTATTTTGCATTATGCGCAAAAAAGTCGGTGATTTAGAACAAGAATCGTGCTTCTATCCAGAGGAGCAAGTGTAATGTAACTGCTTGTACGGTGAGATGAAGAGCAGAATCGAGATTTGACTTCTTTAACATTAAATATCTATACTATATAATATATGGTAGGAAAATAAAAAAAATATCTTTTAATCGATTTATATTAATATACTTTAATCAAGCTGAATATCAGCCAATTCACATTAGACATTAAAAATATATCAAAGATATACTGTTATTTTATATAATAAAATTGAAACACTTATTGTAAAACGAAGAGACATCGATCAGTTATTAAAACGTCACTTACAGTACATAATTAAAACTGTTGTCATTATTATCAATATACTTATAAACTTGAGATTTTATAATTGTGATTTTCTGCCCTTATCCCATACCTATATATAGGTATACATATGGGCCAAGTCATCCGCAAAAGTGTCCTGATAATTGTTCAGTACTTCCAGCGTCGTAAAGAGGTTGTATCTCGCGGCCAACTGCAGCGGTGTCTCGTCTTCATGGTTCACGGCGTTCACCAGCACGGGCGAACCAGCTCCGGAGTTCGAGAACAGCAATTGAGTCACCAGGTCCTCGTCGTCGATTTTTCTCTTGCAAATGATGTGCAGAGGCGTATCTCCCTGGTCGTTGGCCGCGTTCGCGTCGACGCCTCGCGCCAGCAGCAAGCGGAGCTTGCGTCTGTGGCCACGAGTCAGAGCAAAGTGCAACGGCGTGTTGCCGGAATTGTCCTGCACGTTGACCAGCACCGTCGCGTTTCGTAGGTCGCAGTACTCGAAGAATATATCGATCAAATCGTCGTCCTCTTTTCTGTTGCAAATCAAGTGAAGAGGAGTGGATTTTTCCTTGTTAGACCAATTCGGATCCGCACCGAGAATCAGCAGTAATTCGGTGACCTTTTTGAGGCCGTGATACGTACTGTAGTGTAGCGGCGTCGACTCGGACGGGTCCCAAACGTTCACCTCCACCTCCAGCTTCAACTCATAACAGACCTCCAAGAACTTCTCCAACAAGTTGTTGTCCAATGTACTCGATGCGATCAGAAGAGGTTGCGATCCTTCGGGATCGACTAGATTCGGATCCGCGCCGTATTTCAGCAGTGCCTCGGTCGGACCTTTGAGTTTAAAGCGCAAAGCGCGATGAAGCGCTGCATAACCCGTCAGGTCGGGGGCGTCGACCAGCACCTTCTTCTTCAGCTCGTCGCAGGACTCGAGGAACATCATCATCACTTCATCGTCGATTTTTCTGTTGCAAATGACGTGCAGAGGTCTATCTCCTTGGCCGTTGGCCACGTTCGGATCGGCGCGTTGTTTCAGCAGTAGCTTGACTAAAGCTTTGTAGCCGTTTGCCAGTGCACAGTGCAATGGCGTGCAACCCGATTTGTCGACACTGTCGACCTCCACCATCTTCTTGACCTTTTTGCAGGTCTCGAAGAACATGTTCATGAAAATGCCGTCGCCGACAATTCTCTTGCACATAACGTGCAGAGGAGTATACCCTTCCTTGTCGGCCACATTCGGATCGATGCTTTCATGTTTCAGCAGTATCGCGGTCATCTTCATGTGGCCGCGCGACGTAGCATGGTGCAGCGGCGTCCAGCCCATCATGTCCTTGACATCGACCTTGACGTCTTTGTCGGGCTTGAGGAACATCTTTAGCAAGTCCTCGCTGTCTTCGTCTCTCTGGCAAATGACGTGCAGAGGAGTATACCCGTCCTTGTCGGCCACATTCGGATCGGCGCCGTTTTTCAGCAGTGTCGCGATCAACTTCTTGTGGCCGCGGAACAAAGCGTGGTGCAGCGCTGTCTGTCCCCAATCGTTCTTGACGTCGACCTTGACGTCTTTACAGATCCTGAAGAACACCTTTAGTAAATCCTCGCTGTCTTCTTCTCTCTGGCAAATAACGTGCAGAGCCGTCGACGTGTTCTTGCTGACCAAGTTCGGATCCGCGCCTCGTTTCAGCAGCGTCGCGGTGATCTTCTTGTGGCCGCGGTGCACGGCATGGTGCAGCGGTGTGCAGCCTATGTTGTCGTGGACTTGGACCTCCACCGTCTTCTTGACGCCTTTGCAGAGCGCGAAAAACCGTTTCAAAAAATCCTCGCTGTCGTCGTCCCTCTGGCAAATGACGTGCAGAGGAGTACACTCAGTCCCATCGGCCGCGTTCGGATCGGCGCCGTTTTTCAGCAGTGTCGCGGTCAACTTCCGGTGGCCACGACGCAGAGCAAGTTGCAGTGGTGTCCGACCGCACGCGTCCCGGAAGTCGACCTCCACCGGCTTCTCGACGTCTCGGCAGATCTTGAAGAAATGCTCCATGAATTCGTCGTCGTCGTTGTTTCGCTCGACAATGACGTGCAGAGGAGTCTCTTTTTGCACGCTGGCCGCGTTCGGATCGGCGTTTTCTCTCAGCAGCGACTCCGTCACTTTCTTGTGGCCGCGGTGCACGGCGTGGTGCAGCGGCGTCCAGCCCATATGGTCCCTGGCGTCGACGTCCACCGGCTGACGGTTGTTGCGGCAGCTCGACCAGAAATCCGCCAACGCGCCGTCGTCGTCGTCCGTAGCTCGCGACGCGGCGTAGTGCAGATACGTCTTCCGGTTGACGTCCGGTAGATTCGGATTGGCGCCTGCTCTCAGCAGGACTTTGATCGTTTTCTCGAGGCCGAGCGACATGGCGTGATGCAGAGCAGTGCGATTAGTCGCGTCCTGGACGTCGATCAGCACCGTCTTCCCGAGGGCTTTGCAGATCTCGAAGAAACGCTCCACCAGCGCATGGTCGTCGTCTTTTCGCTTGACGATGACGTGCAGAGCCGAGTCTCCCGCGAGGTCGCACGCGTTCGGATCCGCCCAGTTTTCCAGCAGCAGCGAGGCCAGCTGCGCGTGGCCACGAGCCAGAGCCAAAAGCAGCGGCGCGTTACCCGCCCTGTCCCGCGAGTTGATCTGCAACAGCTCGAATCTGTAGCTGTCGAGTAAAATCTTGGCCAAGTTCTCGTCGTCGGTCTTCCGGTTGCAAACGACGAACAGAGGCGTCTCGTCCTCGTCGTTGGCCAGGTTCGGGTCGGCGTCTTGCGCCAGCAACAGCTTGGCCAGCCTCGCGTGGCCGTGATACACAGCCCAGTGCAGCGGTGTGCCACCCGCGCCGTCCCGAGCGTTGATATTCACCGACTTTCGCAGGTCGCAGCAGACCTCGAAGAAATGCTCCACGAGATCGGCGTCGTCGACGTCTTCTCGGTGGCAAACGAGATGCAGCGGAGTCGATCCCTTCGCGTTGGCCAGACACGGATCGGCGCCTCCCTCCAGCATCGGCTTGATCAGGCTCTTGCAGCCGCGAGACACGGCGTAGTGCAGCGGCGTCTGACCGAGTCTGTCCCGACGGTCGAGCGGCACCGGTTGCGTCGAATTATCGAGGAACAATCGTAGAAGCTCGTCGTCGTTCCTAGTGCAAACGACGTGCACAGGAGTGAAGCCATCCTTATCGGGCAGATTCGGATGGGCGCCTCTTTTCAGCAGCAGCTTGGCCATCTTTTTTTGGTTGCGCAGCAGGGCGTAGTACAGCGGTGTCCGGTCGAACTTGTCCCGGGCGTTGATCATCACCGTCTTCTTGCGATTGTCGCAGATCTCGAAGAGATACGTCATCAAATCGTCCGCGTCGTCGCCCTTTCTCTCACACATGAAGTGCAGAGCTGTCAGTCCGTCCGTGTTCCGCCAATTCGGATCGGCATTTCGGCTCAGCAGATATTTGCTCGCATATCTGAGTCCATGAAACAGAGCGTATTGCAGCGGTGGCTGAAGTAATTCGTCCGGGGCATCGACGTTCACCGGCTTCCGCATATCATCGCAGAGCTTGAAGAATTCCTCGATCGAACCGTCGTCCACTTTTCTGTTGCAGATGATGTGCAGAGGTCTCAGTCCTTTGGCGTTGGCCCAGTTTGGATCGGCGCCTAGTTTCAGCGCTGCTTCGACATCGTTCATTCGGTTGTAGGTCAGAGCGTAGCTTAGCATTTTTTGAGCATTTTCATTTGGCGTTGGCGAAGCTGTCGATTCTGCTTCGACATCGTTCATTCGGTTGTAGGTCAGAGCGTAGCTTAGCATTTTTTGAGCATTTTCAAGTGGCGTTGGCGAAGCTGACGATTCCTGTGAGTCGATGTCTCTTCTTACCTCCTCCTCCACCTCCATGTTGTCGGGCAGGTTAATCTGTTGCACCAAGTCACGCAGCATATCTTGAAAATCGGCCATTGGAATATACAGCACTACTCACAAACGACACACTATGGCGTCGTAACGTGTACTAAACCGAACGACTCGTCACGAGGCGCTGGACTGACAATAAGACCCGTGGCGATATAAGCAATAATGTAAACACGTATCGCCCGATATACGAGGGCAAATGTGAAATTATGTTTATGCGACGCTTAATATTATTTAACAGACGATGATATAATATTTTGAACGTGGCACTGTAAAAGTCGATGCTGCCACGAGGGTAAAATTATTCCCCAAGCTACGACGCAATTGATTACCGAGACATTCGTATAATTTATAAGATTGTTGATTCAACATAATCTCGAATTTTTAGGGGATTCATTTTTCAAAAATAATTAAGATGAAAATAATACCAATTGTATTTGTGGTTACAAATTTTCTCCGATAGATTTGGACAATTGCGTGAGAAAATGTAGTAAATTGTAACCGATGAAGGCAGGCGTATTTCGCAGTTGTGCGTCCTGCGAGCTTGCATGCAGTTCAAACATTTTACAATGTAGGCGGTAAACTCGAGTCAATTCAAAATTTGTAGTTCGATTTCGAGCCACACTATTAGACAAACGCGAGCTCGGATTCAGAAACAACTAATAATAACGAATTTTTAATCGTTTCTTCACCCGAAGCACTGCGTATACACACGTTCAGAGCTCACGTCTTAGAGCCCTTGGCTTTAGCGGCACACAAGGAAGGCATACAAGCCGCGCGTATAATATAAAACTACTACTACTACTACTCCCATAGGGCACCTATCATTTGCATCTCGCGCACCGCTGCGCTTCGCACACATATCTCACAGTCGGTTAATCATCCGTCCGACGAGCGGACGAGCAAGAGAGAGAGTATTTTACATCTGATTTGAGGCGTGCTAAGCGGTAGTAGCGCAACACGTAATTCACGGCTCTCTTTCGCGCTCGCGCGAGAGCATTTGAAAAACAGCTTGGTTGAATCGTAAAATCAAACCGAGGCGTTTTGCGCGCGCGGCTCTGTATGTCCGTGCAGCGATGCTCGGGTACTTATATGCATATGAGAATTTGACCACTGGTATATATATGCAACGCGCTGGGAGGCGCTCTGTTTTCGCACAGTTACTTTTTACACGACTTTTATTCAAATCAGCGCGAGACTATGAGTAGTCTTTTTAGAGTTAAACGGACCTCAAGTTGAGATGTAAGTGTTCTCGTTGAAAAAAATGTGATAAGGCTGTCATCGCGTTTGTTTATGAAAAATAAAAAAGGGGGAAAAAAATTACGACGACGAACACATGAGAAATTTGCACAGCTCGCAGAAAGAGAAAAGAGCTGTGAAGCAACGGAACGCGACACACTGCGTTACACAACAATTGGCCGCTGCTGCAGTCAAAAGCTTTACGACTATCTTGAACAATTAAAATTATCATAAACTCGAAAGTCTATTTACAAAGTAACACGCGCGCGTGAAACAATACGGTTTTAATATCGTAAATAAGAAGGAAAAAAATGAAATTGCCTTGGAAGCACCCCGTGAGTCTTGTATTTTTTTGCATTTTCGCGCATACAATCGAAGCGACGCGCGTGCGAGAGAAAGAGAGGAAGCAAAAAAAAAATTGAACTGATAAAAAAAATTCTCGCCTTGACGTTGCGTGCAGATGCATCCAACGCTGTATATAACAAGGCGATGAAATTAATTACGCCGAGACCCGCTGCCTGGATATTATACATAATACATATTCTAAAAGCGCGTCTGTATATCGTGTTTGTATCATCTCATTTGCTGCTCGCGTTGCTGCTGCCGCTGGAAGGAAAAATATGAAGACGAAAAGGCGGCACACTGTACGGATCGCGTCCTATCGGAGTCGCTCTTTTCTCGTCTCATCACACGTCTCGCGCGTCTACGTCGAGAAAAGACAAGGCATATATGTATAAGGAGTATCAGCGTCAATTACCTATATACGTGCACACGTACCACAATGCTTGAAATCGAGCAATGACGCCTGTTCCCAGCATCGTATCACGAAAAATAAAAGCCAAGGAATAATAAAACAAAAAAGGGTAAAGGGCAATAAACCGGCGCGAGACTTGTCCGCGCATAAGTTCGATACGCTGTTAAAGCTCTCCCGAGCTACTAGTGAAAGTGCAGTTCGAGTACGTACATATATTTTTATTACTATATATATCGTGTGCACGTGGGCCCGCGAAGCTGCGCGTACACCATAAATGTGCAGTGTATATGTACTCACCGGAAAATTGCGTAGACCGAGGCGTACTTTGGAGTACTTTTTCATGAGCACCCGCCAGACAACGTAAGCCATGACTGCGCCTATTGAATCTTCTCTCTCTCACTCGCTCTAGCTTTAGCGTTACGTTATGGATGCAGCTACTGCCGCTCTTCTTCTTCGTCTTCTTTCTTCTTTGTATACACAGTATACATCATCATCATCTCACCTTGAAAATGTTGAGCCGCGCGCGCGCGCTTTTATTTTATACGTATATATATATCCGTGCACGCACGACGCTTCACAAAGTCGAGAGATGGCATATATAGAGAGGCGCGCACACATACACGCACGGACACTTTTTACAATGCAGCACAAACACACGAACACGAACACGAATACACTCTGGCACACAACACACGAGGCTGATCGTATTTCAGTGCAATATGCCTCCAGCTGGAGATGCGTCTTCGACACTGCCGCCGCCGTCGCTGCTTCTGAAGTTGTAGCTGCTGCTGCTGTGGCTGGAGCTGTAGCTGTCGAGGGAGGAAGATTATTTTTTGTACATTTTACTGATGTGATGATTGCTTTGTGGGTTGTGTGTGTGTTCGTATTATTACGAGCTCGCGATATGTTATATTCTTTTTAAAAGAGCGTATGGCGTTTTAATTGGCTTTTCACTCGGATGAAATCGTAAATTATGCACTTTGGAGTTCCCTTTTTTGTGTTTTTTTTTACGCACAAATTAAAAACAATCAACGAACGATCCTCGTTTCAAATTCTTTTTTTTCTGCCTCCCGCGCGCGCGCGCGAAGAAGTGTACCGAAATTAGAATTGAAAGTACTATACACGTGCGAGAGGATAAGTATGCCGAAATTTGCGAGACGAGCGTTTAGAAGGTTCGCTTGTGCTACAAAGGATCAATTTTGATCGACTTTCCATATACGAACAGAAACGTATCAGTGGGACGCATCTTCGAGCGAATGGCGAATGAAAAAAAAACGAAAGGGATCTACTTTCCACGCGTGACCGATGAACGTGTGAGAAGTGACTTAATAAAGGACTCATTCATGAGTTTTTTGTCGGGTGCGTCGAGCGACACGATACTTTTCTAATTCCGTGCATTTAGCTGGCGATATTATGGGATAAGCGTTTTTTCACCGATATGAGAAAGCCCGCGAGGTACGTAATGAATAGATTATTAACGTCAACGATGTTGCGCCGAAGAAAAAATTGGAAATCGAAGAACGGTAGAAAAAAATTTAAGTACACGCTGTTTTTTTTTATCGAGTTGATATTAAGTTCATTCAATAGAAATATCATAGTTCACGAGAATGACGTTTTTTGCCATTGTCTCGCGAGCGCGAATGACGAAATGGCATTTTTGAAAAGAGAAACGAAAAAAGGATCATTTACGTAACTCGTTACAGTGTACGTCTAACGATGTTTAGAGAAAGAGAGAAAAAAAAGCTCTAATGGAGTCTGCATAGTCAACGGAACAATAAGTCGGAGGCATAAAACTAACTGTAATGATACATTGTATTTAGTTCGTCGCTCAATGCGTGTGCTCTTTTAGGGATTGCGCGTTGACGAAAAAACGACAGCAGAATCTGGGTCGATAGGTTCCGAGTATACATCGATACAACGCGAACGAATGGATTACGTGCGTTTGATTTTTTTTCTTCTTCGTGAAAATCGATCGACGCATGTCGGTATAAGATTATAAATATTAAAACCATAACTTCCGGTGAAGAGACGACGCAGGAACGCGAACCGACGTTTCCAGCTATTTTTCGAATTCTCGCGACGTTATGGTACGTGATATATTCGCGAACGCGAATGCGGGTGCTGTTGCAGCGATGCGCGCGGGAAGACTCATCTCTCTGCGTCTCAACTCTCAAGGTCAAAGTCGCGCGGACTCGTTACAGTATGCCGACTATCAAGATCGAAATTCAAATTTTGCTCGCTCCCGCACAGCAAGGAATTCGCAGCTATTTTCTCGTATTCACGAGCACCGCACTCATACTGGGCAAAATGTATTCGCGATCGACGATATTTAACGTTACTTTTTCGAAAATCACGTTCGATCGATTTTTACAGGCATTTACCAATGAGATGTACAAGAATTACACACCTACGCATATCTTCGTGATTCACGAGTGACAATGCAGCAACAGCTTCGTACAATATTTGTCTCGTCGAGAAGTACGAAATTCCGAGAAGTTCGAGCGCTGAATTTCGCAGTGGCCGAGAGAGAGAGAGAGAGAGAGAGAGAAGAGTTTGCGAGTAGAGCGAAAGAGAGACTCCGATTTTCAGGCTAAGTCACACTTCACTGTGCGTTTGCCCGTAATGTGCATTCGCAAAAATCGACACATGTAGCTCGTTTACACTATGTATTTATAAATATGTTGTACCTGCTATTGTTACACACTCGCGAACTCACACATAATACATCACACACACACACACACACACACGCACGCACAAAGACACAGACACGGCCTTTACCGTTGATCACTCGGTGTAAGCAAATCGATCGCGCTCCTGTTTGCAACAATTTGCAGTGTCGGCGGTTACGGTTATGTAGGTTGAAATTTCGAACGACGTTTTGAATGAGTCGTGTTCGACTCTCTCGGCACGAATCCCCGAATCACACTGTAGTAGTGGGCGCGCGAATTTCGTGAAAATCCTCGCGCGACCGTTTGTCGCTTTTTGAATCTTCGAACTCGGAACTTTTGCGACTCGGAGTGGCCTTTTTCGAAAAATGAGAACGAAACTATGTCCTTCGAATGGCCGGGCCGCTTAAACAGTGAAACGACACTATTTTGTTGGTTTTACTCACACTTCGTATTCTGCGGGAGTAGATCAATTCGAAAATCAAGAATCCCAATGGGGATGCGAATAAACGCACTCACTAGCGAGATGCAGAATTTTCCTGCATCGATCTACAAGTTAGGTAAATCACTTCGCGACACCGACACTTACTTACTCACATTGATCACGAGGCCGAATCTCGACCACACCCGCCCTTTACATTTTTTACATCAAAACACAAAAGGGTTGCACGTCATAATAAATGTGACACGATTATCATCGCACGCTAATCCACATACGAAAGAGAGTCGTGCGAAAAATCAAGACTCGCGCGTTCAGCAGCGCACACGGGAAATAACTGACGGCTCGGCTGCTTAGCTGCGCCGTGATACGTATAGTGTATATAGTGTAGTAGGCAGTAGCATAAGAAAAACTGCCGCCGCTGTGCAGCCGCCTGCCGCCTGCCGCCTACCGCGTGCTGCTGCTGCTGTTGCTGCCTTGTAGCAAAGCTTAACGAACTAACGAACGCACACGGCGGCCAATTGCTGTTCTGCTGCTGCTGCTGCTGCTGCTGCTGTGGAGCTGAGACTTGTTAAATTAGCGGAATGTTTTCTAAACGTTAATATTTTCGATCGGGGGTGGGCTTAAATAATGTCTCCTTACTTGCGGATTATGTCTCCATCCTTACTTTTACTTGGGTAGGTAGCGTTAATTAGCTATAAATAATTAAAAATCAGAGATTTTTTCGCTGCGCTGAATTCACTTTTCGCTATTTCTTTGTCTACGGTGGAGCTACGGAACTCGTACGGGTATTAAAAAAATTTCTCCTTACTCGAAAAAAACACGAGTACCCGAAAAAGCTCGAGTACTCAAAAAATCGAGTACTTGACTCGAACTCGAGGAAAAAAATTCGAACTCGACGAGTCGAGTTTTTTCGAGTACTCGTACAGCCCGAGATATTTTGTATTCTAGCATTTGCGTTATAAGAATACTTTTTGAACAAAATTGTACCAAACCGCCTTTCACCTTTTTTTTCAGAGCTCTCTGAAATATTTAAGAAAAACGACAAGTTTTTGCCTCTGAATGTAGGTGTAGGAAAAAATTCTGAAAAAAATCATATGTATCCTTCGATGAATTATTTATTCTTTATTTCTATCCATGTGAAGATTTATAAGATCGTGGCTGTGAAATGTGAGGTTCAAAGTCGTAACCTATGACCTTAAGGGCCAGATAGCCGGCGGATTTTTTATTACCCGTATGAATCAGTCCCACTCCTGACAGAGGTAGCAACTGTTCTGGTAGAACTGGTAATATGTGAATGAAGGGCACTACACTTTGGCCCACTTTAGTTTTCGAGTTGGTCGTCATTAGTTGTACGAATTGTACTAAAAAGAGAATTTTAATTTTAAAATAGCTATGTCAGCAAAATCAATTTTCCAATTTTCGATGGCAATTTACCAATTTTTTTGTTTTCAATGCCTCCATTGTGCGAATCGACTTCAAAATAGCCTGTATAATTCGGGTCGTCTAGGTTATCCAGCAAAAATTCGCTACTCAAATAAAAGTACATTTACTTTTCAGGTGTGAAATCGATTTTTTTTTAATGCTCAGAAGGAAATTCATACCTGTATTCCCTTTCGGGTTTGGAGTTACCATTGACTAGCCAAATTTCTCCCGTCGTTTCGTCGATCGTTCCGTTCTTAAAATTAAATTTATGGCCCCGAGCCGCCAACTTGTTGAAGCCATTTTCGTAGACGAATTTGACGCCTGTCAATACGTAATCGTTGCCGAGCTCGACGTCGTCCAGGACGAACGATCTCACCAACTCCGTTAGCTTTACATAGTCCTCATATTCAACGAGTTTATCGAAGTCACATGACTGATAATTTTGTCCCCTCCAAATTTGGCTTTGCTCGTCAATCTTGCCCGATGGCAAAAGTTTGGCTATTTTCGCCTCGATAGATAGCATGCCGGACTGCATTCTGAAGCGGAGTCCAACTATCACTCTGAACAAAGAAAATGAAAAAGTCGATGAGAATTTTCCATCGAATTGTCAAGAGTAAACGAGCAACCAAATAAAGTTGTCTCACTCATTTTCCGTTGCATTCGCTTCGATCGGACGAAGATCAACTGACATTTGAAGAAACTGGCCGAACTGCGCTTGAACTTCACCTGTTAAAATATCGATCGCAAATTTATGCGACTGTTATTATCGTTATTTTTTCATCAATTATCGAGCGAACTAAACTACCCACTTTTAAAATTTACAATGCGTTCGCCGCAGCTCCAATACGAGCGCGAGGCCGTCTTCATGGCATTCCTGAGGCGTACCGATTTTGAGAAAATATCTATTCTGAAATTTTCCTTATGCCTTTCAAAAGATGGCTTATTTTTTGAATTCTTCGCTTTCTCGATTGCGGCAAACAGCATCAAAATGTTGCCTTTAATTTCGGTAGCGCAGATTGCCAAGAAAATATTGTAAATGACAAATTGTTGAGGTCGGCCGCTTGAGCACACCAACGTCGACGTCTGTATATTATTATAGTATAATTATTTATGGTAGGGCTCTTTATTTTGGTGAAGAATTCATTTTTGTAGAATAGTTATCGATGTGTGTCACAGACTTACCAACGAGCTGTCGGCCAGCTCTGGAAAAATATTCATCTGGTGTATCTGCTGTAGTAGACTGTCAACTCCGTATCTAATTGGAGGTTCAACGTTCAACCCATTATCCCCGAGGATCTTTTCAATGAGATATTCTTTGTCGGGTGACGTGTGAGAGGCGGATAAATCACGTATAAGATGATTTTGCAATTTTTCGAATAAACAATCAATCTTTCCTTTTAAGGCTAATAACTTTTCTAATTGATCCTTAATGAAATTCTTGGACAGTTTATATCGGATGTCCTCAACATCTGCGGATATAGTGTTCAAAGAATCGCTGATCGTCGCGAAAGTAGCATAATCGTCCAGGTTTCTAGAGTCGGAATCAGAGACATTTTGAGCGAATCTCTCTATAAAGTTGAATAGATCCTCAGTACTCTCTATCAACTGTGCAACGTCGAAGCCGTTCTTGACGATATCGACAGCGGTGATGACTGCGCTCACTTCGGCTGCGGCGACTATGAGAGCAAAATAGAGAAAAATTTTGAGCTTCATGGTAAAAATGTTACTATACTACTGAAATATTTTAAGAATGTAATTTTTTTCAAAAAAATAAAAAAAACAACTTAAACATCTTCAAAATGAGCGTGAGCGTGATCGCATTGTAACATTTATTAACCGTTTGTGTTTAATCGTTATTCAAGCTTGTGCGTCATAATAATAAAATTTTTTTTTACACGCTAACATAGTGATTTTACGATTGAAAAATTATTTTTAGTTTATACCGAAAAGTTTGAAATTGTTCGTTACGAAAATACGAATGAAAAAAAAACTACTCGAAAGTCTTTAAATTTCGAAAGTAATATTTAACAAGGCAAATTAAGCTCCAGAGTTGATGTATATAATATGCCTTGGAAACACTTCATTTTCTACGGGTTGTTCGTTCGTTGGTGCAAATTTAAATATACAACGAAAATTGAATTAGGCTATTTTTGATGTTATTGAATGGAGCTTGCATAAATTTGCAAAAAAAGTAATTACCTTCCATGTATACTTCTTGAATAATTCAATACATTCAATTTGATAATCAACTGTTTTAGTACACTTCCGAGGAGCTGCCGAATGTAAACAATAATAATAAATTAATAAACTATTGTAAAAGAATGGATTCGGCATCACTTGCGGACTCTGAGATGTACATCGAGTATCAATCCAAGGGATCGTCTTCGATCGAAACATTTTCGATCGAGAACGAAATTGTCCCTAAAAAAGACCGCGTTTCAGAAGTCTACCCGAAAAACGAAAGCCGAGATATTTACCAAGAGTCGTTGATCGTAAGTAAGGTTACGTTCCGTTCACTCATTTGCTCGAGATCTCTAAATAGTCGATTTTAAATACCACCTCCGATAGGCACAGAACAATCAACTCGATTTCAGTCATTTTACAAACGATCTACCGGATAACGTCAAGGTTAGAATTAACGAAAATAATCGTGATGAAAAATTGACATCGGAAAACTTGACAACCTTCTCGTGCTTTCAGATACTTTTGGTTTACGCTCGAAGCGGCGATCATCAGTTCGACACGATAATCACCGTAGCCCAAAAACTCGGCTGGATCATATCTGTGGCGCGAAACATCAGAGAGGCGACGGAACTCGCCAACTCGCACGCCTACGACCTGGTGATCATCGACCGCCGGAGAAAACAAGATTTCAACGAGGCCGATCAGATATGCAGGTACTTTGTTGAGCGGATTTTAATTTTGAATAAAAAAAAGAAGTAACGCGAGTTTTCGTTTTGCAGCGTTTTATTAAAAATAAATACAACGAGGAAATGGAGCATCCTGGCACTGGTCAAAAAATTGTTAGCTTCAAAACAATAATTCTACGCGATCTTTTTCTCTGAATATCAACTTTCTATTCCGTTCCTTTTTTTCCAGTTACTTTTTAGACAACGACAGACACGACGAGAAATCTCTGCTTCGACTGCTGAAGATCGGTTACGGCAAAGTACATGCATAACAAACGCCGCGATCCACATTCGCGCGCGCACTAAGGTAAAAAGTTGCTTCCCATGCAAATGCCAACTTTACAATCGTCACGTGGCAGGCGCTGCTGGAATGTTCGCACGAGAGCATCCTGATGAACGAGCTGGTTGGCGTTTACCTGGCTCACCGGCAGCCTCGACCTCAATTGACGGCGGGTCAGCTGCTGTATCAAGCCTGCGACAGATCCCGCGACATGGTGCACATTATAGACGAGAAGGGCGTCCTTCAGGTGAATTTTAATAATGCCGAAGAAAGAAATCGGGCGGAAAATTAAATTACAGATACAGTTCGTTAGCTCGTCGAACCTCAAGTGGCTGGAGTGGACGATCGACGAGATGATCGGCAGAAATCTGCAGTACATGGTAGCGGATGATAACGTATGGATCAGCATGTGCGATCGTATGATTAAAAGCGAGGAATTCAGAGGTACGATAGTTTTGAGGAATAAATACAATGGATTAGTAAGAACGACATGCAAAATCGTGCCTTTGTTTACGAATTCAAGGTACTAAAAAATTTGAATTGTATTTGTATAGTTTATCATTTGTCATAACTGTTGTTGTTGATTAATTTTAGTGAAAAATACTACGTACTATATTACGACGTCGATGGAATGCTAAAAAGTACATATCTTTGTAAATTACTAATTATCAAGTGTTAAAAATTACCAATGAGGCATTTTATAGAGGATGATATTGCTACTCCTACAATCAAATCAAATAACAATAATTCCCGTCCTCAAGTCAGTCACGACAAAACTACGCACAACACAGAAGAGCCCGTAGAAACAACGTGTACGCAAAATTTCAATACTAAATAATTAATTCAGTATGCTCATTAATTGTTTGTTTTTCTTAAATTAAGCAGTGAAATCAAATTTGAGCAAACATAATACGTCGAGAAATTCTATCAGATCCACTTCATCCAGCATTGTTTTAAATGTAAATTTGTTATAAGATAAAACAGTTTGTATTTTTTAATAAAAAAATGCTTATCAACAGGCAGATTCAAGCAGAGCTCCAACACCCACTCGGATTCTCGTAAAACCGTATAATCCAAAGGTCAAAGGTCTTACTCTCTTGAAAAATCCACAAGATCCCGACGAACTCGAGCGACTTCTACAAAAACCCTTCGAGTGGGATTTCGATATTTTCAAGCTGGAAAAGATAACAAATAAACGGTATGATTATTCCCTTAATTATTTCACAACAAATCGCTTCTCTAATTTTGATTTTTTTTTCGTCGTAAGGAAGACCGCTCTATTACTTGGGCTCGCGACTGCTGCTGCGCTACGACTTGCCGACTCACCTGAACTGCGACGAGTCGACGATGCTGAACTGGCTGACCGCCATCGAGTCCAACTACAAGCGGGACATCTCGTATCACAACTCCACCCACGCGATCGACGTGCTCCAGGGTGTCGCCTGCTTCATGCAGTCCGAGAGCTTGAGGAGCATACTCGAGCCGCTCGACGAGATCGCTGCCCTGCTGGCCGCGGCCGCCCACGATATCGATCATCCCGGCAAGTCCAGGTATTATAAATGCGCGAGGAGAAACGTGTGATTGTGGCTTTTTTTGGTAATCAGTAAATTTTAATCCTTGATTTTTTTTTCGAGCAGCCAATTTCTGTGCAATGCCAGGGATGAATTGGCTATACTTTACAACGACATCACCGTTTTGGAAAATCACCATTGCGCGCTCATGTTTCAAATTACTTTGTCCGACGACAGCGTGAACATTTTTAAGGTTTGCATTGAAAAAAAAAGTTATAGTTGAAAAATAAAATCACGCGGGCGTAATTTTGTCAGAACTGCGATCGCGAGACTTATCACAAGGTGCGGAGTAATATCATCGACATGATTTTGGCTACCGAAATGACGAAACACTTTGAGCACTTGTCGAAATTTTCCAACATCTGCCGCAGAAATACCATAATACCGTTTGTGGAGTCAATGGTAAAATATCTATTTTTCAATGCGATCGAACATCCGAGCTTTATACGCTTTTTTATTCTCACCCGAAGGACAAGAAGGCATTTGTGCTGCCGGAAAACATGACTCTGACCAAGCGCATGATCATCAAGTGCGCCGACGTGTCCAATCCCACGCGGCCTTTCAGGCTCTACTTCGAGTGGTCTCGACGCATAGCCGAGGAGTACTTCAACCAGGTAGTAATTATCGCGCCCCTTCTCGCATTCTCGAGCACGACAATTTCAATTTTCCTTTCACTCTATGTAACAAGGATTCGTGCGTCCATATAGACACATCCTTGTCGAATAGCGTTTAGGTTCTGTGCAACTATCGATAATAGTTTGTTTCTCGTGTAGACGGACGTGGAGAAGCAAAAAAAGTTGCCACTGGTCATGCCGGCGTTTGACAGAACTACCTGCTCCATACCTAAATCTCAAATGGAGTTCATTGATTACATCATAAACGATATGATGGAAACTTGGGATGGTAAGATACATAGCTCATGACTTTTTTCTTTTATCTCTTGATATTTTCGTAACAATAAGTGTGATTTACTCGTGTCAGATTTCATCGATATGCCAGAAATAATTGGCAATTTGAGAGAAAACTACACAAAATGGAAAATACTTTGCGTGAGTTATTGAAATAGTTTATATTTTTAAATATTTTTACCATTAAATGGTTGATGGATTGATATTGATTGGTACATTCTATGTCGAAGAACGACGGAACAAAAACCCTTGAAGATCTCGAAAAATTGCAAGAGCGCCATGACTTGAATTTGGGGTAATTTTAGCAATGAAAGTCCGAATATTGGTGCAGCGGTGCAACTATAAGGTCTTCTGATAAGATAATCAATGTTAGGATATATTTAATTTATACGTCAAGTTCGATGTTCTCTGTTTTTAACGTAAATAAAAAATAATTGTCGATTTTCTGTGACTTTACAGTAATCAAATGATTTATGTACGATTGAAGAGACGGAGTGTGACGAAGAGATGATAGCCGACTATACTTTAAACGCTGCAATTTTCCGTCGTCGCTTAATTTATTATTCATGAATGGTTATCGGTTTACCTACTTCGTAAAATGCATATTATAAGTAACTTTATGATAAACTTAATTTTACTGAATTTTTCATTGTCTAATATTGATGATATATTAGACAATATAATATAATTGTTGTAATTAATTTTTTTCAGATGATTTTCCATGGCTAAAAAAACAAGTTTTTTTACATTTGTAAGAAATTTAAAGTGTATTTAAAATAGTGCAACAACAATTCTAAATAGTTTTTAAAATTTCATAAAGTTTTGCATGATAGTAAAGCCTGATAAGCCGGTTTTCATCATCTGCAAGACCAAACTCCATATAACATTTTTTTTTAATATTAACCCTTAGAAATTTTACTCACGTTACAATAGGTTTCCATGGAAAGTGGAAACATTTTGCCTCCCGTCAAAAATGAGTACTGCAAACTCCTAACCATTATGAATTGTACCAAAAATTTAGACTTCTCGGACAAATTGTACCAGCCGCAAGCGCAACTACGACGAAAATGTATAGGATAATTACTCGCAACGGGAGAAAAGTCGCTATAAGTACCAAACGTCGAAAACTTCTTCACTGGCGTTAATAATTTCTTGACCCGGCAGAAAGATATAATAGAAATGCATGAAGCCAGCTAGGAGTACCATCGTATAGCGAAACATGTCTTCCGGATTATTTTTCAGCAGCAACTCAAAATCGCAAAAATGTTATTGGCACAATATGTTTGAGGGTTTACATCGTAATATAAATTTTGATCACTCACTATTGCCATACCCCCGCCAAACATCATCATATTCAAAATGAGCGTTATAAACCAAGCTATATTGAAGCAGTCCTCCAATTCAGCGACATAACTGTTTTTAACATAGAGACTAGCTCATTCGTACTTTTGATTATCTTTTAAAAAATCACTTACGCCAAGGCTTGCCGGTGAACATTGACGGCCTCTAGAATGTATGGAATAGGCCAATTTGATTTCCAAGGGTTTCCATTTCGCTCCTCGATTTTTCGCATTAATGTGTTTACCTTTGATAGACGATATCTGTACAAAAATGAATAAAATCGATTTTATTCGAAATCGATCGTTCAAAACTCACTTGGCCAAAGCGAATAAGCCAATGACGTAGTGCGACAGCATCATGAAGCCCAGGTCGAACGTCACCAAGACGGTTATCGTTCCGACGCCGCCAAATACGGCTTGGGCGATCAAGGGATAATAATACTCCTCGATGTCGACGCCGTACTCGGCGTAGTAGGGCAGGGCCTTGGGCCGAGTCGCATTTTTCAACGGCACCACGTAATCGAGAAGCGGCGAAAATATCGGCATAGAGAGAAAAATCGTCGTGCCGATAATTATGAAGATCGAGTAGAGCTTAACGACGTCTCTGCCGTTTCTCATGTTATCGGTCATGATTTTGAGCTCCTCGGCGTCCTCGATCATACGCCAGTGATCAGCGACCTTGGCGTAAAATTTTTTGAACTGTAATCGAAAATTCATTAATTCAAGCTGTTAATGAAAAAAAAAAGAATGAAATTTTAAATCTTTTTACGGATTTTCTCTTGAGAACACTGATAACTAGTTTATTGAAAACTGCTAGCAAGTACATTTCGCCCACGATATTCTCAACGACGATCTCGATATGAACGCCGATTTCGTTGATCAGCCTAACACCCTAGAGAGGCAGAAATTGTTAGACTGAACGAATTTTGCGTATCTTTAAATTTACCATCGAGATCATAAATGACAAGGTGAATACAAAGACATAGATCCAAGAGATACAATTTCTTCGATCACTTTGAAAACAATAGAGGCCTATGACTTTTTGTAGTTTGACGGTAATTGTCCAGTATTCGGTATCGAATAACCCCAGCTCCTCTTGATTTTTTTCACTCATAATGACCAATTCAAAAATTGAAGGTATAGCAATTGGAAAAAAGTTCGACTACGCGTCGAAGCGTTGATTCATAAAATTAAAAAACTAGTCGAAACATTGTTAAGTATGGATACCCTCTTACGATTTATGGCGCATTTACTTCTACAGTATAATATACATTAACTTACACTCATGTCATCTATGAGTAAGATTTACACTATAAAGCGCAATCTAATTTCATTTAATATAAGAGTCAATAATAATTACGTAGAAATATATATAAATATTTTTTCTTATTGCCAGTTGTGGGTGCGCTTATAGTTAATTATACAAATGCTCGAGCCGGTATTATTTTTATGAAACGCAGTTTATATAATGAGGCGCAACGCGATTACGAGTCAGTAATGTTAAAGTGACGAAAGAATGTAAGAAATTTTGAGGAATAATTAGCCGATTAAAATAACTGCATTAAATTTTAGTTCGAAATAGTTCAAGTTCTAATCATCGATCGATGAGTCTGTGATAATTATCGAGTTCCGGTACACTCGACGGTCAACATGTGAAATTTTGTTGATAATCTATCAATAGCTCTGATTCTAAAATTATAATTTAGTCTGTACTAGATTGGGTTTTACCCAAAAATTCAATAATTTTTCTTCATGAGATTGAGCCTTTATGTATTACAGGTACAGTTTTTACTCTTTTTGACTACTAATTATCACTAATAATGTATAGTCTTGCAAACTAAATTGGTCATATTAGAGTATACACAAGTTATAAAAAAAAAACATGGCTAAATGAATCAAATTAAAATTCGATAAAATTCATGTGATATGTTTAAAATTCTAAAAGCAATATTTAAGAAGGTATAATATAAGAAGAAAGGTTACTCGTTAGCAAAACATGAAACTGTGGTTCACATGTATTTATTAATGATTACGTCGTACATTATGAGTAGGAATAATTAAAATAAGGCAATTAAATCTTTGACGCTTCGTAAGATTTTACAAATTTCTAGATGTACAAAATCTTGCTCTTAAAGTTCGACAATTCAATTATAATTTTATCTACGAAAAAATTCATATTTACAAGAAGAACTAAATATGAGTTCTAGTTGAAAGATCGTAATCGAACTATTACATTACACTCGATGCATATTTTTTTTGTATTTATACACATTACAATGTATATTATAGATAAGCATATATTAAAGGACTGAACTAAAAAAAATTGTATCGTTTTTTTTTCAACGCGACTAAGTTTGCTTAGTCATTGAGTTTATAGTTTCTCACTCCATGAACAATCCATTTTTTAAGAGATATTGCGAGGATTAACAATTTTGAATCATATTGAAAAATTATTTCGAGTTACATTGTTTATTTCAAAATACTTGTTTCATTTCTTCCAAACCAAAATCAAATAGAATAAAAAATTGTAAAGAATACTTAATTCAACGAAATAACTTATGATTATGATTTCTTTTGAATACAATTGACATAGACTTCATTTTTTAATTAAATTAAGGCTTTGCACGATACTTTTTTGCTTCTTATTCGACAACTAAATAAATGAATGTAAGTATACAAAAAAGGTGAATGTTTAGATATTCCAAAGTTTATTACTCTAACAGCTTGAATGTAAATTGATGTTTCCAGTTAGAATATTAAGTAGCTTATATTTTTTTTTCAATGTAAAGATGAGAATCAATAGCAAATTTTCCATACACGAATTTACGAACAATTTACTTTTCATTGAACTTTCCTCGATGACTGGTGGAATCCGTTACCATTAGTTAGATATTAAATTTATTATTAAATTTATTAAAATCCATTATTCACAAAAGCATTTTCAGTTATTAGACAATATAACTGTATTTTAAAATATTTGCTTTAGCTAAAAATCGTATTGTTTAGTTACACTTGGAATTATTATACTTTATAACGTTATTCGATATTTTCTTAAGTAGCATCAAGTTTGACAATTTAACCAAATATTTTACATAGTTCTTGTACTGTGTGAATTATTATACCCGAACTTATTAGCCTATTGTAATTCTCAATGGACTTTTTACAACTTTTTTTATAACCAGGAGGAGAAACGTTGCTATGAAAAGTTAATTAAAAAATTTTTTATTCCTAATATATAATTATAACTATAATGACATGTGAAAAAAATATTCACAATTACTTGATTGCAAAAATATTTTATATTAAAATAAGCATAGATCAAGTCGATTCAAAGATTTTTTTAAAATGTCCACTTAAGAATATGAATTTGTTAGGAAAATTAGTGATTATTGAAATAGTTTAACTATATCAATTTGGAATCAGTAAATGTCTTTTATTTAAACATCATTTCGAGTGAGAATCCCTAAAAAAATCTAGAGCTCTAAATGTACATAATTTATCGACAGCACAATCAGAAATTTGTAATAAGTTTCATACTTTTCAATTATTGCATATCACAGCAACGTTTTCCCTGCTAATGAACGACTTTAATCATTTAAAATAGAAAATATTTAACTATAAAACAAAAGTATAGATCTATTTATAATCTTATTACGATATACCCTGCAGCATCGCTATATCTCCACTTTCTTCTTCTTCGTCTTCTTCCTAAAAAGTTCATATAGGATGATTATCAAGTGGTATTGAATAAAATTGGAATATTTCAAAAAACAATTTATGTACCTCATCGAAACCAAAGCAAGTTTCCATATCTTTTTGCAATTTAGATGAATTAGATTGCGATTTAGAAATTGGTACTTCCATTTTAAGTGTAACGGGTTCACCGTCATCATCGATAAATTGGGTTGTTTCAGTTGCTGTAAGTGAATCGTGTCCAAGTGGATCTTGCATAACTATTTCACCATCTTCTCCAGCTACAACCGATACTTGCTACAATTTAAAATTAATAATTAAGTCAGTGGATAAGCTTGCAAGGAACAAATAAAAAACTGCATGTGACAATACCTCTGATTGATTGTCTGGAAGTTGAATCACTTCCAAAACGACGTACTGTTGACCATCGCTTCCCTCTACTGTGTCCATCATGTCTTCATCTTCTTCGTCTTCTTCTTCATCTTCTAATTCGTCGTAACCTTTAAGTTTAGTATAATCACCTATACATTCAAGATTAATAACACATTAGTCAATGATCTATGATCATATCGTAAGCGCCCTTGAGATTTTTAATGCTAATTGATTGTGAATTTTTAAATTATATACATGTATATGATTTAAAAGTTTAATTAAAATTTTCAGTTTCAGTTGATTTTATGAAGTTACTTATGTTATAAATAGACAAATGTATATACATGAAAAAGTACTTACCAGTTAAAACTTCCACTCTTTGACCATCAATAATTTGAATTTTCTTTTGCCTTCCCATTTTCAGAGCTTGCTGCTTTTCTTGCACAGAGGATTCAGGATCATGAACAGCCATGTGACGGATGAGGTTACCTTTATGCCTGATGAATCATATAAAGATAATTTTAAAAATAAATATAATTTGAAGTAAAAGCAATTTTTTATAATGATTATAAAGTACTAACCTAAATGGTTTTTCACATTCAGGGCATTGATGATTTTTTTCTTGGGGTTGAGGTGGAACATAAGATGGATTATGGTAAAGGTTACAATGTCTCTTCAGCAGTTGTTTTTGTCTGAACGATTGATAACAATGATCACATTGATATGGCTTTTGGTCAGTATGAATTAACATGTGACTTTCTAAATGACGCGACGATATTGATGCATATGGACAAAGGTCACACTTATAACATTTTTCGCCTTCATGTGTTTTACTGTGCAGCTTGTAACTGTATCTGTAATATAAAAAGTATATTAATTTACTTACTACTTTTGAGCCATGTGCTAATGATGATACACATTAAAGATACTCTAACTTACCTATCTGGGAATGTTTTTCCGCAACGCTTACATTTCAGAGGTTTATCAGATGTATGCAGCTTTTGTACATGAATGCGAAGATCAGTTTTTCTACCACATGTTGTAGGACAAAGTTGGCATTGGAATACAGGTTTATCGCCTACTGTTATACACAAACATTCAAAAATCAAAAATTGAAAAATTCTTTCTGTCTATCATCATAATTTTTTAAAAGAAATAAACACTTACCATTATGAACCAATTTGTGAGCTTTCAAACTGTTGGACTGAGTGAACCTAGCATTGCAAACATCACATTCATATGGTTTTTCCCCAGTGTGTATACGCAAATGTCTTTTGAGCTTGAAAGTATCCGGACTTGCATAGGTGCAATGAGGACACTGAAAATATTGAAAAATAAAAAATTTGGAATTAAAAATTGCGTTTCATTGCAAAGTAAAAATTTAATAATTACCTGGTATGGCCTTTCACCAGTATGACACCGAATATGCCTCTTCAATTTAGATAATTCGACTGACGCATAATCACATTCATGACATTTGTGAGGCTTTTCATGAGTGTGCTTATAACGCACATGTCGTACAAGTTCACCAGAAGTGGTGAATGCACTATCGCAAAATTTACAATGATGAGGTTTGGTCCCAGTGTGTGTGTTCACATGATTTTGTAGTGATGCCAATGTTTTGAAGCCTCGTTCACAAACACTACATTTATGCGGCCTTTCTTCAGAATGACTTTTCATATGCCGCGATAAAAGATAGCGTTTCGGGCTTGTGTAATTACAATAGTTACACATGTGAGCTTGAGTAACAGTTTGTGATTTTTTGGGCATTGAGAATTTCATAACTTTAGCTTTATCATCTTCATGATCTGATTCAATATGTTGTTCATTGTCTTCATTGTCTTCAAAATCGTAAACTGTAAGATCTTGATCACCTTCTTCACCATCTCCATTGGTAACTTCCATTTTTGTATTTTCTTTAGGTTCCCCTTCAGCTTCAGGTTGTTGCACAATCAGAACATAACTTACTGCACCTGTATTTTCATTAGAAGGAACAATAGTCACAGTTTGATAAGAATCCCCTGAGTTAAGGACCATTTGATTTTCAGATGCCTAAAAAAGTGATAAAATTCATTTTATTCAATTTGTTTTAATGTTTTTTCAAATATTTATTCTTTTAATACTAGTGCATAATGAAGTTACACAAATGGTAGGTCAAATAAATGAACTAGTATAAGGTTGCTACACTGTGATTTGCAATTGTTTGTAAATGATAATATTGGTGTAGTATTATTTTGTTTTTGTTTGAATTTAGACTTACTTGATTAGAATTGCCTTGTTCAAGTTCTTCTATTTCTTGATATTGGCTTTCATGGTTACCGTCTGTAATGTGTCCATCTTCTTCATTTACCTCTTCAATTTGCACATTGGCTAAAACTGGCTGATCATTGCCATGGGCTTGATAGTAGTATTGACCTGTTTGGTCAACAAAATAGGTTCCCCCATCATCTGTGAGACCTTCAACTTGTTGAACTATAGAAATAAATTTTTTTTTAATATAACGTTATTTTATTAATTTTTTTGTAAGTATTTTAGTCAAACTCACGTTGTACATGAGTAAGCTGCTCTCCTTGGCCTCCTTCAATTTCCTTGTTAAAGGACTCAAGGTACGTCTGTATCTCTGTTACAGACTCTTGATTTGATTCAAGTTTTATAGTGACGTTGTTAGACATCGTCAGTACATCAATTGGCAGTTTTATCAAATAAAATTAGCCTGTAATGAAAAGCATAACAATCCATTACGTATTTTTTTATTAAGAGTTACAAATGAATTTATGATTGTTTAAAGACAAAAGTTGTCATTAAATAATATAAATATCTAAATTTATGTTTCTGATCAGAACATATATCCAATCATGTTAACTTTTCTTGTAACGATAAGTAAATAACTTATGTTTCTCTCAGCAATATAGCAGCTAAACTTGGAAATACGATAGATAAATCAATGCATGTTTTATTAGTATCTATGATATTTCATCTACTTCATCGAGCATTAAATAAATTTTAGAAACATCATTTGATCATTTTTTAATAGAAAACACATTGAGCATAGTCATGATAGGAGCTATAATTAGAATCGAGTGTGTAGTAATGAGGTGTGAACGCACACACGAGGGTATCTCCGAGCAAAATTCAACATTTCGTACATCGATAATTTTGGTGTCTCGAGGCTAGAAATGACTCGGCTGATCATCGTCGTCGCGTTCGAGAAACCTGTACTTTTTAAAATAAAACACAAACAAAAATCCCGAGGCAAGAGAGAGATAAGAGAGGCCCGGCGAGTCAGCGCCAGCGTATATACATAATAATTACCGTTCGGTGTTATAAAGAACGTTCGAGCACACACGCAGTGAAAAGTCGCGGTCGTTTTTCGACCGTGTGCGATATATGTTTATACACCTATGTAATGCTATGTCGCGCGAGTTACAGATAAAGAGGAATTCGAGTCTCGTGGATGGAAAAACGAGGCATTAGATCGGAGATAACGTGAAAGTCGAAGTCAAGCATGTGTTATAATAAGGCTATATAACGCGGAAGAGCCGAGCAAGCACGTGGTCGAGCGAGTCGCCTCGTGGATGAGGCGCACCAGGTCTCTTTCTCTCGTTCTTTCTTAATCCCGGTGTTTCATCGCGTGGGCATGTGTGTGGACAACAGACGAGCCGCCATCGATGGTGTGTGCAGGCCTCGGAGAAGCCGACACACGATCGAGGCGAGCGAGCAGTGACATCGTCCACGCGTCGAGAGGACAATTGCAAGCGGCGCGCGTGGATGCACTTGCCGTTACGACGTTTCGTGCTTCGCTGCTGCTGCTGCCTAGCGCGAAACAAACAACGACCGCAGCAGGGGCGGATTTCGGAAAATTATCACCGTCGGCGCTGCTGTCATGAAAGGAGAGATCCACCGCGAGAGAGTGTCGAAAAGTTCGCCGCGGCGGTTGTATGGAGGAGCTGCATATATAAGAAAAACGCAATGCCGCTACTATACCGCCGCCACAGCGATGTCGTGCTGATCGCGCTCGTACACAGTCGCCGCGGGGTCGCACCTCGAGAATTCGCCGTACAGACGGCGGCGCTAGCTTGAAGTCTGGATGTGCTGAATTTCGCTCGGTCGTCGTCCGCGCCACCACGCGCCGAGCTTGTTGGACTTACCTTTCGGGGCGCCCCTCTGCGAGGAGTGAGAGTTATGTAGTTGGCGCTGCACCGACGACGGGGCACTAGTAGTAGCACCACAGGCTAGTCTCTCGGACTCGACGACGATGGCTCCGCTGCCGCAACGAGCGGGTGTTACAATAATCAACAGGACGGCGCTGCTGGATGGGCTGCTGTTGCTGCGATGCTGCTGCTACCAGTTCTGGCTCGTAGCTAGTACAGTAGTTGTACTGAACGACGCCGATGGGTTCTGTTCAAAGCGAGGCGCTTCCGTGGAACGCGCGGCAGCCTCGCACCGGGACACACAGCTCTAATAAAATGCCTACGTATGTGAGTCGGCCAACGACGACCGACGAGTACATTACAATATGGCCGAAAGTCTAGAACGAGAGAGAACGCGGGCATGAGCTCGTGTGTAGCATACGTGTAAGCCACACGCACAGACACGTATTAAGCGCACGTATATACGTGTGGAGAGAAAAGGACGTTCGTTCGCTTTCGTGCCGAGTTCGGAATGGTCGCGCGGTGCGGTGCGCGCGCGCGAGCATACGCGAACAGACCCGTCCCGCCTCAGCCGCCGCTCTCACCGATAGATATTATGATGATTGTTGCGAGAGACGAGGCACAGCTAGCTGAGCTCGAGCTATGCGAGCGAGAACGCGCGGCCCATCGGCTGTATACGTGCGGTAGAGAGAAGAGTTTTTTCCTTATAAGCGAGAGAGAGAGAGAGAGACGGGATGATATCGCACAGTGGAAAGATGGGCGTTCGGAGGAGAGGGGAGGGTGTTCGTTTCGAGCGTCTCTTACGTATTAAAGCGGCACATACACGATGTAGGGTATATGAACGCGCGGGGCCAATTGCTATGGTAAGGGGAAACGATCGCGTGTCACGTGACTGCTGCCGCGCCGAAACACAGCACGCCGGTGTCGTTACGTTATATATTCTGCTGCTCTCGTGCGCTCCGACGTATGCTTCTTCGTGATACACCGAGCACGTTACCCCGTGTGTTGTGTGTAATGATGCACTTTCGGGCCGGTGCACGACTATTTCGGCGCAATTCGTTTGGTCGATCGTATGCACGCGCTTGAGACTGAGTGTATGTGTGACACGGATACATGCATTTCATTTGACCATGTCTACGAGAGAGAGGTGCATTGATTATTTTCAATGTGTAGTAGTAGCCCTTGTTCATCGCCAACGTGGCCGGGAAGAGACTACAAAAGTTCAATGAGACGATGGAATCGTTTCCGGTATTATATGCAATTGTACGAGCGGAGGGTACCACAAAAATAGCGATACACTGGTAAAAACTGAGCCTCGTGCCAACATATAATGACAGACGGGACTCCGAGAAATTGGCGCGAAAACGCCAATCTTATGGCGTTTTACGTTGAAAAGAACGACAACATACAGTTGATGTATGAATAAAATCGGTCGGTATGTTTTCTTTTATCGGTCGTTGCACGAGTGTTATCGCACGAAATAAGTCGTGTTTCACGGTGTCCTTTTGTGGTTCGTGTTCGTCCTATAGTTTTAACAACATCGTTCGCATGATATGAACGAGGACGTAGGTTTTTATGTGGTTCAAACTTTGAAAAGCTATCAGCCAATATGCTAAAGATTAGAGTCACGTCATTCTTGTATATTTTGCTAAAAAAAAATTTAGTAACACACCCATATTCAGTTGTTAAACAATTACTCGAATTCTGAAAAAAATTCATTGACACCTATTCGCTTTGTCTAATCCACTTAATCTGCGCGTATTAAGATATATGGTTTAAGCTCTTTACGCTACAACTTGTGTACTTACAATTCATAACGGCAAATTACAACTCTTGCATTCAAAAAATCATCGAGTCTCGTCTCCCTCTCCTCATTATAACACAGAATTAGCAGATCAACCACGCGGCTGTTCTCTCGCGACACGATAGTTGCCGTTTGCATCTCAGCGCATCAGCAGTCGTTCTTTCAGTATAACTTGGAGTTTTTTTTAGTAAGAATCAATTTTTTTTAACGACATTACCGATTAATAATAAACGAAACATTTTTGACATCTTGCTTGATCATACGTTCTTTTCTTACAGCTCAATCGCATTATTTAGAGCTTATTTGATCTTTCAACGTTTAACTTTTTGAAATTTTTTGAAAAAAATTCGAATTTAAGTTAACGAAGATTTTTCGACAATGTCAATTCTAGCAAATCATTGCAAACGAACGATAAACAAACGATAGGTTTTTTTTCTCGAAATCACTCGAAATATATTTCCAAGAAAACGAGTGTCACTTCGATCCACTTGCGCGAATTTTTACCCGAAATAGTCAAATTGTTTTTCATTTTTATTTTTGTTATTGTATGCATCACAACATTTCGTTCTCTACGTGCCAATATTTTTTATCGTAAATCTCCGCGGCCTACGCGCGCGTCATTCCAACGAACCCCGAGAGAAAAAAAGGAAAAGCAGTGTATCTATAACTGGTGTTCTTGTATAACAATATCTTATCAGCATTTGGATAGAGCAAAAAAAAAGACGAAGGCAAAAATTTTTAAGACTTTCATCTCATTTTATACAAGTCGCAGAGTCTTACATTTAAAACTCTTCTATATACACGTATATTGCAGTTCGTGACTTCCGCGAGGCTTAAACGATTTGATTCCGCAATTATGAATATCAGCTTCGAAGGAAAACGTATCCTCGTCACCGGAGCCGGTCAAGGTATGTTTATATTTTTTTTCTTCGTCCATAAATGAATGCGCTCCGTTGTTGTCAATTATTGGCTGTACGTAATGCGGCGGGGATAAATAGTCTGTTTGTTCGGAAATTAAGACGCATCGAGCTGAAGCAGCTATTATCATTATTGCTACGCACAGGTATCGGCCGCGAAACGGCTCTACGCCTGTCGAAATTCAAGGGCACCGTCATCGCCCTGTCCAAGACCCAGAAGAATCTCGACTCACTGGTCAAGGAGGATCCGCGAATTCAGACGGTCTGCGCGGATCTCGGCGACTGGGCGGCGACTCGCCGAGCCGTCAAGTCAGTCCTGCCGATCGATCTGCTGGTGAACAACGCCGGCATCGCCCGGCTCGATCCCTTCCTCACGGCCAAACCGGAGGACTTCGACGACACCTTCAACGTCAATCTCAAGTCGATCATGAACGTGTCGCAGGTCGTCGCGGCGGACATGGTGGCGCGCAAAGTCCCGGGCAGCATCGTGAATCTGAGCAGTCAAGCGAGTCTCGTGGCCATTACCGATCACGCGACCTATTGCGCGTCAAAGGCGGCTCTGGATATGCTGACCAAGTTAGACGATTATAATAACGGCATTTCTTATATATATATATGCAGCGGATAATAAAATCATCGCTTTTTCGCTCGCAGAGTGATGGCTCTCGAACTTGGACCCCACAATATTCGAGTGAACACCGTCAATCCCACCCTGGTGCTGACGGCCATGGGTAGAGCCCACTGGAGCGATCCTGCCAAGGCCAACTCTCTGCGAGTCAAGATTCCTCTGGGTCGTTTCGCAGGTACACGAGTCGTTGCGAGTATAATATTATGTCACTTGAAATCGATCTTCGTTACTCATTCGTTCTGTTTTGATTTATTAGAACCCGAAGAGGTCGTGGACTCGATCGTATTTCTTCTCAGCGACAAGAGTTCCATGACCACTGGAACTGGCGTTACCATCGACGGAGGTTACACCATTCAATAGATTGATATATTTTTAATGTTCGAATCGATGTCAAAGTGTGAAGTGATACACTATAATAACAAATAAAATTATTTTTAATACTTTCATTAATATCAAAATGTAAAGAAATGTAATATGATAAAAAACAAAGTTAATTAATTGATGGAGCTTTAATAAAATTATTAATTTAATTTTTATATGTATTATTTGTTATATGCTGACGAGTAAATACTCTGTTCGGTAAAGGTAAACTTCAGGCGGGAACGTCAGTCGATATGCGCGTGGCAGAAGCGTCTGCAACTCTACACTGCGACCGAGTTCTCGGCTAAAACGACAGAGCGCAGCAGAGGCGGCGCACATCTGCTCACTAGCAGCGCGAGCTGCTAAAGCCCGAGAGAGCGTTTTACACGCATACGTTTTACGCCAGCCAAGCAGGCCAGTGCAGTTCCCGTTGTGCGGGCCTCGAGTAATGGTCAACATGAGCAGCTTGGGCTGAGAGAACTCGATATAGTTTACGACAATATTGACGTTTACGACCCCGCGAAATATTTGCATCGGTGTCATCTCCACGCGCGCTGTTAATGTTGATAAAATCCCGCGATAACTGACAGACGCGGATGGCGAAACTGCACCGTAATATCTGCAGAGCTATGCGGACTATAACCTAATAGCTATATACCATTGCTCAGATGTGGCTGTAAACACAACAACAAATTCATTTTTTTGATTTATTTTGTATATTTTTTTGTACAAAGACAGAGTTTATATTTAAAAAATGGCAGACTCCGACGACGATAACGATCAGGATTACAATGATCTCATGTCCAGTGGAAGTTTAGCGGGCTTTATGTTTGGCAATATAGATGTCAATGGTGAACTTGAGGATGATAATGTGCTTGACTCAGAGGCCAAAGAGCATTTGGAATCCCTGTGCCATTTGGGTTTGGGATCCTTGATTCAGGAAATGATGCCAGATGAATCAAACAAGAGGGAAAACGGTGATAAGAGAGATGACAAGGGTGGCTCGTCGCAGCAGAATGGAGATTTGTCTTCAGAGGAAGATTACGATGAAGATTATGATGGCGATAAAGACCCTTCAGCCAAAGACTTTTCAGACATCAATGAGCTTGCTGATGAAGCAATTGAAGAAAGTCAGACAAAAGCTGAAGGTAAGTGTTTTTTAAATTTCTATAATTGTTATAAAAATTTAAAACACAAATTAAACTTATACTCTATTTGATAGATTCTGCTGCAAAAAATGAAATGAGTGAGAATACTCAAAAAGATATAAAAACAGAAAACACTGATGGCTCTGAGATCTCCCAAAGAATCAATGATGCTGAAAAAATAGAGCCATCGATAAAAAAAGAATGCGCTGATACTGTAAAACAAGAAATTAATCAAAATAAAGACAATTCGGGGGGTGATGAAAAAATGGAAGTAGACAATGACAATAAAGAAAACGAATATGATGCTGATGATGAGGATCATAAAGGTGATTCAAAATTAATGCCACCTCCACCAGTACCAGAAGAAAAAGAAATTCTTACAGCTGAAGAAGAAGAAGCTATTCAAAAAAGGAAACTGGAAACTCCACTAGCTTCTATGTTGCCATCAAAATATGCTAATGTAGATGTAACAGAACTTTTTCCAGATTTCAGACCTGGTAAAGTTTTAAGGTTTTCAAAATTATTTGGCCCTGGCAAGCCTTCAAGTTTACCACACTATTGGCGTACTGTTAGAAAGAGGAGAAGAAAACAAAAAATTTTAGAAGGTTCAAAAGATTCTGATTCTGGGTCAGGTTCTGACAGTAGATCGAGATTTAGGGTAAAATTTGCAATTAAAATCTATAACAGTAATAATATTTTTAATTCAAATGTAATAAAAAAAATTATTTAATTACAGGGGTGGGTTATGAATTATGGTCCAGATCCTACTCCTGACCAGTTAGCTTCTGATGATGAAGACAAATTATTAAAACCTGTTGATACTCCAGTGGAAGTTCAACATGGAACAAATGGCGACACTGATAATATGGGACCAAAAGTTGCTGATTGGCGGTTTGGACCTGCACAAATTTGGTATGATATTTTAGATGTACCTGAAACAGGTGAAGGTTTCAACTATGGATTTAAATTGGCTGAAAAGGTAATGAACATTATAGAAATATTTCAAATATTAATAATTTAATTGTAATCATTAACTTATTCTATCTCTTTTATTATTAGGTTGAGGAACAACCACCTGTTAAAGAAGATTTACCAGATGATGCATTTTTGATGGTGTCTCAATTACACTGGGAGGACGAAGTCATATGGGATGGTGATGACATAAAACATAAAACAAGACAAAAACTAAATTCTAAAGATACTCCTGCTGGATGGGTGCCGTCAAGTGATAATAGAACTGCTCAATCAGCTTTCAGTCAACCTGGCAAAGGAACTCCTATTGCCCAGAATGTAAGATTATCAACGTCACAAATATCTACTCCATTATCGATGCAAGGACAGAAAAATAAATTAAATTCCAAAGAACAAGATCATCAAGATGATACGTGGTACTCTATATTTCCTGTTGAAAATGAAGAGCTTGTTTATGGTAGCTGGGAAGATGAAATCATTTGGGATGCTGAAAATATGAAAAAGATTCCCAAACCTAAAATACTAACTCTTGATCCAAATGATGAGAACATTATTCTTGGTATTCCTGATGATATTGATCCAGCATTGTTGCATAAAAATAATGGACCTCAACCAAAAGTTAAGATTCCTCATCCACACGTTAAAAAGAGTAAATTACTTCTTGGCAAAGCAGGAGTTATAAATGTTTTGGAGGAAGATGCACCACCTCCCCCACCAAAGTCTCCTAGTCGAGATCCATTCAATATTTCAAACGATGAGTACTACATGCCAAAATCATCAGAAACCACTCTGAAATTCAAAGTTGGTGGAGGAAATCTTATTCAACATAGTACACCTGTTGTCGAATTAGCTCATCCCTTCGTAAGAACTTTTGTGGGACCAGTAAGATTAAGATCTCTGCACAGACCACCAATGAGACGATACAATACTGGCAAATTAAGCAGAAACGAGATGCATGGTGTTTTGCCTCTGATTAAATACATCAAGAAAAAAGCAAAACAGCGCGAGGCAGAGAGAATTGCATCTGGAGGTGGAGATGTATTTTTCATGCGTACAGCTGACGATCTTTCTGGTCGCGATGGTGAAATCGTTCTGGTTGAGTTCAGCGAAGAGTACCCACCTCTCATGAATCTCGTAGGTATGTGTTCCAAAATGAAAAATTATTACAAGCGCAAAGCTGGCAAAGACACCGGACCACCGACATATAAGTACGGAGAAACAGCTTACGCTTACACGAGTCCTTTCCTTGGAATTCTCGCCCCTGGTCAGAGCATTCAAGCTATGGAAAATAATTTGTACAGAGCACCGATTTACGAGCACAATATACCTCAAACGGACTTTCTGGTTATTAGAACTCGAAATGACTACTTTATTCGAGAAATAGATGCTCTTTTTGTTGCGGGCCAAGAGTGCCCTCTCTATGAGGTGCCCGGTCCAAACTCAAAAAGAGCAAATAACTTCGTTCGGGACTTCCTTCAGGTTTTCATATACAGGCTTTTCTGGAAATCCAAAGATACCCCTCGCAGAATAAAAATGGAAGTTATCAAGAAAGCCTTCCCAATGCACAGCGAGTCCAGCATTCGGAAACGACTGAAGATATGTGCCGACTTCAAACGTACGGGCATGGATTCGAATTGGTGGGTCATCAAACCGGATTTCCGTTTACCCACGGAGGAAGAAATCAGGGCCGTGATATCGCCCGAGCAGTGCTGCGCCTACTACAGCATGATCGCCGCTCAGCAGCGGCTCAAAGACGCCGGATACGGCGAGAAGTCCATCTTCGCCACCCAGGACGACGAGGACGAGGAGCAGCAGCTGAAATTGGACGACGAGATCAAAGCGGCGCCCTGGTACACGACTCGAGCCTACATTCAAGCCATGAAGGGCAAGTGCCTGCTACAACTGTCCGGTCCCGCCGATCCGACCGGTTGCGGCGAGGGCTTCTCGTACATCCGAATGCCCAACAAGCCGACCGTCAGCAAGGAAGAGCAGGAGGCGCAGCCGAAACGGATCGTCACTGGCACCGACGCCGATCTGCGCCGACTGAATCTCAAGGACGCGAAGAATCTGCTGCGAAAGTTCGATTTGCCGGAGGAGGACATCAAGAAATTGTCGCGTTGGGAGGTCATCGACGTCGTGCGCACCTTGTCGACGGAAAAGGCCAAGGCCGGAGAAGAGGGTATGACCAAGTTCTCTCGCGGCAATCGTTTTTCCATCGCCGAGCATCAGGAGCGCTACAAGGAGGACTGCCAGCGGATCTTCGACCTGCAGAACAAGGTGCTGGCCTCGAGCGAGGTGCTCAGCACGGACGAGGGCGAGAGCTCCGACGCCGACAGCTCCGACGACATCGAGGAGATGGGCAAGAACATCGAGAATCTGCTGAACAACAAGAAGACCAGCACGCAGCTGAGCTTGGAGCGAGAGGAACAGCAGCGCCAGGAGCTGAGAAAGATGATGTTGATGGGCGACGGGCCCGGCCTGCAAGAGGACAGCAAACTCAAAGGCAAGAAAAAGGACGACGAGAACAATTCGACGTCCAATTATAACTCTCAGCGCGGCCGCATCCTGAAAATCGTTCGCACGTATCGACACTCCGACGGCCAGGAGTACACTCGAACCGAGACGGTTCGAACGGCGGCCGTCATCGACGCGTACCTCAAGATCAAAAACTCCAAGGACGAGACGTTCGTCAAGCAGTTCGTGATGCCGGACGAATCCCAAAAAGAGGAGATCAAGCGAGAGAAGCGACGCTTGCAGGAGCAGCTGCGCCGTCTGCGACGCAACCAGGAGCGCGAGCGCATGCTCAACAGCGCGAACCAGACGCAGAACAGTCTGCAGAGCGGCCTGCTGCTCGGCAACGGCAACAACAGTTCGCAGGGCAGCACCGGGGCCTTCCCGTCGCAGACGCTGCTGGACCGCTCGAACGCCTCGTCACCGGTGTCGGCGAACGCGAGCACGATGAACGCGTCGACTCAGGGTGGCTTCCCCCAGACACCGACGACGCCGGTCTCGCTGTCGAACCATCCCAGCAAGATCGTCAAGTCGGAGCACCACAGCTCGCCATCGAGGCGCAAGAAGGCCAAGCTGAAGCCCGATCTCAAGCTGAAGTGCGGCGCTTGCGGCCAGGTGGGCCACATGCGCACCAACAAGGCCTGTCCGCAGTACCAGTACAGCATGGCCAACGACAAATCGATGATGGGCATGTCGCAGATGGAGATGGACGAGCAGGAGATCGACATCAAGCCGATAATCAACACCGAGGAGCAGGACTTGGTCAACATCGAGGGACTGAAGGTGAAACTGGCGCCCAAACTCATCAGGGTAAGTTATCTAAAAAGTTTGCAATACACACTCGTAATTATAATTTCCACTCGCCTCGTTTGTTAATTTTCTTACGATGCATTACAGCAAGCCGAGGAGGAATCGAGAAAGCGCAACCTGTCGAACCTCAGAATACCTCGAGACGTCGTCGGCCAGGGCTCGGGACGTAAGCGTAAGCGCGGCAACGGCAGCGACACCAACGATATCTATCTCAAGCGCTATCAAAAGCCGGGAAGCGCCAATCGTCGTCGCACCGATCCCGTCGTGGTGCTGTCCACGATCCTCGAGGAGATCGTCAACGTCATGCGCGAGCAGAAGGAGTACTTACCCTTCGCTTTCCCTGTTAACTCCAAGCTGGTGCCCGACTATCATCGTATCGTCGGCCGTCCCATGGATCTGCAGACGATTCGCGAGAATCTGCGCCAGAAGAAGTACCAGTCGCGCGAGGCCTTCCTCGCCGACGTGCTGCTGATCAAGGACAACTGCACCCTGTACAACGGACCCAAGCATCCGCTCACCCATACCGCCCAAAAGATGCTCGACTTTTGCGTGAGCGAGATCAAGCAGAAGGAGGACAGACTGATGAGGCTGGAGAAAGCCATCAATCCGTTGCTCGACGACAACGATCAAGTCGCCCTGTCGTTCATACTCAACACCGTGATTAACGATAGGCTGAAACTGATGTCCGAGGCCACGCAGTTCTTGAAGCCCGTCAATAAGAAGGTAGTCAAGGACTACTACGACAAGATACAAAATCCAATTGATCTTGAGACTATCCAAAAGAACGTTGAGGGTAAGTTATCTGCGTCTTGATTAAACCATCACGTATTTCGTAACGTTTGCTTTAATTTTTAATATAATTGTATAGCGCACAAGTACCAGAGCCGTAAAGAGTTCCTGAACGACATACAGCAAATCCTCATCAATTGCAGAATATACAATGGGGAATCATCGTCTTTAACTAAGAATGCCGAGGCTGTGGTTAAAGCCGCGCAGGATTACTTGGACCAGGTAATTTATCGATCGAAAGTTTCTTTTCTCGGCTTTGTGTTGTATTCAAACATGAGTTGACCGTGTTTTTTCTTTTCTTATTGCAGTACGGTACGGAGCACGTAATAGAGATGGAAAGAAGAATATCTCAAGCTCAGCAACGTGCCTTTGAGCAAGCCGGCATCGATTCGTCTTGGATCGGCGAAGGCGGTGAAGATGAAAATTACACTATTGCTGAGTCAGACTCTAGAGGAGTGAGTAAAAAATTCATTTTAAAACCCTCTAAATTTATAATGGATTTTCATTTCAATTTTATAATTTCTATTTGCAGCAAACAAGCCATTTGAGCTCACCCGAGCACAGCTTTGGCAAGCCCATGGATACTTATGATTTCGTCGATGTCGTGAATGAAGTGGAGCTCAGTGGACCGAAAGCTACGAAGAAGGACGTTCTCGAAGAGGACCTACAATTCTCTAGCGAAGATGAGTTCGATGAGGTGCCGTTCGGAACGACCGATGATTTCGACGCAACTGAATTGAAGCCCCTGCAACCTGTTCAAGTGCCCGTCGAAGACCTGCCCGGCGATCACGACAGTCACCAAGTCGCAGAGGCAATGATCCAGTTGGGCAACGCTGGTTCCTACCATGCTGAGACATCGATCATTCCACCTGCGGGTTAGTATTGATATAATAAATTATCTTTTCGATTTGTGCAAATATATTAATAATAAAATTACGTTTAAAGTTGCCGAAGAGAGCATAGATTCAAATTACGATCCATCGGACTCTTTCTTCACTACGTTATCGGTACGAAAGGAGGAGGACATAGTATCAAAAATTCAAGATGATCTCGCCATGTCCGACAGCGACGAGGAGGATCAAAAAGACATCAAAGAGCTGCAACCAGCGCAAATGTCTACCGAGGAGGAAGTCGGTAGTTTATGGTTTTAGGGGATCCGTGCAAATAAAACAAAAAAGTGTTCGAAAAGATGCCGTTTTTCGATCGGTTTACAAAAATTATATCGTGTGGTTAACGCCACTCGTGGCTTCTCATTAATGTTAAAAATTACGATAAGTATTATAGAGCGTGAGAGCGTTATCGTTGTGTAAATAATATTTTGTTATGTTAAGTAAATAGCATCACTTTGTATAATAATATTATAAAAGACCATTTAAGTGCGAAGATTATTGTAAAAAGCTTTAAATAGCTGACTGTTGTCATTTTTACAACTTGAAAAAATACTTGAATATTTTGTATTATATACTCTAATGAAAGAAAAAAAGTGAAAAATTAACTATTTAATTTTTGTGAATTAAAGTACCAGAGAATCATGCTAATCGATCGCTTACTCATTTACAACCACTTGGTTATCCAAGATTCACGCGTCGTCGTCGTCGTCGACGACGTTCTCCTGCGGCTCGAACCTGTTGACGTCGTCGTCGCCGCCGTCGTCTTTGTGGTCGTTGACGAGCCTGAATCTGTGCCACAGGCCGAAACGCACCTCCCAATCGAGCAGAAACAGATCGGGCTTGTCCCAGAGCACGTGATGCGCGGCGAACTCGTAGCGCTCGAGCATCGGCGGATTGAAGTGCGGCGCCCACTTGGCCCGCTTCTTGAAGATCGTGTTCAGGTAGGCGTGAAACAGCTCGGCCTTGTGCAGCCAGCAGATAAAAGTCAGCACCGAGATGACCAGGGCGTGAACGTAGTACTTGTGCGATCTCGAGCCGATCTCGCCGCCGGTGCGGGCGAACTTCTGGGCGTTCATCATGAGGCAGGTGAAGGTGGCAGCTGTAAAGCCGCAGGGTATCTCCAGGGCCAACAGGCAGACGGTGCTGTAGGTCGCCTCGAGATTGGCCCGATCGTCGCAGTGATTCACGATGCTCTCGTAGAGATTGCGATGCACCAGCTCGCGATGCTGCTTGAGAAAGGCCCGGTCCTCGCCGCTGATCGACTGCCTGATCGCCGAGCCTCCTCGATTCAGCTTGAGCTCCATGTTCTCGAAGAATATCTGGGGCCTGCGAAAGACCTTGAGATTCTTGCCGCGATCGATCAGCAGCTGGAGCAGTCGATTGCCCAGCAGCGAGACGTAGCGCACCTCCGAGCCGATCATGCGCATCAGCGAGCAGAAGATGGCCTCGGTGAAGGTGGCGTGCAGGGCCCCGGCCTGGTGTACGTGGGCCGCGTACTCCAGGGTACTGGCGTAGTCCAGCACTTGGGTCTCGTTGGTCACCGCGTCGTCGTCGGCGAGACACCAGGAGATCATGAGCTCGATCGCGAGCAGCTGCTGATCCGGCGTCATGGCCCGAGCCAAGAGACACCTCAGCGTCATCTCGAGGCCGGTCTGGGCAGCCTCGCGATACCTCGAGTGCTCCGGACGTCGCGAGGTGGCCTTGCGATAGCAGCCGAGCAGTCGTCTCAGAAAATCGGCGTCGATCGGCCACGACTCCTCGTTGCTGCTGTTGTTGTTGCTTTTATCGCGACGTCCTCGCTCGCGCACGAGCTTGAGCAGCAAACCGACGTAGGCCTTGCGATCGTCCGAGTTGTCGAATCGGTCGATGCCGCGGCAGAGCTCGCGACACAGATCGACCTCGGCCAAGCCGCACTCCGGGCTGCAGAGGTGGCGGGCGAGATCGTGGCACAGAGCCTCGCCGCAGCGTCGCCACAGCCGCTCCGAGCGAACGACGAGATCGACGATCAGCTTGAGGAACGATTCCGAGTCGACGTTTCGATGCTTGGCGCAGAGTCGCAGAATCGAGAAGGCGGCCCTCTTGACCGATTGACGCTTCGACTTGCTGCTGCGCTCGTTGGAGAAGCACACGGCCAGAACCTTGATGGAACACTTGAGCAGTAGTCGGACGTTGGACGAGCTCATTCGATGGGCCGGGGCTTTGATCGCGAAATCGACGATCGTCGAGAATTCGAGGTACAATTGCTTGAGGAGCGACGGGTCCGGTGAATCGGTGCTGCTCGCGTTGCACAGACTCTCCAGCTCTTCCAACTTGTCCCGGAAGCGTTCGTGGCTCGGACGACGATCGTTGTCGTTGGTCATTGTCGCTCGAGAACTCGAAAACGGGTATGACATCGAGTACGAATTTTCATTCACTTTGCGGCGCGATTTCGACTGTCGAAGGAAAAACGGACGAGAGCAGACTGAAAAATTATCGATGTTCTCGTAAACATAATGCGACGATAGACGCTCAATTATTTTAATTGCAGCTATAATATTTTTGGAGTCATTTCAGAGCGGGAGAGGAGCCAAGTGATGTGACGGCTAACTGACATTTAGTGTCAGATAATGAACAAGACAGCCGACGCTGGGAATTTATATTCTTGAATATCTTCAGTATTAAAATGGTTTAATAGATATTATATAGTAAATTAAACTAAAAATGAATGATGACAGAATATTTTTATTTATTTCTTGGGCTAAATTAGAATGTTATGATTCAATAACACAATATATGTAAATCAAATACTTTATGAAATATTTGAAATGTAAGATTTATAAATAACATAAGATCTACATTACATTAAGAATTTTGAAGTTTAACTCATAATAAAATTACATGTTTATGCTTTACAATCAAAATATTTATCACAGTAAAAAATGCACTGATAGTCTCACAAAGACATCAAAATTATGCACCATTCTTGCTATTGATTCAAAACATATTGTTTACAACTTGATGTATTTACACTAAATGATTATTGGGTTGAAGGTGTGAAACAAGGCAGAGCTACGCTCGTCCAATTTTCATGCCACCGACAATCTTGAAATTTATGCAATTCATTTTTGAACTGAGAACATAACTTTTGCTGCTGAGGATCATTAGGAAAGTTTCTGAACCATGTTTTGAAATGTTCTGTCAATTCCTCAGAATTAGTGAACACTAAACTATTTTCATTATCTCTTACAAGTTCTGACAAACATGGAAAATTAATTGCACAGACTGGTAGGCCACAACCAAACATATCTACAATTTTCATAGGTAAATCCAATCCACTGGACGATGTATGCAAGCTAATACCTAAATCTGCAGATGCTAATAATTTAGGATAATCGCTGTCTTGTAACCAAGGCATAAGAACTTTAACATGCTTCAAATTCTCGTTCTTTATGACTTGTCTGTAAAATTGTTTTAATTCTCCTTTTCCAGTTATGACACATATCAAATTTGGATATGGAGAATTTGTTTCTTTACACAGTTTATCATAATTACATAAAGCCTTTATCAGAGTACTGAAATCTTCATCTGGTGTCCAACTGGTACTTGATACAATCATAGCTGGTCTTTCATTTTGCAAAATGATATCACCATCCACTTCCTTTGTTAATGCGGTACTATTTTCGTCATTACTTTTGAAAGCATCACAATCTTCTTGTGTCTTCATAAGTCTCATTAGTAGTTCGTGTTTTTCCGATAATGAAATAGAACGAAATTTCTCTGCTGGTCTATCATAAAGTACCTTTGCTTTAATATTGTAATTTTTAGAAAGGTCTTCTTGCATAGCTTTTGTCACACAGAAGTGATTAGTTGCTTTAGTTCCATAATACATTTCTAGATACTTAGCTAATCTTACAAGAGGATGAGTATTGGACAAAGATATAGCCATAATTGTATGAGCATAATTATGCCAGTCAATGGTAAATTCAATTTTTTTGATCAAACAATAAAACCAACAGATTGGAATGGTTGGAACTGCCGGTGGATTTTGTAGCAGTAAGAAGCTGGAATCACATTTGAAAAAGAGTGCGTAGAGCAAGTCCAGCGACTGCCACACGATCTTTATCCCAAACCACAGAGCTTTCGTTACATATTCATCTAGCTTCGGAGGGGAGGACAAACGATGCACTTTGAGCTTTGCGTTGCCCTGCAATTCGTCGATGAGCTTCGTGTCGTGATATCCAACGATTTCAACTTCATAACCTTCTTTTAAGAAAGACGCCGCGTGATACTGCATGCGAGGACTTCTGCCGATATCGCCGAGGATCACGATGCAGATTTTCTTGGTCTTCTGGCGAATCTTGTACCAGAACGAGAGCATTATGCCGAACACAAAGGACAGACCGAAGAAATGCACGAAGAGCTCCATTTCGATGCGGTGCGCGAGCTGTCAAAAGTCGATGATGAAACTCCGGAGCCGAGTGTGTAACGTGATCTACGGTTCAAAAAATGTCATTCAAACTATAGTTCAATTCAAAATCACGCGTTGCACTTACAGCTGCAGCGGTCTATAAATGGGCTACTGCGGTTCTACGTGTAACGCACTTGTGTATGCCGGGCAGGTGTTGGCTTATCGGTCTGCTATATACTCGTGACTCCAAGTCATATGGGAGTCGGGAGGAAGCAGGCGATGGCGCACAAGCAACAGGCATCTCTGGGTAAGAGATCGATAAGCGCTGAATCAAGAGCTACAACAATTTCTCTTGATTACTTCTTTTTTCATTCAAGTGTTGCGACAACAATCGCGACGATTCGATCGCGCACGTGTGTGTCGCGTTTATTCAAACAAAGTTTGCACTTTGCTGTATATGGCAATCAATTTCGGGCTTATCTATACGAAATCTCCGTCAAACAAACAAACTCGTCGCCTGTCATGAAACATTATATCGCATAGATACATTGGCATATAATACTCGGCACGAGTTTCGCATACAAATGCTCCCATATCCTGTGTGTACCTACCTATACAATGTGTATAAAACTTTCATAATAATATACACAGAGCACCGACGCATGATTCATGTTACGACGAGTCGCGAACTCGTCAAGACTCGCGCGCGTATACATTTAGAGATTGCTCCGTCGATATAGGTTGGCAAACTGACTGCAGTGCGCTGCCTCTGTGCCTGCACCGCACAGCAACGTATAACAGCTCCGCGATGTTTGTATTATATTTTTTTGCACAGTTTGCATACACAGTAGTTTACTGCTTCTGACAACACATACACTACTACGAGCGACAGGAGCTGTGCTGCTGCACATTTTATTACATACACTGTTGTATCTCGCGCACCTTATAAGCAAACTTCAGTTTCGCGATGGCCTCGCTCGGTCTTGCATCGAAAATGTGATCGAACGAAAGTCTCGTCAATTTTCACAATTGAATCGCTATTGTGATAATTCATTTTCTATAATATCGATATCATGGTGAGTTTGTGTGAAAGTTCGCGTGTGCACGCAGTGGTTTCGTATGCTTTTCACCGGTTATATTTCGCACGCTTTCTAAAAGAATGATAGTAATTTTCGTTTGACACATTGTGTGTAGTTATAGATGAGCTAGTAAAAACACCTGCGCAAGGTGAACTTTGTTGTTGTTCCGAGTACTACCATACCCTGCATCATAAACCTTACAAGTTTACATATATTTGATAAAACTCGTCAAAGGATAATAAGTCGTTTTCTTATTATTAGTAAGGCAAAAGTCCTTTCTCGCGTACGAATGTGTACTAGCGCCGAGTTTGTTTTTGCACAATCACTCTCAAAAAGTGTTTCTGTCGAGTCAATAAGAGCAAGTGTAAATTAGTTTAATTTTGACAATATCAATCGCTGTACAAAGTAAGAAAACTTCTTTTTGATGTACCGAGACTTTCAGTTGCAGTTCTACGATAACTCAAAGAGCTGTAAAAATTTTTATAGCTGTGCTGAATTTTTTTATTTGCCGAAATACACGTTGCAAGTACAAATAATCGCAATAAAAAAATTTAACGCGTTATAAAGAAAAAGATTACAACTCTTCGCGATTTTGTACGCATTGAATTTGAGTTCTGGCAAACGCGAATTGGTACACTCTCGCGGTTAATTATTATGTAAGACAGCTGGAAAAATACCTTTTACAAATTTTTTTTTTCTATTGCAGCTCGCAGGTAACAATCGACGATTATCGTCGGTGTTGTCTATCGTCAATGTCTGCACTTGTGTTCAGTATTATCTAGGATGTCAGTAGCACCAATGGTACAACAAGATTATTGTTATCATCAGCACTATGTAGAATTTTGTAGAATGAAAAGTATACCAATCGACGACCAATCATCACAAAATGAATCTCAGTCATACGCGAAAACGTTGTCTCTTAGTAATAGGTCTCATACTGGTGCCATGTATTGTAGTCAACTACATATCTGCACCGGACACTCGAGAAGAGCAAATACTCCAGACTGGAATAGCTGAATTGCAGGTGAAACTGGAGAATCTCCATTCCAAATATATCAGCAGTCAGGAAGAAATACAAATGTTGACTTATCAGCTGATCCAACTCACTGAGGGTGCTCATCAATTGATGCCCGACGTGCAGATGTTTGTCAACAGTAGTGGCTCTAATGTAACTAATGTTAAGCTGCCATCGGTCTATAATTTTTTACCTCACCTTCTTAACGATATCAATAGTTTAAAGCCCAGTTATGTCAAGAGTAAAGGCAGAACAGGGGTGAGCATGGTGCTGGGAATACCTACTGTTAAACGAGAAGTTCAAAGTTATTTATTAGCTACACTAAAAAATTTATTAGAGCGCATGAGCCAAAAAGAAACTGACGATACACTCATAGTTGTTCTTATTGCTGAAGTACGCATTCAAATAATGAAGGTATAAAAAGAGTTTTATTAAATTTGTATAATTATTTTCAGACTGATCCAGAATATGCATCGCTCATTTCAAAGCAAATAGAAGTACAGTGAGTACCTTAATTTTTATTGATATTAATTATTTCATTGAAAAACTATATTTGAATAATAAAATTATTAATTCCAGATTTTCAGATGAAGTAGAAGCTGGTGTAATTGATATCATTGCACCTAATCCATCTTATTATCCAGATTTTTCAAAATTAAGAAACACTCTTGGAGATAGTCACCAACGTGTAGTTTGGAGATCAAAACAAAATTTGGATTTTGCACTCCTTATGTCATATTCTCAAACAAAAGGAATGTTTTATGTACAATTAGAAGATGACATACTTGCTAAAAAGAATTTTGTATCTATAATGAAATCATTTGCTTTACAAACAATTAGTTTGAAAGAAAATTGGTTGGTGCTAGACTTTTGTCAATTAGGATTCATTGGTACATTTCAATACTTCAATAATACCAAGACAATAAAAATGATGTTTTATAAATATTAATTTTTTCAGGAAAATTATTTAAATCAGTTGATCTGCCATGGCTAGTCCAATTTTTTATAATGTTTTATAATGATAAACCAGTTGATTGGCTTTTGGATAATTTAATTTCCACAAAAGTGTGCAGTATGGACATGGATCCGGTGAGAAATAATTTTTTTTTGTAATGTGTCAAAAAATTTCTCAAAAAATTTCAAGTAAAATAAACATTAAATTTTTAGAAACGTTGTAAAATTGCTAAAGCAGAATTGTGGATACATTACAAGCCTTCTTTATTCCAACATGTTGGTACTCATTCTTCTTTGAAAGGAAAAGTACAAAAATTAAAAGTAAGTATTTACAAAAAACTTTATAAATTCAACTCTATCAAATATTAATGTCTATTTTTTCACCAGGATAAACAATTTGGTAAGATAAGCTTGTTTTATAGTCATTACAATCCTGAAGCTGTTATTGAATCTCAAATTAAAGCATATAAGCAATTTACACTTAAAAGGGCTTATAAAGGTGACTCATTTTTTTGGGGTTTATTGCCTCAACCTGGTGATCATCTTAGATTTAAATTTATGAAACCCATCTACATTAAAAGGTATGCGATAATGACTAAAAATTTATTGAATTTTTCAAAAGTTTATTTATTACGGTAATTTCAAATTATGAATTTTCAGATATTTATTTAGAAGTGGAAATGCTGAGCATCCTTCTGACAAGTTTTATAATACCACTGTTGAAGTTCTACCATATTTATCTAATTCTGTTGATAGAAATCATAATAATGTTACAGAAGATGGTTATTTTATAGTCGGTAAATTTGATTCTCTTGGAATTGCTAGAGGCACAGTTGACAGAAAACTTGGAAAAATTTCAATTCTTCGATTAACGGTGCATAGTGAAAGTGACAATTGGGCCATTTTATCAGAGGTGAGTTTTTGAATCTTACACTTGAAGGAATTGTTTAAAAGTCTATTTCATATTTATAAAAACTTTCTAGATTCATATTGAAGAAGACTTACACAGCTGACGAAAATTAGTAGGTGTAAGAAATAAAGTTATTCACAGTTATCATTTTGCCTAAGGATTTGCTGTCGAATTGAACTTGAATCTTTTATGTGTCTTTCATCTGTAAATAATATCCAAATCATATATAGTTGATGGTGCCTTCTCTTGTAAAAGCCTACCCATGTACCATAGGCCTTTTTAAACAAACTCAGAGTGAGTTTATTTACAAGTCTTATGGGATGTTCTGCTTGATCAATCATCAAATTCTAATGTCTATATCAACTCACTGTACATATACTGTTCTTCGTGTCCAGCTTATTTTTACTATGACATTTTGACAAACTTCTAATTGAAAGAAAAGACCCTCTGACTTTGACAAGTCATTTATACATACATTATGTACTACCTAATTAGCATACTACTATTGTGTCAAATTGATACTTAAATTCTTGTGATAAAAAATTAAGAAAGGAGTAAGTGAAGTTATATCAATGCATATTTATAAGGACTTAAAATAAGCAGGGAAATTCTCTAATACTCTTGAAGTATTTTCCCCGAAACATTATCTTATTGAATGTTTTATAAATCATATTGTTGTATACTGCTATATACAAATTTACTGTATAATCCATATGAATGTATAATCCACAATAAAGTTCATATCAATGTATTATTCATATGAACTTTATTTGTGTACCTGATGAATAAAACGCTATCAAACAAATTCCAAATAGTTTTTTTTTTTCAGTGAAATTGACCTTATTTGAAACAATCTAAGATTTTCAGATTATTTGATGCCCGATTCAATGCATTAGCCGTAAACACAAGTGTGTCAAATTGTTCAGCCACTCCGCATTAGCAGCAGTGCGGTGACAGCAGCCGACGCACACGCGCGTCGCACATAGTGTTGTGTGTTGCGGTGGTCCATGCATAAATGAAGTCTCGGAAACGACAATCGTACCGGCATTAGTGGCAGAAAACATCAAATAAAACATCGCCCGAAGCCGCGGTGAACATGCCGAAACTCAAATTCGGTTTGTTCCCAGTGATCGGGTTCGTGCTCTTGGGCATCCTCACGACTCATTATCTGTGCATACGCAGATGCGGCGACTCGGCTGTCACCGCGAAATCCGATCAGCAGAGTTACCGCCTCGTCGTGCTGGTGCTAAGCGCGCCCGAGAACTTGGAGCAACGGGACACCATAAGAAAAACTTGGCTAGCCGGCAGGTCGCCCGATGTCAAAGCTTACTTCGCCATCGGCCTGATGAACCTCAGGCCGGAGCAAAAGTTGACCCTCGAATCGGAGCATAAAAAGCACGGTGATTTATTGATGCTGCCGAGACTGTATGACTCTTACAATACCATTACGAAGAAGGTGCTGCAGAGCTTGACTTATATACATCAGAATCATGAATTTGAATTCTTGTTGAAAGCTGACGATGACAGCTTTGCTCTGATAGATCAAATTTTGAGAGAACTGAATAGGTGGCAACTGAAGGGTACCAAAAGGGAATTGTACTGGGGATACTTTGATGGTCGAGCTAGAGTAAAGAGAAGCGGGCCTTGGAAAGAGACTGATTGGTTTTTGTGTGATTTATACTTACCGTATGCACTTGGTGGAGGATACATTCTATCCTACAACCTTGTTACATTTATTGCAGATAATGCTGACTATTTGAAGTAAGGATACATAATTAATACATAAAATATCTTTCTAATTAGCAAATTACTCATTTTATCTTGATTAATTTCAGACTGTATAATTCAGAGGATGTGTCGATGGGACTTTGGCTAGCTCCTGTCAGTAATATAGAACGTCGTCATGATACTAGATTTGACACAGAATACAGATCTAGAGGCTGTTCAAATCAATATCTAGTCACTCACAAGCAAAGTATGGATGATATGCGTAAACTGCATGAATCCTATACTCGTTATGGTTACATGTGTTCTCATGAAGTGAGCAATTATCTTGGATATCAGTATAATTGGACTGTCCCACCAAGTCAGTGCTGTGAAAGAAGACCAGGCATCGCTTAAATTTAATATTTAGCTATTTCAAACCAAATTAAAATTACCTATCCAATGTTTTTTTCCAGTCAATTAACAAAAAAAAAACATTTTTACCATGTGATAATTCATCATTATTATGATCCTGATAAAAGTTGGATGTATCTTCATTGAGTGCCATAATGGCAGACTTTTATACTTTAAAACAGCTAAAAATGAGCTTCATTTTTTCTGCTAAAACTTCGAAAAAAAATAGGTACTTTGATTTTATCGTCATTCCAATTATACGCTTATTGTAGAATTAAAATCAATCTATTTCGTGATTGTTATTGTATACTCTTTCAACTAGTGATTTTTATCTAATATTATATTGTAATCAACTTTAAACTCAATATTCTCTAGTCTAAAAAGTATACAATTTATTGAAGATCTTTTCTAGTGTAATCATGAATTTCTGGTGCCTCTTCTAATTTTTATAGATAGAAAAGGGTATGCTTTGAGCGAAACTTTAAACAAGGGCATTTGTACGCTCTTGCAGTCTTGAACCTTAATATTTAATATGTATATCAGAAAATAAGTTGAAAAAAATCCATTCGAGTTTTGATTTCAGAAAGTTTTTGAATGTGGAAATTTCAATACCCTCACAAAGATTTTATCAAAATTTCCGTACCACATTTTTTTTTAAACGTTTCATTATGAATATTATGTAAATATAATGTACATACAAAATAAAGTTACTCCATAGGGTTTAGTTGAAAACTGCCTTATTATAAATCAAATAAATACATTTGTGTAATATTTAATATTTTTATTGTAATAAAGAGTATTAAAATAATAAAGTAAACAATTGTAATGCACTTAGATAATTTACATACGTGTATTAACAGTATAAATCATTCATATCTAGTCTTTTAAATTTCATGTAAAAAAATGTATCTAATGCCTTTAATTGAAACCATTTTCTATAAGAAATGTACAAAATTTGTCTCTCTGTCCACATAAACATTTTATAACTATAATATACAAATCAACTTCATGGGACAGAAATATAAACACAATTTACAAATTAAAATGATAATTTATCATTATAGACACCCTAATTTGAAAACGTTTGTTTTATTTAAAATATCTTGAAACTAATATTTTAATAGGCTTTGTAATTATCACAAATGTAAAAAAGGAATTATCAGTTTCAAGATATTCTAGACAGTTTCTAAGAACTCATTAATAAGAATTTCTTCTGATTTTCACATTCTTATCAGTTATAATTTGAATTAAACAAACGAGTTGATAACAGTCCTATCACATCGTGTGAACAGCTGTTAATTTATAGGACGGTCTGAATCTTTACCATAAGGATTCAGTGTATTGCTTAAACTTTACTTTTTCTTTCTATCTTGACTGCATTTTGGACAGTACCATTTTCCTTTTGGTTTAACTGTAAGGCCCACGCAACCAAAATGAAACCATTCAATCCCACACTAAAAATAAAATTATATAATTTAGTAAGTAAAATAGATTTTTGATTTGTAATATCAGTAGAAAAGAGAAAAAATACTCACATCAGGATTATCACAACCAATCATTTCTCCAAATGAAACTTGATTGCAAATGCAGTAAGTAGGCTCATTGGGATCAACTGGCATATCCAAAACATCAGCTGGATTATTGATTGCACCCAATTCTACTTTCGAAGCACTATTGACAGTACTAGCAATAGCTGTTGATGCAACAGCTCCTCCTGTTTTCTTCTTCTTTCTTCCACTTTTTGATTCATCTTCACTGCTTGCTGTACCTACATAAAAAATTACATAATTAGTACTTACTTTGCAAAGAATTAGCGATAAGAATTTATAAAATTTTAAAAGTGCACCTTTCTTTCTTTTCTCTTTTTCTTTTAACTTCTTTCTACCCTTTTTACTTGCTCCACTTTCTTCTTGCGCTCTATTACTATTGATAGCTTTATCTTGTATTTCTGCTTCAAATCTCATTAAATCAGAATCTAACCTTCTGATGTGTTTATCAACTAACTCATAAGTTTGTATGGCCAGTTGTACTTTATCATCGCCATATTCTTTGACTTTGCTATATAAATTTTCTATCCGTTCCAAGTGAGCCATACGTTTTTCTTCGTCTTCATTTTTTACATATCTTAGATATTCATCGGCATATTTATCGATATCTTTCATGATCGATTGAGCCCTAGTATCTAGATCTCTCATCAAATTAAAATTTCTTCTGAGTTCGGTTGGAAGATGCTCCAAACCTGTAAAAAAACATTAAATGTCTATTATTAATATGTATTCCATCGGTTAGCTACAAAGTCTATTAGTAAATTAATTTGAAAACAATGAATAGATTTAGGAATAGAAAGTAAACACGTAAAGAAGCAAATAAGATGATCGTATACTGTGTCAACTAAAACTTTATCTTTACCTGTCCCATCAAAACACTCATTCATTTTTGCACCGAGTGTGATGACTAATTGATAAAATAAATAATTTCTAACGACTATTTAAATCTTAACTCTATTTCTCTACAAACGTAAATATTGCATGAATTTTGTATGACTTTGTTTGAGCCTACTACAAATCATAATAAGTCGTAGCGTCAATATAAAATAGAAAACAAGCTGAATGCCCCCTTTGAAGATTCGACTACGAGCCTACATAGCAGACTTGCTAATTATTTTCTAATCTCATTGTAGCATAATAAAAACTACAACTCTGTCTAATGCCAAAGAACGAAATCATAACCCCAATCAAAATAAAAAAAAAGAAGCTGATGTGTGTGTGTAGTTCGCGTATCACACTCCCACGCGCATATCGAGACTTTAACTCTGTTCAGTGTTCTCTACGCACGCTTCCAAAATAAATACTCCTACACACACAGACACACGTCGTGCCTATATAGGTATATGCTGGCGATTTGTGCGCTACAGTACTGATATACACACACGTTGACGTGTATAGCTGCTATATACAGACAGGGACGCGTGCCACAACGCGCATGACATTTAGGTGTGTACACAAAGTGTGACTGCACCGGCGCGCGGCAGCGGGCGCCTGACAGTGTGGCGATTTTCATGCAGATGTACTTAACGCACGTAGCTAAGCCTACATGAGTGTTTATGTTACGTGTGCGTGGCTCATGCATTTAGAAGCCGCATTATGTTATGAGATGACCGTGTCGTTATTATTCATATGCTCCGAATATGCACGTTGTATAGGGCATTTTGACGCGAGGAGGATAAGTCATAACATAAGACGCACTCACACACACACTCGTACAAATGCTATGTTGTCGGGCAACGTCGCGTAACGAACATGCAACTATATAAGGAGTACTGTAGCAAGAGTCTTGAAGAGCGAGAGAGAAAGAGAATGAGCTGAGAGTATAGATTGTTTATAAATCCCAAGAAGTACACAAAAATATATACACGTAAAAGCGCGGGAACAGCGCGATATAAATAAAAATGCCAAGAGAGAAACTTACTGTCAAGATAATGCTCCAGATAGAAGGCCGTCGTCATGATGGCAGATCGTCGACCCGACTCACGAGTCACGTGAAAATCTCAATTGTTCTCTTCACTCTCTCTCTATATATAGATGTTATCCCGGCGACTTTTTTAGCACCAACACGCGCGCGTACATATATACACACACACACACACACACACACACACAGTCGTGTGCGCAGAAATGAGCCACACACGCAGAAAGCGAAATCACAAAAAATAACAAAATATCAATAGAAACAACGAAGTTTGGCAGCGAAGTAAACAACTATCGACGACGATGCAGGTTGCTGAACCGACGATGGCATCTCACTTTGATCGGGCAGTAAGTAGCAATAGCGGCAGCAGCCCACGATGCGCGTGCAGTGTGTGATAATAACTCCGAAGCCGGTGCCGCTTATAAATACACACAACGGCGTCTATTATAATCACTCGCGCGTTTATTGTTGCGACACCGACGCACGAGGAAAAAACGACACTCGGGAAACTTTTATCGGACTGCACCGAAGCTGCTCCCGATGGGCATGATAATTCCGATGAAGAAATTTGCAAGGATCAGGCGGCGCAACTCCATAACGCATGATCACGACTCGACTCGACTCCGACTCGACGCTCGTCCGTCTGCGTGTTTCCTTTTGGAGCTCGCCGCGTTTTTGGGTGGAAATTGATAAGTAGGTCGCTTTTCCGGGAAGCTGCGATGCACTCTAACACCGACCGGAGCAGCGGATAATACGCATGACGCACGACACACGGTGGTGCAGTAGCAGCAGCAGGACCACCGCGCAGGGAAAAAAGGCGCGCGATCGATTACTCTTCTGCCGATGGCGTGTGTCTGCATTATGCAGGTGTGTGTGCCATGTGTATGTGTGTGCGCGCGTGTATGTGCTGACGACTGACGAGGGTAAAAGGATCGCATTCGCGCGCGCGCCATTGGCCGCCGCGGTGTGCAGCTGTTCTGTGCAGAAACTGCCTTACGAGCTTCGAGCTTCATGGTTCGCGATGAATATATAATATAGCCGGCTGAGCATGTAAACGCCGTTATGCATACTATATATAGTAGCAGAAAAAGGGTCGATTACGTACGACGATGCACTTTCTCGAGCGCGCCAACTTTTCGAAATCACGCGAGCGCGCGAGGATTAACATTAATAAGAACTTGCAACAATTTATGATGTCAATTTACACGGCAATACCTCCGGTTTCTAAATCCACGACGTAGTCGGCGAACGGCAGCACCCCACGACGACGCGGGCTAGACATTTTCAAATCCAATCCTCGTTGAAAGAAGAGCAATTCTTCCCATCGCTGATATTTCGCGTCGTCCAACAAATCGACTTTCAGATACTCCGAAATGTCGAGTACGTCGTTGTTGTTGTTACGATCGATCGTGCTCATGTCTGAAAAATTTCGATTCTCCGGCGGCTGACTCCGTTCGCAGTGCGGCTTACTCGAGTTATTACTTTTCGGTTCGCGGGCGTGTGTCACGACGACGAATATCGAAGTGCGCGCTACGAGACACGAATAACAAAGGCAAAAAATAAATGAATAATTTCTGCAGTCACGATAATAATTTCAATCGACTTTGCACATTGTACATAGAGACTTCGATTCCTCGTTTAGTTTTAGGTATATATTTATATAATGACTTCATCCATTTGTGAATTGTAACAAAAATATATATTCAATTTATTCTTAAAGCTTTCTGGATAACTTTTTGAAAATTTCCAGTTGCATTTACAATGTATTTGCGTATTTTCTCAACGACGTCATAAAGTCCTTAATACACACGTGTATACTCAGATCGACGAGTTTCTGAGGTAGCCAGCCCTTCAAATTCGTATCCAACACCCAGACGAATTCGGATTTATCATCGTCGAGATGTTTGGCCGCGTAAAACGTCACTCCACTCTCGGCTCTATCGAAGAAAAATAAAAGAAGCACGTCAGATTCATACCCAAAAATCTTCACGAAAAAATTGAGATTTTAATAACGACCTGACGAAATCCTTTTGTATCGGCATACCGCTGAACTCCACCGAAGTTCCGGTCGCTATGTAGTAAGGGTCGTATCGTCCTCGATGCCTCAGCAGAAGGTAATCTCTGGCTGCGACGGCTCCTTTGGCGAGGAGAGACGTTGTTTGATGAACGACGTCCGTGTTTCGATCGATGAACTGTATATAATATTTAGTTGAGGTAAACTATTAACGAGTAAAATCCATGCGAGTACTTACCAAAACTTTTTTCACATCTTTCAAAGTCTTATTCCAAGTAGGACACGATTCTAAATCGTCGAATAAACAATCGATCAATTTATCCCTTGGGGTGTCGATTTTTCCCTGACACGATTTACAAAAAGTCATATTAATCTTAGTAAAATAAAGCAATTAAAAATTACGAGGTTACAAAGGTGACGTACCGTTATTTTGTAAATCTTCCTTCCATTGTGTTTCAGTGTCATGCACGAGATCACGTCACCCTCGGGAGTGACCTTTTGGATCTTCCAATCGTCCGAATTTATGATATTGTAAGAGGTTTCCAACAGCGTAGAAACGCGAACTTTGTACTCTTCGATTTGCGTCTCGTGAGACTGCGCACACGTTTTGCATATTAATAATGATTTACAATTGAGAAATGAAAGATTCGAGAAAATGTACCTCGTTTGTAGCTTCCGCCAATTTTTTTTCCGTATACACTTTGCTCTCCGCTGACATTGCTTCCGGCTCGTAGCATTGAATGTTCTTGATGTCGACGTTTCTCTCCAAATGACTGAGATAAAAGCTGCGCAAGAAATTCATTTTTTTTTCGCGAGTACAATTAATACTTTAATAATTTTTTAATTCCTGTGGATCCAAAAATAAAATCTCTATCCTTATTTGATCGATCGTGTGAGCTCATGCCGTTCTGACATTGGTTCTAGCTGCGCATCAAACGTTAATAAAAATGCATAAGGAATTATTTGCTTTAAACATCTTGATTAATTTTTTGATAATTGATATTGCTTCATTATATTTGTTTTTATCTGGGTGCAAAAATGAGCGATTGTATTGCAATCTGTTAGACCAAGTTCAAGTGAGTCAGATTTATCAACGGATATTTATGTTTATGAAATCGACGAGAAAAAACAATTTTCATCGAGCAGAAAAAAAACTTTTCTGCGTACAATTTTACAAGAGACCTTCACTCCATATCTCTTTTAAATTATTAAATTATTTAATAGTACTAATGTAAGCATTATTTAAAACTCCAAGAATTCTACAAAAAATGTTATTTTAATACTTTTGCATTAAATTATTTTTTTATAAATTAATTAAAAGTTATTAATACATTTATTCTACTCCTAACCATTGGTAAAAAAAATTAATCTACAGTATAAAAAAATTAGAGACTCAAAAATCATCAAAATTAATTTAACAATATTTAAACAATTTATAAAAAAAAAAATTAACCACATTGAGAAAAAAAGTTTTTTTAAATCGGTCACGATCGGTCACAGTCGCTATATTCAAACAGGTGATTACCGTCGGGTAAGTAGCGCGCATGACGCGACCTTGAGACTCATCACTATATACGACTGCGCCACTCACGTGTGAATCGTGGCGCTCATTTAACGCCGTAAGTCTTTGGAGCTCCCGTTATGATACTGCCACGCGTGTAAAACTGCCGCGATCCACATAAAACACAAGTCGCCACAACTGTATTGATTTTTACGACTATGAGTCCGCTAGCTCGTTTGGCTTGTTTATACTTAGCCATTGCAATTACATTCTCAGATAAATGGACGGTTTTGCCTGGACCTCAGATCAAAATTCAGCCTTCTAAAATCATAATACACGCAAAAGACGAGGGCGATTTTGGAGTAAGTTTTTTTCTGTTCTCTAACCACGTTCACGTTATCAGTGTGTAGCGATATTTTTTTTTGCCTTAAACCTTATATCACACCTAAGTTTTTCATAATGTCGAATAAAATAATTTTCATGTATGAATATGAAATTAAATATTATCAGTTATTTATATTAAAATCATTGAAAGTCAATACTTTTCATAATTTTTAAAAATTCTGACTCTAAAGCTGTAAATATTTTTGTTTCACGCGTGAAAGTTATTGATTTGACGTCACTGCAAGTCGAGAAAAGTGGGGATAATGGGTCTTTTTTGTTTAGTAACAAAAAAACAATTCATTTTTTTGCAAATCGTTTAACGAGTAATTGTTTTCTTTAGTAAAATAATGAGTGTTTTTTTATCAACTTAAATTATAAATTTAATAAATTATTTATCTGCATAACAAATTATAAAATTACTTTAAATTCGTTTTTCTAACTTGATGATGTGGTACAAATAGACATCACGTGACTGTCAAAGTGCTTTTGAGATTTTAAACCATCATGCTAAATTTTATTTTCAAAGCTATTCAACTTAATTTAAACATTTTAGAAGCAAAAAGTTTTTAAAATAAGTCAAATAAGTTTTTTAAATGTTGTACCAAACAATCTTTAAAAATTATAGTGAGCTTAATCCAGAAATTTTCGTGAAAATTCGCTTTTGATTTTGATCAATTTTTCTTTGATAAAATTTTTTCATAAAGCGCGTTGTAATGCAGTAAAAAATGCCGAAGCCTATAATAACACTTTGGTGTTGAAAAAATTGTTTCAATTTTTAGGATTTTGAATAGAGGAGTGGGAGTAGTTGATTTTCCGAGTTTTACTCGACTCAAGTTTTAGTCGAGGCGGGAAAATTGGAATACTCGAGAAAAAAGTTCGACTCAACCGAGCTGAGCTTTTTCGAGTACTCACGCACCCCTAATCTTGAATGTGACAGAATTAATATTTACCGGGCATTTTAATTTTTTTTAGCTATTTTCTTACGAAAATAAATTAAAATATCTACCAAAGCGTTGGAGTAGCTTGATTTACCCGAATTCCTCGATATCAAGGGGTACAGGAGGTTTACCAAAGCGTTGGAGTAGCTTGATTTACCCGAATTCCTCGATATCAAGGGGTACAGGAGTTTATGGAGTTTATCGAATGGAATTGAATACATTTAGCCCGTAGTTATGGGTATGTTTTTATTATAAATATTTATTATATACTCTATCATTTTTACGATACTTATTTTATTTTACTTTATTTTTATTTAGTTGGAGCATCATGTCCCGTCCTGGAACTAAATATATCATTGGTCGATCGGACGCGACGGCTTATTTTCGAAATTTGTGGCTCACGACTACTCTCGTAGAGTTCGTTGATCCGAGGCAGCGTGTGCCGGAGGGGGCCGAGGTGTTCCTGGTCGTCACGGATCCTCCCAGCTTCTTGTGTCCGCAAGGACGACAATGCCAAGTCACGCAGATCCACCAAGCCTTCCTTCCGGAGACACCGAGACGCAAAGTTTTCTATACCGTCGAGCCGATGAAGCGCCAGCGGGAGGCCACGCCGCCACCGGGCTTCGGCACGGCCTCGTCGCCCGGCTGGGGGTCCGGATCGTCGGTTTCGTGGCCTTCGGGTGACGAATCGATGGAGCCTCCCAAGAAGCCTCGTGCATTGGAAGGCGTAGCGGAAGCGTCGGAGGAGGATCCGGACGAGGACGTGGCCGTGTCGGAGAACTCGCGAATCACCCCGAAGGATCGAGGATGTTTGCCGATCGCCGCGAATGGTATGCCGCAGTCGGCCGAGTCCAGCGACGACGAGTTGACCGAGTGCCCGGACCTGACCTCGGGCCTCGGCTTGACCTCGTGCCTGGAGTCCGTGTCGGGAATCCAGCTGATCATGTCCTACTCGACGCTCAAGCACAAACGGTCCAAGAGCCCGGCCCAGTTCGAGAGCGAGCGAGCTCTGGTGCAGGCCTGGGAGAAACAGCTGGAGGCGATCGAGAGCCAACGGCCGAATGCGACCGATCCCAAAGAGCTGGCGCAAAAGCGTCGCGAGCCCACTTACACGGCTGGGCCGAGAGATGAGTGGTGGCCACGCAACTGCAGGAGGAGGCTCTTCTCTCCTCCCCCGAAAGAACGCGAATGAATCAAGAAGTCAAATGTACTTGCCGGAAGCAAGTTTTGTCGTTGTTGTTGTTGTTTTTTTTTTTTTTTTTTTTTTTNGTTTTTTTTTTTTTTTTTTTTTTTTCGAGAAGAAAAAGAGAAAATTTTGGTGAGCAAACAATTGGTATACTACCGACGTACTGTACGCTGGGCCAAAAAGTATTCGCCCAACGAGTCATGCTGTATATAATATTGCTTGCTGCGCAATCGTTCGCGGGCCACCCCGAGTCGAGTTGATAAATCGACGGGGTTTCGAGCTCTTCCTTAGCGATGCGCGTGAAAAATCTTTGATTTCAATTCGTAGATATTTGCCCACGACCGTGGATAATCGAAGTAATATAAGACATTTAGATATTGTGTTAAATATTGCATATATTGTACAAAATATAATGATCTGGATGTAAGAGTTGGGAAGTATTTAAGTTTAATGTACAAAATTAGTTTGAATAAATTGTAACTCTAGCACAAGATAAAAAAATAGTCTCGTTGATTTATTCGTAACAAATAATTCACTATACGTACGAATCATAATTGAAATTTAAGTTTACAATCTTGTTTGAAGGGTGGATGCATCCACGAACAATCAATTGGATATTTCCCTGGTAGAAATTCTCAACGTTTACTAAATTACCAAAAAAGTACCACATTTATTCTGGCTGGTCCTTGATCCATTTTCTCGAAAGTGACAATTTAACTATTTCGAAAAATTGAGACCAGTTTTCAATCCCTTTGAATACGATAAGTTGTGTCACCACCACTAGATGGCGAGTAGACCTTTGTCTATAAATCTACAAGTGGCAAAGTCGACATAATTGTATAAGTCAACGCAGGGTTTTAGAAAAAGTTCGTTGTTTAAAAAGAGTTTACGTATTGGTAATAAATGTGAGGAAATAAAATTCGTTTCTACGTACACACTTGTAAGTCGATAGAGCCTATGAGTTATGAGAGCGTCATTGAATTTGAATTAACAAGCTCTACCCAACTGACGTTGAACATTTTAAAAGTAGAAAATAAAAAATGTCGAGCCATTTCTACCAGAGTTACAGTTTACTAAAGCGTAACTAAACGTAATAAGTAAGCTATAATTATTTCGATTACTCTAGAGTTCTAAATTGTATTACTTTACTCATTTTCGTTTATTCATTCACGATGAATTTCGAACGAAACGATCATTCCTTCGAATCACTATCACGGGTCGCATCGCGCTCACGATTTCTTCAAGCTAGCCCTGCGCTGGGCCTGGGCCAGCTGCACCCTCGTCCTCTCGGCGAACTTGGCCGCCTTCTCGCGCACCATCTCCTTGGACCTGTGCAGCTTCTCCTTGCACAGCGACTGCTGCTGACTGGCCAGCGTACCGATCCATCGTAAATCGGTCCAGGCCCTCTTGGCCAGGCAGCCGGCGAAGTACTTGGGCGTGATCATGGCCGTGGGCGGCACGCGATAGAACGTGCCGTGGCCGTCGGCCTCGTTGAAGAACTTGCGCAGTCTGCGCTCGAGCTCGCCCAGCGCCGACATGCCTTTGGTGCGCGTTGGCCGCTTGCCCGACAGCTTGATCGCGTCCATTTTCACTGCGAGCACGACACACATTATATATTATCGATTAGAAGATCGGCTATTGCATTTTTGACTCGCTTTCAAGTTCGTTAATCGTCGACGCTGACGATTGATGATCGACGAGTTCATTAGTTTTGCTAATTGCATCGTAATGTATCAATCAATGTACTCACGCACAACTGCGTCATCCATACCGATGATACAACGAAAGCTGCGAAACTGTGGAACCACTGGAATACTGCAAATAAATCACGCGTATTTGACACGATTAGTTTTTTTTTTAAATTTACGTAAAAAAAAAGAGAGCAATTACTTCACGTGTATACAATTCTCAGTACCTCGTTTGACAAGTGTAGAATTCGATCCTACCGATAAATCACGATCTCGTGACGATTTTCACTGTCATTTGAGCATCTTGCAGCCCGTAATCTTACTGAATACTTCTGCACCTCGTATATTCTTCTAAAAGTAAACCAAATCGTTATTTAACGCAAAATAATTACGAGCGTATACCGACTCGAAGTGTGGGATCGCGTTACGATCGGTAAGCGCGTCGGAAATGCAACTGCGAGTGAATTTGATTCGACTCGCCGTCGAGCCCGGTCCGGAAGCTGCAGCGATAATATAGACCTGCGCCTCGCAGTGCATTGTAATACGGATCAACGATTGCCCCCCAAAGTATCGCATACAATGCTTAGACGCTGTATACAGAGAGGTCGTATTGAATAATTTCGAATTCGATTCTCGGGCGACGAATTTATTTATACGCTGTATATGCGCGTTCTGTCGCAAAGCAGATTTTATTAATTATATTTGTTTTTATTGCGAGACATATTGGCAAAGAGCTTCCTCTGAGAAATGTCATCAATCCCATGTTAGTTTCTAAAGTACTTATTATGAATAAAAAAGTGTTCTTGAAAAATTATGTTTTTAAATTTTATAAATTTTACTCTTTATTACCTAAGTATTTTAAATTGATCATAATATCAATTTCTCTTGAACTATTTACATCCATTTACAGTTCTATAGAATTTTATAAATCAAGTGTAAGAAACATGACATATCAATTCGAAAATATATTATATTATTTATCAATAAAATTTCCTTTTCATCATATTCGTGTTGAATGATTGCGTATAGTACTGTATCGATCGATAAAGCAGCTGCCTTCTGCTATCTCGACACTCGAGAAGAAAGGAAAGCCGCGTTGAGACTAATGAGATTGCGAGGGAGAGAGAAAAGGACAGGTATAAGTAAAAGAGAGACAGAGCATGTGGCTCGCCAGTCATCACGTCTTTCTGAAGTAAAGCAGCAGTAGGCGCACTCTTGACGCACTAATGAAAACAATCGTCTAATTTTTTTGAGGTGTTTACAAATTCTTTGTGTCTTTTGGCAAATTTTACGCTCAAAATGAATCGTTTGTTCGGACGAGCAAAACCAAAAGAACCCGGTCCAAGTTTGACGGACTGCATTGCGGGGGTGAGTTTTTTGTGTTAAACTACTACGATGTTTAACATGGTTATATTTTATCAGATGAGTCACATCACTGTTCTTGTTTGAGAGATTCCAATTTTTTCATATTGCCTCTAACTTTTTTTTAAACTTCTTACTGAAATATAGGGTGATAAGATTATTGGGATCATAGGGTTGAAATTATTTAATTTTTTAAATGCTTTGCTATCTTATTTTTGTATCCTTAATAATGAATTATCTACTTCATTTTTAACTTAGGTTGACAGTAGAGCAGACTCTGCAGAAAAGAAAATAGCTAGACTAGATGCAGAACTGAAAAAATATAAAGATCAAATGGCTAAGATGCGAGAAGGGCCAGCCAAAAATGCTGTAAAAGCTAAGGCTCTTCGAGTGCTAAAGCAAAGAAAAATGTATGAAAATCAAGTTGATAATCTAAGACAACAAGCTTTTAATATGGAACAGACAAATTATGCTACGCAAACTTTGAAAGATACACAAGCTACAGTTGTCGCTATGAAGGATGGTGTGAAGCAAATGCAAAAAGAATTCAAAAATATTAATATCGATCAAATTGAGGACATTCAAGATGATCTTGCTGATATGTTAGAACAAGCAGATGAGGTGCAAGAAACATTGGGTAGAAGCTATGGTATGCCAGAAATTGATGATGACGAGCTTGCAGCTGAATTGGATGCTTTGGGCGATGAATTAGATTTAGACACAGATACATCATTCTTAGATGATGCTATAAAAGCACCCAGTGCACCAGATAAGGAACCAGGAGCTGCCTCAGTTACTAATAAGGTATTTTGCAAACACCTATTGAGATTTTTTACTTCATTAATTTTTTGACCCATTTTTTTTCTTTTACAGGACGGAGTATTGGTTGATGAATTTGGACTACCTCAAATACCAGCTAGTTAAAAGTGTTTTATCAAAATGTCCAATCACATTGTTGCTTGTATAAATTGAGGACAGACCATCAAAAAGTTTTATCATCCAAAGATGCTCAGGTTCTTATAGTATTAATTCAGTGACTTATTTGTTACAAATCATCTAGCTGAAATGCAGAAACATAATTTTATAAGGCTATAAGCTTGCAAACATCTTTAAATCTCCAAAAAAAAAAAAGGATAAAATAAAATATTTTGTGTTGTTAATTTTTTTTATTAAAAATATTTATTTACATGTAAGTAAACATTCGTCTTTGCACATGAAAAATTATGTAACACATACCAAAATAAATGTACAATATATTCAGGCAGTTTTGGCTTATAAACATTAAATAATTATTATTTTAATGACTTTGTAATTAGTTATTCAACCAATATCTGTAGAATACATAAAATATTATTTAAAAACTAGTAAAGCTAATCCAAATGGCCTTCGAGTTATACTCAAATTCTATATTTATTAGAATTAGTAGTTGTATCATGAGTTTTACAAAATTTCTATCGATAAGTACTGGTTTGAAAATGAAATGACTGAATGAAATTTGGTTGACAAATTTTAAAAATTTCATCTCACTCTCAGTCTAGAGATTATACTTGGGCTTTGTTGTTCTATTTTTTTATATTGCTCATAAACGTCGAGTATTTTATCCCTACTATCTTTAAAATCTTCTTTTTCGAAATTATCCACTTGTAAGTAGTGATGCACATGGGCCTAAAATAAAAACATAAAAAATTGTATTCATTAGTACAGATTTTAAACAAATTTCGTTATTTTAAAAACCTTTTTCTTGTATAATCTATCAAATTGATGAATGATATCTCTGAATAAACCAGACATTGCAGTAGAATTCATCATACACATCAGTGATGATGGATGACCTGCTGGTGGCACTGAACACAGTCCAATTTTCATAGTTTCTTTACTCCAAGAAGTGAATTTTGCTTTATTTTGAAACCTGAATTAAGCAATTTAATTATTTATTTTACTATACACCCGTTTTTAAAATATTTTTAAATCATTTTAATTCTTTATTACATAATTCAATTAAAAAACTTTGATACTTTGTACCTTTCAATATTTCTTTTGATATCAGTAAGAGAAGTTTCACCACGATAAATATGTGCTGCTCCAATAATTAGAGATCCTGTTTGCAGTGGATCAATTTTAATGAGTTGATTACTTTTTGACCAGGAATTTGTGAACAACTCATCTTGATGTCTATGTTAATGAAAAGAATTGATAAATTGAATCAGTACTTTTACAGTTTAAAAATTAATTTTTCTTACTTAGTTGAGCCATTCAATGTTGACATTTGAGGCGCTGTAAGAGCTACAGGACTTACACTACTGAAAATGTATTGTAGTTGTGGGAATGCTACAAGATTTGTAGCTAATTCGTTCATATCCACATTTAAACTTCCAGGAAATCTTGATCCACTGCAAAGTTAAAAAATTAAATCAAAATATAGTTATTATAAAATTTACCTAAAAGTTTGAATAATTACCTTGTCAAGTGCAATAATGAATTAACTATAATGCTGTTCATATCTTGAAAAGGAACACAAGAAGCATTGTATTTTGCTTGATCAGCATTTTCTCGCTTATTCATGTTTGCATTGCACATTTCTTGTAAGGCTCGATTCTCAGCAGGAAATATGCAAGTACCATACTCTATCAATTCTCTAGTTGCTAACAATACATTGTAGGGAGCTGTTATAACATCTTGAGTACTTGCAGGATATACACACGAGACAAATCTAAAAAAAGAATTTTTTTTTATTATGATACAAAAAAATTTACATAAAAATAACTTGAGATCATATTACCTGTCTACATGACTATACATATCATTCAAAATTTTCAACGTAGCTGTTCCTAAGCCTGAACCAGTACCTCCACCAACAGAATGTGTAACAAGAAATCCATGCAAACAATCACACCGTTCGACAGCCAGTCTGATAGAATTTTCTATTTTATCGTGGTATTCTAATCCATGAGTATAATATCCTACAGCCCTGAAAATTGATAAAATCATCATCATCAACTCGACATAATAACAATAAGTACTATAAGAAAGAGTTCACTCACCAATTGTTTCCAGAACCAGGGTAATTAGTCACTGTGCAAGTTTGATCGAACAAATTCCTCAAGGAGCCTTGATGAAATCTTCCAACCACGCTATCTTCCATGTCAATTAGAACTGCCTGTTAAAAAAAAGTGCAAAGTTTGAGTACAAAATGTTTTTTTATTCTTGATAACTTGATCATTTATGATATATTCACCCTAGCTTTAACTCTGTGATATTCCAGATCACTGATGCTTTTGAAATCAGTTCCACTTCTACTGTCGGGCACATGGAAAAAGCTACCGAATGCACTGCTGAGCTCTTTGCTGTTCTTGTGGTAAAATTTTTGAGTTTTCAGAAACTTGACGGTCTTGTCCTCCTGTTCCACGCCGTATTCGTGCAACACCAGCGGCCAAAAAGCTGCGCCTATTTGATTGCCACATTGTCCCACTGAGAAAACAAAATTGATTGCTTAAAAATAAGAGCGATTTTGAAATTCAAATCGTAAAGTTCAGCAGCGTGCATTTGGAGCACTTGGCAAATAGGGTTGCTTTAACCCTCCCCCATTGTTATCGTTATCAATCGTATAGCGGCAGTGCTCGAAATGCCGCTCGCTAAACGAAAATGTCAAAACTAAATCGAGTCAGTGAAGAAGAACAAAAGAAAGTAAGGCTCGTCGATGGCAAGATTCATTTACCTTGGACAGTGACGAACTGACTGCTCATGTTGTTGATAGTACACGAACTTGTCAAAAAAAAATATTTAATAATGTTTAAGATGAAATCTTGAATTGTATCGGACGTCCATGAGGCACTTCACTGGCATTCTCGAGCTGCACCTAGCTCGTCCCGATCGAGCACTGCGGTATAAACTATAAACGCCAATCAACGACTTGGGTAAAAACACACAAAAACGTATGATTCATCCCGTGCATTGGCCAAGTGCAGCAGACAACGAGCCGCCGCTGGTAGACCTCGCCGCCACCGCTCACAAAATTATATTATATGCACATATAAACAAACACAATTAACGCGCGTGTAACTGACTCGACAGCAGCCGACGCGTTGCGTGTAAGCGGCGCACTGTGCAGCACATACATTTCATGCGTCAAGTGGCGGGGGGTTACTGCAAAATAATTTTAAACCGTCCACCTATAATAAGTATATGTACGGAGCGGAGCTCGAGACACCGATCGCAAATCGGCCGTGATACATTATTATGGAGCTCTGCGCGCGATGACGAAGATTATTTCAAGATCGTTTAGTGCTACGATATTTTATGCAGTTGTGTGTGTGTGTGTGTACGCAACCATGTCGATTTCAAAATGGCAATTACGACATCGTTGAGAGCATATTATAGCCGATACATACCTTTATTGTGTGCATAATGGAACATGATGCTTTGAAATTCAATTTTGACGCAATAACATTTTTTTTGCATTTCTATAAATATTATTCTTTCAAAAACAATTTACAGTTCGTCACAAAATTGCCAAAGGTATTTTTTGCAAAACTATTTTTACAAGTGTTCATAAACAAAGCTAGATTTTTTAAAAGTGTACTAAATGATATTAGTATAATGATCAGAGAAGTACATTTATACGATCCAGTAAAATGTTGTAGATTTAAAAATTGCCCGTTATCATTGTCACCAAAAGTTCAGAACGAAAAGTACACGCTCAAGCTCAAACGGAATGGCACTCGTCCGATACTTTGCGTTCTACACCGTACATCAATTCGTAGGCATGAATTAAGAACTTCATGAAATCGCGCGTTTTGTGGAAAGCCGTCCACGGCGAGGTCTCCTTCAGACGTTCGAAGTAGCTATCGATGACGATTTTAACAGCGATAATTTGGTTCCTGGTCAAGTACCAATCGATGCTCTGGCCCTCGAGCATCCCCACCTTGGCGTAAGCTTCGACTTCGGGGCGCACGAGATTGTCAATATTCTTGCAAAAAAAAGAAAAAAGGGACGAGTCGTTTTATCGCAAGAAAAATTCGTGGATCGAAGTCGACCGATCGAAACTCACCACACTGTCCGAGGCTTCCTCCCAGTCCTCGATACAACCCACGCAGTGGCAGATGAAATTTTCCACCTCGGCCAAGTGCACCCTCCTCGTATAGTTCGATCGCAGACCCCACCTCGTGTCCATCCTGTGTCCGTAATTAATCGTAATCTGTGTGTGTACATCGAGGAAAAATGACACATCGATATTGAAGGATCGAGAGCAAATATTGTACGTACCTGCTCGCTTTGTTTTATCGGATGGATCGCGTAGACTAGCTATCAATTTTCCACCCTTTCCGATGGACAGCGCAGAATTTTGGAAGCAAGAGTGATTGATCAAGGAGGTATAATAAGAGAGAGCGAAGCATTTGATCTCCCAGTCGGATTTCGTCGGGCTCTTTTCATCGGGCACAGAACCGAACTACAAATGGAACATTGAATCGAATTGTAAAACCGTTTTTTTTTTCGCGCATTTTCATACGTTACGCACACACGTACCCAATGACAATTGACTTCGTAAATCATCTTTAACTTTTTGAAAATCTTCCTGACCGCCCACATCGTGTCGTCGTCGATGACCTCGTCGCGATTGCCCCGCAAACTTTTCAACACGGCCCCGAGCAAGTCGTCGTACTCGTCTTCCGGAAATTCGTCGGTCTGCCTGGGAGGGATATCCATCGCGGTCATCATGTATCGGAACTGTTCCTCGTTCTCGGGGGAGATGTGTTGATCCAGCAAACCATAAATCTTACCGAATTCGGTATAGCAGAACGAACTGTCCGTCGGTTGTAAGTATTCGGATAACGTCGGCAGCTTCATGTTGAACGATTCTGTGACGGGTGTAGGTATTGAAAAAGACAACGAGTAAATTTAATTGATTTTATGCAAGGGTAAAGTCCCAAAAATGTTTGAGAACTCGCGCTGAAGCTGCTCGTCTTTTCCTGAAATTTCGGCAAGTTTTAGCCGAAAGCTGAGATATCCAGAATTTACACTTCGATTCGAGCGTTTGATTTCTCTCGGTATCATTTCCGAAAGTGATTTCGACTCGAAAGATCAAAGAAAGTCACGAAGGTTACATTGTGCAAACCACCCCGAATTTTTTCAGATTTTTTTGGACCGCCGCAGCCCTCTGAATAAAACTTATTTAATGATTTTATTTCCGGTCAAGCGATTCAACAATTATGACTAAAATAATTTACCCTTTTATACTTTTAGCATCGAAAAAAATAGCATAGAAAGAAAGTTTTAGAACGGTTTGGTTTAAAACTTCACTTCAAACGACTTATTTTCGCAAAAAAATATGTATTTTTTGGACTCTAGAATCTTTCAAATCGTCGGAAACAGTGTGAGAACGTGTCCTTCGATTCAAAAAATGAGGGAAAACTTTCCCCAACTTTTTTAGATGGCTGCGACTGAAAAACGTACGAATTTTTTTCAGATCCTTTTCGAGTCAAAATAAGGCTCAGACTCGATACCGAGAGAAATCGATTCCAGAAGCTACGTTATCGATTTGCCAAAAATCCAGGAAAATACGAGAAAAAAACCGACCTGGATCCCGATCGATGACTCGGGCGATCTCGATGACTCGGTCCAGTCCCTCGGCCTTGGCGTACTTGACGAGCAGCCTCAGCGCCGCCAGAACGCTCTCCCGATCCTCCCGGCGACGACTCGCCTCGGCGAAGATCCGACACTCGACGTCGTGATAGTCGCTGCGGGCCTCGTCGCGGCACTCCTCCGAGCAGTACAGGACGTTGGCGCACTCGGGACAGGCTTGGCCGCCGCCGCCTCCGCGCCAGGCAGGCGCCGAGCAGTGGGCGCAGCTCGTGTGCAGCTTGTCCTCGAGGAGCGAGCAACAGGCCATGTCCTCGACGAGGATCATCTCGCCTACCTTGATGTCGCGCCTGGCCACCAGGTGACGGCCCAGGAAGGGATCGTAGGCCGGCGCCACGCTCACGGACAGACACGGATGCTCCGGGTGCGACTGCTCGAGTCGCGGAACGAGCTGATCGGGGCTGTCAGCCAGATCCACGGGCTGCCAGCCGTTCATGTCCGAGTTGGGCTCCGTTTTGAGTCCCGCTTTGGCCTCGACTCGGCTCATCAGCTCGCTCAGTCTCTCGGCCGTGCCCAGCGGATCGGCGAGCTCGTGAAGCCTCAACTGGTCCTGGGCCTGGATAACGTCCCGAGCGCAGTCCGACCAGTTGCCGCAGTGATAGTGGAGGTTGGCGCGCGCCCGAAGGCCCAGCGCGTACTCGTGCGAGCCGGGCTGGGCGTAGGCGAGGCAGTGGCCGGCCCACTCGAGGCACAGCGCGTGGAACTGGGCCGTGTGCGCCTGGCCCCGGTACAGGGGATCGTTCGGATCGACGAAGCCCCGACAGACGGTCGAGACCTCGTTGCTCTTCCGCGCGATGCCGGCCATGAGCTCGCGCGCCGAGTCCATCTCCCGGCGGACCGCCTCGTTGATCGGCTGCGGCGGTTCGCCCGCGAATCCGAGCTCCTCCAGGGTCTCCCTCAGTTTCTCCACCAACTGCTTCATAATGCGCGGAAAAAATCGATCGATCGCGCGTACAAAATACCCTGCTTATCGACGATTTTAGGTAGACTTGGTTTATACACTCGTATTGTATCGTGTAATAGCCCGCGGCACAACGACTGAGTTGAAAAATCGAAATCGATCTTCGATCGTCTGCTGGATTTCGTAAACAAATTGCTTCGTCGCGCGAGAATCGATTGGAACGAACGATGGACGATTTTCGGTTTTACGTTTAGTATATATCATCCCCCTTCTTGGTAGAATGATAATTTAAAATTTTTATTATTACACATGTCACCTACGCTGTCCGAAAAACGTACGATGTATTATAAAAATATCTATTTGATCATAGATTGTTTTTGTTTTTCATTATTCATATCATATGACGTTTGTTTTGCCTATTTTATTATTTTTTCTATTCTTTCATATTTTTGCTTTGTTTCATTGTTTTAATTTTTAAATTTTTTGGTTATTGATAACAGATATAACCGAATTGATTTTCTTGTTTTTTTTTTCTGAATAATATGCGGGGTTTTTCACGGCAGTTTGAAAAACAATTGAGCATACAGAGATGTCTTTACCGTGGAGGTATATATAAATGCGTGCGCAGCATGACTTTCAAATTTGTACATATTTTTGAAGTATTTCGGATGCCCATGTTACCACTAACCGTATTCAATAACCAATTGTTTTAGCCAAATAGCGGCTTTTAATGTCAATAACAAAAATATCATACGAAGAGTAAATTTTATGGAAAAATTACAAATTAAGAACCATACAGAATGTTTGGCTGGCTTTCGGACGGACGGACGGCGCACGCCTTACATTATACGCGTTCGTATGCGCGCGTCGAAATTTTGAAGATCCGACCATGTGTTTTTTCTTCTACTGTCTACTTGTCTATTTCATGTATAGTAGAGATCAGTAGTACGCGTGCTACGACGCCACATCATACAAAACTCAGCTGCGAAGATCGCAGCAGCAATCGTGACAAAAGTGGAAAATTATTATTTTCATTTATATGTCAAAAGTGATAGTGCGTCCGAGCCATGAGTGCAGCAAACCATCATCGTGATCCGCGTTTTGACGTAACCGACGAAGAGTTCGACATAATCAACATGGCAAAGTTGAGGAGCTTAAGAGAGAGGGTCAATTGGGAAATCGAAGAGGAGCGCAGCCAACTGCTCGATCAACTTTATCCGTTGATGGACGATTGGAGACGAAGACATCGACTTCCGAATCTGCGAGAAATTTTCCGAGCCCGCGAGATCAATTGGCTTCTCGCGGAGGATCTACGGAAGAATAAAGAATCGGCCAGATTCGTCCAAGTTCTGTGGTTGGAAGGCTACAGAGACGATCCGGACTTGGACGAGGCTACGGGCAGGCCACTGCTGCAGGACGTCACACCGGTACACGTGGGGGGCAGACTCGGTCTGGCGGAGGAGCTCATGATGGTCTTACGCATGTACCCAGCCCGTAGCAATTACGTCGACGAGCACGGCTACAGTCACTTTCACGTGGCCTGCACGTGGGACTCGGTCAGCCGCCTCCGGGAATTCCTCGAGCTCGGCCAGGATCCGAACGAGCCGGTGCCGGCGACGGGAGACACGCCGCTGCATCTGACCATCCAGGCCGGCGACTACCTCAGCGAGCGGAAGGTCCGAGTGCTGCTGAAAGCCGGCGCCGATCCGAATCTGGCCAACGAAGAAGGACTGACGCCTCTGCACTGCCTGTGCAGATCGAGGAAATTTCACAAGGACGACTGGGCGCGGCGATTTTTCGAGCTCTGCGACGACGAGGCGACGAGGCCGGTACAGGTCGACGCGTTGGACAATCAAGGCTGGACACCGCTGCGATACGCCGTGGCGACTCTTCTGCCGGACAACGTGGATGCTCTCCTGAAACGCGGCGCCACAGTGTCCGGCAGCTTCGTTTTCCCGACCGAGTTTTACTCCGGCGTGAATCATCCCCTGGATCTAGAATTTACTAGGCCCGAATGTAGAGCCTTGTACCGAGCCGGCGGCGTTCTGGCCATCGTCGAGCGCCTGGAGAAGGCCGGATACGAACTGAGCCGAGCCGACGCCATGACCATCATGAGATTTTTCGATGATTACGGATTGTTCGACGTCGCGTCGGAGGATAACGAGAGATCTTGGTACAGCGACGACGTGTGGGCCGAGAAGGCGAAGAAGATCGCGGTGAAAGACGATGACGATCCGAGCCAGCTGTCGCTGTACGACCTGACCCGCTTCAGTCCCAAGGAGGCGGCTAAACTGCTCTCGTACAAGGACTACTTCGATTTGGCTGTCTCGGATCCAATACTGATTCACAGTAATTTTATACACGGGGATCATAGCGTCGACACTGAGCATTGCCGGACTCTCAGGACTTGCGCCGTGCACCTGGCCGAGAAGTTGTCGAGAGGATTTTTCGAGTCTTGGGCATTGGAACCTTTTACGCAGTTGATTCGTGACAGGCTGCCGATTCTCTGCTGCGAAATGGTCCTCGGGAATCTGAGGAACGTAGATCTGTACAATATCTGCTTGACGGCAAATTTTTGATCGAGGAGCAGTAAAAATAATGCATATAGTAAAAAATGTAAGAAAAATATTGCGTATGCGTAGAAAAGTGTTGTTTTATTCTTATTGGGAAATTAATAAAAGTATCATTGATTAACCAAGTTTTAACGGTGTTGCTCTTTTGCTTCTAAACCCAAATAATTTAAGTAAAGAACCTCTGAAGATGTTTTTTTTTTTTTAAATTTAATTTTTTTTGTATTATTGCATGAATTTAATAACGATGTAATATTACGTCAGACAATCGAAATAGCTTTGGAGTAACTTAACGGAAAGATTTCGAAAAATATCGACGCGTACGTGTTATTATTACGTATACAATATTATATCGGCCACTCACGGGATTTGACTTTCAATTTCTCCTCGCTATGGAATGAAAATAGATCCAAGTTCAATGTCAGGGCGCGTTAGAAGCTCATGAGTTCGCGTTTCGGATTTTTCATAGATGCTGACCACAGCACACGGGGTCAATGTCCAGTTTTTAATGCAGGATTATTGCCAATTCGCTGATATTCAATTTGTTTTATTATTATATACATATCACGAGTCGCGCGCTTGCATATTATCGAGTTGCACGAATCGCTACCGCTATCTTTTTGTGTCAAAAAAAAGACCAACAGGCTTTTGTCTAAAACTACTACTGCCTATTTACGAGAAAACCATTTACGAATGTATTTATTAGACGAAAATGATAAAAGCTGATAGCACTGTATATTTAATCGACCAAATCGAACGCTGCTCTTATTATTTTTTGAAGTTCATTGACTCTTTCGAGCAAATACATCATCGACATATTCCTTTTTTTTACTTTTTAAAGGTAAATCGAACTTTGAGTGGTGGACGATCGATTTAATTCGACAAAGAAAATTATCGTCACATCATACATAGATTTTCGTATTACGCTCATCTTATGTAATAACAACGCGAGGCGAGCACTGGATATAAAGGGGGCCTCGTCAGTGTGTGTTTACAAATTTTCAATGTACAATACAACGAGATCTGCTTAGCTACGGCACGAATAAATTTAGCCACGGCAGACGCGCCAGTCAAAAAATCGCTATTTTGTAAAATTGTTTGATATCTTCGTCATTTTGTGCCTAAAACTAATAAAAAAATTTTTTCTTATAGTTCATTGCATGTATAATTCGTCCTCAAAGTCTCAAATTGAAGTATTCATCGTGGCCCCCCACAAAAATTTCGTAAATTTTAGCAATTTTCCAAAATCCTAGAGTAGTGATACCCCTTAACGATCCATCAGTCTCACAAAAATGTACGTAAATAAACGAGATTTTTTTTAAGATTGACAAGAATCGAACGAGCTGACGATGATCTGAAAAGTTCGATACTTTGTTATAAAAACTATGGAATAGGTAATAATCATATACTTAAAAATATCGCGTAAATTATCGAGTTCTCAAAATAAAGTTTCGATTCGAATTTGGAACAAGTTACTGTGCAATGCGCCGTTTGCATTGCAGCTTGCACGCAGCCAATGCAGTGCTTGCCACGCAGTAATTTTTCAATTTTTGCCCAATTTTCAGCGTTAAATTTAAGAACGTCTGTACTGTTTTAAGTTATATCAGTTTTCCGGCTGGTTATCAATTTATAGCGCCTATCTATTAAGCCGGATCTCATTTTTTCAAGCCAAAAGTAATCGTTCAACTTCAATTGGGGGCTTAAAAGTAGCCCACGTGTGTACCTGCTCAACAGATCCGCTATTCGCTCCGAAACATTCGCACAAATATTACATTAGAAATGTTTTTGTCATATTCGCGACAAAAATCGAGCGTACATAATATATCTATTCGATAACGCAAGACCTCACAGATAACTGACGTAATGATATTGATGCACGTAAATAACATCGTAATTACCACTCTTGTATATTTGTGCGGTTGATGCTAGAAAAACATGCATTACATATTTAGATACTCTCGTAATAATATCATGCCTCGTCGCGAGCATACGTCACGATATATGTGCTGACAAGATGCATAATAATATATGAGTTATATTTATATGTTTATGTTATGTCCTGACTCCTGATACTCTTTATAGAAAGAAAGAAAGAGACAGTAAACGCGAATTGACATCTCATCTTTCCACTCGCGCGAATAAGTATAGCTACGTTGCACACGTGTGTAAGTGTATTTATTATACATGAGTGTGTATGTGTGTGTGTGTGTTCGTGCACGCGAGGTCGTGGCACGGATTTTAACGTAACTTAGATCGCAGCAGCAGTCGCAACCGCCGTCGCGTACAAGAGTACGATTCGTGGGAGGTAAATATTCCGATCATCGCGCGTTATTTGCCGGCAACCGCTGCTTTTTCAGTACGCTTCTGCTAACGTTTCTCGTTGGATCTTATCGTCTCCCTCTGTTTTTCTGCCAGTGCTGAAATCGGTTTCGTGTTCAGTTTCATCGACACTGTACACGCACACACACACACAACCACCATGTCAGCTGCTGGAAAATTAGGTGAGAAAATTTGTCGTTTTTTGCCAATTTCCCTGTGTCGTATCGCTTCTTTTTTTTCTTTTTGGTTACTCGATAATCGGCTCACGTGTCGCTTTCGCCCGCAGTCGGCTTTTTCGAGCGTGAATAGATTTCGTCATCTGCGATCGTTGGTCCATAATTCGGGTGTTTCTTTGTGACATTGAAGATCATTCCGTTTTGTTTCATGAACGTGTATTTACGATTTTGTTATTGCTATTGTTATATTTTTTTTTTTCATTTCATTTGGATGATTCTACATATTATATTTTTTTATTGAAAAATTAATTATTAATGCCAAAAATTTTCGAATGAAAACATAATTTTTCATTTCAACATTAATTATTTTAAATTTAAAACGAAAATTGCAGCATGATTTTAATAATGTAACGGACTATTTATTTTAAAAATGAATATTGATCTCGAAAGTTGTGCAACATCATAGAAGAACCAGTTCTTTCAAGGCAGTTCTGCTAAGCTAGTATTTTTCTTCTACAAATCACATGGATAAAGTTTCAACTCTATAATTTAAAATGAATCTGTTTTTTCTTAACTTTGATTACACCTGAAAACCTTTCCTTTATCGTACAAATATTTAAATGTTTAAATAATTAAATGCTGAAGTAGTAGAAGGATATGAAAATTTTTAATAATAATTAAATTAAATTTTAAATTTTCAGCTTTGTTGAGTGTCTCTGACAAGACCAATCTTTTGCCTTTTGCCAAGAAACTTAATGAAGTTGGATTGACTTTGGTAGCTTCTGGAGGCACCGCCAAATCTTTGAGGGATGCTGGACTTCCTGTCAAAGATGTCTCAGACATCACCGGAGCACCAGAAATGCTTGGTGGTCGTGTTAAAACTTTACACCCCGCTGTACATGGAGGTTTGTATTTTTAATCATCATTGTATTTATCAATAAAACATTATGATGTCTTTAAAAAAATAACGCTTGTTTGATTTATGTAATCATTAGGTATTTTGGCAAGGCTGACAGAATCAGATAAGGCTGATCTTGACAAACAACACTTTGAGTACATTCGTGTTGTTGTTTGCAATCTATATCCATTTGTCAAAACCACCTCCAAACCAGACGTAACTATTGAAGATGCTGTTGAAAATATAGATATTGGTGGAGTTACATTGCTCAGAGCAGCAGCTAAAAATCATTCAAGAGTAACAGTTATCTGTGACCCCGACGATTATGAGAAGGTTATCTCTGAATTGCAAAATTCTGCAGAGAAAGATACTTCTTTGCAAACAAGGTACATCAAACACCTTACCAACCAGATATGATAAATATGTTTTATACTTTCACAGATAAAAATTATTTTAAGAATCTGCCTAATATCTTTTTGATATTTATTGATTTGTTTCATGCTTATTATATTGACTCGCTTGATAAATCAATAACGTTTGGAATGTTTCTATTTACAGGCAAACATTGGCTGTCAAAGCTTTCACCCACACCGCTCAGTACGACGATGCTATTTCGGACTATTTCCGTCGCCAGTACAGCTCCAATGTTTCTCAACTCACTCTGCGCTATGGCATGAATCCTCATCAAAAACCAGCTCAGATCTACACGACTTTGGATAAATTGCCTCTCCAAGTCGTCAACGGATCTCCGGGATTCATCAATCTGTGCGATGCCCTGAACGGCTACCAGCTCGTCAAAGAGCTCAAGACGGCTCTGGGACTTCCAGCCGCTACCTCCTTCAAGCACGTCAGTCCGGCTGGTGCCGCCGTTGGCATTCCGCTCGACGAAGTGCAAGCCAAAGTCTGCCAGGTCGATGACCTCTTGGATCAACTGACACCTCTGGCCACTGCTTACGCCAGAGCACGCGGAGCCGACAGAATGTCTAGCTTCGGTGATTTCGTTGCCTTGTCCGATCCTTGCGACGTAGCCACTGCCAAAATTATTTCCAGGTAAAATATGTTTGAAACTTTACGTCAATCGATGGCCCTATGACAATTGTCGAATGAATCAAACTGAACGGTTACTTTTTTTTTACGCAGAGAGGTGTCCGACGGCATCATTGCACCAGGCTACAGCGAAGAAGCTCTGGCTATTCTCCGAAAGAAGAAGAACGGCGGCTACTGCGTGCTGCAAATCGACCCCGCTTACGAGCCGTCGGCGTCCGAGCGCAAGATGATCTTCGGCTTGACGCTGGAGCAGAGGCGTAACGACGCCGTCATCGACAAGTCGACGTTCGCCAATCGGGTCACCAAGGACACGAACCTGTCCGAGGAGGCCCTCAGAGATCTGATCGTCGCGACGATCGCCGTCAAGTACACCCAGAGCAACTCGGTCTGCTACGCCAAGGACGGTCAGGTGATTGGCATCGGTGCCGGTCAGCAGTCGCGCATCCACTGCACCAGACTGGCCGGCGACAAGGCCGACAACTGGTGGCTGCGTCAGCATCCCTATGTCACGGGCATGAAGTTCAAGAAGGGCGTGAAACGCGCCGAGATCTCCAACGCCATCGACAACTACGTCAACGGCACGGTGGGCCGCGACATGGACCACGCGTCGTGGGCCGCTTTCTACGAGGAGGTACCGCCCCAGCTCATCCAGAAACACAAGGATGAGTGGGCCAAGACGCTCGACAACGTCGCCATCAGCAGCGACGCCTTCTTCCCGTTCCGCGACAACGTCGATCGCGCTAAGAAGGTAATTTTTTTTAATTTTAATACATAATAAATCCTAATATAGTGAGAGAAAGTCAATGTGAAATATTTTTTTCTCTTTCCAGAGTGGCGTACGTTATATCGGTGCCCCCGCCGGCTCGACCAACGATCAGGCCGTGATCGACGCTTGCAACGAGCACGAAATCGTTTTGGCACACACCGGTGTCAGGCTGTTCCATCATTAAATGTTACCATATAATTGATATTTTTGTACTACCTCCAAACTTTTTTTTTGTAATGTACTATTACACGTCATGTAATGATGATCATGTTTCGTTGAGATTTTTTGATATAAACTTTATATACGATTCAAATAATTTTTATTTCATTTCTCAATTAGTCGCTAAAACAGTAACACAAACAGGAAGACTCGTATTTACAAATTGTGCAATATTCCGTAACGTGAATCATACATTTGAAGTAAAAAACAGATAAAAAAAAATTATCTATAAATTTTGATTTACAGATAATTTTTAAGTTGAGTACAAATTTTCCATTAAAGAATTATTAAGCCTAAAATAAAAATAAAACTCTTTCTACGACTAAGTATTCCGAAACAATCAATACAAGCTTACAGCGTATAAAAGCTTCAAAAATTCAACTAGTACAAATAAAATCAATCAAACGCTTTTGTCTAGCATTATATCATCGAAAAGAATGCACAAGTTGGCAAATTCCTCGTTGATCATAGTGATTCGGTCGACAGCAATTTCCATATTATTCACTATGGCATCGAACGATGACATCTGCCAGCAAAAAAAAACAATTATAAGTATTATGATAATTTGGATTGTAAAAAATTTTTATCGCTTACAATTTGACCGATGTCTTTGATCGATAAATCAATTTCCAAAACGTCGTCGGTATCGTTGGAAATATAAGTGAAAAAGTCTAACAACTTGTACAGATTACGGTGCGTGTTCTTCCACGCTTTCTGGAATTCTCTGCGAAAAATATGTACAAAGTGATTGATACTCGATGTTTTCGTTGAATATTCGCGAATTTTCTCAATCGACAACTTACCGAATTTGTGTCGAGCTACAATTTGGCTTGTACTTTCGCAATCGATTTTTGCGAATCAAGGCGAGAAGCGGCAACGAGCAGCGTTTATCGTGATCCGCCAAGACCGTTTGGAACTTTTTCAGATTCTTTTTCGTTAAATCTATAACGCAAAACAAAACGATCGTCGTCGAGAAAGTGAACAAAAATTTTCAACGTAAATGTGAAAAAATGAATTATGATATATTCATATAGTTACAATGCATGTCGTGAATCCCCCTCTGTATCTTTAAGCATCGTCGAAAATCGTCGTTGCTCTCGGCTAAATTTTTTTCCGCGTCTAGACGCTCCAGACGCCGGTACACCAGATCGGCTACGGTCAGCATCACGATTTTTTATTTTTTATATTAACAACGGAACTGTCTATGAATATTTACAGTAAACAAAACAAAATGATCAGTTATTTTTTTCCTCACTTAAAAACCACCAATAGGTAAAGTTTATTCTTAGTCGATGCTCAAATGTTGGTTACAGAGATGTGTGTTTACTTGCCAAACTGATCCTTCGCCGCGCTGGTACCGCTGAAAACAAGCGTCGAATCGACGCGATCACTAATTCTCTTTATGATGCTATATGGTATTGTTGTATCGTTCGAAACTCGGTCCATCGTTTATACATATTATTATCATTATTATAAATTTCATAAACTTGGCGCTCTATATTTTTATAGATATTTTATTTATAATCTAAGTATGTTGATATGACTTCATATAAACATTTTGTATTTTTTACCATCGTTATTCTGAGAATATAAATTTTCAATTGTCGTGTGTTAGATTTGGTAATTGTCAAAAAATAATATATTTATAAGAAAAAAGAAAGAAAATAAAGAAATAATTGGGATTCTTCTAATTCAATGACTGCAATGAGAGTAATTTGTTAAAATTATGAATGAAGATAAAATTGTATTTTTTTAGTATTTGATAATCAATTAGTTTTTAATTAAAAACTTGAAAATATAATTACTAACCTTTATAATAATTACATATATAAAAAACTATTTACAGAAACTTATTATTATGATAAAATGTAATATTTTTTACCATTTATAAAATCATTCAAAAAATCCATTATTCGATTTTTTACATAAATATGTCCTAAAATTAAGCGTATTATTATTTTATTTTCTATTTTTGAGCATAAAATATATAAAAAAAATTCAACAATTCATAACAAGTTCTAAGTTTATAATAAGTTTTACATTGTGTCTATCATTTTACTACTAATACTTCTCAGCTGACCATATTCGGATGGAAAGTTTATAAAATTAAATTACATATTGATCTTCTAGTTCATTAAATATTTTGAAAAGATCCTAAAATATGAATTTTTGAATCTGCTAAAATGAACTTGTTTTTTTGGTGTTTTCAATGGTAATCTTTGTTTGTCCCATTTTTCTAGCTTGTTGACCAATAACTCTAGGTAAATGATTGCCCTTCAACAAAGATTTCACATCATTATTATCAAATGACTCAATGAATAAATCTTATAAACTTAATAAAGCTAAAGCATCCGCAATATCAAAACTATACAAAAATGCTTTCACAAAATCAGTTACTTTTTGAAGATTGGAAATATCTTGTGTATCTTCACATAATTTCCACTCTACATTTCTTGTTTTCAGATTACATCGAACTGTCACCTTATGATTTTGAATTATCATTGTGAAAGTACATAAAATTTTCTTGTAAAGGAGTACATCTATGAGCAGGGATTGAAATCTATAAAAAAAAAAAAATTATCATGTAAGATAAACATAAATTGTTTTTCCAATTACGCAAATAAACAATTTATACAGATATCAATCAAAAGAAATATTTATTATACTATACTTACTTTCCTCCTATTTCTACTACTTTCCTCCTTAATTTTAACTTCTGCATCGTTAAATCTCAGTCTTTTGGCTGACTGTGTCACTGACTTTTGTTCTTCTTCAACTTCATTGGCGACTTCTTCCTAATAAAAACAATGACATTAAATTTAAAAAACATAGATATAAATTAGAAAAACTAGAATTACTGTACCTCCATTTCAATTTCAGGATGTGGACGTTTAACTGAAACCATGGTTTATGGTTTTTAATGACATAAATAAATCTGTAACTTTTGTCATGCACGTGGTTGTGTATTCACTTGACGTATTTACTCGTGCAACCGCGTGTTTACCGGCGTGTATATATGCTGATATGCACTCTTCAGTTAACCTTTTAGGTAATTCTATAACACGTGCACTCTGAACTTGAAAGTTAATGCGTCCTGACCAACTACTGTCATAAAATCATCGTGTGTCCTCAGATGAGACTGTTTATCTGTACAATAGCACAATCAAATGTAAAAAATTATCAAAAGTAGAGGCTTTAGCAAACGACTTTAAAAAATATTATTCTGTCAAAAGATATGATGGCATTGGTTCTTAAAAAATTATTCAAGCCAAAATAACCATGAATCATCCATTTGTAGAATTGTTTATTTATTCTTGCGTAGATCATAAATAAATGAGTCTTGAAATTTAACAAGAATATCTTATTTAAAATTTACTTAAAATATAATATTTATAGAAGGGTCAAATAAAATTTCACGTATAAGAAAATAATTTCAAAACATTCAAACTGACCGCTGGCGAGTGACGACTTATGACGACATTTATCTGACTTGAGTTGAATGTCTACTGTGCGCTTGCGCTGCATACCCAAAGATTCTGTTCTGGTGGAGGCTTGGTAGCGACCGTTGGCTTACATGAGATTACAGTTAAAAATGTGAATCGCTAGCTTACAGTTTGTTGAGCAGTAGGAGGACCTCTTCTGGTCCTTCTCACATCATATTTTCAATTAAAACTCCCCTAAATCTGGCTTATTATACTGTTTTTTTTTAATAATGAGTCCATACGATTGTCACGATTGTGTTGTAGTAGTTTGTGTCCATGTGCGATGAACACGCTAGAACCTGATAGGTTAGCCGAGGTAAGTGAAAAAATTCTGCAGTTGTAATTGTTGCATGATTTAAAATACTCATTTGCTTATTTTATCTGCTAAGTAATTCATTTTAATTTTGAACTATTCTATTTAATAAAAACTGCTTTTTATTAAATTAAGTTAATTTCTGTTGGGTGATTCATAAAAATAGTATACGCAACTATGAATCGAAAAAGAAAGTCTTAGATAATTACACGTGCTCTGAGGCTTCCCAGTTTTTCGCTCCCTAAGCACGTAATATACTATTGTTATCTTATTCTAAATGATTTCTTGTCGAGTTGTTGAACTTCATAAAATTAGTGTCTAATTATTCATTCTATTCTTGACATAATAAAAAATAGAAATTTGTTTTTTTTCCGCTGAAGAGATGAAAGTTCCTTCCTTAAAATTATTATCTTCGTGAATTAATCACTTAATGAAAACACAAAACGTTATGAATTGTATGAGAATTTTAATACCAGTCTTGATATTTCTAGAAAACACGAGATGAAACCATTTCACTTTCTGACAATTACATGTAAGAAAACCAAGTGTATCGGGTTCATTGGAATTTACTCAATGAGGATGATTCAGAGGAAGCATTCAGTTTTGTTGTCAACAATTATAACGCATGAGCAATAATATTGCAGGTAAGATTGCTTAGAACTAATTTTATTATATCCTTAAGAAAATCGAATTGAGTGATTTATAAATTGTGCTGTTTGTATAATTATTTTTATTAAAAATATAATTAACGATTCGGAATTATAAGCTTCGAAAACGTCGTAGATAGCGCCTACGTGGCAAATTCTGAACTTCGGCCCCGCAATAGATGAGCTCTAGTCTCTAATTGAGATTGATGTATTGAGTAATGAAACGAGTTCGGAGCGATGTTCTTAAACGATATAAGGCGTTATTAAGAGTTGTATGTCAGAAACAAAGTGAATAAAATATAATTTGAATAATGACATAGTTGATTTTCTAACAACTAAAGCGTACGAAATAAATGAAAACTTTTCAACAAAAATATCAAAATCAAATCGAATGTTTGAAAGAATGATTCAAAACTTATACACAAAATCAAATGATAATTATTGTTCAAGTTGAGCTTTATATAACCATAATTAATACAATGTTCATAGAATACATTTTTAATGGTTTCAGGTATAAACGTGAACGTCCACAATGATTTCGTTACTACCAAACGATTTTCATTGAGAATCCTGATCAACATCCTGAAGCTGTAACTGCTAGTACAAATGCACGTCGCTAAAAATGGGACTCCTGAAGCCAAACATTAGTTCCAGATATAACCAAAGAGCTTTTAGGGCACAAAAAGTCCAAACTAAAAAATTCCTGATTCTCAAATTTCGCTAATTTGAATTTTCATACAAAAAAGTACGAGAGACTCGATGGATCCCAAACCAAAAGATATCAGTGTCTAAGGTTAGCCCAATTTCAAAAAATCGTTACATGTAATCAGTTTATACGTAACTTCGCCATTCTTCAATTCTCATACAAAAAAAAGGTACGAGTGTCTCAGGTTAGCCCGATTTCAAAAAATCGTTACTTCTTATTTAATTCTTAAATAACTTCGTTATTCTTTAATACTCATACAAAGAAGGTACGAGTGTCTCAGGTTAGCCCGATTTCGAAAAATCGTTACTTCTATTTAATCTTCATATAACTTCGCCATTTTTTAATTCTCGTATAAAAATGGTATTGGTGTCTCAGGTTAGCCCGATTTCAAAAAATCGTTACTTCTTATTTAATCTTTATATAACTTCGTTATTCTTTAATTCTCATACAAGAAACAGGTACGAGTGTCTCAGGTTAGCCCGATTTCAAAAAATCGTTACTTCTATAAAATCTTTATATAACTTCGCCATTCCTTAATACTCATACAAAAAAAAGGTACGAGTGTCTCAGGTTAGACCGATTTCAAAAAATCGTTACTTCTTATTTAATCTTTATATAACTTCGTTATTCTTTAATTCTCATACAAAAAAAAGGTACGAGTGTCTCAGGTTAGCCCGATTTCAAAAAATCGTTACTCCTATTTATTCTTCATATAACATCCCTATTCTTCAATTCTCGTATAAAAATGGTATTGGTGTCTCAGGTTAGCCCGATTTCGAAAAATCGCTACATCCATTTATTTTATACATAACTTCGCCATTCTTTAATTCTCATACAAAAAAAAGGTACGAGTGTCTCAGGTTAGCCCGATTTCAAAAAATCGTTACTTCTTATTTAATTCTTATATAACTTCGTTATTCTTTAATACTCATACCAAAAAAGGTATGAGTGTCTCAGGTTAGCCCGATTTCGAAAAATCGCTACATCCATTTATTTTATACATAACTTCGCCATTCTTTAATTCTCATACAAAAAAAAGGTACGAGTGTCTCAGGTTAGCCCGATTTCAAAAAATCGTTACTTCTTATTTAATTCTTATATAACTTCGTTATTCTTTAATACTCATACAAAAAAAGGTACGAGTGTCTCAGGTTAGCCCGATTTCGAAAAATCGTTACTTCTATAAAATCTCTATATAACTTCGCCATTCCTTAATACTCATACAAAAAAAAGGTACGAGTGTCTCAGGTTAGCCCGATTTCGAAAAATCGCTACATCCATTTATTTTATACATAACTTCGCCATTCTTTAATTCTCATACAAAAAAAGGTACGAGTGTCTCAGGTTAGCCCGATTTCAAAAAATCGTTACTTCTTATTTAATCTTTATATAACTTCGTTATTTCATTAATTCTCATACAAAAAAAAGGTACGAGTATCTCAGGTTAGCCCGATTTCAAAAAATCGTTACTTCCTATTTAATTCTTATATAACTTCGTTATTCTTTAATACTCATACAAAAAAAGGTACGAGTGTCTCAGGTTAGCCCGATTTCGAAAAATCGCTACATCCATTTATCTTATACATAACTTCGCCATTCTTTAATTCTCATACAAAAAAAGGTACGAGTGTCTCAGGTTAGCCCGATTTCGAAAAATCGTTACTTCTATTTAATCTTCATATAACTTCGCCATTTTTTAATTCTCGTATAAAAATGGTATTGGTGTCTCAGGTTAGCCCGATTTCGAAAAATCGTTACTTCTATTTAATCTTTATATAACTTCGCCATTTTTTAATTCTCATACAAAAAAAAGTACGAGTGTCTCAGGTTAGCCCGATTTCGAAAAATCGTTACTTCTATTTAATCTTTATATAACTTCGCCATTTTTTAATTCTCATATAAAAATGGTATGAGTGCTCAGGTCAGCCCGACTTCGAAAAATCGTTGTATTTTTTTTTGGTCTTCATAGCAACTTTGAAAAACTCTCCTCGTAATCGTAATCTGAACATTTGTTCGTGGCACATGTACCCTATATTTGAAATCATAAGGCTGTATTTTTCCAATTTGTAAGCAATCACATTGTCTTGAATTTTATTTGTACACATTTTTTTTACAAATCTATTTATTTGTATTAAAACTATAAGTTTCAAAATAAATTTTATAAATCCATAATGGTTGTTTTACAATTATTACCTATTCATGCAACAATTTTTTTTTATAATAACAATAAACAGAATATGAGAAGCGTGTCTCTGTCATTGATACTAAATCAACGTGCCAGTGCCGAAAGATGATGCTTCTCTTCACAGAGCAGAAAAATGCTGTGATGCCATTTCGCGTGCAAGCTGAAAGATGGTTTTTTCTGCGTTTGAAGTGATACCATGTTAATGTTTCATGTTTTAGAAGTAAAATTGGATGATCCTCCAGAATATAGCGTTGTAATAAGGATAAGAGTTAAAGTCAAGAAGCTTAAAACGCAGAAATACCAAGCTCCAAAGAGGTATCTTTCAGCTCGAAGCGCAAAATGGCATAATTCTGCTGTGTTCTGTGAAACGGCATCTTTCAGCACTGGCATGTCGAAATGATAACCTAATTTTATTATTGATATTAATGGAATAATGAAATACATGATAAAATTCATTATGTTCGATTTATATGGTTCGCATTCATTCATTCAATAACTGCAAATCACATGTAATTATCAATCAATTTTAAATATTTTCAACAAATTTGAATTTTTGTAAATTGAAGTTATAAGAACGAGTTAATAATATTTTATGGTTTATCCAGAAGTTCTAAAATTAGTTCACAAACAACTCAAGACCAAAATCTTGGATCAGCCACGCAAGTAACATCTAATTTGAAGCCCCTCGTCGTTTTCGTACGCTGTTCATTCGAGTCCCAGGCGTGATAGCGGTAACGTCGGTCCGGCGAGGCGTTGTAACAAACCGACGACAAGCAATACTGGCCGAGCTCGTTCTCGTACATTTTCGTTTTAGCATAATCATTCTTGGCTCTGCTGCAGGCGGATTTGCGAAATTTCGACTCGGCGATCATCTCGGCGTCCTCGTTGATCAGCATCGTTTGATAAACGTTTGCGTCACCGTCGCAGAGAGAGCTCTTGCACTGTGCAATGGTCAAAATCAAACCCGCGGCTCTCGGCAAATTGTAGATGGCGATTTCTCGAGGTTCGTAGTCGATCTCGATTACTTTCGTTAACAAAGATTTGCCGGTCATGTCAAAACGATCGCAGATTATGATCCTTTTCTGTGTCACGACGCATACGCTCAGAGTATCGTAAGAGATGGACGAGGCTAATTGCTGATAAGTATTTTTACGGACGTCCAAGTTGCTGTAGTTTTTGAGCGTAACGATCGAATCTTAAAAAATACCAATAATTAAAGATAAAACGTAATCAAAATGGAATACGATGGAAAATTTTACCTACCACCATCTTTCAACAGACTCAATCTCAAATTTTTTCCACCGTTATCATTAAGCTGCTCTATCATCAGGTAGGACGAATCCGGAATCACCGGCACGAGATCGATCACCTCGCTGACAGCTGGATCGATCACACCCTCCAGCCACGGCTCCAATTTAATTTCGCCCTCGTCATTATTTTTCAACCTCAATCGACAGTAAAATTTCTGGCAATACTTTTCCTCGCGCACGATCAAATCGCTGTGATTCTCGTGGTGCACCGCGAACTTGACCCTCGGCTCCATCGTCATCGTGAAATTTCTCACCGAGCACGAGTCGTCGTTGTCGTCGTCACCTGCCAGATCGACGTAAACGAGCTTCCACGTGGCAGCCTCCTGCCAAAAGACGAGAGCTTTTCTGCCGTCCAGCAGCGGTAGGAGCTTGACTCGGTCGTCGCGAATCACCTCGGTGGAATTGGTGACGGTGCGCAGGTAAAAGCTGCAGGATCTCTCGCCGATCGTCGGGTCCTCGAAGTGAATCGTGCACGATTGATTACCATTGATGCTGGCATTTTTATCGATCGTCTTCGGCTCGACGTAACGATCGCAGACGGCGTACATCAGGCTCGAATTGACGAGCGAGTGATGCTCGTCGAAGACGACGAGGTACCTGTCGACGCCGTAGTAGCGGGGCGCCGTCAGTTTGTATCCGATGTTCTCCTCGTTGACGCTCAGGGCGCCGTCGCTCACGTAGGACGCCGAGGCGGCAAGAACGCCGATCGCGAGAGAAATTATCGCGTAGGAAAACAACATAATGTAGCCTCGCTCGAGTCGATGCTAGACACACTGCGCCGTGTAATGCACGAGAGAGTAGAGAGAGGATCGGCGTTGCTGCATCGCCGCGATGATCGTGACGCATTTTCATTAGCACTGGACGCGCAGCTGCGTATACCGATCGTTATTATATACATTATGTAAGATTGGCTGCAACGCGAGGTTCGTTTTGCATATAAATTCGCTGTTTTCATTGTTTTCTCGTTTTCAATCGATCGGCTAAAAATAGTATGAGTATAAAGAATTGTACACACACAGCGTATGATTAAATTCACAATAGTTTGTTTATTGAGCTTATAAAAAAATATATACATCGTACAATCATAACATGTTAAATTTTTAAAAAATCGTCGTCGTCGAAGCAAACCGTGGTCAAATTGAAGTGTCCTATATCGTCGCCCAGCACGAGGTAGTCCCTCTTGTAGCAGACGAACGAGGCGCAGTACTCGCCCTCTTTCGTCTCCCACAGCCTCACGTCCGCCAGATTCTCCACGAACTCGCAGTCCAATTTATCGAAGCTCAGCTCGGCGATTTTCAGGCCCGAGTTACCGATCATCCAGACCGAGTGTCGCTGCATCCTCGTGACGCAGGCCGTCAGGTAGCAATCGGTAATGAGCAGCAGGAAGCCTGCACCCTCGCGTCCGTCTGGTAAATTGTGCATGGCCGTGGCGAAGGTGACCATCTCCAGGCTGACGTTGACCTCGAGCTCGGTACGGCCCGAGTGATCGAACTGCGAGCAGGTGCAGGTCGTGTTGACTTGGGTGCAGATGCCGATCTTGCCGTGGGCCGTGGAGTAGACGGGATCGTAGAAGCTCGGGAAGCCGTGGGTGAAGTTTTTCAGATGAATCTTCGTACCTTCGATAACAACAAAAAAGCATGAAACGTCTTAAAATTTGAGAATCGATGATAATTACCGTCAGCCCTGACGATCGATGCCGGCCACCTCTCCCTGATCTGAATCGTTTGCGGCTCGCTCCTGCCCGTACCCTCGATCAGCAGATAACCCAGACGCGACGTTTCCGGTGCTATCGACACGATCATCGGCTTGGTCTCCGTGCCGTACAACCTGGCCCAGGGCCTCGGCCGCTCGATCAGTCTGCCGCTCGCGTCGACGCTCATCTTGCAGAAACGATCTCGGCAGTCTCCGCCGTTCTTGAATATCAGATCGTAGTGGCTCGAGTGATCGACGATCTTCACGATGTCGCTCGCGTACTCGGAGCCGAGGTCGAATTTCGCCTTGATCAGTCGACAGGACGACGAATCGTTGCTCTCGTTTCTGTGGAAGCTGGCGATGTCGATGCGCATCCGGTACTCGAAGAAGCTCACCTCCTCCCACCAGACGAGCATGGCTCGACGGCCGCGGAGCAGAGCGACCTCCAGCCGCGGCCCGAATATGCCGTCCTTGATCGTCTGGCCGGTTTTCAGCACCAGGTCGCAGCTGTGCGTAATCGAGTCCTCCTCCAGTACCAGACGACAGGCCTGATCCTCGCCATCGGGATATTTCTCGCAGACGGCGTAGGCGAGACTGGCGTTGTCGAACGAGTCCGAGTCGTAGATCACCGAGTCGTTCGGGAAGTAGTGCGGCCCGAGGTGGGTCGTTAATCTCGCCTGCGTCGTCGTTATTAGCGTAAAGTACAACGAGGCGACGATCAACGTCGATGCTCTCTTCACGAACATAATAATTGGGTATTTCTGTGGAAATGGTACGAGATGAAAAATAATGAAAAATTACGCGCGATCGATGTACATTATTCAAGTTACTCAATTTTGCCGGAGAGAAATAAAATGTGTACTGCCCCGATGTAGTAACTCGACTGCAAGAGAGAAAGATGCTGTCCGGCGAGTTTCGTATGCTAATCATCTAAGTGTATGCGCGTGCAGGTATTTATGTATATTATAAGGCCCACGATAGGTGCATTGCCCCCTTGAGAGCAGCCCCTTCCGTCGCGGACCGCTATGATATTATATATGCACCTTTCCAAACGCATGTAATATAAATGCCAAAATAATGCCAACATGGAACAAAGAAAATCGTCGGATCTCGATTATGTATGATTCTATGCGTGACATAAGTAATGATTTGAAATGTATTTGGCACGATGCAGTACTTGTATCAATCGTGTGTTAATATAAAGATATAAGTCGAGCGCATGTGAGCAGAAGTCGGAACTCTGACAAGGCATAACAACTAACATTGCGTTGAAAACATTTTGATGTTGCGGCTGTTCATTATTTTAAATTAAATTAACTCTCGCTTTTAAGATGTTAAAGTCAGTAAGATTGTTCAGGGTGAAATTTCCAAGCCAAAGCAATGAGCGAGGACACAGGGTTTTACGTTCGGCGTCAACCTCTTTAAAGGTTAGTGTTGTGTTTACATTTGAATTCAGGCAATTTTATAACTTTGTGCAATTATTCATGTACAGGAGTGGCATGTACAAAAGCTCTACCATTCTCAAACTGCTCCAAACAGTGTTGAATTGAAAGAGCATCCCGTTTCTACTAAGCCGGTGAATAAATTTATTGACAGAACGCATACTTGTGGTGAACTAACGAGTGAAAATCAGAATCAAAAGGTAAAGCTATGCGGTTGGCTGGAATTTCAGAGAATGGGAAAGTTTGTCATTCTGCGAGATTCCTATGGATCTACTCAATGCATTGTAGATGACAAGGTAAATATTACATTAAAATTAGATTTTACTATATAGAAAATTTTACCAGAAACAGTTTCATTGATAACATGAATTTTAGGACTTGGATATGGCAGAAAAATTGAAAAAACTACCATTTGAAACAGTTCTGAGCATTGAAGGTACAGTAATATTAAGACCTGAAGGCCAAAGCAATCCAAAAATGAAAACAGGAGACATTGAAGTGCTCGTGGAGTCCATAGAAATTTTTAATTCAACAAAGCCACAGTTACCTTTTTATGTTAGAAATCACAATGTTGCAAAAGAAGCACTTCAAATGCAGTATAGATATTTATCATTAAGATTTCCAGAAATACAAAAAAATTTGAGACTGAGGTCATGGGTCACAATGAAAATGAGAGAATATCTTATTAATAAATGTGGATTTGTTGATGTCGCTACTCCAACACTTTTTAGAAAAACACCTGGAGTATGATCAAAATATCATTAAACAATTAGATTAGATAATACATTTATAACTGTTATAACTTTTCTAGGGAGCACAAGAGTTTATCGTTCCTACTCAACATATTGGAAAATGTTATTCCCTTGTACAAAGTCCACAGCAATTCAAGCAATTGTTAATGGTTGGTGGTATTGATAAATACTTTCAAATAGCTCAATGTTACAGAGATGAAGGAGCAAGAAATGATAGGCAGCCAGAATTCACTCAGGTATTTTATTTACATTCAGAATTGAAAAAAAAAATATCAGTTTTCTCATAAGCATTTGTAATATTTTCAGTTAGATATAGAAATGTCTTTTGTTAGCAGAGAAGGAGTAATGAATATGGTTGAAGAGCTAATTTTAAATAGTTGGCCAGACTCTTTAGGAGCAATAAAAACACCATTCCATCGTATAACATACGAAGAAGCAATGGAAAACTATGGTTGTGATTGTCCAGATTTAAGAATACCTGGCAAGGTAACTTATCAAGTACTAGTCCTATTCAGTAGATTTAATTCAGTCTTGAAATTAAATTTCCTTTTCTTATTTTATTGCAGATTAGTAATGTATCAAAAATCATTAAAGAAACAGAGAATAAGTTTGATGAATCATGTGAATTTTATGCTACAGTATTTGAAAATAAACAAGTAAGTTTCTCAATTATATACAAACATTTTCATTGCTAATAATTTTATATGGAATGAAATTTATGCTTTTTTATTATTACAGCAATTTTTAACAAAATCTGTTAAAGAAATGTTATCCAAGTTTTCTAAACAAATGTCTGATGATGTAAAGTTGATTCAAATGAAAGTTTCTGGAAAAGACTTACCAGAATTACAAAAACTATTTACAGAGTCTACTAGAACTTCATTATCAAACAGTTTAAATGTGAAGGAAAATGATGTATTGTTTATCATTTATGGTCCAAAATCAGATGCTGTAAGTTGTGTTTTAATCATGTTACAAATATTATAAGTTGCAAAAAAATATATGAGTACTCATTTTGTGTAGAGACGGACACTATCAAAATTAAGATTAGAATTCACAAATTTCTTGGAATCTCAAGGAGAAAAAATACGATCACCTGGCTATAAGTTTGCATGGATCGTTGATTTTCCTTTATTTGAAATAAACAAAGATACCAATATTTTGGAGACAACTCATCATCCGTTTACTCATCCACATCCTGATGATATGAAACATTTATTTACAAATCCGTTGCAGGTATGTATTATTATGTAACAAAAACGAGTATTGACATGATATAAATTAAACTTTATGTGTAAATAAATTGTTTTTATGTTACAGGTGAGAGGACTTCAATATGATCTTGTATTGAATGGATCTGAGGTTGGCGGTGGATCAATACGTATTCATCAAAAGTCACTTCAGGAAAAAGTTTTAAACATGTTGAAGATAGATCCCACAGAAATGTATTATTTATTAGAAGCTTTGGGAAGTGGTGCTCCCCCACATGGAGGGATCGCTTTAGGTGAGACTATTGATAGACTTTCATTTTTTTCTACCAAATTAATGTAGGTATTCAAGCTAATTTTTCTTTACTTAAATTTTAGGTCTTGATAGGTATATTTCTCTACTTTGTGGAGCAACCAGTATCAGAGATGTTATAGCATTTCCCAAAACTATGGAAGGAAAGGATTTGATGTCTGGCGCACCCACCTTGATTTCCAAAGAAGACAAAGAACTGTATCATATATCGATATCAAACGATTCTGAAAAAAAGGAAAATGAAAATAAATGATACGAATAATGGACGTCGATAAAAAGTTGTATAAAAAGTAAATTTGTATAAAAATGATAATTGTACATAGTAAAAAGTTGACTAATTTAATAATTAAAATTTTAAACTAATCCAAATGTATTTTCTCTCCAATAGAAATAAAAATTGTTCCACTGCAGAGATCTCAGTGTCAGTTTACTGAACTTACGATAGAGGCAGAGATTACGAACTATGTATTCGCGGAACTATCATAAGTGAGACTGAAATTGAAACTCGCGCTGAGAGAAATGAATTCTGCATGAAAGATATAATGTCGCGAAGTCTTCAAGCACGCGTGAAGATTATTAATTGGCGTTTAAGATTGTTCCAAGAAAGCGTGTCGTGCATATTTTATGAGTGACAGACTCTGGAATATTTTTTAAGTACTTTTATTTTTTTATCCTCCTTTTTTTTACAAAAGTCGTAGGTACGTTGCATAGAAGATAAGACGCGAAACAGAGTGATAAAGATAATAGCCATCAGTAGCGTCTCGTCGTTGAGATCGATCGCATCGACGATGCACATCAAGGCAAGACATTATTTTACAACCGGTCGAATCGCGCTCATCTTCCTACTCATTTATTCGTTACTGCCCAGTCGTTTTTCACCCGCTCACGACTTCGTTCGTCGCGAGGACATGATCTCTCATCTGCAGTTCTCCAAGAGCAACAACGACTCGTGCGAGATCGGCGTCGTCGACAATCGCTCGATGACGTTTCGTTATCCGGATCTCGGGTCGATCGACTCGGCCGAGGACTCGACGGCGCTGCGCTTGGGTATCAGCCCCGGTGGACGCTGGCGACCGACTCGGTGCCGAGCCCGCGTCGACGTGGCCATCGTCGTGCCTTATCGAGGCCGAGCTCGACAATTGGTCACCTTTCTGGCCTACATGCATCCGTTTCTGCAGTCCCAGCAGCTCGACTATCAGATAATCGTGGTCGAGCAGAGCCCAGGCGGCGGCGACTTCAATCGCGGCAAGCTCTTCAACGTCGGCTTTGTCGAGCTGGCCAGCAGCAGCAGCAGCAGCAATTTCAGCTGCTTCGTGTTTCACGACGTCGACCTGCTGCCCCAGAGCCGGGACAACGTGTACGCTTGCGGCCGCCGCTCTCCCAGACACATGAGCTCGGCCGTGAACACGTTTCGCTACACGCTGCCCTGGCCCGAGAGCTTCGGCGGCGTCGTGGCCCTCTCGGAGGGACAATTTCGCGACGTGAACGGCTTCGCCAACGTCTACGAGGGCTGGGGTGGAGAGGACAGCGACATGAGGGATCGAGTCGTCAGCAAGGGATACGAGGTGAACGCATATAAGTCATTTTAAAACTTACGTCCAAATATTCAAATGGTTTAGTCGAGTTAATTAATATTCAATGAGTGTCAATTTTATTTTGCAATGGAAAAATATCGTTTCATAAAGTTGCTGGATATTATATAGAAAAAATTTAAATTATCATGTTTAGAAGTATATTTATTGAGGGTAATTGTTAAGTATTACTAATGTCCAAAATTTTACAAAAATATGATTTGAACTCTTTTATTTTTCAATATTATCATTTTACATTGTCCATCGAATTTATTCGCAGATACTGAGATTCGAGCGGGACATCGCCATGTACTACATGCTTGCCCACGAAAAGGAGCCACCGAGCCCGAGTCGATACGAGCGACTGGCCGGGGCTTCGAGGCGATTCTCCAGCGACGGTCTCAGCAATCTCGAGTACCGAGTATTAGCTCGCGAGTCGAGGCCGCTCTACCTCTGGCTACTCGTGGATGTCTGACGACGATTCTCTTAAATGTAATCGAGCTTGTAATCGATGCAGGCCACGGAGACGGTGAATTTTTGTCCGGCAACACCAGCGCGACACAGCGTCTGCACGCAGTAGTCGCCGTTCTCGTTCTCGAACAGGCCGCTCTCCACGACATTGAACTCGTCGCAGTTGGGCCTGGGCAGTCTAGCCGTGTACACCTGGGGTTTCATCACGGGCCGCCACAGCAGCAGCGTGTAGTCGTCTTGGTGGCCCAAGGCCAGCAGCGGACCGTATTCCGTATTGTACACCGCCAAGTCCCTGATCGCCTGCACCTCGTCCTCGGGGCCTGGGTAATCGAGCGTCGTCTTCCACAACAGCGGCGAGAGCAGAGCGTTGAGAAATGGGCTGAGGGTAAAGTCGAGGCTGCAATTGACGGTGTATCTGGTACTGTTGCACAGCGTGCTGTAGGATTGGTCGCTGTTGAAGGTGATCCCGTGGTCGGCCGGGTGCTCCATCGTCGCGTACGGGGCTTTAACTTCGTCTATATCAAACAGATACGATATAGAGAATCAACGTGTTACTTTTCAACGATCATGTAGGGTATATTCAATATTTTTTTCACACTTACTTCCTGGATTCACAGTGGAGAAAATTCTGTCGGTCACCAAGGAAGAGTTACGTTGGTCGGGAACTCGCTCGAGCAGCGTAAAACCAAACGGAATCGGATAGAAGAACAGCGTCTTGATCACGGGCTCGAATCGCACCTCCAGTCGCGGAGAGTCCCTGCCGAATTTCTCCAAGGACATCCATCTGCGCGATCCGTTAACAGCCAATTCGTCTTTGTCGAATTCGACGCCGAAACTGAAGTACACCCTTGGCCGTTGAGGATTCACCCCCACGCCGTACCAATAAACGTTTTGTCCGTCCATCGACAAGAGGCCGTAAGTTATCGCCTCCAAGTGCTCCACCTTCTTGGTGTCGATGGGCTTCGACCGGCAGTCGTTCAGCTGGAGCTTGGTCAGTCGCAGCAGCGAGGTCCCCTTACCCTTGTTGACTTTCTGCTCGTACCACGTGACGACGACGAAATCGTCGCGGACTACGGTGACGTCGAATTTGTCGGAAATCGTCGACCTCTTGGACTGTTCCGGTGTCAAGACGAGCTCGCAGGACTTGGAGATCGTCCGGTTGCCGTGTCGATAGTCCTCGACGATAACTCGACATTTTCGTTCGCGCTTCGAATCGTCGCAGATCATGTACGCCAGCTGACCCTTCCTCGTCGTCGAGCTGCCGTCGAGCTTGACGCTCAGGACCCGTCCGGCGATGTCCGCCTCGTCGTGCTCGATGACGCGATTCACGGTGGGCTTGTCGCCGAAACGGAAATTGACGCCGATACGTCGACTCGAGGCGGCCCCGACCAATAATAGCAGGACGAGCCACGCGACGGAGCTCGTCATTCTAATTCAACTTCGGCACACACGACGATGAATCGTACGAAAAATGTTGAGAAAATTACGTCTACGGGATCGGATACTATCTACGAGTCTCTATCTCTGAAAAGGATCTTTTGTACACTGAGCGCCCGATATTGGCGAGCGGCAGTTTTATACTGCAACTGCAGCTGCTCGGACGGAAAATCCAAGCCGCTGGGTTACGAGAGAAACTTTTTTTTGAGCTGGACCGCATAATATACCGGCAAAAAAACGCAGAATTACCTCTTATTCATAGGCCGGGGGTTTTTATTAGTAAACTTGGGGAAATTTCAAAACAAATATAATGCGCAGTTCGGATCTTGTGTTTATTTTCATTTCTTCGAATAGGCGCGTTCAAAAAGTATATACTTCGCGTTCGTTAGTCTTTAAAAAAAAAGTTTGAAAATGATATAGAAATAATTCATCTTTCGCAGAAATAATCCATCATTCCAAGAAACAATTCATTCTTCGCACTATATCTGGTCAATCCATTCTTCTTTTAAAAATCGATTCACCATTAGAATAAATTTGACTTTTAAAACAATTTTTCTCTCGTTTAGAAAGATTTTTCGTACAAAATATCTATGAGCTTCAAACGTTTTGAATGATTATTATTAATAAAAAAAATTTTCAATCTTCTCTCGATCAGCGCGAGATTTTTGTGCAAAAGTACAGCCGAACCGAGTCATTATTTTTCTCTGAATGATGAGCGAGTAAAAAACGTCAGTCCGCTAACACGCCCGCATATTATAAATAGAATTTTTTGAACGAGATGTGCCTTCTAAACTGACAAAACAGAGACGCGCACGGAGGAGTGAAGTGAATAATAAGCAACATTGAAAATTGATGCGTAGTTTCGTTTTGGAAAAAGTGCGATGAGTCTCTCTCTGTTTTGAAGCCGTGCCCTATTTTTATCAGACTTGGCGCAAAACGCGGCGTTCACCAAAACAGTCCAGTTACGCGTCGCGTGCCGAGAGACGAAGTACACCGAGTCTTGTTTTTCTGTCAATGATAATTGTATTTTTTAGTTTATAATAATCCGCTGTGAAATTTTGCAAGTGAAATTATTGCGCGATAATGAGATTCCAACTGACGACGGCGTTTTTGGCGTTGCTCGTCCTCGCGATCATCGATTTCGCGCAATCCGACCGGGCCCGAAACGTCACCGTCAGTCGATGGATCCCCTACAAATATCCGTGGTCGGTCGCCACCGTCAACCGCAATTCCATCGCCGACGGCCGCTTCGCCTACCTCACCTGTCGGCCGAATCTGCAGCCGAGCGGCGGCGCCTCGACGTGGGCCAGACGCGAGCGAGTCTGCCAGGTCTACCTGGAGGACTTTCGCAATCGCGAGACGCCCACCCACACCTCGTGTCAGATCAGCCTGGACTCGAGCCTGTACTCGGCCAGCTTCGACATCGGCGCCTTCGACGTGGTGCCCAGCCACGAGGATCACGTCGTCGTCTCCTGGTACGTCGAGGACAAGGAGTCGACGATCGTCGCCGGTCGCGCGCGACTCTGGCGAATGACGCAGGTGCGCATGAGCGACTGCCGTCAGGCCCAGCACATCCGCGACGAGAAGATCACGCGACTGCGGCCGAGGGCCTACGCCACGACCGCCGACGATCGATTCCTCGTCCTGGCCGAGATGCAGAGTGACGAGGGTGGCAGCAGCGTCGTGTACGAGATGCAGGTGAACGTCGACGGGAAGCTGGCCAAGGCCCCGGAGCCCTGGTTCCAGGCCGAGGACGAGATTGGATTCGAGCGACTGGATCTGGCACCCATCGCGCCACCCCATAACGGCGAGGTCGTCTTGCTGCTTGAACAGATCCTCGATCGCAAGACTTCCAGGCGAGCGGCGAGATTTTCCAAGCTCGTGAGACAACGTGAGTCCCGTACAGTTTTTAGTTTTCATCCCTACGAAAGTGAATTACCAACAAATTAGACCATTTAAAATAAATTTTTAAGGTTTTTAAAAGTTTATAAACAATTTTTAAAGTTGAATAACTTTTATAAATTTTTGGATGAAAATTTTAGAAAGTTTTGAGTTTAAATTTAAAACTGCTTTTGAGTTAAAAAAAAACACTAAAATTTTCTAATCTTTTAAAAACTTTTGCAAACTTTTATAAATTTGTATTGTGCCGAAAATCCTATTTTTTTAAGTCTATAAAAATTTATACAATTTTTTTTAAAGTTTATAATAATTATTCACTAAATTGATTTCCATCGAGGTAGCATAAAAAATCAATATAAATTTCTTTCTTGTAGCAGAGGCTCGTGTCAAACTGGCCGAATTCAACTTGACGTCGGCCCACGAGGACGACCGAGTCATCTACTCGACCTCCCACGGCTTACTGACCTTCTGCCTCGCGACCGATCTCGAGGCCAACTGCTACCAGTACGACTCGCAGGGCGAGCGCCAGCTCGTCCCGGACATCGTCCTCCAGACCGAGCACGAGATCCAGGACATGGCGGTGCACAATTTGCCCACGGGCGGCTTCCTTCTGGCTCTCGGACGATGTCCCGCGGACTCGAGCTGCGACACGGACCGGAACACCTACGAGATACACGAGTTCGACGCGGCGGGCCGAAAACTGGCCAAGACGGTCGCGCCCAGGCCCAAGACGTCCCGCAGTCCCGTCGAGCCCGCGAGCCTCTTCTTTGAGAACACGGAGCGCGATTACTGCGTGATGACGCTCTGCGCCGATCCGTCCCCGTTGGACGACGTCGTGTTCACGTTCGCGGTCACTTGCATCGACGGGGGCACGCGCTGAGTCCGAGCTCAATATTTTCTTTGTACGGATTGCGTTTAAAAATAAGAATTGATTATTTGTACCTAAGTTTTTCATTTTTGATTATTAATTGATGGTAAAAAATACATGAACATAATCATTTTGTAACGAGAGCATCGTGAGATGTCAATACATGTAGAAGCTGCACTATATTCATAAGGCTATAATAAGAAACTTAAATACCGACTATATTAATCAACTAACCACTAAAGTATTCAAATTTCAGTATATAATTTAAAAATTAAATTATGTAGATTTTTTAACTGTTGCATTTTTAAAATTGTTTTTTTATACATAACATCGTAATTTTAATCACAGAAATTTATAGTACAAATGCACTAAGAAAGCCATGTCTGTAAAGTAAACAAAAAAAAAAAAAAAAAAAAAGAAAAAATTAAATCGAATCAAACACAGATTTCGTGCGTTATCAATTATAATTTTTTTACTGTAAGTCTGCTGTCATCATAGTACAACGATTTGAATAAATGTCACGATATAAATGTAGGTGTGAAGTTTGAATTTTTGATAATTTTTTCAAATAACATATAACATTATGTACCAGTGATTGTGCTTAAGTTTGTTATAATTATAATCAATATTTTTAGGAAAAATTGGACGATCTAATTACTATTTTATTATTATCTGTGATTGAATAAAATTTTAAAATATTCTTTGTATGAAATTTTTATAATTTTTAATAAAAGATCAATAAAAGTTTATAAAAGAGAAATAATGAAATTTTTGATAAGAAAACTTTCAAGAATAAAATAAAAATTTAACGTGGAATTGATTCAAATTCAAGCAAAAAATCGCTGAAAATTAAAGTTTAGATCAGTAATAATAATAATTATTCAACTACGCATTATCCTCTACTCGTGTGTGGGAATTAAGTTTATTTTTGGACAGATCTCTTCATAACGCGCAAATACACTTGAAATACGTGATAACTCACCCGAAATATTTTGAGTAGTTATTCTTAAATTAGTACACCCGTAAATACGACCCGTGATACGATTCAGAAATTGATTAGTTTCATTTGAACCAAAATTTTGAGAAATATTTAGCATTTAAATGTTTTATATTGCAAAAAAATAAGCTAAAAAGCAGTAATGATCCCTCTTTCCAGTTATAAATACTTAGCATGTGTTTTAATGATAAAACAAGAAAAAATTTAATAAAAGTTCTAGACGAAAATTTGGCAAGATGCTCATGGATAAACCCAAAGAAATTATTAGCTAATTTTTATCAATGAGCGTCTTTATGAGGCAGACAATTTTGTAACTAAAAACGGTGAGATAAATTGGGGTATATTTAAGCGGTTGCAAGTCGACTTGTTCACCAGTTGGATTTTGTTGTACATCGAAACAAGTTCTCAACAAGAGTACGTAGGAGTGGATCAATCTTTTTCTATAAGTAATTTTTTTTTGTGCTTAATATTGCATAAAATTTCTGTTTTTCTACTGACAGTCCGTAATAATGTCGAGGCTCCGACTAACATCGGTGTTTCTAGCGCTGCTCGTTGTCGCGACCAATGGACAATGGGCTCCCGATTTTAAACCCAGAAATATCACATCGATCGAAACGATCCACTTCGACCCTAAAATCAACTGGAAGATCTTCAATCCGAAGTCCGCCAGGTCTGGCCTGTTCTCCTTTCTCGAGTGCGAGAGCAAAAACGTAGACGGAAAGATCAACTGTCAGGTCGTCTTGCTGATCTTACTTTGGGACGGCAGGCCAAAAGGGAAAAAATGTCCTTTGACGTTGAACCTAGGCCATCAAGGACTAACGATCGAGTAATTAAACGAATTTTTTCACACAATCAAACTATATTAAAATTTTATCAAAAATGTAAAATTATTCGATAAAATAATTCAACTGCAGCACGAGCTGCATTTACTCACCTTTGACTTCTTTGATACGTAATATTTAAATATGGAAATAGTAACCATTTTATTCTTCTTTCGTTTGTCAATTACTTAATAAATTATTTTTACTCATTCTAAGACACTCTTTGGTCGTACCCTCTATCAAATTAAAAGTCATAGTCTCCTGGTACGAGCCGAAAAATGTACGCGGAGAACTGTTCGTCGTGAAAATGGACGAGTGTCGCGTGACCAAGGTCGACGACCCGAGGATCAAGGAGTACAGGCCGAAGGATTTCATCGAGTACGACGGCCGTATGTCGGTTTTGGCCGATTTATCCACCAACGGGATCGAGGATCTCGCCCATTTCGTCATTGATCTCGATGGAAAAGTCATCGAGGGACCCACGAATTGGTCGGGCTTCGCTCGTAGCCAGGTGGGATCTCATCCTTTCGATGTGGTGTCCGTTTTGCCTTCGAGCGGTTCCGACGGTTTGATGACGTTCGAGTGGATTCCTGGAGTGAGTCGGGTAGATGCAAAAATGGGAAGATACTGTCCGCAGAGTATGTTTACTTATGGTTCAATGATTTTTTGATTATTTAACTGAATAAATATAAAATTAAATTTCGACTCATCAAATATTGAAAAACAAAGAGTAACTGCACGAATTAACTGTAAAATATATTTTTTCAATACGTTTCATATCTTTAACGTGGTAGGATAGCCGGTAAAATGTTCGATCCAGTTTAGGCCCCCTGTAATAAACTTTAATAATTTAAATTTAAACGGTTCCTCGTACATTTCGAAAAATGTTTGCTAATTTTTAATGCTCCCAGTGCTCGAGAAATTAAAATATCCATTAGATAAATAAGGTATATGCCCCTACTTTCGATCATGTCCCTATATTCGATCAACAATTAATATTCACTACTTTATAGTACGTAAGAAATTTTTTTTTTAATAATTAGCAATTAGAATGAATCGAACATCTTCAACAGAAATACATTATTCAAAATCAGATATCAAGTTTCAATCCAATGTAAAAAATTGATTTAAATTCGATCGAAAATAGGGGCGTATACCTTATCGTTAGTTTTTTTTATCAATTATTATTTTGATATTCGAAGGTATGTTCAGAAAATTTTTTTCCATCTCGAGCAAAGAGCCCTTGACAGTAGGTCACTTTACTCGATTATAATTTCGTTTTTCCTTTAAAACTCCGCAGAGAAGGAATACACGCATCTGAGGCTGTTTCACGTCGAACCCCTTCGTAACAAGGTCGTCTACGCGAACTTCTACGGCTACCTGAGCTACTGCCTCGGCTTCGAGAATCGGATCAGCTGCGTCCAGTACGACAGAGAGACGCTTCGTCAGCGATTCCCAGCGGCCGTCTTGAACGTGCCCCAGGTCCACCAGAAACACCTGGCGCTGCACAATCTGCCCGGTGGCGGTTTTCTGCTGTCCGTCGGCAACTGCCCCTCCGAGGATCCGCTGAGCTGCGAGACTCTGCGCAACACCTACGACGTGCACGAGTTCAACGCCTGCGGCCACTACCTGGGCAAGACCGCCGACGTGCCGAGGCCCAAGTGCGGCATGCAGGGGCCCTTCCCCACCGCCAGCCTCTTCTTCGAGAACTACGCCGGCGACTACTGCATCATGGAGATTTGCAACAGTCCGACCGCCAAGTCGAATCAAGTAATCTCGTCGACTCGCACGTGTCTCTCTAGTGGAATAACTCCTTCACGGATCAAAGCCTCAAGCTAGGATCGTCCGAATCGCTCCTCGTAATAGATTGAGTGTACATATTGTAGTCCTTGAAAATCGAATTGTTGTATTTATCTGGAAATCATTAAAGTTTGTTGAAAGTGATCGAATTCTCAACGGCCTTTTTTCTTATTGAATAGTCCAGTATTCTATCAGGGTCGACCAAGGTGGTGATTTGGAAAAAGATAGAAAAAGATTTGACAGAATTGCAGCTATAATTTTTTTCTGAGAATATAATACTTATTATAGGGTACTTATACCAGTGATTGACCGCTTTCGACCAGTAAATGACCACTTTTGGATGTGCAATAATTATTGTTTTTCACCTTTCAACCTCTGTAACTTTTCTCGTATTAGTGCGATCGAGCTCATCGACGTCTCATTTTAAAGGTAATAACCTACAGAATGATGTAACATAATTTTTATGTAGGTCAAATTGTTTATAATGCAATCTGTAGACGTGTATAAACGTAATTTTATGGCTCTGACGTACTTTCCATTTGTTTATACACGTTTTTCGCTGAGATAAATTATTAAAAGAACGTGGTAACTTAGTTCAAATGAAAGTACATTAGAAGACGAAAATTTTAAGCTGTCTTGGAAGTTAATCGGTCAAGTAGACGTCAAGTTATAGCCTTCTGAGCTTGGTTCATGAGTTCATGTTGCCTCAGTGTGGACGCCCTAAGCGCTCGCTCGTTTCTACGCTCAAACTTACAAGGAGATCTCACTCATGACCCAAAACATTGCAATATTGTTCAATTATGACATTATAAAGCGTTAAATTTCAATACATATGGCTTTAAACGCTTCAAATAATTATTATTTTAATACAAGCAATGGAGATCCAACAACTTCTTAACAATGAAATGTAATGTTTTCAAGTACCAAGTGTCTAAAATAAGTGACTATAATAGTTTGTGGATAGGAAATGGATATTAATTGCACTTTATACGCTTATTTTTATTATTTGGCCCTTTATTTTTTATCTAAGGCTTCTGGGGCATATTCACATAAGCGAACATAACAGGGCATGTTTCTAACTGTCCTGAATCACCAGAAAAAGTTTGGGCTAAATCCATGATCCGAAGGTGAGAAGGTCTCCTTGTAACTTGGCATCTACTGGACCGATTTCCTTTCAAAACCCCTTAAAATTTTTGTTTTTTGATGTACTTTCGTTTGAACTGAGTTGCCACGTTGCTTTACTAATTTATCTCAGCAAAAAACGCGTATAAACAAATGGAAAGTACGTCAGAGCCATAAAATCACGTTTATACACGTCTACAGATTGCATTATAAACAATTTGACCTACATAAAAATTATGTTATATTATTTTGTAGGTTATTACCTTTAAAATGAGATGATCTCGATCGCATTAATACGAGCAAAGTTACAGAGGTTGAAAGGTGAAAAAAGACGTATTTTACACTAACCAGACGTTTAAGACGCGCTCCGCGCGTATCAATTTTTTTATTTGTGTTTTGAGGTTAGCAACTTTCAAGCGCGCTTCGCGCGCGTACATCTTTCAGTCAGTTTCGAAAAAGTTGCTATTATGACCGTAGATGTCACTTTATTACGTTTCGACTCGAGTCAAAAGTCGGTCGACCAATCAGAGGCCGAATAGATTGGTTTCACTTTTAGGTCCATCTCTTTTTTATAAGTTAGATTATTATTGCATAACTTTTTTTCTAGTGGACGGATTTTCAATTAATTTAATTGAATTTCTTTGGTTTTCAAAGACGAATAAAATAAAAACAAATTGTTTTCATCTATCTTCAATATTTTACAAGATATAACTGTTTAAACAATTAATTTGTTTATAAAAAAAAATTGACCAGGAATTCGGCCTGGCGACATTCAAATTCAGTTTCAGCGACCCAAAAAACATGGAAATCCGTCAACTCGCCGAGGGGATCTCGCAAGTTCACTCAAATGTCACCAGCGCCCGGACTAATATTCCAAAATGGTCATTCACTGGTACCCGGTCATTGATTGGTGTGACTACCCTAATAATAGATCACGGTGGTCGGTGCCTATAGAGGATGGTCGGGCATTGGTAAATTTATCCTATAACAAGGTTGCATCAAATGGCAATGAATGATTAAAGCATATATTTATATTGATATTAAAAATTGAAAAACACGAAGAACTTAGGATCTGCTTTGGTTTATTTATTTTCAACTCAACGCTACATTCAAATTTAACCTATTTCCCTCCAATAGATGGTCCACGTGGATGCGACGATTTCCGGTTTTCTCAAATACTTATAGCTCTTCCGTTCAACTCGAGCTGCACTTTTATTCACGATTCCATGTGAATTTTGTATAAATTTAATATAATATTATTACTGTGCTGAACTGCTCGACGTTAAGTAATATCATCATCAATGTAATATTATCAGCAGTACACGCCAATAATACGACGACGAATATTTTCGTTCAATTTGTAAACATCACCACGAACGTAAAATAAAAGTTCAATGCTCCTGCGGCAACGCGAAGCTCACTTATCCAATTCAATATCCATTAAATTTTTTAGATAATAAACCTGTTATACCATATAATCCTGGAATTAATGCAATCAGAATTCTCATACCTACCTATTTAAAAATCATCGAACGTTTAAAATACAAACGACCGTTTAATGAATTTGAGAAAACACCACGTGCTTTTCAAAGTTATCTTATTTTGTTTCGACGAGCCTACATCGATATAGTAATTTACGGAACTTTAAATGTTCTAACGTAAGATTATCCACTACTCGTTAAACCTTTTATCGTAAATGACTATATTCCATTGTCAACCTACTTGCAGCATTAGCTCGTTAAAAAAATATGATCTCTTTTGGATGGCCTTTCTAATATGATGTGCACTTTTGTACCTCGCATCTAATTGGGCGTCACGCTTTAACGTCCAAAATCAGCTATCTAGCTTTTGATCGATCGTTTCTGTATAAAATTACCTTAATGTAATACACATGCATTGAGCTATCGTATCTGTGTCTACATGTGCACGTATCATGCATCATGTATGTGTGTGTGAGGCTATTACGTCTAACTAACGATGATGCGGTTGCGCATCGTACGCTGCGCAGTCGCCTCGAACGCTAGGCAGTGAGCCAGTCGCCTCGTACGCTACGCAGTCACCTCATGCGGCCATTATTCGTAGCTCAGCTCGTCCAGGCATCCCAACGCAACGTACGGATCAGTCTCAGTGTGTCGAGAGCAGTCGCATACTCCGGTTCACGAGTCTATTACAGTGCCCACGTATTATAAATACATAAAAAAGTTTTTTGTGTGCCTGTATTTAAATATATATAAAAAAAAACAAACAACGACGAGTACTCGTGTGTTTGGTGGGAACAGATCACGTCGAGTCGACAACCTATCAAATTGCCAAGTAAGTAGCTCGCCCGTTACTCGACTAACCGACGCACAATTGCATTCGTCTTTTATTACGTCGTAGTTCGTCGATCAATAACAAACAACAACGATAAAAAGTAATAATACGCATGCATGAAACGAGTGTAGTGTAAATTAACGATCGGTGCGCGCGTTTCGTTATTATTCAATTATTCATTTAATTCAATAAACAGCATGCCCATGTGTGCGCGTGTTCGCGTGTGCGCCCGCTCCGAGTCTAACGCATTTTGAGGTTACGTTACCGTTTTTTTTCATTAACTCACACAGAGGCACAGCCTAGCTCCATTCGTTCTCATCCGTTTGTCATTAATAAATAAAAACCATTACATTGTTGTTTCGTGCATGCGTAACCAGAAAAGCTCTTCGTACTTTGGCGGTGTAGAGTCCGTGGTTTTTTCGTCATCTTTTTTTTTTAGAGACAATTCGGGAAGGCTCGAGAAGGCCACCGCACAGCGAATCGTGCCTCGTGAAGCGCGACCGACGACATGTTTGGTAATTTTCCCGTAGAGGTCCACGTTGTAAGAATTAAAAATCCGTTTTCTCGTACTCGAATCGAAATTACTTTCTCGGAAATCTAGAAATTTTCCCTCGTAAATCGAAAAATGTAAAAACGGCGTATTTTAGGGGTGCGAGAGTCGTCGCCGTGAGCGCGAGAGGGGAGAGAGAGAGACGACGCCGACATTATTATTATTATCATAAACGCCGCGAAGCCACGATAGCCCGCCAAGCCTCGAGTTTTGCCGGCATTTTGCTTTTCCCTCTACAGTAGCATCAATAACAATCATAATAATAACGAAAAAGACCGGCTTTTACGTAAGTGTGCGTTGGCGCGCTTACTAAAACTTCATACACACTGACATTTTGCATTGCAGGAGATGCGCTTGGCAATTCTCTCTCTCTCTCTCTCTCTCTCTTATGTAAGCCGTGTCGCGTCGTGCAGCATATGTACGGACGCATCTTGTTTCGCGTCGTGCTAATAACCAAGTCTCTGGACAATTGGTAAACAATTGCATTTGTTTCGCGAGGCTCCCCGATACGTGTATAACTCGAACTTTTCATCAGTATTATACGTCGAATCGATGTTAATCGAGCGGTTATTTAACGATCGAGATTGTACTATCGTGACTCCAAGTTTTTTTTATTTTTCAAAAAAGTCAACAACTGCGGCTCGCTTATACGTACATTATAATGACTCAATGACGGAGAAAATCGAGGACGCCCGCCTCGTATAACTTGCACAAACGCGTGTGTTCTATATCGTCGTTGTGCAATTGCTGGAAAATTATTCATTCTATGTAAAAGCGCGTTTGGCTTATCGCGTAGCTCCGAATAGTGGTGGTGGTGGAAAGCACATATACGAACGTGCGATAACACGGCAAAAAGTCTTTCCGTAATCATCGTCGCGCTTCCAATTTGCCCGCCCCCTTGCTGTTATGCATTATAATATATTGAATTATATATAGCCTCGTGGCCTTATCCTCCTTAGTTACATTGCTGTTTAATCGATTAGAATAAACCGCTCGAGGCGCACAAGATCGGACATCACTTCGCACCCCGATCGCTTTGATATTGCGCCGTGTTCCGTTCGCAGATCACATAATCCGATGAAAATATTTATCGCGATTTATACAGAAAAATTCTTCGATCGCGACGATATCAATTGCGTTACAACGACAATTGTCGTGCCTCTCGTCGTGTAACAAGGAGAGCATGCGCCGAGTGAGGCACACAGCTCCGTTATATATCTATGTGTATGTTGCGAAAGCAGTGATGTAGGCCGGTAGTATACGCGCTTCGTGCAAACACTTCTCTACTCTTCTCTGTATTATATAGCTTGGCTCGTCGTCGCGGTGGTATATATACTTCTCGCGCACACACACGTCGGTCGCCATTTTCGTTTTTGCGCGTTAATTTTGCACGAGTTGCAGGCGACCAGTCTCGAGGTTCGTACCATTTTGTGTGGCATCGAGTCTATACTCGAAACGCCGTGTATAATTTTCACGCTTGTTGATATTTTTTAGTGCTCGTTTTGGTTGATATCACTAGTTAACTACTAGAATTGCGCGAGAGAAGTGCGAAGAGCTTATTATTTTTTTTGTATATACTTTAAGGGCAAAATTATTATAATTTTACTCTTACTCTAATGAGCATGTGACAGCTATATACTTATTCGATGCAACTGCTTAAAATCAATAAATTTTTTTCATTCGATTGCTAATAGATAAATTACTCCAGAAATAACCATTAAATCAATTTAAATGTTGTAGCTGTCACAAACTCATGAGTTTCATTGCACCATCATTGTAAAATTATGTTGTATATATTGCACTTTCAAATCAAATAAAGCCTTGTTTTCATTTGCAGACACTTAAATTCATAATTCATTTAGTCATTGTTTTGTTTTGCTTACTTGACATTAAATTTTTCAAAATTTTATTTTTGATTGTTTATTTGATTGTTTATTGAATGTTTTGTTCGTTTTTTTCAAAGTAACTTTTCTAATAATTGAAAGTGTCTGTATATAAAAAGTAAATGAAAAGCAGGCAGGTTCGATTGGTGACCTGTTATGTATGGTATTTTTATATTTTCCTTTAAGAATGGGCACCCGAGTATTTGTTGGTGGATTAACTTACCGGGTGCGGGAGCGCGACCTTGAGAAGTTCTTCCGGAAATTTGGTAGAATCAAAGGGGTCGCTATGAAGAACGGATTTGCCTTTGTGGTAAGTCTACAATAATTTTTATTGTCTTTTTTACAGTATGGTAGGTACAAGGGTCTATGTTGGTGGGCTTCCATACGGTACCAGGGAAAGAGACCTGGAGAGATTTTTCAGAGGCTACGGTCGATTCCGTGATGTTCTTATCAAGAATGGCTACGGCTTTGTTGTAAGTATTTTGAAGCGAGGACAACTGGAGGCATAACCATGCAACAAAGTTATTCCAGAACTTTACAAGAAGACTTTAATTCTTACTATTTACACTGCCTGAGTATCTTAAAATTTAAATTAGTTTAAAAATAATTTTCTCATCTTTGCAGTACTAGAATCTCATAGATAAGCTTGGAAAATATTGCTTTCATACTCCACATATATGTATTGAAACTTTTAATAGATATTGATCAATAATTAATAACATTTTTTTAATTGTGTATTCTAAATTGAGTTTTATATTTAACAAAAAAATATCGAAATTAAGAATCTTAATTACTTAAAATAATTTACTAGTTGATATTTCTACAATTTTTCAGACTGCAAGTGAAAAATTATTTACTGTTTTTTTATATATAATTTTATTTAAGTATTAAAATTGATTTTTCTTGAAATCTATCATTAGATCATATTTAACAAATATGTTTTTCTCTATCTTAGGAATTTGATGACTACAGAGATGCAGATGATGCTGTTTATGAATTGAATGGAAAGGAGCTGTTAGGAGAGCGGTAAGAACTTGAGCTATTAAATTCTTTTTTGTTTGTAATTTTTTTGGTAAATGGGATAGTGTACTAGCATGTCAAACTAGATTCATATACCCTAAACATTTCAATAGTTAGGTTTCAGTATAATAACATTCGAATCTTTTGTTTTTTATTTTTTAAGAAAAACTTTCTTCAGAAGTATATCAACTTAATCTAATAATATAGTTTCATTTTTAATTTATCAATCAAATATTTATTAATTCAAGAGATTAATTTCAGAGAAATTATGAAATGCTAATTGTTCTGCTTTGTCGATTATTTTATTACAATACATCTATACATCTTTGAGAATTGAATCATCCTCACACTTGAATCAAACAAAGCTCTATTAAAATAGGCTAACTGTACATTTTTAAAATAATGCATGGTTATTATACCATGATAGTTGCCGCAATAATAAGTACCAAACCTTAATAACTTTTTATTTGGTGTTGTCATAATAATATTATTTACAATTATGTTTAAATTAGTTCTTTCTCTATATTAAAAACTGTCTTATTTAATTATTTTCATTTACTTGATTCAGTTTAATACCATTGCATGCTTAACTCTTGGTTGAAGCAAAATATTTTCATGATATTTTGTTATATTTAGTAAAAAATAATGCTACTTTCACTATAACATATTATGATAATTATAATAATTTTTTATATTTTAATTGTTAATATAATACACCCTGAAAAACCTCTGATATCTGAATGTCTACTGTTTGTAATATTAATTTATTACATCAACAATTCTTGAGAATAATATCGAGTTTGTGTTTTATCACGTACACCGCCATTTTGAATTACAACCGACAATTACTTAACTTTTTGAATAGAAAAAGTAATAATCCTAGTTAATAAAATACTATCGACAATTGGAAAAATTCCATTTATAATTTTTCAAAAAATAGTTTGTCTATGAAAAAAAAACTCTCAAGTCACATGAGTTATAATTTGTCTTTTTTTATTATTTTTTTGTATCCTGTAAAAATAGAATTTTTCACTATGAGATAACATCTAGTTGTGGCATTTCTTCTATGTTTAACATAAAGATATGTTGATTTTTTCATGATAAGCATGTGCACAAACAATAATAATCTTATTAATTATTATTGAAAACATGTATTTTTAATGCAATTCTTTTAAGTTTCAAAACATCGATAAGACAAAGACAAATTTTCCAAAAACGGTCCATCCAATCAAACAATCAAACAAAAAAGTGTTATTTAGTGAGAGAGAGGAAGCAAAAATGCAATAAACAAAAGCAAGTTTCGCAGTAAAACTTCAAGCCGCGGCACTGTTTTTGTTGGGTGTGTTTCAGAGTGGCGGTGGAGATAGCCAGGGGTGTTTCAGGGAGGCGAGGCGACCGTGGTCACGGACGCTCACGCTCCTGGAAAGACAAGTAAGAACAAATTTTTACATGTATTTTTTTCCCGTATGTGTTACAGAATAACGGTTGAGAGGGCCAGAGGAACGCCTAGAGGTAGCGATCAGTGGCGCTACGGAGATTCGCGCGGTGGCTATGGCGACTCGAGACGATCTGCGTAAGACTATTAGAACCATTTTTTTTTTTACAAAAAAAAACTTTTTTAAACGACCAACTGCGACTCGTTGAAAAGCTGAATTTCAGAGGAGAAATTCTTCGACGACTTATTTTCGATTTTCTAAGACTTCTTTCTTCTATCTATAATATTATATATTTAAATTTCTTCTATCTTGCTCCTTATCAACTCATTGTTTATTCATTTATTTTGCCGGTGTCGGGACGATCGTTGTCAATTTCATCTCGTTTATTTCTTTTTTTCAATAAACCCTCTTGCCCTAGCAAACCGATAGTGATGCCATGCTGTGTTGCTATTGCGAGAGTATGAAATTGAATTAGAAGAAAAAAATACAATCTTTTTGATTTCAGAATGAATGATGTGGTTCATAATTTTAAATTTATTTTCAATACCTCAAAAAATACTCTTTGAATAATGTGTGATTTTGAATGGATACATTTTTTTAAATTCCTTGAAACTTTTAAAATTTCAATTTTATTGATTTAATTTTTAAAATCCAATGTCAACAGTTCTTTCTTTTGTATTTTACCATAGTAGCTGTACTTATTACAATGAGTTAACTAACCAGTTTTTTTATTTCCTTTTCTCTTTGTTGCAGCCGTGACGACGTGCGACATGACAGGTACGTCATCACGGATGAAGTTCTATCTTCTTCAATGTTTCAGTTAAAAAATGTGATTATTAACAAAACAATATTCTTACAGAGACAGCGTCAACAGAAACTCAAGGAACTCCTCGAGCTACAAGCAGACTCTCCCAAGATATGGTCCACCTACTCGCACAGAATACCGCTTAACTGTTGAGAATCTGTCCAGCCGTGTCAGTTGGCAGGTAAGCCATCTTATAAAACATGATTTTATCATTATTATTATTAAAATTATAGTAAATTTGAAAATATGACCAAAGAATATAAAAGAACTGATTAGGTAAAAAAAATGTACATTTTGATCAAGTAAGTCTAAGGTCATGAAATCCTATCAAGTTATGGTAGTGATATGAAAATATTAAATAGTAAATAGGCAAAATAGAAAAACAGTTCAGATTAGGACAGACTCATTCCGCATTCCCTTGCAAGCCAATTGGATGATCTGTGGTGTCCGCCTTGAAGAACTGAAGAAATCAATCTCTACAAGGAAACTTGGATGAAAATACCTGGATCTTCTAGCCCTCCCAGCAATATTATCTTCGAAGAATTTACTTCTTTTTGCCCTTGAAATTAATGTGAATAATTTAGTTGATTCATTACCGTAAATTTGAATACTAAGTCTTACTTGATCAATTTACATTGTCTCTGTTGTTAATTTCAATTCAATAATTCTAACATTACTTATTGAGCTTTTTTAAAATGAATTTAAATCTTTGATAAATTAGAATCGATTGCTTTTAAATCTCTTAAAGAAAATGTGGTGTTGTTAAAGTAATTTATTTTATAATAACAAACTTTTCATCAATACTTATTGCTTTAAAAATTGAAAATAGTCAAAACAAACAGAAACAATAAAAAAATCCATTGATGTTCTTTTCGAAGAGCCATGTCCTCTTCACCGAGGAGGTCCGGTGACCATGTAGGGCCAAGCTATTCCGAGAACTAATCACACTTGACCAATGAGTGAAAATGAAAAACTGAGATAATCATTGAGAAAACCAATGGCTGGCTGCCCAGTTCTCAGACAGTCTAAGTTCAAGGCTCACGAAAGTTCATTTATCAACCCTACCAAAAGTTGATGAGGAAGAGAAAAAAGATGTTACTGCGACCTCCACACATTAGTCAGCTTCTCATGGTTTCATCAAATACCACACTACTTAGTCAATAAATCTCTGCCGCTCGAGCCAGTGAGAGGAATTATCCCTGTGTGCCAAGTCCACAGCTTTCACAGCCTTTGGACTTTCTTCCTTGACCAACCATTGAACAAAGGGGGCACGTTTTACATCTGATGATGCGTTAGCGCTACTGCAAGAACTACTTCTTGGGCTAGAGAGAGGTCAATTACCATTGATGCAGTTATTGGACCATGAACCATCTACTTTTTGGTCCATTGCTCGACTACAACACTCCTGTTCGACTAGATATCTTATCATAATTTTTTTTAAACATCAACGTTTTTTTTTCTCATGGTTATTCTGACTAAAGCCGTCAATTTAACCACAATTAAATTGTTTTTTTTTTTTCATAAGTTACTTGATCATCAGTTTCATTTGAAATTTAAATAATTCAATGAATTAAAATTTTTCATGAACCGATTTTCGAAGTTGATTTTTATTTCATTAGATTTTTTTATTCTAAATGGCAATTGCATAAATTTTTGAATTATAAACATTATTATTTATTTGCCAAATTTTTTAACAATTTTATTTTATCTGGCTTAATCGCGTTAAAGCTTTTTATCTTTCAAATTAAATGTAATTTTTAATCTTTGATTGCACAAAGATAATTGCAAGAATTTAAAACTGATAAGTGAAAGCAAATTTTTTTTACCATTTAAGTCATTTTGACTTTGAAATTTTCATTTAATATCTTGATACAGATGTGAAATTCATTATACTACATGCACAACGGAAAATCAAACATCATACACATTCATGCGCATACACATAAGCATAAAAACACACAAGCTACATGCACACATGCAGATGAGCAACTAACTCAAATCATTTTCACAGTACACAAATCAAATTAAACTCAAACACGATGAACAGTTTTCATAAAAAAGACTCAAAAAGTTAAAATTTTTGACTATGACGTGTACCAGAACGATAATTGACTGACATAAACTTCACCACTACATTGGGGTGCATCAACATGCAATGGTCGAATGAGTGTCTCTCTCTGGTGTCAAGTTCCCCCGGCAAGGCTGCGCCGCCACGATGGTGACGATGACGATGACGGGGGTGCGATGGTGTGCATTGCAGTGCCCAAACGCCATTTCAAAAAAAATCACGGCCAATATGCGAGACCAGCGGACGAGACTCTCAAATCAGTCGCTCTACCCAAAGCTCACTCTCACAATCGCTCGTCAGCCCTGCTGGGGTTGAGGGTATGCTGTTGCGAGGCTCTCTATCCGCACGCGCGCTCGAGGCGGCGGCGCTGCTCCGTCTTCCCTTCTATCAACAACATCCGCGAAGTGTGTGTCAGTCGCCGCGCGTATCATGGTGTGATGTTTTCGATTGTACTGCCACGAAAAAGCTCGGTGGCCTCAAAGCCGAGCTTCAAGCGCCAAAACCGCCGATGATGACCAATGTGACGTTCTCCGGATGTGACGAGAGAAAGGGCGGCGGTGGCGTGCTCTCGCCTTGAGCTAAACCTCAATGTCTGTCTATCAATGTGTGTGTCTCTCGCTGAAGGGGGTTGGCCGCATCTCTTCGCACCCACCACCACCTCCTTCATACAACCTTCTACCATACCGGTGTGTAACGGCTCTCTCTGCGCTACTATCTCTCTCTCGCTGCGCTTGCGAATAATGTGTCGGACAGACCGAGATGAGGGGTGATGAGAAAGCGTTACTCTACTACTCATGTGTCCGTAAGCAAACGAGATGTGGTGAATGTGCCTGGGGCCCAAGGTAAATGCGTCACCTTACAACGAGTGTACTCTTTAGATATATTATTCATGTATACGTATTATATTTATTATTATTATTTATTTATCATTCATGAATGTACATATATCTGTACCTGATTTGAAACATAAATATTCTTCTAGAATCATAATAATAATGAAAATCTTGAATATTTTTTAAATTTTTTCTTCGGGAAATCAAAAGATTGAATATCGTGAGTTTTTTGTTGAAAATTTTTTTTAATTCTAAAAACAAAGTCAATCAATTTTACTGTGCAATAAACTTTGATAACGCTAACGCATAAATTGTATATAATCAATTGTGTTTGTGCTCGAAATTAGGAATCTATTCATTTCATAAAAGAAAAAATTTCAATTAGTCAAACTTTACTTTATGCTTGACAATTCAGAACGAGATGTCATCTAGAAAAGTAGGTCTTATGGCGACTTTTATTAAGATAATTTCCAAAATCGTCAAATACAAAGCAATTGTTACTAGTGGGACGTCTGAGAGTACACTCATCCAAAGTTTATCATTATCATCCAAGCATTTGCCCCGACAACCTGACAATTTATGCGACGCCCATAATGCTCTCGATTCAACCATCAAAAGGTCCTAGCAGCACAAGAGAAGCCATGAAGAGTGTTGATTCAAGAAACCAATTATGCGGAAGATTGAAGACTATCAGAATTATCAAGACCAATCGCGAAGAATGAGAAGTTGTGAATTATTTATAAGATTTACAATGATACGCAAAAGACGATAAATCTCTAGTTATTTTAGATCAATGAGAAGTGAATAGTTTTAATTTTTTTTTAAATATATTGCTAGGTATTTTAGGGATTGGAACAGCATAATGGTAAAGATTTTATCAATTGATACTAAATTCGAGCACTCTCATTTATGGCTAACCTTATACATGAACAATTTATCGAAAGGAATGAACAATCACTATTACTTCCGACTGTAAATCTAAGATTATTTATTAACTTGAAATTAGGAATTTTAAACATTATGTTTATAAGAAGTAATTTTGTCAGTGCACAGGATTAATGAATTAATAATACTCTATTCTTGGTGTTGAATCTGTTATTTATTATTATTAGGTACACTCCGTTAATTTTTAACTACTCCATAAAGTCAATAATTCAAAATGTCCTTTCTCATTATTATGAAAAGAAAATACTAATAATTCTTTTGCGTTATATTCAGGATCTGAAAGACTACATGCGTCAAGCTGGAGAAGTTACGTATGCCGATGCACACAAGCAACGACGAAATGAAGGGTGAGTATCTCTTAAAGAACAAAAAACAAACAATCAATAAATAAATTCATGAAATATTAAAATTTCTTTACTTTTACAGTGTTGTCGAGTTTGCTACTTACTCCGATATGAAGAATGCCATTGAAAAGCTTGACGATACCGATCTGAATGGACGCAGAATTCGATTGGTTGAGGACAAACGTCGCGGAAGGCGATCCAGGTCTTCAAGCTCAAGATCCAGATCTAGGTCTAGATCACGGTCCCGCAGGCGTAGCAGGTCTCGCTCAAGGTATTTACTTGATTCTAGTTTACTAATTTGCCCGATCTAATTTCGGTTTAACATGTTAATTTATTTCTAGATGTAATAGTCATTTTTTATAATTTTTAAAACTGTTCGCACGAACAATGTAATCGCTTGGTAAATGATTTGATTTTACATGAAACGTTTGTGGGCTCATTAACTGTTCTAATTTATCTTTCTTTGTAATTGAATATAGTTTTTTTTTGTTTCTTAATGAATGGTGCCTTGCTGTAGTTCAAATGTTAATAACTCATTGATTCTTTTGGAATTCATGAATTTACTTTTAGTTTTGTGGCTAATTTTTAATTGATACTTTTCCTTGCCCACCTCCTGTCTTAGGCACTAAAGTATCGGTCATCGATAGATCATGTATGACAACTTTTCTTTGATTGAATTTCATTTCATTTATCGAGCGGTTATAGTTGATTCGGAAAACTATTTTTCAATTAACAGTAGAATTTCTATTAAGTAGAAGACTAAATTCTGCTAAATTTCGTTCTTGGTGAATAACTTCTCCAACGGAATTCAATTAATAATTGTTTAGTGATAATCATGTCATTGATAACAAATTTGATCATAATGAGCGGAAACACAATGAAAAACTTTTTTTCTGTGTGCTTAGGAGCCGCAGCCGCTCACGTAGCCGTAGTCGTCGTAGCAGTCGCTCCAAGTCGAGGCACTCGAAATCCAAATCTAAGTCCAAGTCCAAAAGTCCTGAGCGTAGCCGCTCACGTTCCGTGTCCAAGTGAGTACCTGGTGCAGTCCCACCTGGGGTTTTTTTAAGTTTTGTTTATATTCTTAATAAAATTTATGCTTGTTGAACATTGTTATTTATTCAGTTTACTTGCATGTTTCAGTTTTTAGTTATCAAAATTAATTTTCATAAGTCTTCTTGACATTGCATTACGTTTATTGAAATAAAATAATAATAACACACTTATCTACTTTTAGATCAAAGGACCGTTCTAAGTCCAGAGATAAGTCTAGGTCCAAGAGCAAATCTCGCTCTCGCTCAAGATCAAAGAATGATAGATCCAAGTCTAGATCTCAATCAAAATCTAAAGTCAAGTCTCCATCAAAGTACGTATAAATGAAAATTTTTTAAAATAAAACTTATTCAATGCCAGCATTTGACTAAAATTTATTGTTCTTTCCAGGGAAAGATCTCGTGAAAGTCGAGAGCGCTCTCGTGGCGACCGCTCCAGATCAGGATCTGAGCGAAGCAAACATAGCAAAAGCCGCAGCCGTTCTGCATCACCAATGAATGGTCTTAAATCTCCCAAAAAAGAAGAAGATTAGATTGATAGTTATGTAAGGGAATGAAGAGTGAGCGGGAGAAAATGAAAAATACCAATTACTTTAATTACTCAAATTTTTTAGTTTTCAATGTAGAAGACTATGATTTCCAATAAGCCAATAGTTACTAAATAATTTTTTCCTTACCCTTTTGCTACGCACATTGGTATTTTTTTTTGTAAAATTTTTCCATCATTGTAAAACATAAGGGTACTAATGTCATGATAACCTTGATGATGTAAAGGTTTAACTATGATTGAGTTGACAAATTGAAACGTTAATTCGATTTTTTTTATTCATGACCAATTATAATTAGGGTGTCAATTATATATTATACTATTTTAAGTTTTAAAAATCAACGTTAAAACTTATTGTAATCCGTATAAACTAATATTGGCACGCCAAACACATTTTTTAAACTTCGTCTCTTACAAATAATGTCATTTAACAATGCTTTTTGTTAAAACAAATTTAACTCTAGGTGTACACGATTCATAAAACTACCTTGAATCAAATTTTAAATATTAGTGCAGAACATGCTAAGAATGATTAAAAATTGATGAAAGACAAAAGACAAAAAAAGAATTCTCATTATTTAAGGCACCCCATAACCCTCTTGCCTATTCTTCAGGTAATGTGGAAAAATTCCTTTTGGCTTTTTGTAAATATTTTCCTACTTTTTTTTCAATAATTAAAAAATTATGAATGAGTGACTTTGTATAGTTAAAAATGTGAGATTTAGTCTCAAATATTTTTCTGCAATTTCACTGGAGAAATAATTGATATTCATTTTTAAATTCACGAAAAAATGTCAGTGTTAATGACTAAACAAGTATATCAACTCGATGGATGGATAGCCTTCCAATATACGGACGATTGAAACTATTTTCATCCATTTACTAGAAAACTAGCGAGTACCGTTGGATTGGTTACCATTCAAACTTTTAAATAATCTAATTGTAATTACTTTCATCAGTCGATTAAATTCTGCACTCTTTTCACTTAATTATGGCTATTTACAATTGTATTTAAAGTAAAAGTATAGACAATAGTTTCATTTATATTTTTGAAACGTGAAATGTTCTAAATATCTATTATACATAGAGTTTTCAAAATAAATATGATTTGCCGAACTAAAATTGTTAATTCTCTCATCGATCCACAAAAAGTGTCACTTGGATGAATCACCAATGAGTCATATCCGATCGATTTAGATTCGAAAATTTTCCTCGAAATCGAGATTCCCAAAAATCACTGAGATACCGATAAAGACGACAACGCAGTTACCTCGCGGCACCGGTCTGCGCGCAAAAAATTGTAGGGGGCGTCGACTCCGACTTTACACTCTGCAGCCTGTCAAAAAACGAACGTCGGCAGGCAGGACGCGCGGCGGCCGGCGGGTAAGGGTAATCTGCTCCGCTCCGACTCCTCCAGCTCGAGGCTCGAGCGGTGGCGGCGGCGGCGGCGGCGCGCTTCGCCGAACGCGTACAGTTCGCTCGCCTCGCCGTGTGCAGTTTGCAATTCAGTCGCAGCCCGAGCCTCAAGCCGTCCGAGACCAGTTCCGATTTTATAGAAAATACAGTACGCATCATCATTGTATATACATATATATTTATATAGATAGTTGCATTCTCATCCTCTTCTCCTATATACCCGTTATACTCCGCTTTTTCATTCGAGCCGGTAAGTCATCTCTCTCTGTCATGGATCTTTGTGCAAAAAAGTGATTCGCCGAAATTGCGAAAAGTGCGTATATGTAACATGCCAAGTGTCGATATATACATTCGGTTATACGGTGCGGTGCGGTATATGTATGCGTGTGGGCGACAGGACGCGCCCTTGTGCCCCGACTCACACGCACGTATCTGCGGTAGCTTCCTTGCACACAAGCACATCTCTCTGTTCGCCGCTACAGAAATTATTACATTTATTAACTTGCTTTTTGAGCAAAATATTTTGCAAGGCTGTGAATGTTGTAGATACGAATGAGAAATAAAGAGCGAACTTTATGGTGCAGAGATGCTGCTGCTGCTGCTGCTGCTGCAGGGGGCAATAAGGATTCGTGTGCGTGTGCGTGTGCTGCTGCTGCTCCGCAATATACAGCAGCATAGGATTGGCTTCTGCCATTTTGCTCCTGCTGATATACAGTGACTAACATCGTGCCTATTCACAGAGTGAGAGAGAGCCGGCTTTGCTCCGACTTAGTCATTTTACGCTCGTTTGGGCTATCGTTATCATTTTTCTTTCTTTTCTCGCTGCTTTTCTACCTTTCAACCGAAGTAGTACCATTTAACTCTCGACGGTCGGAAGGATAATTCGGATGCACCGCACGGAGGTGTAAAAGGACTCGTGCTCCGATTGACAATAATAATAACAATAACGAGTGTCGTCTGGAACTCTTTGTTTTCTTCTTCTCTGCGATCGATAAATCGCACTTATAACTCGTAAAAATAATAATTGTTTTGTCCCCTTGTGTGCGTTACGTGTAAGTACGCGCTCGCGGGCCGCGACGATTATTCATCGCGTTTCTTTGCGCGGCTTGGCTATATACTCGAAGACTCCGTTCGGCATATATACATATACGCATTATTATGACTTATGTGTTGTACCGTATCGTCGGTATGATGAGTACATCGTGACACACACACATAACACACTGTCTATGTACATTCGATCCGTTACACTTTTGCGCGATCGACGACTACACTTATACAATAATATACATACGTACTCAATCATGTTAGAGATAAAAAAGAATATCTCTCTCTCTCGTTCTGCCGAAGACTTTGTGTGTGATGTGCTGTGTCAGTATACATGTGTGTATAAACATCGAAAATTTCGCTGGCAAAACTGGATTCTTGTGGCTCTGCGTCATCTCTCTCTTTTTCTCTCTCTCTCTCTCTCTCTCTCTCTCTCTCTCTATGTTTCTCGACGACTATACGGGGCGCGCTTGTATTGCTCGAGGCTCTCTTCGATACAGCTGCGATATGTCGAAATTCGCACGCAATTGCATTATATTGGCCACACTCTTCTTTTGTGTGTGTGCGACTGCCGCTGCTGCTCGCATTCATCGTGACGATATTTCAATTTCGTCTTCGAAGCGGGGCCGATACGCGAATTTATTAATGTAAATAATAAAGTAATCGAGAAACGAGCGACATCGCGTGCGTCGCGGAACATTCTTGCGGTCAGAGAGAAAAGAAGGAAGAAGAAGAGTTGAAAATTTAAGCCGGGGCAGATGTTGGACGCGCAGGTGTTTATATAGTATAGGTACGCGCTGTCGATCGGGGTGTACAAAAAATATTTTAGCATCGTTAAATAGCATTCCTTTTTTTTTTTTTTTTGTATAAATTGAAAGTCAATGACGTAGCGGAAGTCAGTCGATACCATGTAGATATAACGTTTGAATCTTCGTCGCAGGACAACGACGACGACGACGACTACGACATGCGAATGAGCAATGAGCTTAAAGACTCTTCAGATCATTGTTATCGATCAAGGATGACTCTTTTTTCTTGGTCTTCATTCCTTCGGTAGAATTCTCAATCGTTAGCACTCTTCTTCCAAAGGGATGTATGTGTCTGTGCATGTGTATTATTTCAAGGTTTACGTCATCGATGAGTGTGTAGAGCGCAGCGGAATAATAATCCAAAATATGATTCACTCGACCGCCGATTCGATCGTTTTTCTGTGTTATTTCTCGCAACATCGCGCTTTCTTGCAATTTGTCACGCAGAGTACAAAATTCGCGCATACTGTCTGTGTACACAACGCATAGCGATGCGCCCGCTTACAAATATTTGCTCCACATAGCCGTTGTTACATATTAATATTGGCTTACGACAGCAGCAGCAGCAGCAGAAAAAAAAATACGCGTCAATTTTTCAATCTATTTGTTACTTTTTGCAACCTAAAACTTTGCATCCCGTGGACACTTGAATTTATGCGTATGCATTACTGCGTAGGCGTGGCTACGTCTCGGCGTTTGACAGGTCAGCTATAACCGCGCGAACGATTGATAGTCAACAGAGTATGTAGAAACAATATATATATAAGTGTACAAGTGCGTCACGCGCTCTGGCACATGTGCGCTAAGGATATGTGTCTCTTTTATCAATCGAGCCAGAAATAATAATATCTAAACGGAACATTTTGGCGACGCACCCAAAGGCTTACGAATATGATTACAAAAATAGAAGCTGTTTCGACGAGTCTCGAGGTACTCGTGCGCGATATACGTGGCCATAAGGGAATTTCCAAAATTGCCGTCGAGCTTTCGCAGACGCGCGGAATGCGAGAATTCCTCTCTATCTACTATCTATCTATCGCGCTGCAGAGACCCGCCAGGCTCGTGCGTCGATCTAAAAGAGCGTGTTGAACTTGCGATTGATTTCGACTCTCGGGATTGTTGTTTGCCTATAGCCAACATTTACCGGCTTTTATACGCGTACTTATAGCAAAAAAAAAGAAAAAAAATCGTGTACATCGTCTCGACTTTCCGCGTACCCCGCAGGTACTACTCAGATCGATTACAGCCAATTGAGAATGTGCACTTGTTTATCCTTTCGAAACGTCGCATTCTTCTTCGTCACCTTTCAACGACATGCATGCGCGAATCGCGACGATTGCTCATGGCGCGCATAGTGCTCATTACATACGCGCGGAGGGCCAACGACCTCCTAACTGTGCATTTTTCTCGCGGTCTTATTAATCGTAGGTGTCAGCAGCAGCACGCGCGATTGCGAAAGGAGTCAACGCGCGAAATTTCTTCCTCTTTTTTTTTTCTGTCGAATCGATCGTGTGCGGCACTTTTTCATGGTTGCGTGCTTATACTTTGTTTATAAGTACGTACGCGCGCCGCGCAACTTGTCTATACAGCAGGAAAATCAATCCTCTCTCGCGTGTGCGCTGCCGTATAATATCATTTACAAAAGCCCATCGGTATTCGATGTTGATTTTTTTTTCTCTCTCTCTCTCTTCTCCTCTTTATGCTCTTGACTGTTAGTGCTGCACGAGTCGCGTGCGCGCCGCTGCTACTGCAGGGTGAAAGTATAATTTCGTGCTCGTGTATACCAACGAAAATTCGACTCCTCGTGTGTTATCCCGTGTCTCGAACTGCGCGCGGGTTGACGCGCTTTAAATTCCGGATAGAAAGTCTCTCTCGTTCGTTTTGCTCATTTCCTTCGATACTCGCCAAAGTCTTAAACCCATTCGGTGTAAATCATTCGCAGGAGGAGGGCATTTTTCATCCCATTTAAAAACAAATCAATTTTAAGAGTCCACATGCGCCGCAACGCGCGCGCGAAGAACTCGCCTCTGGCCGTTGGAGTTTGATTTTTCCTTTTTATTATTGCCGCCGCGTTGTTTACTGTACAATACAACGGCGCACAACTTTCACTCGCGCAACTGCAGTAGTCGTCGCTCGCTGTATTCATATATATATCCCTTTGGAGTCGTACACACACTCACATCGATGTGCCGTAATTTATATTTTACCGGCGTACGACACATCATCTCTCCAAACAAGTTTGACTTTTACTTTTATTTATTATTTCTCGTATCGATTATTATTAGCGACAACTTGTATACGATACGAAATTCTAATGTGAACTTTTTCTCGCGCGCCGCGCGGCTTCGTGACGCTTTTCACCGCGCGCGTCAATTCCCGCGAGGATCGTTGCAAGATACTTTTATGGTTTTTCGGTGTTTCACGTTATATTATTATTATTATTATTATAGGCAGCGGCCCCCATCGCAGTAGTAGCCGCGCGATGCATCGGGGGAATGCAAGGAATCCTTGACTCGCACAGATAGATATGCAAACATTATACACTCGACTAATCGAAGCACACAACACTGTGTGTATGTATGTATTTATGTATGTATGTGCGGGCGATGAGTCACCACCATCGCGCACAGTTACTGCGTTTCGCGCATTATTATACGTACGTCGCATATAAATTTCCTCCGTTATATTAAGAAAAAAAGGAAAAAAAAAACAACGTCACTCGTATCTCATCAATTAGTTTGTATCATATAGCCGTACGGAGAGAAAGTTTCCCTTATTTTCGAGAGACTCGACGTGGAGAGATGCCATATCTTCCTTTCTGGCAGTGGCTAAGCGAACCAGCCAGAGCCTATTTATATATATAGTAGAGAGAGAGAGATACAAAAGACACGAATTTAGCAGTAGGAACAAAGGAAACTCGAGAGAGTCCATTGTCAGGACTCGCCGCGGAGAGGGACTTTCTAATCGCGAAAACCTTTTCGATTTATATAGAAGCTTGAAATCACGCATCGACGCTCCTCGCGCGAGACTTTCTTGTCGCTGCCTTTTTTTTTTCGCGTCCGCGTCTCGAACATATAAAAGACAAAGATCGGCATGCACGAGTGCCAAATCGTTTAATTACAATTAAATCGAGAGAGAAGTAAAAAAAAAAAGTACGTTGCAATTTCATCATCTTCGCTCGTCGCATTATACACAATTGCACAAGGCTGAAATTTGAATCGGCCGCACAACATCCGCAATCCAGCCGAAGCCCTCGAATAATCCCGACGCACATCGTCGTCCCTCGCGTATATAATACGATGTGATCCATCGGAGCGTTTGTTAATTTAATTAGGCTTTCCACGAAGTGGCTACTACTGCACGTACACCATCGTCGTGGGTATGTGTTATGTAGTATAGTAGCCCTCTCTCTTTGTTTCCGGGCTCGCAGTGCACTACATAAACGCGAGTAATCTGAAATTGATATTATATCGCGTTTTTAGTGCTTTGAAAGGGGGATCGAAATTACGCACTTTGCCATTTTTTTAGCGAATTCCGCGTTGAAACTTCGAGCATGGATTATTTATCGCTGCAAAAATTGTGTGCAGACTGCTCCAAAGAGAAAGTACCGACGAAAATCAAATCTGAACCCCCGGATTTTCGTGTCCCATTTTTTTTTATAATCTAAAACGCGCGCCGAAAAATCTGCCGATCCGATTGACTTACTTTTTGGGTAATGCACGATTTCCTCGACTTTGCTTCTTAACGGTATTCATAAACTGTACAACTCTTGTAATACAATTGGGAGATTCGCGGCCAATGATACAGCTCGGATGGGGTGCATATTATACACAAAGAAATCGTTCGTCAATCCAAAACTCGTATATACTTTTTTGTCCCTCTCTCAACAGAAATTAAAATCAGCAAACATCTCGTACCGGATTTCTATATATTATAATACACATTAGTATATTATTGCTCACTCGTGAGATCATCTACGAAAACGGCCTTTTACGCAATAACGATCGCACAATGTGACTCCGCGTCGATCGAGAGACAGATCGTCGTAGATTCGTATGTAATTCCCTGTGCGCCTCGCGCGCGTTAATTTATTCGGTGCATTTAATAGCGAGCAATTTAAATTCCGCGAAACAACAACGAGCAGTAGCAGCAGCATCTCGTGAGTCGTCCGTTAGCTTCGTTAGAAAAAAGAAAAAAAAATAACATCGCCTCGAGGAGAGCTCATTGACAATTCGGTATTATTTCACGTCATTATAAATACGTGCGTGTGTGTGCATTATTTTAAAAATATATACTGGCATTGCTGCTTGCCCAGAGGAACGGCTACTTGTCTTCTATACGTCTCGCTGATTCCGTTCGATTCTGGCAAACACACGCGTATCGTATACATGCATGGTGGCACATGTGCGTGTCATATGTTAATGTATATATGCCAGTCAAGTCCGTTGTTTCACTCCGCTTGATAAAGTACGAGTACATAGAGAGACAAAAAAACTACGGGGAGAAAAAATTGCGAAATCGCGCAGGGTTCGTTTATATACGCGCGTACTTTTATAATATAAACCCTGTGCCGTCTACTTTGTACAAGGCGTCCGAGTTTTTCGTAATAGAAAAAAAATAGACATCGTTGGCGGCTCTGCGAGACCGCAGCAGAGAGAGAGAGGCCAATTATAAAAATAAAACCGCGAGGAAAAGGAGCAAGACCGAGAAAGATCGCGCGTGCGAAACCTTGAGCGTGTCAAAACTTTTAGAAGAGCGAGATAGAAAAAATACTCGCGCGTCGTATACGCAGTACATATATCTTGTGCGCAGAAAAAAAGAGAAGAAAAATCGATCCAAGATTCATTGGTCGAGTAGCAGTACCAGTAGCTAGTAGTAGATTCAACGAATTATGTATACGCGACTATACGCGACTATTTTCACATCGTCGGCGGCGCCGGCTTGATTCTCGCGGTGCGACTGCAGCGAACTTAGTCAACCGTCGTCCTCCTCGCGCTCTATAGGTGCGCACGCAGTTAAAAGGTGTGCAGCAGCGCAATGCCGTCCCAGTTTTCCTATTAAAGACTAATTTCGCTTTATATGTTTATATTCGGTCGCTGTTTTTTTTTTCTTCGTCTCTATCTATCTATCTATCTATCTATCTGTTGCTCATTGCTCGCACACGGCCTCTCTGCAGCAGCAAAAGCTATATTCGATTAGACTTATAATACCCAGCTCCTCGTTGTCGGGTTCTAAGGCCCCCCCCTTTGTCTCTCGTACTCGCGAGCCGTTACTCGGGGGATTTTCTTTTCTCTTCTACGAAAGCCCGCTGTATTAAACATATATAGCTGTGCGCAGTTCGCGTTATGTAGTCACGAAAGCACCCGAGGTAGTTTATATTATAATGCATAATATATAAGAAACGTTTAAAAAAGAACATAGCTGCTATCGGAAATCCGACGATTTATATACACGAGTTTTACCCCGTGTAACGAGTCTTCTGGTGCGTAGGTGTGTGCACTCGGACGCGCATCATCATCGTCGTCTCTCGGTGCGCATACATACGTATATTTTGCAATGAAAGACGATAATTCGAGGCGGCAATTAATCAAAGTCGAGCAAGTCGACCCACGCGCTGCACTTCGATGATGACTGTAGCCCCGGTAATGCACACCGCTGTGCACATTCGCCATAGGCGATTATGCATCTTTTGAAACTACGAGAGTCGTAACGATTGTCTAAAAAAAAAAAAAACTCGGCGTGTATAGACGGTATACAGTATGGAATCGGCACGTTCCCTCATTTTTTTTATATCATTGGCGTGCTACACTGCACGCGCATACACATTTATCGCGTGCGGGTTTCGTCTTGCTAACTGTAAATTCAAAAAACGCCGCCGCCGCCGCTACCGAACGGACTTGTTTTAATTTGCGCTGGTTCGCGATCGCCTCTTGCCGCTGCGCTGCGTGTATAATTGCTCAGCTGGCCGTGTATTAATTAGCAGCTGAACACAGTAGCAGCAGCTTTGCTGCTCCGAATTATGTTGCGTGTCCAGTGCACAAGCCTGTGCAGCAGCAGCAGCAGCAGCAGCACATTTTTATACACACATCACGAAACTGGCGAAACATCATCAGCTCGTAGTATAGTAGTAGTAGTTGTGGACCTTAACGCGCGACTGGACTGCGGTGGTGTTGCGAGTTGGGTCAGACGCTTGACCCTAATTTCGTTTCTCTCTCTCTCTCTCTTTTACACACATCGACCAGAGAGAGAGAGAGATAATTTTGCAATCGGTCGGGTTTTCTCTAAAACTTTAATCGACGAACAAAATTGTGTAACGCAATCGATCTTCTCTCGACGATGAGTTTATTTTTTTATTTTTTTGCCACGCTATCGAGAGCTCGTCGAATTACGAATCCACAAAACACTCGTGATGTACTTGTACGTTATACACGTAACGCAGTTAAAGGCTTATCTGATTGTATGTATACACGGGTAAATGAGCTGTACATCTCTCGAGGGAAGCTCTCGTCGAGATGACTCATTTATGTACGCGAGTCTATACGTATCGATCGGTTGTATGGCAATTTACCGATCGGTCTAAACTTTCTGTCGGCTCGTGGCACATATATTAGGTGTGGCTGCACAATATATATAACGAATTGTTCGCGAGGCACAAAATTGCATGAGGTCGCGCGTGGGCGATACACACTATGCGTCGGAGCTTTGAAAGTTCGACCGTTTGGCTATTCGGGTCAACTTTTTTTTTCGTTCAATAATGAAATTATCTCTCTAATGGGCTGTAAAAGTCGTTTACGCAACTTGACAAATCACCGCCCGGCCTTTATTCAGAGATTCGATCGAGAAAGAGCCTTGGCTTCTCTGTTATCTCTGTTTTATATAGCTACCCTTCTTTCTCTTTCTCTTCCTACACTTGAAATATTATGTCGAGTACGCGTGTCAAGTTGAACGCACTCCAGAGCGAGAGAGAGAGAGCGACAAAAAGGAGAATAATTCCAACGAAATAAATGAAATAATTTTTTGATACATGTCGTGCGTCGTTGTCGTTGCACAAGCGTACTCGACGCACAAAATGCAAATTAATAAAAACGTCGAGTTCTTTTGCCATCATCTCGTCGATGGTCCATTATTTTGTGTATATAGTACTCGAGTGTCAACTCCTCGACTTTGTGGAGAGCACAGCTGTATAACAATCGCATAACGTTACATTGCGAATATCTCGCTTGTACGCACGAGTCGCAACTTCCGGTCGCGCGTCGCGCGCGCGCGTAAATATGTACACGCGAGAGATAAAAGTCATTACACTCGGTCGCTCGCGAGGAGGAGTGTGTTAAAAATCACGGAGTACATGTTATGCTTTACACGCGCGAAAAAGTGTATACATAATATATAACCTTTGTACGGAAAAGGAGGCAGGATAATGCGAGTTAATCGATGGCCGAGTTTCGTGAGAGAGTAATAATATAATCTTTTAAAGCTTAGAGAGAGATCGCTGGCACACACACAAGAGAGCTGTTTTACATACAAACGCGGAGTTCCGTTACTGAACCCTTCTTTCCTCCTCCTCCTCTTTCCTTTCTTTCTTTCTCTCCTCATTCTGCAGTCGTCGCGCGCGGGACAGCACAAAAGACATTATACTCATTCGTATTTTTTTTTCCTTTTTTTACGCAGATTTTTCATTAGAAAACAGTCAACATGTCCGATCCAACCAGTCCATCGCTGAAGAATCTTCCCAAAGTCGCCGTCGACCTCAAGAGCGAGCTCGAGGGCTTCGACCACAGCAACATGAAGAGGGCCGAGGTCAAAGTGAAGAACGTCCTGCCCTCCGCCGAAGGTAAATTTTAATATCTTTTTCGATTATATAAAAACGAGTTATTTGCAGTTTTAATTTCTATTGACACGTCTCTCCTTTTTTTTTATCTGCACAGACCTCGCCGCAGCCAAGACTCAGCAAACGCTCATCGCCGGTATCGAAAAATTCGATACGTCGCGATTGAAGCACACGGAGACGAACGAAAAGAACCCACTGCCCGATAAAGAGAGTGAGTTTTGCGACAAATCGAACTTTTTTCAATTTCAAATCTAATCTCCAGCTAGGCCTCCCGTAACGAGAAACAATATTCAATTTTCCAGTTATCGAGCAGGAGAAGGGAAAGCAGCAGCTGATGTCCGGAATTGAAAACTTCAACCCGTCCCAGCTGAAGCACGCGGAAACCCTCGAGAAAAATCCTTTGCCAACCAAAGAAGGTACGTGTCGCCCGACTGATTATGATACTATAGTTGTATTAAATGAACGTTACGCTTGTATTTACTTTTCATTTTATTTTTACAGCAATAGCCGCCGAGAAGCAAGCATGAAGCGCGTTTCCACGAGCAGTATAACTACAGAAAATAAATACAGTGATGACGATGCGTATTCTTTCATATACTTTATTATTATGATATAAATATTTTATAATAAATATCGATATCTTAACCAGATCGATTGTGTCAATTCAAGAAAAGAATAAAAAGCAAAAAAAGAAATTAACACCAATTTCGTATTAACATAAAAATAATATGAACTATCGCTCTTTCGTACTCGCGTTTATCGTAATTAATTGCTCGCTCTCTTTAACATGATTGTGTTAATTATCGACGTGTACTCGCGTCAAATTTCCTATATCGTTGAATGACAAAGTACTGTTTGATTCGTGTACATGCGAGGAAAATGAGAAAGTTCCAAAGGATATCAATCGAATTATTTAGACACAGTGCTTCTGATTTTTCGACAGTTGCTTGGATTGGTTTGTTGTAATTTTCAATCGGTTTGCGAATGAGAGAGTAATTATTCAAGATACCATCCAAAAGATACCAAACAATCGATTCTATAATGCTACGCAAGTATATAATTAAACATGTTCTCTGAATTATATAGAATGTATATTCAGAATATGAGCCAAATTAAAAAAAAAAAATTATCATTTAAGGGTCACATTTTTATATAAAACTCTTTACTTTGAGTCAAACTAATTAATGATCCAAGCTCGATCTCGAAAAAAAAATAAAACTAAAATAAAAAGTAAACTAGCATGCAACTAAAATGCGATACAATAAACTATGCAAAAAAACGGTGCAACGTCGAAATGATAATTGCAAAAATGAATATTTTCTATATTGTACTTTTTACATTCATACAACATTTGTATTATCATAAAACAATATGATGGAATAAAAATTAATTTATACAAATATTTCAAGTCGTTATCAATTGTCCGAACTCGGCTTAGAATTTCTAAGGCTGATCCTCGTCGTAAGTGTGTTTACACACACGCACAAACTTATCAACGCAGCGTCGTAGTTTCGATACCCAAACAAGATTAAATTTTAGGCAGTTTTGATAGTTGGATCGATCCGTCGAACGTGATCGAATACGTGTGTGTGCGCAGGATAAAAATGAATCGAAATAGTCCAAATTTGTAGTGAATAATTTGTGAACCATGCGTCGTTCCTCCTCTCCAAAAAGGTGTTGCGACACCTCGTTCAACCGCGACGCTGCTCCGAATAGAAGGTACCAGTTCGATTTTCATCAAAATTATGCCTTCTTCACGACATTTTTCATCTCAGCTCGAGTCGCTCAAGACTGAATACCACGGAGCAGTTGCAGCACCGAGACAGCGAGTCTCGATTCGCGAATGGATTAGAATCGGTGCGCAGTTACGCGTCGTGCGTGCCCTACGCTATTTTTCACTGCTGCACTCTCGGCTACTTCAGAAGAACGAGGCCTGCAGCAGCCAAGTCGCGTTTCTCGTCGGCCTACACGACCAGTCTGCTGAAGAAACGCCTGAACGAGGGCTCGTTGTGGCAAAAGTATCTGCGAGGATGGTCGGCCGAGCTGGTGAAAAATCTCTACCTGATGATCATCAACGTCCTGCTGCTGGACGTGTGGCTGCTGAGCAGAGCCGATAAGTGGCGGCGCGGGCTGTTGCAGCGGGAAAAATACAAACTCCTGAGTGCCTTGATCGTCGTGCCGATAGGTGAGGGGGTGTTTTTTCGTCGTGTATTATTGTCGACTTATGTACGAGAATTTTGTAATGATTTTATAGCTTATCTGAGTTTGTCGTTCATCGCGTCGGCACCGATCGTAGGAGTTGAACCCGAGCCTTCAGGTTTCAGTCAACAGATTTCGGAGACGGCACAGATGTTGGCGGTCCTTCAAGATTTGCAGCTGCGTTTAGACAACATCGGAGAAAAACAGTCTCGAACAAAAGTTCATTTTTTTCCAATTTATTTTTATTCCAATCTGGTTGAGCTGCAGTTTTTACCCATGGAATTTGTTTTCACAGGTATATCTGGCTGCTTTGAAACAAAAGTTGGAGGAGTTACCGAGGGACAAAGTTCTGAACGATAACTTTGATAACGAAAATTTAACATCGATCAGAGCTGAATTTCAGACTCTGAAGCTCATCTTCGAGCAGCTCAAGAATCACTGTACCGCTCCCACCAACGACGAAATCATGAGACGACTGATCGATCGTCAGATGTCGACCTACTTCGGGGAATCCGTGACGCGCGACGAAGTGATCCGACTCTTGAAGCGAATACTCGACTCGATCGATCGTCGAAACGACTCCAGCCTCGTCGTCGGCGTCCAGGACGTCGAGCGAATCTCCCTGGAAGAATTGAGCCGATACCGCGCCGACAAGACGGCCCGGGTCGACTACGCGGTGGAGTCGTCGGGCGGCGAGGTGGTCTCGGTGCTGCCGAGCCGCTGCAACGACGCCCACGGCCGTCACGGCTTCCCCAAGGCCGTCTTCACGATTCTCGGCATTCCCGTGCACGTGCACGACGTCAACAATCCCCGACTGGTGATACAGGCCGGGCCCCTGTACGTGGGCAAGTGCTGGGCCTTCCGGGACTTCCAGTGCCGGCTGCTGTTGAAACTGTGGCGGCCCGTCAGGGTGACGGGTTTCAGCCTCGAGCACGCGCCCAGGTTGAATCTGCCCAACGGCGACATGTCCAGCGCTCCGAGGGAGTTCAGCGTCGAGGTGAGTTTGATCGATCGACGGGCATGAATAGCTGCTGTACACGGATGACACTTGCGATGTTATTTTATTTTCGACTAGGGCTTGGTGTCGCCGGACGATGAAAATCCTGAAAATCTCGGAGACTATCAGTTCCTCGAACTGGATGACAATCTCCAGTACTTTTCAGTAAAAGTAAGTTTGAGCGGATAAAATTGATCGTCGCTCATCGAATGTATAAAACTGTTTTACAATTATTTTTCCTCTTTCAGAATAATACCACATCGTCGGTTATGCATCAGTACGTGCGACTGCAAATACACAGCAATCACGGCAATTCGGATTACACCTGCCTTTACAGATTTCGAGTGCATGGCGATGTGCCAAACACTTGATCATTGAATTGGGACTCGTACAGTTGATTGTGCACATAATGATTTGAAAAAAGATTTCTAATGTGTATCAAATCTTTGTGAAAAGTTAAATTTGTTGAGTGTTTTCCCGGAAATAATTTCCGACTAGAAGAAAGCTTTGTTATTGATGTGGTCTCTTTTGGACCCAAAAAACCGTTCAAAAAATTTTGATTTTGTTTAGTATCGTCAGTTTTCACGATTTTTTTGCTAAGTTTAATCAGTTGTGCTTCTGTTATAATAAATTATTTAATTGTCATTATCTGTTCTCATTTATCGAAGTCATTATTGATCATTTTTACATTTTAATATTGCTTTAGTGTATTACTGTAATTACATTAAAATTTTAAACTGAGGTATGTTTTGCATCCCAGGACAACTAAAGACTGGGCACAAAAGAATCCTTTTGAAAATTGGTATCATCATATTTAAATCAAGTAGGAATCCTATGAATGAAAAAAATCCATTTATGCAATAGTATGACGAAAAATGTCTTTTTTCGCACATTTTTTAGTGCGCAAAAAGCGTTTTTGGACACTTGTGTGCGGTAAATGCCTCATTTTGGACACGGGTGTGCGGTAAAACGCCTCATTTAAATGAAAGTATTTTTCGTCTCCTATTGCATAAAATTTTGTATGCAACACGTGCCCAGCTTTTTGCGCACAGTGTGCGGAAAAAACACCCACTCGTGCCGGCATAGCCGGCACTCGTGTCTTTTTCCGCACACTCGTGCCCAGAAACGCCTATTGGGCACTTGTTACATAAATAACTATTTCAGCGCGTAATTTTGAATTTATAGTTCGAAAATAAACTTTCATTGTTCTACTTGTACTCTCTCGTACTCTATCATCTCAATGTTCTCCATAAAATTAAAAAATATTCTTGTGCAAGTTTTATAAAATTTGAGTCCAGCTTCCAACTTTCTTTGGTTTAAATTGAATTATTAAATGGTTTCCTCGTTGAGTTTTTCGGTAAAAACTTATTTTTATTACCGCAATCACGTCACTATTATCATAACCAATCAGTTTTTCGGTCAATGCATGAAAATTTTCCACTAGTGCATGTTTGATCAATTCCTCATTTATCACGGAAGGTTTATAAAAAATCCAGTAGCCAACTAAAATGTTGTCCTTTTCACAGCTCCAAACAAGACGTAAAAAAAACTTCGAATTGATCTAATCATTGCAGGAATTGCTGATCGCAAAAATTAAGTAGCCAAAAAATGTACAAAAAGTAGTACAGGCAATCCCCGCTATTCGCGGTACTCAGTATTCGCGGTTCTTTAATTGAGCCATTGTTTCGCTATTCGCGGGAGTCGGATTCGCTTATTCGCGGTTTACTTCACGGTTGTTTAGTAATAATTTTAATAAAGCTGTGATGGATTTGGGTCAAAAGCTCAAGATTTTGGAGCTAATAAGAGAAGGAGAAAAAATTGCCATTATTGCAGGTAGATTCGAGGTTAATGAGTCAACTATTAGGTCTATCCGCAATAACGGGGATTCTGTTTCGGTATTCGCGGTTTCGGTATTCACGGTGTTTTTCGGGAACGAATTAACCGCGAATAGCGGGGATTACCTGTAATTAAAAGTTCGCACAATTTTTTTTAGTTTGACAATAAAGCACCAGCGCGCCAGTGAACGAAAATGTAATGATAGTTGAACGCCCAAGGTACAAGTAAAGCCCAATCCTTTCAACACAATTTTTATTTAAATTTTAGAAAACATGAGTTTAATTATCTATAGATATTCACAATTGTCAGTCATCATCTCTTCTCGTATTTGTCAAAACCAAAATCTTTGCGACCTTTATGGACTGTTTTTTGATGTTTTTTTTTAATTTCTTTGACCCCGAATTTTTTTCTCGCACTTATCGTAGTCTTTGCGACCTTTGTGTGCTGCTTTTATGTGCAATTACATTTATATCCGAATTTTCGTTCGCATTTGTCACATGCAAAATCTTTGCGACCTTCATGCACCGTATGTTTGTGTTTTATTAAATTACTTGAATTTCTTCTCGCACTTGCCGCATGCATAATCTTTGCGACCTTCGTGTATTGTTTTTTGGTGTAAAAGAAAAATCGATTTATGTCCAAATTTCTTCTCGCATTTGTCGCATACGTAATCTTTGCGATCTTCGTGGACTGTTTTTTGATGTGTAGTCAAATTACTTTTTTGTCCAAATTTCTTCTCGCACTTGTCGCATGCATAATCTTTGCGACCTTCGTGTATTGTTTTTTGGTGTAAAAGAAAAATCGATTTATGTCCAAATTTCTTCTCGCATTTGTCGCATACGTAATCTTTGCGATCTTCGTGGACTGTTTTTTGATGTGTGGTCAAATTACTTTTTTGTCCAAATTTCTTCTCGCACTTGTGGCATGCGTAATCTTTACGACCTTCATGGACGGTTGTTATGTGCAAGAGCAAACTCACTTTTTGTCCAAATTTCTTGCCGCAATTGTCGCATGCATAATCCTTGCGATCTTTGTGGACTACTTTTTGATGTTTGATCAAAGTGCTTCGTTCTCCAAATTTTTTCTCGCACGTATCACATGCGAAATCTTTCCGACCTTCATGCACTGTCTTTTGGTGTATGAGTAAATTCGATTTTTTTCCCAATTTTCTCTCGCATTCATCGCATGCTTAATCTTTACGACCTTCACGGGCTTTTGTCATGTGCATGGGAAAAGGCGATCTTTTTCCAATTTTCTTTTTGCACTTCTGGCACATAATATATTTGTAACCCTCATGGACTGTTTTTATGTGCAAGAGCAAACTATGCTTATTTACGAATCTCTTGGCGCACTTTTCACATAAGTAATCTTTGAAAACTTCGTGAAATATTTTTTTATGTTTGAATAAAGTTGATTCATTTTCAAATTTCTTCTGGCACTTGTTGCACGTTAAATCTTCGCGATCTTTATGTACTAATTTTTGATGCGTGACCAAACTCGATTTTTTCACAAATTTTTTCTCTCAGCGGTCACATTTAAAATCTTTGTGGCCTTTGTGTACTGATATTTGGTGTCTACTCAAATGACTTCGGAACTCAAATTTCTTCTCACATTTATCGCATGTGTAATTTTTCTGATCATTGTGAATTGTGTTTCGATGTGTTATCATACTTGATTCTGATGTAAATGCCTCCTGGCAAATATCACAAATATGTTGTTTGTCGTCTGAAACAACAATGTCTTGTTTACTTGAGTTATCTTTCCAGACAACTTCTTTGGATTGCTTCTCATTTTTATCCATTTTGGTGTCTGAATTAAACGTTAGATGCTTCTATTTAGTGCTATGGAAATTGAATAAGCAAAATTTATCTTTTGATATTGTGGCTTGAAAGACAACTTTCAAACTAATTTGTTTTCACAATAGACTTGATCAATGAGTCAAAGGACGATGTCGAAATCGTTTATGATCATATTGTTTACTATTAAGATACTGATTGATCTGTTTATAAAGTACCCTTACAATATTTGAAATAATAATTTAAAATTCTAACGAAGTAGGGCGCGATGCGATGCACTCGGCTTGTGTATAGTTTTGACTACTAGTCAGTGCACTTTACGACGCTACAGCCTAAACAACAACGTAGAAAGATCGTGTCAGCTATATAGCAAAAGCGACCATCGCGAAAAATTGAATAAATATCTTAAATTAATTATATTGTGTGTATGTGAGTGCGCCGAACGAGAGATATGTCTTCCGACCACGAACACGTCGAAATTTTTCATGGCGGAACTGATGGTAGAAGTTTGACGAGCTTGCGTGAAAAGACCAATTGGAATATTCAGGAAGAGAGACGCAAATTTCTTTGCGAACTTCATCCTTTAATAGAAAATTGGACCACTGCACTTCCCGATCTTCGAGACATTTTCCAAAAGAAAGAAATCGATCGTCTTGGCGCTGCACTACCCTGTGGTCCATGGCGGCCAAGCGGAGATCGTTCGAGTGCTCCTGCAAAAGGGCGCCGATCCAGGAGCGGCACGCTGAGGGCTGGACTCATTTGCACGTCGTTTGCTGCACTTGGCTCGGCCAAGCGAGACTGGTCGAGGTACTGCTGAGGAGAGGTGCGAATCTGAATCAAGCCAACGAGGCAGGAGAGACTCTTCCGCACGTTGTTCGAAATCGTCCTCGAGGCACGAGAGCGGGGGGTGCAGGTCGACCCCGTGGACGAATGGGACCGTACATAGCTGCAATGGGCGGTGGCGAATCTCAAGCCACGCGTGATCGATGCTCTCCTGGATCGCGGGGCCGATCTGGCTTGCTTCGATCTCCCAACCGAGAGTCATTTCGACGAGTGTTTCACATCGTACGAGAGCAAACAGATAGAATTTAAATTGAGACTCGCGTCTGGCGTCTTAGCCGTCATCGAACGTCTCGAGAAAAAAGGATACGAGCTGGATCGAAGCAACGCCCTGACGATCGTGAAATTGTTTTCCAAGTACAAGAACTCGTCGCAAAGCCTAATGAGGGCCAGGGTTGTAAAAGTTTAAATCAATTTTTAATTTAAATCCAGTTTAATTCACGAATCAATTTGATTTTGAATTAAAATTATTTTAATTCACGAATCAATTTTGATTTTTAATTTAAAATCATTTTAATTCACGAATCAATTTTGATTTTTGATTTAAAATCATTTTAATTCAGGAATCAATTTTGATTTTTGATTTGAAATCATTTTAAATCAAGAATCTGTTAGATAACTAAGCAATAAATACATGATGACTTTCAGAACTCTCTATAGAATGAAATATAACCCTTTGATCCTGATGACGACTTTAATTTCGATGTAAATAGCGATTTCTTAAATTTTAACGGTTAGTGAGAATCGCTCAGATACGTTTATCTCCCACATCAAATGCATCAATAAACATAAATTTTAATATCATAAATACGATATCTCTTTTCCAACATAACTTTAAAATTAAAAACTAAACGATTACAATTTAAAATTTATAACAAATAAAAATGACATAAATCAAAAATTGCGTCTTTACTTCCAGCGTCATTCTGTGAATTCGAATTAAAAATTCTCTTTATTTTTTTAAATTAAAGTATTATTCATTTATGACTGTGATATTATATCAAATTTAAATTATTATGATTTTCATTTCAGCTACATTTTACTATAGGCCGAATAAAGCAATAGCTGTACTAAAAGTATGAGATCAGGTTGAAAAGTGGACTTAAATTACTGAATTGGAAATGGTTGAAATTATCCTTAATTAAATTAAAATCAAACAACAAAAATTAGAAAATCAAGAGGCAAGGAGAGGAAAACAATATTTTTAATTTTCTATCTTTCTTATTCTTCTTTTCCTTTTTTTCATATCTTTTGAGGCCGTGTAAGTAAAATTAGGCGTAGATGGTCACAAAAAGTTTGAACTCATTTACCAAATTTTTCACTAACATTTTGTATTGTCGACTAAAAAAAAAGGGGGAAATAGAGTAAGTGTTGAATTTCCAATGTGGAATTATCCGCTTATTTTGATTTTGAAATCAGAATAAAAAAATTCTATTGTAAAATTTAAAATTTACGTTATGAACAAGCAGAACATGGGTTGAAGTATCAATTTCGTCATAAATGTTTTTAACGGTATCTTTTGCACCCAAGGAGTAAAAAGCTAGAAAATCTTACAGCGAATCTCAATGTTCGTCTTTGTTTAGGCTAATCACGTGCTCTAAAGATTTGTAAGTTGCTCATTCCCTGTAGGTGAAAAATATAATATTAATTGCAGGTGTGGCATTAACTGCTTATTTTGGAGTTGGATTGTTGGTACTGACGCCAGTTATACATACCGAACAAAAATCATTTTTCGCATGATTTTTTTATTGATGAAGAAGAATATTTTTATTTTTATTTGATTTTTGGAGTAATATGTACGGTAACAATGTGTTTGATTGGTGCCAGCTGTAACATCATCATTTGTTGTGTTTACCTGTTATACTGCTAAAAAATTTGAAAATATTTGGTACAGATAGAAAAGTTTCAACATGATTTGATTTAATAGATTAAGAAAAATATTTATTGTAGCATTGAATTGGAGACATTACAAACCCGATCAGGAATATTTGAAGGCTCATATACAAATTATTGTTCCCACGATTTCTGGTTTTGGAGAAAAACAATTCAGAAAATTCACGATCATAATAATTGCATAAAGTTAAGAAATCAATACTTTTTACTCTGAACACTTCATAATTTTTTTTTTTTTTAATTCAAATCGAAAAAAAGTCGGCAACGTACTGGATCATTTCTCTATTGCAGCTTAATTCAGATCCTTACTAGATTTTCAATGCCTGTTATGTTTACAATTGTATTCGGCATTGTAACTATCATGAGCTTCGCAGGATTTACAATACAATCATTTTGTGTCATTTTTAAAATTTTGCCCATTTTCAATCACGGTTTCGCATGGATTTAATAGCACTATCACACTTTTAAAAATATATCATTTTGCTAATTAGTAATAATGCTAATGAATATCTGTAGAGAAATAATAATATTTGTAGTAACGATCTCAAGTAATACGGTTCAACTAGTAGTTTGTCATTTAAGTAAATAATCTTACGTGACTACTTAAAAAGAATTTTGATCAATGATTAATTTGGATAAAAATAAATGACTCCTCTTCCTAATAAACTATTAAAACAAAAATTTTATCGTAGATGGTTATTCATTTGAAGAACAAAATGTTTCTTCAATTTCTTAAAATGGCACTGGCTTTTCTGTGTTGTAATTTGGCACTTATGATTATCTCCTATTTTAGCGAAAAGATTAGAGATTCAAGTAAAAATATCTGCAGTGCATGGTACTAATATATCATATAAGTCAGAATAATTAATAAAAATTTGCGTTAAATTTAATTCTGTGAAATTCAAATAGTTATAGTACTTGTTGGTATGAATTCAAACCTAAAGTTAGGTCTCTACTCTTACTGATGATGGTTCGAACCTTGCGTCCCTGTGGCCTGATGGCTTGTCCCGGTTTTCCGATCAATTACCCTATGGTTTCATTCGTAAGTATACCTCTTAATACATCAAAATGATTCGTATATTATTGCCTCATTAATTTTTCACAGGTTGTTAAGACAACCATTTCATACATAACAGCTTTAATGGCGATTCAGACTTGAAACAATGAACTAAATAATATGCGCTATAACTATTTGTAAAATTATACCTATTGTAAAGAATTGAGGAATAATTGCCTAGCACGTGATGCACCTCTGTGTTATCGAAATTATGTATAATTCAAAGTTAATCCTTCAAATTAAAAAAAAATTAAAGAATAATTTTCAAATATTGAATTCTATGAATAATTTTTCCTTTTAAATTTCGAATAAAGATAAAAAGATAGAAGAGGTCGATCACGCCTGTGTAATTGCAAATCCATGGGAATTATCAGTGGAGCGTTGGAAGAAGGCTATTCTCAAAAAAATTGTAAATCATATATTTATTTTGTAATAGTCAATTTTTTTCAAGATACACTTGACATACATTAAGTATATCTTCATTGTCCAAATACTTAATCAGATTTTCGCAACATAAAATAGGAAGTTTACCCTGCGTCAGTAACATTAAATATTTCAATCCAAAGTCAACGAAAAATGTTGTCATGAAACATTTGATTATGTATCCCTTAATGACATCAGATATGCAACTAAAATCGTGTTCGAATTCTTTTGATTTAATTACTGTCCAGAGCTTTGAATTTTTCAACAAGTGATATCTTTTTTTGGGAATAGATGCGCAAACATCCCAAAGGAATACACCATCTTTTATCTCTAATTTTTTTAAATTTTCAATTTCTATTGAAACTTCATCATTTAATCTACGAATATCTTCCTCTTTGAGCCTACAAAATCGGTTCAACTGTTGCAATTCTCCTTTGAGGTAATCTTTCATCTCGGTTGTCATAAAGCTATTATATTTTTCAACTATTAGAAGCTGTTTGTGTACTAGATTAGCGAAAAAAAAATCTTTGTCATCCGTCAGTAGCGAACGGATTTGCGTCAAAGAACCTGAAACAATATTAACTGTGTTAGATACATGTAGCTTACAGTTTGATTTATTATATCTTACCAACAAGTAATTTTCGTTCCCACTCCTCGATGAGCTCACTATGACTAATTTGATTGGTCAAAAATTTTAATACAATCAAACAGCTTGATTCATTCATTTTATGTCCTTTATCATTCAAACAATGAAGAATTAAGAAAAATTTGATCATTTTGTCCAACCACGATGTAGACCAATCATATTCCCAATTAAGTTTCGAGAAGTCAATACTTTGCACGTCGGCTCCATGTGCCAAAAGTACCTCAACCACTTCAAAGTTACAGCTTAAAACGGCCAAGTGAAGAGGTGATTCACCATTATCATCTTTCACGTTCACATCAGCTCCATATTTCAAGAGTGTTTTGATTAGCTCGATACCTACTGTATTTTGTTGGTTACCAAAAACCACGTCTATCTTACTCAATCGACATATATCGGACTTAATAAACAAGTGGAGTATCGACTGGCCGTTTTCAAATACTTCGTTTGCGTCAGCTTTATTTTTGAGTAGAGTTTCTAAGTTTTCACGATCACTAAATAACTTGGATACTCTCCAGGGTGCCCATGGTTGAGGATCGCAGCAATTATATTGCTCGTTGCAATTTTCGAAGCAAAGAAACAACGGACTTCTACCGTCATTGTCTTTTTCATTCACGTCGCAGTTGTAACTGATAAGAAGATCAAGTAGGCTCGAGTCTACTCCTTCATCTAGAAAAAACTTAAAGAATACGTGCAATGGATTTTTCCCCAAGTCTTTCATGTTTGGATCAGCCCCGTTTTCCAAAAGCATCTCTAGTATTTTGATTCTTTTAAATTCTGTAGCTAGAGTCAATGGTGATTCTTTGGTGCCATCCGCTAAACGCCAAATAAGATCAAGATTGTTTTTTTGATGAATAAATTTCTGCACCATCTCGATGTTGCCAGACAAACAGGCTGCGTGTAAATATGTAAATCCTTCACTATCGCTGCGATTTTCAAGTAACGCTGAATCTTTTTCACCTTTTAGGAGTTTCTCGAAATAATGATTAGTTATAATTTTCCACACACAATAATCTTTTTTTGCAGTATCTCTTTTAATGCGTTTAAGACAACTCAAAGGCTCCTTATTCCAGTCATCTAACGATTTAAGATCAGCACCACTGTCCAGTAGTAATTCTAACGTTTGACACAGTTCATTTTCGATGCATAACGACAATGGAGATTCTTTACGTCCATCTTTATAGAACGTTAGATTGATATCCACACCTTGATCAATGTATTTCTGCACCAATTCATTACACCCATACATACATGCTACGTGAAAATACGTGAATCCTTGATGGTCACTAAGATTTTCGTCCCCAATATAATTTAATAATTCATCAATAATACTATGAGATTGATCGTTCATCGCCGCAATATGAATTGCCGTTTGACCCAAGTTGTTGAGTACTTGCAACTCTGTGCCATTTTTCATGAGTACTTCGACGATATTGTAAGTCCACGATTTGCTTTCTACAGCAGTTTTTAAAATCCAGTTGACATCCTCGACATTGCCATCAAATTCATCGACGATGAATCCTAGTAGATCTTCCTCCTGCCAATCTTCTTTCTCTATAAAGATTTTAATGAACCGATTTCGTTTTTCTTCTCTACTTTCTCCCAGAGGACTGTGTGACATTTTCTGTTTTTTACTGGCACTCATTTTAAATCAACCATTTAAACTTCGCAGTGGCTCCACTTCCTTTAAAACGCACCACTTATTGAATAAATTTATCGACTTGTATTCACACTCTTTATTTCATATAATTTTTGCTTCAATTCAACGAACAGCTGCGAGCTCACACTTTCATAACCTACTCCAGTCCAGTGATTTGCAACGATTGTCTGCTTCGCACACGATGCTCGCAGAGTACAAGCATGATACCGGCGAGTGACGTTTTTTCCCCGCTGAGTCATCGAGCGGGGAAAAAACGGAGACGTAATTATGACGCAAGGCACGAAATTTAACGCTATTGGCGTTACTATTATCGGTTGTTGAATTTACTATTTTTCGGGGGGTTTAGATAGATAAAAAACTGTACTTTTAAAATAGCAATATCTCACGAACATAATTTTTACTCGGGGCTTAAAAAAATTTAATTTTTCTACACATGAAACTTCAAATTATTTAAGGCATAAATTCACTTAAATAAAATTTCTCAAGGATTTGTGTAAATAACTTTCCAATTGGTGCATATATTTAAAAATATTTTTGAAAATGTACATAATTTTATAGTTACAAGTGTAGGCATTATTATGCTTTTAAATAATATAATTTATTTCTACGATAGGTTTATTTCGATGTTATTGGTACGATAAAGATATCTAATACACTATAATGTTTTTTGAAAATATTATACGATGTCCACTTTGTTATGATCATTATGATCTGTAGATCATTCTCTAAAATAAATGCCTCGTACAATGATCAGCATATAATTCATGGCTTTCAAAAAGACACGCGTCGAAAGCAGTATATAAGATAGTACAGCAATACGTTCAGATAAAAAGGTATAGAGGTATGAATGAACACAGTGCCTACACGAACAGGCGAGCGCGCCACAGTATGAGTGCTCACACGCATTATAGGCAAGCGCAACGCTGTATGAGTGCTCGCGCGTATGAGCGTTCGCGGCACTGTGTGAGTGAGCGCACGGATGTGTAACCACTGTATAGTATTGGTGTACGAAATTAAACGTATAATGGCATGCGCGGAAAAGTATGACTGCAATGGAAATTGTTGAAGGGCATGACTATGTGACAACCAACATGTACAATAACAGGTCTCAGACGCAACAATTAAGCAATATAATTCGGCGAATTACTAAAAAAATAACTGATATGCGCCTTACTCTGATTTTCAGTAAGCAAGGGGTGAAAACATATTGAAAACATGTTGACGAATAAGTATGAAAAACTGACAGTATAGAAAGAAGCTCCTGAGCTAAAGAGGGGGTCATACGAATTGCAACCATTAACGAGGGCGAAGCTCTGCGCGATCGTAATTGTGTATCAAGTGTTCGCAAGTGAATTGAAGTGCGGTGAAAAATAGTTCATCTAAATATCGGCTAGCTCTGGAAGCTAAGAGTGTCATCAAAAGTACTACCGATCAGCAGGCGTTGGGCCATACCAATTCAGCGAAGAACAGCCTTCAACTCTGCAGCAGCAAGAGCGTCTTTCAACTCTATAATAGCAGCCTACACACAACGAGATACCAACGCCGTAAAAGAACTCAGTGTCGCCATAAGCAGTAAGCTACGAATTATTGTTAAGCAAAGACTTTAAATCGTAATAAATCAAAGTGTGCATTTAAATGCCAATACTGATTTTCTGCTCGTTGATGCTGTCTCGAGCTTTCCGATCGCAACGTTACAGGGCTTGACTCGGAACTGCTGGCCCAGGTTGTCAGACTTCGATGGCACCCATCTACGTTTTCGACGTATCGACGTTAACGGGTGCCGTTTCGCTGAATAGAAGAGGCGAGCGAGCGAAGGCGGTGATTTCGAGTGCAATTAATTCGTGTCGCGCGAACTAATAAATATCTTCGGCACTTGCTTTATAGATTAAAAAATCCCAAGTTTACATTAACCCCTTTTACAAGCTTCGACTCGTAAGTTCAATTCGATAATTATTTTTCAATTCGACCGAGTGCGTGTAAACGTTCGTCCGTGTATCGAACCAACCGTACGATTCAATCTGTCCCGGGCCCGCTTATTGGTCATTCTTTATACTAAACTTTCGAGAGGCCAACGTGTTGATTTCGTAGTCACTTGTTGACCACGAGAATCGAAGGGGCGAAAACTGCAGACTTTCGAATAGCTCGCTATCACCTCTTCAAACGTCGCATGTTTGTGCGTTCTTACATTAAACTTATTGTGTCTACAATTTGTATGATAATTTCTTTCCACTACTGTCCGTGCTCGTAATAGTATATTACTGCCCTAGGCCGGGAAAAATAGAGAAGTCCCAGGGCACGTCAAATAAGCGACCGAGGCGAAACCGAGGTCGATTAGCACGTGCACTGATTGAAGTTCAATCAGTAAATATTAATTAATACTTTAATCAATCAAGTTCGTATCTAGGAACGTAATATACTATTTATACACAAAAATAGCGAATAATTACATTTAAAGAGAAAGCTCTTTGCCGATGTTTCGACAGTAGTTTTTAATAATATTTGTACTTTCATAATTTGAGATCAGCTCTAGGATTCAGCACATTTTTTTCTACAATTAAATACTCAAATAGGAAACAAGCTATCCCAAAAAAGCATCGTCTCTCTGTGGAAATCTCTCTTAAGCGTGACATCTTCGCTAAACTCTATGTAATATTTGTTACCCTCCTCGTAACGCTCCCAAGTAATATTCCCAAAAACATCCTTGGGCAGTGGATCTCCGCCCTTTGCAAAACTCTCCCACATCGATGTCAAGCGCCTGACGTAAAGGTAGGGCGGATCGGTGCGATTGTAAGCTGGAAATTCGGCGTTGGCGTAGTAGATGCAATTCGTCGTCGTGAAAAGATATTGCAGATCGTCTCCATGGGCTATTCCTCCTAAAAAAAAATTTTTACCGATTTTTTTTCACGCTTGTTTGAATAATTGAATGTTTATAAGGTATACCTTTGGGTTTTTTGGTGTCCGGCCACCTGTAGATGCTGTAGGGGCCCTGATAAGTGAACACGTAGTAATAAACCGGAGCCGCCGAATTTCGAGCTATCAAATTGGCCGTACGGTATACGGGAAAGTGCACGATCGCGTCAACGTACAGCTGTAAAGAAGGAAACAAAAAATCACGTGAGAAAATATCTATCTCACTTATGTTGGTAGTGAAACAAACCTGCCCAAGAGCATCGGCATTCTGATAGCTGATGGTTTGATTCTTGAAGTAGTAATCCAGTAGCTTGTCGCTGATCCACCTCGAGCGTGCCGTGCCGCGTTCGTACTGAAAGGCGATGGGCGCCAGCTCGTACCAATTTTTGGCCAACACTTTGAACATCGAGTCGTTTTTCAAGAGCGATTCCGACGATCCAGCTGTACTTGGATATTCATAAAAATGATCAATTTGCGATAAAAGACTCGTATTACGCACTCACGAAAAGCTTTGAACTTGAACTCGTCCAGAGTAATGCCAATGACGAGCGGCACGTTGTGTATATCGCCCTTGAGCATCGACACTTGTGGCTCTTCCAGAAGAAATCTCTGCTCCAGCGGCGTGTCGCTGGGCTCGATCGTCGGATACCAGATGGTCGTGGGATTTCCCTGCCACTCCATGAACGACTCCACGGTCGAGCCGTAGAGCTCCGCGGGTCGACTCATCAGGCACCTGTACATCCGGTCGTCGTCGCTGCGTCGACTGGTCGGGCACTGCAACAATCTGGCCTGTTTCAGGACGAGCTCGCGCTGACCCGCGCGCGGTGATATCGGAGTTATCAAGCTTCCGCTCATGGCTATGGCTCGATGAAACAGTCCGCGCGCCATCGGGGACACCATCAGCATGGTGATGATCCTCGAGCCGGCGCTCTGACCCGTAACGGTTACCGAGCCGGGGTCACCAGTGAAGGAGACAATTTGATCGCGCACCCACTCGAGGGCGCACACGACGTCCTTGAAGCTGAGATTACCCGGAAAACGGGCCTCGTTGGTGCTCGCGAGGCCGAGAGTGGCCAGGCGGTAGTTGATGGTGACGAGCACGAGGTCGCGTTCGAGCAGATAGCCCGGGCCGAAGACGAAACTCTGACTGGACTTTTGATACATTCCGCCCGGGTGAATGAACACGACGACGGGCGAGAGCTGCTTAACAGCACCATCGGGATTCAATTGCTTGGTGTACACGTTGAGGACGAGGCAGTCCTCCGACATGTTGATGCCGATGGCTTGCGGACAAGCCGGGCCCTCTTGGGTAGCGTCGAGTACACGATCGCCCCACGGCTTCACCGCTTGAGGCGGCTGCAACATCGCAATTTACACTCATGATACGCACGATATTAATAATTGATTTCACCCTTTGGCATGTATATACAATTACTTTGAATCTTTGCCGTCCAGTCGGTGGCTCCGCGTAGGGCAGCCCGCGAAAGGCGTAGATCGCTTTTCCGTCGTTGCTCGTCGTCATCGTAGTACCCGTAATCGTACCGAGTCTCGTACGCAACGTAACGACAGTAGCAGTAGTGGCATTCTCGATCGCGAGGACGAAACATCGCGTCGCGAGCAATATTATCGAGATAACGAAGGACGAGCGAAGAAGCATCGGTTGTGTGCTCTCGGGTCGACTGAACGCGCTGCACTGTGAAATTCGCGCATTATCTCGGCGTCACGAGGTCGCGAGCGATTTGCAAAATTGATCCGCGCGCGTGATCACCGCGATCATTCGTGTGTGTGCATATAAAAAAACGTATCGCCGCGATTCTGGCGGTTATCGTTGTGCAGTTATGTCGTGAAAAGCGCATATTATATACGCCTAACGCAAACACGACCGATACAGCACAATCGTAAAAATAATACAATTTTGTCAGACACACGATATTATGCTTTATTCTCTTTATTCTCTGTATGTTTTTTATCGTACTTAGATTAATCTTTTTTTTCTTTTTTCGACGCCTTGTCGTCCTTTCCACCCTTAGGCTCCTTTTCGTCCTTCTTGCTCTTATCGTCCTTCGCGTTCTTTCCAGCCTTCTCTTCCTTCGCATCCTTTGCGTCGTCTTTTGCCGCACCGTCGGGTTGTTCTTCCGCGGCCATCTCGGCCTCTTTGGCCGCCCGAGTCTCGGCCTCCTTCCGCTTCTTCTCCTCCTCCACGAGCTCCTTCCACCGCTTTCTCTCTAGGCGTTGTCGTTTGGCACCGATCGGATCCAGCGCCGGATCTATCGTATTCTCGAAAGCTATTTTAGCGATGGGCTTGCACACCGTCTTCTTCTCTTTCTTGCACTCCTGCGACTTGGACGACGCAGCCTCGTCATCGGCTGGAGCTTCGGCTTGGGCTTCGGCCGCCCCCTTCGCCCCTTTCTTCGAAGGAGCGGTAGAAGCTGCATCGGCAGCAGCGGCGTCGGCCTCGTCATTTTCTTCGTTCTCCCTCCTTTCCGCTTCCTCCTGGTCCTTCTTACGCCAACACTTGGGGCAGGGCTCGGGTGGTAGAGGTCGTCTCGGTGGCAAATTTCTACCGTAACACTTCAAAGAGGAAAATAAACGTTTAACACCAGTAAAAAGTGAAGCCTCTCCAGCTCTTCTGAAATCATTACCGGTTTCGGAAACAGATATCGTCCGTACTCGTCCGTCTCCCTCGGCGGCGGGTATCTCTCCACGGGCTCGCACTGATACTTGGGTATGGCCAGTCTCTCGTACAGCGGCGTCGTGGGGGCGTTCAGAGCCGACTCCGGGATCGTGTAGGGATCTCGGCAGTCGGCGGCCGGATACTCCTTGGGCCTGGCCATGCGCTCGATGTCCGGCGTCGAGCAGGCCTTGAGGGCCGCCTCCTTGATCTTGTAAGGATCGCGACAGTCCGAGTCCGGGTACTCCTTGGGCTGGGCCATTCGATTGATGTCCTCGGTGGCTGCGTGCCAACGCGACCAAAATTACATCTCGAAATTATTTTCTCGCTCGAGGCGTCGATTTATTTAAAATTATAAGTTACCTTGATAGGCCAGAGCCGCCTTGCTGATCGTCCTCGGGAACTCGGTGCACATCTTGCACGTGTCCTCGAAGCGCCAGGCGTTCTTCTCCCAGAATCTCTTCTCGCGGTACTCCTCGTCGATGACCGGCGGATCCGGCAGCGACTTGATCTTCTTCTTCCACTTGAGATTCAGGCACTCTTTCTTGCCGCCGCTGCCGTCCTCTCCGTTGGCACCTCCTTTGCCGCCTTTCCCCGCGCCGAGTCTGTCGCAGGCCGCGCCGATTTCGTCTCCTTGAGCCGCCTGCTGCTGCTCCGCCGACTCCATCAGCCTCCTCTTCATCTCCTTGCACTTTTCGGCTTTCTCGCCGGCCTCGTTGCGCACGAGCGGACACGTGGGATCCGCGGCTGCTCCAGCCTCTTTGGGCTTTGGATTCATTGTCTTTTTCTCGCAGACCGGCTCTTTTCTGCTGCACGTCATGGCACCGTCTTGATTTCTGCTGCACAATCCACCGCCACCGGCGCCAGCGTCCGGACTCTGCATCTCCTCCACCCCGACGCATTTCGGCTTCTGATCCTTCGACTTGTCCTCGCATCGGTTTCCAGCCTTCTTGCTCGCCCCACCGGCCGCTTGGGCCTCGGCCTCGGCCTTCAGTCTGGCCTCCTCCTCCAACTTCCTTCTCAGCTCCTCGGCCTTGCGTCTCTCCTCGGCGCGTCTCTTCCTCTGCTCCTTGAGCGCCTGTCTGCCGTGATTCTTCAGAGCGTCCAAGATTTTCTGCTTCATCTCCGCGGCGCAGTCCGAGTCTTGGCACATCAGCTTCCGGTAATCGGGCAGAGCCAAAAATTCCATCCATTCCGACAGCTACTGCGACGCAATAACAAAAAAAAAACTCCAAGTCAGTAATCGATTAATAGAATCACGCGCGAAATCGTACCGGTGGAGCCTCGTCGTCGTAGCATCTTTCTACCTCCTCCCTGCAACCCTCGGACGGCCTCAATTTCGGCTTGCTCAGATCGAGTATTCGCTCCGTGGGCTCGTACTCGAGCGCCTTGGGCTTCACGCCGCCCAATTTTTTGCAGCCTTTGCTGATCTTGATGCGAGGCACCGCGAGCCACTTGAGCCGACGACTCGCTTTGGCTTTGAGGGCGGCCTGGGCGATGGCCCGAGCGATGCAGTGCTGATTCGGCCCCTTGCGAGGACGCGCCAGACTGACGATTCGAGGCTTCAGTTGAGTTATCGGTACGGCTGGTCGGATCTGTATTCGTCACAGAGAACAAAGTTAGAATCTATGCAAGATGAACATCTTTTTCCGCGATCCTACGATTGGCTCGGGTTCGGGGCATTTTTTCGGCTTCGCGTTGATCTTGGCCCAAGCTCGAAATCTCGCCCAGTCTTCGGACGTTTTCAGCCAGTTTCGCAGCTTGACCCTCTGGCTGGATGTGTCCGGCGCTGCTTTTCTGTGAACGACAAAAAAAAAAGATAACGAATCACGTCATCGTCGTTTATATCCGTTTATCGTGTGTGACATAATCGAGGCGAGTATAAACAACAATTGTACCTTATCTTGCCGGACGGATTGAGCGGCACGTCGTTTTTCGCCTCCTGCTCGACGGCGGCGGCGGCACCCACGGATTTAGCGACCGGCGGCATCTCCTTTTATTTACTACTTTTTCTATTTTTTTGTGTATAAAAACCGTTCAGTTTTTAATTATTTTTGTTTTTTTTTCTTCAAAATTTAGAGCCAAAATGTATGCGTAATAATTTTGCGGCCAAAAGATTGGTTATGAGAACAAATTCGGTGTGAATGTAGCTTTCAATAAACAAAAAAAAAAAAAAAAAAAGAAACAGATAAGATTCAGAAAAGAATTTATTATCGTTGCGTTCGATTTTTCGATATCGAATCAATACAAAATTCAACGCTTCGCTGTGCATTATACTTTAATTTAATTGTCTGGGTATCATCGAGAGCGAGTATCCTCCCTCCGGCAGCAGCGTGATCGACTTCGTGCTGTAAACGTAGGGCTGCGGCGTCTTCGCGTTGGCCCTCAGCTCGAATTTGGACAGCAGGACGAAGAGCAGAATTTTGATCTCCATGGTGGCGAATCGCTGGCCTATGCAGGCTCTCGGGCCGATCCCGAAGCCCAGATTCACGACGTAGTCGTTGTCGCTCGTCGTCGTCGTCGTTGTCTTTCCCAAAAATCGATCGGGATCGAAGCGGTCCGGATTCTCGAAGTAGCTCGGATCTCTGTGAATGGCCGTCGCTGGTATCCACACGTTCGTGCCCGGCTGAACGATCAACGGCTTGGCACCGGGTAGGGTCGGCGGCAGCTCGAAACTCTTCGTGCAGACCCTGTCGAGAAAATTGAACTGCGTGTGCATGCGAAGCGACTCCTTGAAGACCGCGTCCAGATACGGCATGGAATTGATGGCCTCGTAAGTCGGCTGGCCCACCGCGTCGATTTCCTCCCTCAGTTTGCGCTGCGCGTCGAGATTCACCGCCAGCTCGTGGGCTATGACGCACATCTGGGTCGAGGTGGTGTCGAAGCCCCCGAAGAAGAAGAGAAACGCGTGCGCCGTCATCTCGGTGATGTCGAGCTCGAGGTGACTCTCACGATCCTTGCCCCGAGCGTCCATCATCAATTGAAGCATGTCCGGACGCTTGACGCCCTGCTCGTCTCTGTTGCGTATCGTGTCGGCGATCAAATTTTTAAAAAAGTCACCGACGTCGTCCTCGACGAACTTCACGTCGAGCAGCTTCATGAGACCGGGAAAGAACGAGCCCAGCGCGAATTTCGCCGACGTGAACTTGTTGAAATCCGTGCCCTTTCTCCCGAGCACGTAAAACTGATTGTCGGGCTCCTTCAGCGAGTCCACCTTCAGCCCAAAGGCACATCTGGCAATGGTGTCGTTGGTCAGCCTCGTAAACACGTCCTTCGTATCGATCTCCATCCTCTCGAGCTCGGACAATTGCGCCACGTGATCGACGCACGCCTCGCAGCAGTCCCTCATCGCCTCGAACATCAGCCTCATTTTCGAGGCGGTGAAGGCCGGACTCAGTAGATTGCGCGCCTCGCGCCACTTGTCGCCCCTGATGCTGAACAGATTGCCGGCGAAGAGGGGATCGACCTCCGGGTCGAGGAACGCCTTGCGATCGCAGAATCGATCGAAATTCTTGATGGTCACGCTCTTGATCAGTTCGAGATCTCGCAGCACGATTATGGGTTGGTTGCGAGGGCCCAGATCGTAGGCGCCCACGTATCTGGCCCGCGGGTGAACGTTGTAAAAGTCGCGCACCGCCTGGCCCAGATGCTTGCGACGCAGGCACAGATCCTTGAAGCTGCCCACGAGGAACCATCCGGCCGCGTGAGGCACACCGGCTCGCTCGAAGTAGCTCAATCTTCGATGGGAATAGGTGTAGAGCAGCGCGAGAACGACGACAACGAGAGCCAAGACGAGCATTCTGAGCTTTTATTATTGTAAGTCGGGCAGTACTGCTGCGTCGAGAGACGCATCGCCTACTACTACTACTACTGGTGGAGATCGGCCGGCGCATTGTTGTTGTACGTTCGATTTATGCTGATTTACGCTGCTGCGGCTGCGGTGACGCGACAGAGCGTCAACCACATTGATTATTAATAGAAGACGATCAGATTAGATTAGATTATTGTTACTTCGCTTGTTTCAATGAGGGGAGAGAGATGTACCGTTTTCGAGTTAATTCAACAATTAATAATAATTAAAATCTTTCATTTAATCCAATGTACTTACTTTTTAATTTTCAAATCGATATTTTATGCAATAACTAATTCTTACTACATACGCAATGACTTTAGCCACTTCGCGTGCGTCATCTTTGCTCGTTACGACGTCTGCTTGAGAATGTTGAATGCCGAGTACGACAGCTTGAGTATCTGAGCAGATAAATAAATCATCGTTAAATTTTTTTATTCGAAATTGGCAATGACGATTTTGCTTTTTATAATTGTATCTATTTGAGAAGGTATCGATACAAAATTAGTTGGCGAAAATACGGTTTTCAATTTATAAACAGTTTATAAGAAATTTATAAACAATGGCTTGGTGAAAATTATCAACATAATTTATCAAAATTATGTTTGAAATTGTATTAATACGTATTTTAGATGACCTAAAAATGACCATTTTATTTCTTAAAAAAAATTTAGACCACTTTAAATATGACAATATCACTTAGAGTTTTCACCGCTAGATGTCGAGTACTTTTATACGTTAATCTGCAAGTGGCCAAGTCAAAATAAGTATATAAGAAATATTTGCTGACGCTTTCTTATTGAAGGAATGTGTCTTATAAATTGATTTTTATTACTTTCAATGACTGACAACAGACCAACTTCTTTATATTGAAAAATGCTCAACTTTTCGATATTGCTTTCCGCCAGTTATCTTTAGGAGTTTAATTAAATAGGAGCATCTAAACGATGATTTCCATATTCAATCATAATACTAAATAAATTTTTGTGCCACCCCAAATGAAAATGTTACTTTAGGCCGGGGGATTATCAGCCTCGGTTTCGCCTCGGATGATAAATTACACGTGCTCTGAGACTTTCCAATTTTTCACTCCCTAGGTGCAAAATATACTATTAATTATTGTACACCGAACAAAAAATATGGACTCAGGTCGGAGACGAACCGACTACACCTAGCCTTAAGCCGGCGAGTAGTCTACCGTCTGAGCTACTGAGACCCTCGCCCGTATCATCGTTATTTGGTGTACAAGAACACACTGTGTCCAATTATTTGCATCACCGTACGTTATTCGTACTTTAACGAAAGACTCGGGAGTCAGTATCATGATCGTGCTGTTGAACAGCTCGACTTTGTTGGACGTACGCATCATTACGAACAGCAGCATTTTGCGAGTCTTGACGTCCAGCGTCCACCAGTTCATGTCCAGCAGGGCTTGAGACACGTGCAGCGTCTTTAATAAATTGATTTCATTTTTTTTTTTTTTCAAGTACAAAATATAAATCGTATATTTAAAAGAAAAAGATATCTCACGTTGACGGTAATCTTGTAGCCGAACCAGAAGTAAAAGAAGTTCTGGAACAGGGCGCAGTTGAAGTAGATGAACAGCTGCAAGAATTCCGGACTGAAGAGCGGCTGGCAGGACAGCAGATAGATGCTCGTGCACAGAACGATGACGCTCGAGAGCAGCTGCACGATTATCGCGACGTGGACCGTGCCGCGAAGCTCGCGCATTACTCTAAAAAAAAATATGAAAAATTAAATTGAAAAGGCGAAACTTTGCCTCTGTACAATATTCACTCGAAAATGCTGTGATGATATCGCACGCATTCCTTGACGTAATCCATCTCGAATTGCATCTTCTCCTCGTCGCTCTCGAACTTTTGCGCGCCCACTAGCTCGGGCAATTTCACCAGCCTGCGCTCCAATATTTTCAGATGCGCGCAGATGCGATCGACCGTGTCGAAGAAGAAGCCGTCGCAGCCGATGTGCACGAAGCTCGTGATGTTGTAGCCAAACACCTGATACCAGTAGAAGATCAGGTAGCAGGCCAGACTCGCCGACCTCCGGCAGGGCGTGTAAGCGTCGACCATCAGGTCGCGACCGGGATTGCCGTCGAGCAGCGGTCCCACGGCGTTGCTGACGTTGTTGAAGAACACCAGGGTCATGTTGAACCTGACGATGAATCGCTCGTCGAGTTTGGACGCCTCGACGATGGCCACCTCCTCGGGGTCGCGCAGATCCAGCCACGAGTCCTGGAGCAGCTGCGAGACGATGCGCAGGTAGCGCGTCCGGCGCAAGTGCACGTTGACGATCTTGCACATGCCGTTGAAGATGGTGAGCAGGAGGAAGAGACTCTCGAAGAACTCGCGCCAGGATTTCTCGTCGTTGATCAGCTGCTCGGCGGAGATGGTGAAGAACAGGACGAAGACGCTCGTCGCGGCCAGCAAGTAGTACAGCTTCCAGAGCAAGACGGCGAGAGGATGCCTGACGCGAGACATTCGCCAGATGCCCGATGCCCCGAGCACGGAGAACAGCAGGGGAAACAGGTGCTTCTCGAAACCGACGAGTTTGGCATTTTTTGGGACTTCTTTGTCGCGATCGGACGACGGCTTGATATCCGACATGATTTTAAACGGACTTCGAATGATGATAATCAATGCAACGTCATAAAAATATATCTTCTATTTTTTTTAATAATAGCTCGTGCGATACATCCCTCATTTTTTCCCCTGCGTGTCAATTTCGCTCTTATCCACCCTCTCTTCAATAATTGACGAGGCGACTGCTACTTTTAATAATAGCATAATTATGGATTGCGCATCGAGCCACATTTTTATGATGACACAAACACTGCTTGCGAGTGAAACTTGTATTTTAAAAAAAAGTGTATCAGAGTGAATTGGGAAACGTAGGCTGAGGATGCTCGAGCAAAGTTTTCATACACGACTTGCCATTTTTTCATTTTTATTGTAGATAAAATTGTTATAGTTGAAATTTGAATTTTACTTAAAGCTCGATATTTATTTTTTCTTACATTGCTACCAAATTTATAACCGCAAAAGTAAATTCTACAAGATAGATATTTTTGTAATGAGAACCATCATGAATATTAGATAATAAAACAATCAATAAGATCATGTACTTTCCTATACTTTATTTGGCTAAATGTATTCATGTAACTACTGTTGCGTATTATAATTGACGTGCAGGATTATATTATAGAGTAAGTACATACTCATGCCTCAATGAATGTCAATCACTCATCAATTCTCTAAATAAAGGTTGTAAAAATTGCGTGAAAAATACTTTTTAACTAGTTTTCGTCAAGACCATAAACGTCGAATAGGATAATTTTACTATCTGCAAAAAGTAATTCGATTTTTGTAGTTAACTGTCGAGAGTTCTTGGCTAATATGAACAAATTAATGCCGTACATTGATAAATGATACCGGTGAGAGACTGACGAAGGCGTTGTCGAACGGCTCAATTTTTCTCGAAGTCATCAACAACATGAACCGAATCATCTTCTTGGTTTTGTTTTGCAGATTCACCCAATCGATCTGATAAATGGCGTCCGTCATTTTCGGATTCTATAACGGGTAAGTTCCATTTTTTGTTTTATATAATGACAAGCTACATTAAAAAATTGATTACGTTGACACGAAGTATTTTTTTTTTTTTTTCGTTTTATGCGAGGCAATCGAATTTTTCGTTTAGATAGAAGTGATACCTTACTATTTCGGTAAGCTTGTAGCCGAACCAGCAGTAGAGAAAAGTCTGCACCAGCATGCAGAACAGATAGACGGCCGTCGAGACGAAATCCGGACTCATCGGCTCCTGCTTCGACAAGAAAAATACCGTCGTGCATATGACCAATATACTCGAGCAGAATTGCAAGAATACCGTCTCGGCGAAAATACGGCACAAATCGTCCACGATACTGAAGGATAAATAAAAGTGGGTCGATTAACGTCTCTATATATCGATCCTCTTTGTGCGCCAGCTCTCATTACATCAATGCCGCCTGATGATCCCGAAAACAGTCGCGATAGTAGCTCCGCTCCGTGATCCTCGTGACTCCTTGCCGAAATCTTTGCATCCGATGCGCCACCACGGCGAAATGAGCCGAGCAACGCAAGATCAGATTGTACAGCAAACAGTCGTAGCCGACGATGAAAACGGCGGCGAAGAAGAAGCCCACGGACTGGGCGAGATAGCAGGACCAGAAGCACGAGGGTTGGCCTCGATCGCAAAATTCGTAGGCGTCGACGACCAGCTTGTGCTCGGGATTCGCGCTGGTCACGGGCCTGAGGACGTTGCTGATGATGTTGGCGCTCACCATCGCTCCGCAGTAGCGAGAGATGAAGCTATGAGCAAAATAATAGAGATCGAGATTTCAGTATATCGACGAGGTAAAGAATTGTTTCAATTATACTTCTCGCTCTTTTTAGATTCTCTGATTATTTCATCCTCCTTCTCGTCTCGAAATTGTGTCCATCGCACGTGTCCGCATTTGTACGCCACATCGATAACATTGGATCGTCTGATCAACAGATAAGTCGTCTTGGCCAGCCAATTCAGCAAAGTCGCGAGAAAGAACAGATTGTCGATCATCAACTTGGAAAACGACTCCTCGCTCAGCACCGCGTACATTATCATGGGTATTAATAACATCATGTCGCTCAGCCAGGAAAACAGTCCCAAGACGTAGTAAAAAGGCTTGAATTTATCGTCAAAATTCGTCGGCAGCCAAAAACCCGACGCGATCAGGTAGTTAAAGGTGGTCGGAAAAATTGATTCGACCAACATGATGATTTTCTTATTATGTATAATGTGTACTTTGTGCCAAGTAGACGTGGTGTATGTGTTTGACAGGCCTACTTACTAGACACAGGCGTTATAGATATAATAACGTGCATACGTATATCGCTTAACGATGAGCCTGTTTAATTATTTCGCGCGGGCGTGGTTGAGGCTTATATATAATATCTATGGCAACTAACTTCAATTGATAACAAAGATTCACGTCAATTGTGGTTCGAATTGTATCAGGATTACCAGATAGGTCGTTACGGCACTGGCTAGCTATAAAGTTAATTGAAAAAGAGAAAAAATTGTTGACGTTATATCGATTGCAGAATTTAATTTCAAGATTTATTCTCACCGATTGAAGCAGAGACGAATCCAGTGAGAAAAGTCCCGCAGTCGTAAATATTAAGTTGTGATGCAATACTTGCATTGAAAAATGTCTAGTCTGTATAAAAGTACATTTATAATCTTTAGCTTTTAAAAATAAAATTTTGAGCTATATTTAAAAAAAAAGGCATACCACATTGATCAGCGGATTGTTCTTCTCGTCATTGAGATTTTTCAGGCCGAGTCGCTGAAGAATCTCTATCGTCTTGTTGGCCTAAGCAAAATTAACGTTGCAGACTCGTGAGAAAAAACAAACATCAATTTTATCCGTCACTCACTTGACAACTCGTCCAGCTGCAGCTCAGTACGATGCTCAAAACCAGGAACACGTTGAGAATCAGCACGCTGATCATGGAGCAGAAATTGGCAGCTCCCACGGTCGCGATGCCGTACTTCATGGACACGAATACGTAGTACAGAATGGTCGTCACGTACACGAATGCTCCCGCGATGCTGATCAACTTGAAAAAGTGAAAATTTTATCGATAATAATGCTTCAAGGTGTAACGTTACCCAAACAAAATTTTTTTCTAGTTTTTATTTACAATCGTCAGGGTGAAAATTTTGATGAAAGATTTGGCCACGTTGCACAAGTGCGCGTGGACCTCGGCTAAATCGCACAAAAATTCCATCGCGGCTGTCGCATCCTAAAAAATCAAACATCATAATTTTTCCGTCGATCGGCCAAAACGACGTAGTACCTCCGACAAAGCGTCATTATATTCGATCAGTTTATTGAGAGCCACGAAACGAGAGCCCACGTTCAGCAGCAGCATAGCGAACAGCAGAATATTAGCGTAATGAATGAAAAAATTAATATTCGCAACGATTCTGAGGATAAGAATTTCCGCAAAATCCTGGGCGTACAGGTCTGCATTTATCAATCCACAAATGATAATCGATGTCACGATAGTGAGTAGAGCAGTCAATCTAGCTCTGACTTTGTAATTGAACGAGTGGCCGAATTTGTTCAAGACTTTGTCTTGCATGCTTAAAATGTTAAGGTTCGAGATGATCTGAAAAAAATTTAATACTTAATAGACGTTGTTTTCAGTTTTGTTCTATACAGCAAGTGAACCGAAGTGTATAACTTACTGTTTTGCAATAAATTATTCTAATAATGGCAAAGTCACTGGCAGTTAACACATTCTCGAGTAATCTCGTGAAGATCATCAAAAACTTCAAATTTCCCACACTGTTCAAAAGAATTCATGTCCGATTAAAATCCCGTACTTTACCCTTCAAATGATACATCGACTCACGTACTCGAAGGTGTGCAAAGTCGATCCGAGGCAGTCGGAAAACAGCTTGACGACGACCAGATAAAATATGATGTTGTAGGTCACCAGTGCGGTGCTGAGGGCGTACTGCCTCGAGCCGACCGGGCCCTTCAAAATCAGAGGGAAGCTGCCGAACAATCGATACATCCATCCCATCGACTCGATAACGGTGTAAAGATCGTGAGCCATGTTCAGTTGTGTAACGAGCTCGAGACGACTGCATAAAACGGAACGAACCATTTTCGTTATTACGTGCTCGCGCGAGCACTCAAATTAACGAGTAAAATGCAATTCGCTTAATAGTTCTCACCCCGCTGAATTATAAATTGATGACGATTCGCTTCACGATATATCCGGATCGAACTGAATCAAGATAACCAGGTACGTTGCCACTGCCGTTGTGAGCTGCGTCGCGACGTTAGTTATATGAACATTGGGGGCTGAAATTAATCTGATTATTTTTTTTTTCTACTTACAGACCGCAAGAGCGAAGAATCGATGGTGAACAGTTCCCACGCCGAGAATATCAAGCTGTTGTGTTGCACTTGCATAGAGAAGATTTCCAGCTGGAATAATAACATCGACGCTTGCAGGTATACAAAAAAATGCTGATCTCCCGAAAATTTACCTCCTTTTGAATGTTCTTATCGTCGAATTCCATATTCGCTATCGAAACTTTACGCAGGACTTTGATGGTCTTGGCGGCCTGCGAGCTGGTCCAATTGCAGCCTATCACAGAGATGACGATCGTCACTACGTACATCGAGATCCAAGACAGGTAGTAAAATACGTGGTTGATAATGAGCTTCTTTTGAAGCTCGATGCAGATGTAGTAGATCATGGTCGTGGTGAGTACGAATGTGGTTATCACCCAGTTTATCTATATCCGATAAAAAAAAAAGCGAAAAAGTAAACATGTCAAAGTTGAATGTAATACGAGTATATGGCTGCATATTACCAAGCAGAGGGAAAATATGCCGCTGATCGATCGAGCCATGTGGCAGAGTTCGGCGTGAATCGTGGATGCGTCGGATAAGAACGCCGTGGACTGATCGCAATCGCGAAGAAATTGTAATTGCTATAGATATTGTCGCGCGACGTGAAAATGAAGATCTTACCGTGGGTAATTTTCCACCGCATCTCGGTGAAAAAGTCTCGGCTATTTTGTCGTTCAGCATTCGGAACCGCCAGCCGACGTTGATTATGTACCAAGCGAAGAGTAGGATGTTCGCCACTTGCAGCAGACAGAAGTAATTTCTGAATACTTGGATGTAAACTGGTATGCGCCTGAGCGAGCGATTAAAAGTTTTATAATTAATATTTGTTATGGATTTCTTAGTCGTCGTCGCTCTACGTACCATTTGAAATCCGTAAAAATTTCGGATTCCACTCGAAGTAAAGTGAAAAGTAGCAGTAATGCCACGAGTATTCGACCTTTGTTCACTAAGGTGCTGTAGTTTACGTTGCATCGTAGATCTTGCAGACGTCTGTCTTGGTCGCTGCAGCCCTCCATGAATTCAATAATCTAAACAGATTTATTTTCAATATTTTTTTGTTCAATTGAATAATCGATTTTTCATATTAATTACTTTTTTCCGGTATATAAACTTTATTAGGACACAATCGAAGAAAGACAAAACGATGGAGCTTTGTTGCAGATTCCGCGTTATGAACGACAAAGACAAATCCATCATTCTGGATTGAAAGAAAAAAAAATTCGTGAAAACAACAACAAAATGGAGAAAGAGAAATAGCTCGAATGTTTCCTACGAGTCGTTGACGGTATCCGACGAGTAATACAGATATCCGACGATCGCCACGAAAATCAAGAAGCACAAAACGACGGAGACTTTGCCAATGGCGAATCTCTTTTCGGCGCTTCGATTGCTCAATGCGAAGGGATAAATGATGAAGAGTCGCCATGCCCAGGCTACGGATTCGAAAGCGTCGTTCGAGTTCTTGCAGGCCATTTTTCAGAGTACGAGTGAAATCCAAATAAACCGCTCATCGTAGTTTTTCCTTTTTTTTCCGTAGATAAGACTTTTACATGCAGTTGATTGAATTGATCGAGCGACGATAACGTCCTTGTTTTATCGCTCGAATGTGCGTCTTATTGCCGACGATAAGTTTTGAAGTGAGGCTCATTTTTTATCCTAGGCAATGCACCCGCTACGTCTTCATTTTCGTAATTCACGTGTAGTAATATTGCTTCGATTCATCTCACCTGTGTGTATGCGTATGTCAAACAGCGAGTAAAAAATTAGCTAATACCGATATTTCAAGAATGCATAATTCGGATGACTATATTTTATTTAGCGCAGCACTGCAATTTCTGTAAGCCGTTCCAATAGATTAGCATAACCATTCGCTGTCGAAACTGCTGAAAAGAGTGTTCATATGCATAGAGCTTCTATTCAATTTTATGACTTATCTGTCGATTTTCTATATTTGTTATTTAGAAAAATGTATTTACACGCAAAATAAGTCAATAAGAGATAAGTGCAACACGATGACAGATAATGCATTTTTTTCAAGTGGAAAAGTCGCCGCAGTTTTTGTTGAGAACATTTGTTTCCTGTGATATTCTCAAAGTAACGATCATAACAACATCATGGAGAATAGTTAATAAAAGAATCGTTCAAGACAATGAACTTAATATGATTTATGGCGCTTGGCTAATTGTACGAGTAGTTTCAAAGGATGAGAGATCATCATAGTTGGGAGGGAGAAATAACATTTGACGTCATCGAGATGACGGCTCATAATCGAGTCGTCCGCGTTCGCGGCAGCATCAGGTTTTCTTCCTACTTGGCAGGCAAAGCTGTGCGTTTATCCATTAGTTGACGGTTGTTTTTATTAATCATCGATTTTTTAGCATTTCAAATACAATTGGAAGGAATAATCAGCCAAGTTATGGATCTGTGACAAAAGATTTAACTCGTAAAGTTGCATTTTTCAGCGAATCCATCTCAGGTGAACGAACAAGAATCTTAGCTCGCTTTCTTATTTAAAACTTTCTATATTGCATGTTACTACCAGAACGACTTTTTAAAATGTTACCTTGCGATTGAATTAAAAATATTAAATCGAATTATTTGAAACGAGAAAAGTGTTAGCTATATAATCCTACTTTAATTAAAAGAGATTAATTCGAAAATTGCCGTGTGTCAATTGCCATAGCGTGAAAAGTAGAGAGGAAAACCTCCCACTTGACGCGAACGTCGTTCATCGGCACGCACGACATACTTCTATTCTGAAAAGATCGTCACGATCAGTTTAAATCGAGACAACTTGATTTCCTTCGTAGCGCAGCCTCGCCTCCGCACGTCGATGTCGCCGTGCGAGTATATTTTTCGACCTTGACATTGACACTGTTAAGTGCGGCTGCTGGCGTGCATTTGTTGACATTTTTATTTTCATAAAATCGTAGCAATAAATAATTTATCAATTGATTAACATCTAAAATTGTGTCTCAAAAATTTCAGTCGTTGTAAAGTAGCGATGATGAAAGTTTGCCAATGTTTAATTTAGATCAAATAACAAGTCTGAACAAGTAACGAAAAGTGCATAATATGATCGCATATTTGTTTACTCTAATCAGATAAAAATAATTTCAAGAAGTGTTACATTAGTGCCAGTTAATCGAGCAATACCAATTTTTTTCACGCGTAATTATGACGAATGGATTTTTCAACGTACGATTTTCACGCCGTCATTAATCCAACTAATAATGTTACACGAGTAGCACAACAGCGATCAAACAATCGAATAAATTTGCTCGTTCGTAATCTTATCTGAATAATAACATAAAAAACATCAGCAACGAAAAAAAAATCACATACTTATATATAGCAAAAACGAGTTTTTCAATCTTTGAAGAGAGGAAGGAAGGGGACGAACGACGACTTCGCGCACGCCAATAACCTTCAGTCGCGTCTCGAACGTCAATTTTCCTAGTTGCGCGCCTTAAATCATCGGTTTTTCGCACTATCGATATAATAGTTTATAGTTAAGTATATACACAAACATGGAGCTGACGACTTGGCTGCTGATCGGCGCCGTCCTGTACGCGATCTGGTCGTTTCTGAACGCACGCCTGCGTTACTTCGAGTCCTTGAACTTGCCCTACGTGCCGGGAGTGCCGTTCTTCGGCTCGATGGCCAGCGCCGTGTTTCGCATCTGTCACATCAGCGAGACGGTGAAGAACATCTACAGGTACAATCCCGAGGCCAAGTACATCGGCGCGTTCGACTTCATGCGGCCCGTGATCGTCCTTCGCGATCTCGACGTCATTAAAAATGTCACCATCAAAAATTTCGACAACTTTCCGGATCATCAGGCCTTCATCGACGACTCGGTCGATCCTCTGTTCGGCGGTGGCCTCTTCAACATCGCCGGCGAGCGCTGGAAGGAGGCCCGAGCCCTACTGAGTCCGGCCTTCACCTCCAGCAAGATGAAGGGCATGTTCGAGCTGATGGTGGTGTGCGGTAAAAATTTCGTCAATTACCTCAGCAATCTGCCGGAAAAAGAGCGCAAGGCCATAGCCACCAAGGACATGTTCGGCAAGCTGACCAACGACGTCATCGGTACCTGCGCCTTCGGCATCAACGTCAACTCACTGGAAAATCCGAAAAACGACTTTTTCATCCTCGGCAAGGAGGCCACGACCATCGACGGCGTCATGACCTTGAAATTCTTCATCGCCCGGTCGTTTCCCAACGTGATGAAGTGGTTCAACATCAAGTTCGTGAGCGAGCGAGTCCAGCGTTTCTTCACCAGTATCGTGAGCACGACCATCGCCACCCGCGACGAGCAGGGAATCAGTCGGCCCGACATGATCCAGCTGATGATGGACGCCCGCGGCAAGGAGGGCAAGAACTTCAAGCTCGACATCACCTCCATGACCGCCCAGGCCTTCATATTTTTCTTCGGCGGCTTCGACACCACCTCGACGCAAATGTGCATCATAGCCCACGAGCTGGCCATCAACCGGGACATCCAGAAACGACTGCAGGACGAGATCGACGACGTCCTCGAGAGGAGCAAGGGAAAGCTGACCTACGAGGCGCTCAACAACATGCTGTACCTCGACGCCATCTTCAACGAGTCCATGAGGTTCCATCCGCAGGCGGGCTTCCTCGATCGGCTCTGCGTCAAGGCCTTCGAGCTGCCGCCCGCGCTACCCGGCCTCAAGCCGTTCGTCGTCCAGCCGGGCATGAACGTGTGGATACCGGCGGTGGCGATACACCGCGACCCCGAGTACTACGACGAGCCCGACAGCTTCAATCCCGACCGCTATTATCAGAAGAAGGTCACCATCAACGACACCCAGAATCTGGGCTTCGGCATCGGGCCGAGGAGCTGCATCGGCAATCGCTTCGCCATCATGGAGACGAAGCTGCTGTTCTTCTTTCTGCTGTCCAAGTTCAATCTGGTGCCCAACGACAAGACCTGCTCGCCACTCGTCTACAGCAAAAAGACCTTCAGTTTGATACCGCCGGGCGGTTACAGTCTGGCGATAGAGCCGAGGACCGATGCCAGTGCGTACGCGTAATGTAGTGGATTTTTTTTAACTTCGATTTTTTGTAATTAAATTTATTTTTAACGCGAAACAAGTATGCAAAACGATGTGATGACGATGTATTAGGACCAAAGCCAAAAAAGTATTTTGATAAATTGTAGCTGAACCCTGTACAAATATTTCTATTTTGGTAAGAGTATAAATAAATTTTATGATTTTTTCTATGATTATTATTTGCTACATCTCTTGTTCATACTGAAATTAATGAATTTCATTATAAACGTTTTATATAACTTTCAGTAAATAAAAAATTTATATTCGTATTGAAAAGTTCTTATTGAAAATTTTATATAAATAAGCGTTCGTACATATCACTAGATAAGTTAATTGAAAATTCACAAACATATCCTGACTAGCATAAACATTGTAAGTATTAAAACAGTATACAGTAATAAAAATGAATAATATAAATAGCAAAAATATTGATTACTGATTAGAAGACTCGGTATCGCTGCTGTTGTCCTAAAAATGAGCACAATAATAAAAATTAATCATCAACGTATTTAAAATGTCAATCGGTAAACAATCGATTTTCCTTACCGTTGAACTGCCGGACAAATCGCAATTAGTACCGAGATCTTTGGAAAAAACTTTGTCCTCATTTATCGGCTCGACCAAACCCTTGCCCCAAGGGATGAGATTGTGGTCGAGTTGGAACGTCTTGGAAAGTTTTCTTATGATTCCTTCGTTTATCGAGTTGAAAGGTTTTTGCAGTTTTTTTTGTTGTAGCGCGAGAGCGATACTAGCCAAAGGACATTTTGTGTCGGGTTTGGTGCATTTCTTGTTTTTTTTGCCTAATGAGTAGAAAGAGCCGTCCAAATCGCAGTTGTCGATCGACGAGCAAGAGTCCGAGTCGCAGTGACAGGATTCGCCGCAGATGCAAGTTTCGGACGAGGAACAGGAGATCGCCGTCAAACAAGTACAGTCGGAGCTCTGGGATTTGTTAATTTATCATTACATATTCCTTTGTTGTGCTAAATATTAAAAGTACCAAGGATCATAACCTACGTCAGAATCAGCATCGTCTAACATTTTATACTTCTTGTAGCTATCGACTAATTCATCTGTCGTGGCGTCTAAACGTCTCAATTTTTCGGACACTAATTTTATTGGTTCGACGAGATCGTATTGTTGGAGTTCCTAAAATTAAAGCAGCTATCATGTAGACGTATAAACAAGATGTCAACAAACAATCAGTTTATGTAATTTCACAGCCTACCGTGACTCGTTGTAGAATCAATTCGAATTTATCGGCTACGTCCGAAACTTTTACGTTATCAAAAAGTTCGTAAACTTTAATACCAATAGTCTAAATAAATTCATTATTACTTGTATTATGAATATAGACTCTTTATCGTCATTAATCTCCTCTTACTTACATCATTTTTCGATTCTGTGATTAATCGCAATTTATTTTTGTGCGAGTCGACAACTGCGCTCTCAACAGAATCTGGTTTCGAGGATTTGGCAACTGACATGATTTTTTGTTGTTGATATTTTGAATGAAGTTTTAAATTTTGTTCGCGAAATTAAATATTGGAAAATTTTATATTGAAAGGTTAATATTTGATACAAACTGCAAACTTCATGTGTTATGATAGGTTGTATAATCACTACATAATAAATGAAATGATAGTTCAAATAACGTCTTGGATAATAATAGCACCTATTGCAGTCTGATACGACCAGAGTTACTTGGACAAACGATATAAATTGAAAAATAATGTTTAGATGATTTATAGATCGAATGGAAATTTACAACATTTCAAGTTTAATTGTAAGCATGATCTATTTTTAATTTTATTTTAACAAATGTACGATATTGGTTTGTTTTTTTTTAAATAATAGTTTTAAATACTTGAGGGATTAATTTTCAAAATAGTACTTTAAAAGTTTTCCATTTTCGGCCTGAAATAAAATAGAATACAGTTATTACAGGTTTTTTTAAATGTAAAAGTACGTTCATGTCCCATACCTTACGTTGTCTCCATAGAATAATAAATATCAAGAAATGAAATAATTTTTTTGGAATATCGACAATAGCATCGACGAGAGTTTCGCCATCCAGCTACTTATCTCACAATCGTGCCTGCGGTTTCTGCAGAGAATATCGCTGAACATGGACCAACATGATCAGAAAAGTTGATACGTCCAAGCCTATGACCCTTCGACTTTTCATTATTAAAATATTACAAAAATTACATTAGCCTCCACAATTTAAAAATGTAAATAATTTATAAGATACGTACTTGCATCGCAACGCAGATCAGTTGCCTGGGAAAGCACAAATTTCAACCGTGCCCAGTGACTGGAGCCTTTCATTCTTCTAAATCATTTTCTTTTTCAATCTTTTCTTTACTTGTTTCGCTACTTCTCATTTCCTGTATCGTGCGCTCTGCTTCGACGAGTCTTTTCTTTAACTCGGCTATTTCATCTTTGTAATTTTCAACTTTTAAAATATCAACTGACAATGCCCTGTGGTATGCATGCGCAACGCTTCGAGACGACGTTTGCGACAACCTTGAAGTTATTGTACAAAATTAACGATAATATTTTGAACTTTATGATTTTTATAAAATTACCTGAATTTGAGATCGGCTATGATTTTTTTGTACTTGATCGCTTCGGCCGTGGTCGCTTCTTTGAGTTTCGCCTCGAAATTGCGCTTGGCGATTTTCGCCGCCTTGCGCTCCTCGTGCAGCTCCGATCGGGCTTTGGCCAGATCCTCCCTGAGCTGTCGCGCGCCCTCCTCCAACCAATGAATGGTCTTGCGCAGGCGATCCGCCTCGTCTCTTTTCGGTGATTTCGCGAGTCTCCTCCATCTGAAGCTGCTCTGCTTCGCCACTGGAAATGGTTCTTCGACTATCGCCGGCTCCTCCACCACCTCCTCCTCCTTTTCGGCCTTGTGATTTTCATTGACGAGATCCTGGATCGCTCGAGCTATCTCCGGAGCCGTCAACATCTCCGTTTCGCCGGATAATTTCATGGACGTCTTTGACTCCTCGGCTTTCTGCATTTTTTCGCATACGTTGTCCACTATGGTGCGATACATGCCGATCGTCTTCTCGACTTCCTCCTCTTTCTTCTTTTTAATTAGCTTCTCGACGTATCCATCGTTGTCGATATTGACGCAACTGAACTCTCTGTGTCTCAGTTTCGAGGGCTTGGCTTTGCACACGTTCTCGAAGGTACAGCTCGTCGACGCCAGTGTGTGGCTAGTTTTGTTCTCGAAAATCGTGCTCATTTGATTTTGATGTCGCTTTGATTTTGAATTACTTTCGTTCAATGCTCTGGTTTCTTTTTTAGCTTTTTGATGTAGAAGATTAGTATTCTCGGTAGCTTCGATTTTTTTTCGTTTGTTTGACGCAGTAATGCCATTTTTACCGTTTTCATTGTTAATCAGTTTTTTTGAATTTGGCACCTTTTGTCCAGAGATTTTATTTTGAGTCTGAAACATCGATAATCGTCAATTTATCATACATTGAACGAAAAAAAATTCGATTAAAATGTGCAGGATAAATCTTGATTTATGCGTGGTTTTACCGTAGATTCGTTTGTCCGGGAGCCTCGTATTTTTGCGGCTAAATTGGCGAAAAAGCCGCTCAGCCTTGACTTGCTGGTTTCCCCGCACAAACACTTGAGCTTCGGAGATGCGGCGTACAGACATTTCGGGTCCTCGTAGCGCGATTGTTGGGCATCACCGAGTCGTCTCGATTTTTCTTGGGCTGTTTGGCGATATTTCTGTATTATGTTCGATGTCGTACGTGAAGTGGCAATCGGCAGTTTTTGCTCGGTCGCATTACTTTTCATCATCGTTAATTTCGCTGCGGGTGCCGGTACTCACTGCTCAGGAATTCATTATAATTGTTTCTGAAAGCAAAATTCATTTTGATTATGTAATTTTATAGAATTATTTTTTAGTGAATTTTCAATGTTGATAAAATTAAAAAGTATTCGTTGTTTTGTATCATTTGATTTTTTCGTAAGTTAACTTTTAATTTTAGCAGGTCGCCGCATATGAGAAAAACAGCTGATCGCTTATAATAAAAGCAAATTAAAAAATTCTTCAATACCTGAAACCTGTTCGATTATTTGTACGCGTTTTGTTCCTTAATAGGATAACAACAAGATGAAAAATATTGAAAAAACCAATAATTAAAATTCATGGTCGAGAAACAATTTGTGCGAGTCCGATGCAGGTCAGAGGCCTCAAACAAATGCTTCTCTCGCGATCGAAATTATTACTCGAATCACGTTACAGGGTCACGCACAACAAGCGACGTACGTCGTCAGCCAATAAAAAGTTTACACCTTCTGTCGAAACTTAATAATCGTTTGATCGGTACGCAGACGTAAAAATAAAAATCGAGAATCGAACGCGAACGAAAAATGTAGTTCAAATCTTGCAACGAGTGTGTATGCATCATGAATACATTTAAATTGACAACAAACATAAATTAAAGTGCAATAAAATGAAAAAAAAATTGCCGAGTGTTTAGAATTATTCATTCAGCTCAATAATATTTTCATCAACGTAAAACAAAGCTCTACTATGACTTTACTATCGAGCGAAAAAGTAAGAAATCTTACGAAAGGTAAGCATCTATAATGTAACTAAATTGATAAGTATTTTTAATAATTATCGAAGCTAGTTTTCAACAGAAGTCCAGCGTGTGCACTATAAAGTCTTCAACGACGATTTATCGATATCGATCGGCTTACAGGTTTTTCGGATTAAAATAACACGCGCAATTAACATAAATACGTGCTACACACGCAGAAACCAGGTTGATCTTGAACCACGCGTTACAACCTCCTACAGTTCCTGCGTCCACATCGGTGCGTCTGGCAAAAAAGAAAAAGATCTCTTCGGAGCTGCTACCGCAAAATTTTGCCGCGGCTCGTAATAATAATCAGTCGCGACTCGTCAGCCTTCGCGCGCGGAGCAGTAGCCTTTAAGTATCCAAGCTCTCTCTCTCTCTCTCTCTCTCTGGAAAACTGCAACAAGGCACGCGACGATAATGGCACCAAGCTCGGCCGCTCTCGGTGCTGCCTCGGTGGCGGTGATCGCGATCCTGCTGTTCACTACGGGTAATTCCGTCCAAGCGGCGAATCTGGATCTGCTCGGCTCGTTCGCTCGGGGCGGTCCCGTGCGCGGACTGACCGGTAGCCTGAAAAGCGCGATCGGTAAGACGCAGGAGATCGCGGGAAGCGCCGTCAACAAGACGACCAGCGCGGTGGCCAGCGAGGTCACGAGCGTGAAGCAAGGAGTGTCCGAGGTGGCCGACACCATCGGCAGCACCGTCGACAAGACCACCGACGCCGTGGCCAGCACCGCCGAGGAGGCCATCACGAGCGTCAAGGAGAAGGTGGACGACTTCAAGGAGTACGTCAAGGACGGCTTGGAGCTCAACTGTCTGGGCTTTCCCAAGGGACCGCTGACCGCGGCTCTGGAGTCGATACTGTCGTCCGAGACCAAGAGCGACGAGGTCAAGTTTTACTTCTCGACTCGCAGGCGGCCCAATTATCAGGCCTTCAGCATCGCGAATTTCACTCTGAGAGGCAGCGACTTTGACATCAGACGCAACACCTACGTCATAACCCATGGATTTTTGTCGCACGGAAATGAAAAGTGGCTCGCGGATATGAAAAATTCCATTCTCAATTACGTAAGTACTGCACTGTTTTTATCGCTTCCTGCGTGCGTATATTCGTATATTCTTATTTAAATATCGCCGTAAAACATAATTTATCGCATCTTCGCGTAGATTTCTAAAAACGGCACACTTTTAGAACAATAGGCGCGCGTCGAATAAAGCTTTTGCGCGCTTTTCGGAAGAACGGATAACTCTTTTGTGCCTTTCGTAAATTAAAATTAATTTCGCCTTTTTTGTTCCGCGCAGGAGAATGCAAATGTAATTGTCACCGATTGGCAGAAAGGCAGCAACACGTTCAATTACGTGTCAGCTGCGGCCAGCACCAAAATAGTGGGAGAGGCGATCGCTTCGTAAGTATACACACAATTTTCAATATTCAATTCTACTTTTTTCTTCCTTTTTTTTTCTTTAAATTTCAAAGCATAATATCGAATAAAGCACGTAAACTGGCATAAATTACAACAACAACGAAAAAAATACATCTGTTTATACCGCGCGCAAATGGACTTTTCCAACATAACCGGATGGCACTGATACAATTACACTCGTTATGTGTATATAGATTTGCTCGCGAGATAGAATTGTAGCGGATCGTAAAATGATTATAAGCGTTAAGTAATGAGGGTAATTGATCCGACTCGTTTGTGTAGTGCACGCGTCGATCGAGCGCCTAAGATTTCGTTAGTCAGTGAATATTTTCCAAGGTAGTGACGTCAAGATCGCTATTATTTTTTCCACCTTTTTTTTCTTAACAAACTCGTTACTTTGTCGTATGAAATATAACGCACCAAAACATTCTTACTTTTAGAACCGCCATTGACCCCTCTCACGTTGACCCAATCCGACTCTCTCGATCTAAAAATACAAAAAAAATGATCCAAATTAATTTCAGAAAATTAATCGATACCATCCACTTTGTCTTTCAGTCTACTGTTGAAAATCAAAACGCAATCGCCGAACGGGGCCCGTAAAGGCCGTCTGCATCTGATCGGGCACAGTCTGGGCGCGCACATAAGCGGACGCGCCGCCTTCGTGATCAAGCAGAACGAGAAGCAGGACGCGTCGCGTGGCGGCGCCTGGATCGCCAACCGGGTCACGGGCTTGGATCCGGCTCAGCCCTGCTTCCAGTCGAAGGATCCGGAACTGAAGCTGACGCCGGACGACGCGCCCTACGTCGACATCATACACACGAACGCTCGGACGCTGCTGTTCTTCGGGCTCGGATTGTCGGAGCAATTGGGTATATACGCACGAGGACTATGAATAATTATTTTTCGGAATCGTTGTTTTGAATTTTAATATTGTATATTTCTTTGTTAGGATTCACTGATTTTTATCCCAACGGAGGCAAGGCCCAACCGGGATGCGTCGACATCGATACGGGATTCTGGAAATCCCTGCTCATACCAGCAAATTGTAAATAATTTTGTTATTCGCGCCAGTCCGCTAGAAAAAATTTAAAAAAAAAAAATGTTTATATCGCGTTGCAGTGATTCAAGAGGCGATCTGCAGCCACGGCCGCTCCTACAAATATTTCACCGAGTCGATAGACAACGCCGTGAATAATAGCTGCTCTTTCGTCGGGCATCGATGGAATAAGTTATACGAGAATCTTGAAAATTTGATTCACCCTACTTGCTCGGACGATCGCGCGAGTTGCCCGGAAATGGGCATACACTCCATCAAGACTTATCCTCAAAACGAGGGATCGTACTTCGTACCCACGGGAGACGATTCGCCCCATTGTCGTGAGTTCATGATTTAACGATGAAAAATTCATACATTTTTTTGCGATTATTTGCTAATAATGATGAAATTTCAGATTTGAAAGACACGGACAAGGAGAGAATCGTCAAACAGATCACCAACGACGACATCTCGAATTTATCACGTTTGGCAAAGGAATTGTTGCCTAAAGGATAATAAACTTTCTTAGCTCTGCAATATTTTTTTAATAATACTATCATTTTTTTATTTACTTGTTATATTATGTGATGATGTGTAAATTTGATAGCTTTTAATAAGTCGAATGTAGAATTATTTTTATAAACTTAATTTGGTAGCTACAATTTTTAGGAAGTCGATGTCTTTCGAAATAATATTATAATAAAAGATATCTTCGATTAAGATTTTCGATTCTTTCACAAATCCCGAATTAAATGGAAACCATTTTAAAAAATTTCTAAAATCAACAGCAGATCTTGAAGGTTTCACCCGATCTTACAAAATATTAACCCCTGGAAAATCTTCATATTTGTCATTGCGATTAACCGTCCCCCAGCAGCGAGTTTGCAAAAAGTAAAAATAGATCAAATGCAAATGCATGAACTCTCTCGGTTGGAGCGCATCAGGGGGCTCAAAGGGAGAACTTTGGTCTCTCTGCGCGCGCATCTTATATATATATATAGCAGCAGCAGTGGACTGCGAACTTCCAGTTAGTAAATAAAGGAACCGTGCTGACTCCGTTTCTCTCGACTGGCGTGTGCGGAACTATAATATAAATGCCACGAGAGACGTCGCGAGCTTCCGTGTTTTGCATTTGATCTTTTGATTCTCGACGCGAAAAAAGTGCGTTTAGCGAAAAAAAATTCGAACGTCGTTGGCATTTAATTGCTAACATCGCGGCTGCTTTTATAATTTAACCGCAGTGCTCGAAACAAGGCAAGTGATCACTCCCCGCTCGTCGTATCGCATTTATTTTTCAATTCGAAATTCCATATCTCCACCCGCTCGTTAATTATTCTCCGTAAAATCGTCGTTCGCGTCATACGTCGCAACTGTGACCGACGCGATAAGGGTCGGCACTCGCAAATTACAGCTTTTTGTGACATACTTATTGTATATAGGCGCGCGGCGGTGAACTCGTGTGAGCCCCGCAGTCGCACATGCACACGGCACACACACAGTTTACATATTGATCGTTCGTGCACATTCTCTCTACTACACCCCCGGCACAGAGAGAGAAAGCGCGACCCCACTTTAACCCCCCTGCTGTGCTGCTGTTATCTCGAGTGATAGCGCGAATACAACGCGACGAAACTCGCCATGATGATGTATTGTGCGAATGTGCATTGACGGAACGATATTTATTGCGAAGTGTAACCGTGTAACGATAGTATATAGTTAAAAAAGTGACGGTTCGCTGTGTGGGCCCACGTGACATTCGTTGTTTACAAATTTAGGCGTATTGTAACGCGACGCGTTTTAGAACTATTTATTTAGAATTTTTCATTGCGAAATATAATACGCCCATTTCCTTCGCAATTCGCTCGAATGAATTTTTTTAAAGAAAAACAATCTAGTGGATAACTTTTCTTTCAGAACTATAAACAAGAAGCCTTAAAAAAAGATGATCACGTCCTGAACTTTGGAAAAACTTTGTACGAAGAACCAGAATAAAAGTTTGGATCAGTTGCGCGAACCAATTAAAACTATAACAATATCATCGTGCCAACGAGTGACATGAATTAATCGCCGTTGAATAATACGCCGATATAAATGTCCTACTACATCATCCCCCGAACGATATAGTAATTGGATAAAAATTAATCGAACGATATGTCGAACGCGAGCGAGACAACGACGACGACGAAACCGACGACCATCGTGATGCCCGTCATCATTCAAGTACCCGCGGAACAACAACAATCGGGTCAGCAGCAGCAGCAGCCGGCGGTGCAGATCAATCAGCGGATGCTGCGCTCGCCCAGCCACGAGAGCGTCACTACGGACCTGTCGCTGTTCAGCTGCTCGTCCGTGGCCGGCAGCGATCGAGGAGGAGGAGGAGGAAACAAAACGGTCGGCTCGTTCAAGTCCTACAGCGACATGCACCTGTCGGATCGCGGCCCGTCGCCCAATCCCGACTCGAGATTGCGCGTCTTTAGCAATAGGTACATTATTATACATGATTTAGAAGATTTTCCGGGGAAAAAGGGGGTAGTCGAACTTGAGATAAAATAAAATTTCAGGCCAGCCGACATCCTCGAGAATCTGTGGTTCGAGGAGGAGACCGACCTGATCCGCAGCTTCGGCGCCCTGTCCACGGCCCTGGGCCTGCAGAAGAGCTTCAGCACCTCGGACCTGACTCAGCTGGCCGCGAGTCCGCGCGACACCCTGCTCTCCTGTCGCAACGGGTGCAGCCAGTTGCGCTCGACCGTGTCCTCGTACGATCTCGATCTGTCCTCGTGCCGGGGCCGTATGCTCCTGGAGCAGGTGCGCTTCGATCGGGCCTCGCGCTCCTGCAGCACTTGGGTCGCCGTGGGCGACGTCGTCTCCAATTCTCAGCTGCCCTCGCCCTACGGCGGCGCCTCGTGCGCTCTGCCCTCGATCAATAATAACGCCAATGCCGATCGAGTCGAGCAACGGCAACGGCATCGTGAGCCGTCGGCGATGCCGTTCACCGCCGCGGATCTCATCAGATCGGTCAACAAGAAGATCCGACAGAACTACATCAAGAGAAGGTAATTCTCTCTCTCTCTCTCTCTCTCTCTCGATCTCGATCTCTATTCTTTCGGTGTAATAATTTTCTATATACGCGCCGTTACTCGACAGGCTGTTGACGACCTACCGCGCCCTGGAGCGGCTCTCCCAGAGCGAGTTCAACCTCGACAAGCTCGAGGTGACGGTGCCGGCCTCGGCCTCGGGCTGCACTCGTAAACGACCCGAGAGCATGGACTGCGGCCGCAAAGCGTCCGGCGCAGCCTCGGCCCTCGGCCTACCGCCGAAGATCGGCAGCAACGTGGCGCTTCCGGGGTTGGGAGGAGGCCGCGAGCACGAGCAAGCCCTCACCGTCAAGGACATCGAGCGCGAGCGAGGCCGACAGCTGTCCAAGTACGAGAGGAACATGCTGATCTTCAACTGGCTTCATACGCTCGACGACGGCAGCGGCGGAGGTAACAACGACATGGGCGAAACCGCGGCGGTCGTCTCGACGGTCGCCTCCTGCGTCCAGGCCAATGCCAATATCGCTACGGCTACTACGGCCCATTAAATATCAGCTAAACTTTGAACTGGACGAAATATTTCAACTGCTTTCATCGATCGCCGAACAACGCTTATATATTTTCGTAATTGCCAATTTTGTGCAGGGCTCTGTGTGTGTGTGTGTGTGGGTGTACTTCGCCCGTCGAGAGGAGATTACAAATTTACAATTTACCCCTGCGATGATCAATAATTTTTAGCTGCATGCGTTAAATTGCGAGAGCTCAAAGCTCCACGCGTAATGTAAATATTTACATAATAATACGACGTTTGTATATATAATATACCGATAGGTCCGTGCCTTTTTGAATTATTTTAGAATCTATTCGAGTTGCAACGATATGCGAGAGGAAAATCGTAAATCGTTGACTTTTTCGCATATTATTTGTTAACACACACACTTACGGATACGATTGAAACTAACCTCATGTTGTTCAAAGCGGACGTGCCATGAATGTGAATAAGAAAATATATTTAATCGGCTCGTGGTTTTCCGCGTGATTCCGAATCATGTTAATTACGATTTTTTTCTCAGTTATGGAATTTCTATTTGATACTTTTTACCGAGAAACTTTTTTCACTTAAAATTTTGATTTTACTTTTTGACGTAAGGTGGTTTGACGTTGCGGTAAATTTACAGGTTACTTTTCGAATGTTGAAATAATTTAGTCAACGAAATACTCATTTCGATATATTATTTTTTATTATCAATAAGAGACATATTTAATTAAGATTTTCTAAAGAACGATAATTTATTTTTTAACATAAAATGCATCTATAAGGATCCCTGAATTTTGAAATTTTAGAAAAATAATTTAGGATAGGTTGCGAATAATAAAGTCAGTAGACGTTACGATGAAAGAAATATGACTTATGTGGAGTAATAAAGTACAAGTTCTATTGTTAGAAACGAGACAAGGCTCGAAAAATCTATGTGTAGCTATTTTAACAATTGCATCGATGAATTTACGCGATGAGTGTAGCGAGCCAAAGATTAATGAATTTATCAATTACAGTATTATTTGTTCAACGTTTTTGCTTGAATTAAATATAGACGTAAAACTGCTACCAAAGAGCGCACATATTCCTCGACGATATTAATATACAAATAATTAAAATGAATGTACATGTTAGTGGGGTAAAGTTAGCGATGGAACCGAATGCATTTGCAAAAGTCTTATTAATAAATGTTGTTAAAGTCATTGTTCACTTTATTTAGAAATACTTTTTAGCTGGTAGATAAGTAAATTTATAGTGCTCAAATTTGAACTGAATTCTTTACGCAATACTTTACATACGTTGAAAAGTTTTAATAAAAAAAAAACCGTCACGCCTATCAAATAGGTAGAACAATACGAAAAAACTTTTTCAAACATTGATTAAAAAAAATTATCCTTTCCAAAAAAAAAGAAGGAAAAAAATTAATTTTTGTATGTTGAATATAAAATAAAATGTTTTAATTGTTGAATACGCCCGTTTTATAATTGGGAAGTTGTAAGATACTGTAAACAATATTACAATAATGTTAATTATGCTATACATACACAATAAATAATATTATATATATTTACATAGAATTTACAGCTTTCCAAGAAATTCGAAGCCACAGATGAGTATTTTGAATGCGCAAATTGTTAATTAGTGTTTGGCATTATGTATATCGATTTATGTATGCCAATTTTACGTAAATATTGTATAATCCCAACATATCGATGCCAAATACGAAATTATTATTGCTTTTTTTCTATCACTATATTTATGGAGTACTGTTAACAATGCTATGAATAAAGAATATATACTTTGTGAACAAAAAAACTCAAAATGAAAATAAAAATGTTCAAATTAATCCGTTTATTCAAATTTTTTCATATCCATACTGACGCAAGTATTAAAGAAAATTAAAAGTTTCAGAGGCGTTTCACACTAAAATTGGTGTTATTTATTTTTGAAATGAAAATTTGAACACTAAATTTAAAAATTACAAATTAACAAATAAAATTTAATGCATACAATTTTGCAAAACAACGTATTTGTACTTTCGTTTAGGCTGCCTCTACAGCGTAACCTATACACATCGGACGACGACCACTGTGCAATATCTGTCGCGTCGCGAACGCGATTGCAAAACTGAATTCAGCCTCACGCTTACGACTACTCGCGCGCACGTAGTAGAAACGTGCGGCTCCTCGTAAAGAGCGTAGGTATTCCATCTGATTTTCAAACGAATCATTTTCATCCGAGTTTTTATCGTATTTGTAAACTTTCAAGTTTAGCCGTTCCTATCCAATCGAGGACCAATCGTTACTGATCAGTGATAACTCCGAACACGTTGCAGCAGAGAGCGAGTTTCCAGCACGTATAATACTACAAAAACACCGTCGCAATGGCGGACGCAGCGGCCCGGCAACTGCAATACGAGTACAAAGCGGTAAGCATTATTTACAAACTGCTTGACCAAGCTGTCATCTTTAATTTCATTGACTTGATGTTATATGAACTCTTAATAATGAGTCTGCTTGATGAAACGAAGCATATGTGCGATAAAACAAGGTGTATTTATATCGATTCAGGTTATGTTTTGAAACCTCGTTTTGTAGTTTTGATAGAATGGATGCAACAAGGTATCTTGTGGAGATCTGCTAGTGTCAAAATCAATTTCATGCAAACATTTTGATCATCCATCTCCAACGTGATACTTTCTGCTGCAATTATAACTTGACTAATAATCAGGAATAATTACTTGTTTATCTATGAAATTATTAATTAGTGTTCAATATAATTTTGATGATTACAGAACTCCAATCTTGTTTTACAAGCTGATGTTCGACTCATCGAGAGACGAAGCAGAGATGAAGCTACAGGAGAAGTTATGTCCCTTGTTGGGAAACTTGATGGAACAAAAATGGGTGATCGTGCCAAAAGAACTAAACCAGGCAAAGCTGAAGAACGGAAAGTAAAGTGAGTGTTGCAGTATTTATGTTTGTTAAGCTTTGCACAAACATTATTGATGATAATATTTTATTTTAACATCAGTTATTAATTGGTTTATCATAGATCTTTCCTATTAATTTTTTCAGACGTCAAAAAAGAGACGAAGCTCAGTATGACTTTGCTCATAGTAAAGGAGCTACTGTTCTCTCAGAAGATGTTGATGATACGGTAGGGATTATGTATAGACCAAAAACACAAGAAACTCGTCAAACTTATGAGGTACTATTGAGTTTCATTCAAGAGGCTCTTGGTGATCAACCACATGATATTCTTTGTGGTGCTGCTGATGAAGTATTATCTGTATTGAAAAATGATCGCCTAAAAGAGAAAGAGAAGAAAAAAGAAACTGAACAATTACTAGGAAATTTGGCTGAAGAAAGATTTGCACTCCTAGTAAACTTAGGAAAGAAAATCACAGATTTCGGAACTGATGAAAAAACTACCGGTGGAGAAGAAAATATTGAAACTTATGGTATAAATGTTCAATTTGAAGAAAGTAGTGAAGAAGATGATGAGGATGTTTATGGTGAAGTGAGAGATAATGAGGATGAAGGAGATGAAGGTGAAGAAGCTAATGATAACAGAGCTATCCATGCTGAAAATGTAAGTTTTCACAATTGTTTATTAACATTACTATTTTATTACATAACATCTAAATTTAATTATTACTTAAATTTCATAGCTTGGTAGAACAGAAGAAATGAAAAAAGAAAAAACTCTTCATCCAAGAGATATAGATGCTCATTGGTTGCAGCGACAACTGAATCCTATCTATAACGATGCTATAGTATCACACGATAAAGCTAGAGAAGTTTTGCATATACTAAAAACAGCCACTGATGATCGAGATTGTGAAAGCCAACTTGTACTAAAGCTTGGTTATGATTGCTTTGACTTCGTCAAACAACTTCGACAATATAGACATATGAGTAAGTAATTTTTTATATTCTACATTGAATATTTTCAGTCCAATTATAGTATTTGTGTTTTACTTGAACAACACTTTCACTTTTTTTTATAGTTGCATATTGCATATCGTTGGCATCATCTCAATCTGAATCAGAACGACAGAAAATTCGCAAAGAAATGAGTGAAAATCCTCAACTGTCCAAAATTCTTCAAGCTCTTGATACTGGAAAGGGAGAAGATGGCGAAGAAACTATGGAAGCTAGAGCACAAAGAAAACGCAGAGAAGAACATGAAGATGCTGGAGGCCCTGGTGGTCTTGTACAAGGTACAAGAAACATGATTGATTTGGAAGACATTGCGTTCTCACAAGGAAGTCATTTTATGCCCAATAAGCGCTGTCACTTACCTGATGGTAGTTTCAGAAAACAACGAAAAGGGTAAGATATTTTAATTAACTAAAATTTCCTATCATATTTTTTTCTTAGTTTTTTTTCGAAAATAGGTTTTAATTGTAATTAATTATTTCAGTTATGAAGAAGTGCATGTTCCTGCTCTGAAACCAAAACCATTTGCTGCTGATGAAAAATTGGTCTCTATCAGTGACTTACCAAAATTCGCACAGCCAGCTTTTGAAGGTTTCAAAACACTCAACAGAATACAGAGTAGATTGTATAAAACTGCTCTTGACGAGGATGAGAATTTATTGTTGTGTGCACCAACTGGTGCTGGTAAAACTAATGTCGCATTGCTGTGTATGATGCGAGAAATAGGAAAACACGTGAACTCTGATGGTACCATCAACGCTGATGATTTCAAAATCATATATATTGCCCCTATGCGTTCACTGGTACAAGAAATGGTTGGAAACTTTGGAAAAAGATTGGCTGGTTACAACCTTACAGTTTCTGAGTTGACTGGTGATCACCAACTTACCAGAGAACAAATTGCATCGACGCAGGTCATTGTTTGTACTCCTGAAAAATGGGATATTATTACCAGAAAGGGAGGCGAGAGAACCTTCACATCTCTTGTAAGACTCATCATCATTGACGAAATTCATTTACTTCACGACGAGCGAGGACCTGTTCTTGAATCATTGGTGGCTAGAACTTTGAGAAACATCGAAACCACTCAAGAAGACGTAAGATTAGTTGGTCTGTCTGCTACTCTACCAAACTACAAAGACGTTGCTACGTTTTTGCGCGTTAAAACCGACACCGGTCTATTTTATTTTGACAATAGCTTCCGACCTGTTGCTCTTGAACAACAGTACATTGGAGTTACTGAAAAGAAAGCTCTGAAACGTTTCCAAGTAATGAACGAAGTCGTGTATGAAAAAACAATGGACCACGCTGGCAAAAATCAAGTACTCGTGTTCGTGCATTCTCGCAAAGAAACTGGCAAAACTGCGCGCGCTATTCGCGACATGTGCTTGGACAAGGACACCATCAGTCAATTTGTACGCGATGGCTCAGCCTCCATGGAAGTGCTGCGAACCGAAGCTGAACAAGTGAAAAATAGTGAACTCAAAGATCTACTGCCTTTCGGATTCGCCATCCATCATGCCGGTATGACTCGAGTCGATCGTACGCTCGTTGAAGATTTGTTCGCCGACAGACACATTCAAGTACTGGTGTCGACCGCCACCCTGGCTTGGGGTGTGAATTTACCAGCTCACACTGTAATCATCAAAGGCACGCAAGTGTACAATCCAGAGAAGGGTCGTTGGACCGAATTAGGTGCTTTGGATGTCTTGCAGATGCTTGGTCGAGCTGGTCGTCCTCAATACGACACCAAGGGTGAAGGTATACTGATTACAAATCACAGTGAATTGCAGTTCTATCTGTCACTGTTGAATCAGCAATTACCGATCGAATCGCAATTCGTGAGTAAAATGCCAGACATGCTGAACGCCGAAATCGTCTTGGGTACGATTCAGAATGTGCGCGACGCAGTAACGTGGCTGGGCTACACGTACTTGTACATCCGTATGTTGCGCTGTCCGAATCTCTATTCCGTCAGCTCCGACTATCTGAAGGAAGATCCATTGCTGGAGCAGCACAGAGCCGATCTCGTTCACTCCGCGGCGGTGACGCTCGACCGCGCGGGATTGATAAAGTACGATCGCAAAACCGGCAATTTCCAACCGACCGAACTGGGACGTATCGCCTCGCACTACTACTGCACACACGAGACAATAGCGACTTACAATAATTTGCTCAAGAGAACCCTGAGCGAAATCGAACTTTTCCGAGTATTTTCACTGTCGGGAGAATTCAGAAACATCAATGTTCGTGATGAAGAGAAGATAGAGCTTCACAAGTTAATGGAACGAGTTCCCATACCTATCAAAGAAAACATGGAAGAGCCTAGCGCCAAGGTTAATGTGTTGCTTCAAGCTTACATATCCCAAGTAAGTTTACTCGACATTTTAATGAAAAAGAAATTAAATCAATTTTTTTACTCATCGAATATTATTTTTCTTTTTATAGCTGAAACTTGAAGGTTTCGCTCTGATGTCGGATATGGTTTATGTTACCCAATCAGCGTCTCGACTCATGCGAGCGATCTATGAAATAGTATTGTTCCGCGGTTGGGCCCAATTGGCTGACAAATGCTTGAGTTTGTGCAAGATGATCGATCGCCGAATGTGGCAGTCGATGTCACCTTTACGCCAGTTCCGCAAGATGCCCGAAGAAATCGTCAAAAAAATTGAAAAGAAAAACTTCCCATGGGAACGTCTCTACGATCTTGGTCCCAACGAAATCGGTGAACTTATTCGCGTGCCAAAGCTCGGCAAAACCATTCATAAGTACGTCCATCAGTTCCCGAAATTGGAGCTCTCGACTCATATTCAACCAATCACTCGATCTACTTTGCGCGTTGAGCTTACCATTACTCCTGATTTTATCTGGGATGAAAAAGTACATGGGGCGTCGGAGGCCTTTTGGATTCTCGTCGAGGATGTCGATTCAGAGGTTGTTTTACATCATGAATATTTCCTGTTAAAAGTAAGTATTTTAATCATCAGTTGAAATCAGCAATTGTGTTATGACGTATGCTAAATTATGAATTAAATTCTTATTTTTAGCAAAAATACGCAACCGATGAACATACGGTCAAATTTTTCGTATCAGTGTTTGAGCCTTTGCCACCTCAATACTTTTTACGAGTGGTGTCGGATAGATGGATAGGCGCAGAAACGCAATTGCCTGTTAGTTTCAGGCATCTCATACTTCCCGAAAAAAATCTACCACCAACAGAGTTGTTAGATTTACAGCCGCTACCTATATCAGCCTTGCGAAATAAAGTCTTCGAGAAGTTGTATGAAGATAAATTCAATCAATTTAATCCAATTCAAACTCAGGTAAGAAAAACATAAATAATTGAATTTATTGATTTGGGTTATAATTTTTTTGCAAATTATCCAATGAAAAATCATCTTGTAATAGGTTTTTAATGCTGTCTACAACACAGACGATAATGTCTTTGTTGGTGCACCAACTGGTTCTGGTAAAATGACGATCGCGGAGTTTGCCGTTTTACGTCTTTTATCTCAAAACCCCGATGGTCGTTGTGTTTACATGGTGAGCAAGGAATCATTAGCCAAAATCGTCTATGCGGATTGGATGACCAAATTCCAGAAAACTTTGGGAAAACCAGTGACAATGTTGAGTGGCGAAACAACCGCCGATCTCAAATTACTCAACAAAGGACAAATCATAATTACGACAGCTGAAAAATGGGATGTATTATCTCGAAGATGGAAACAGCGTAAAAACGTTCAAAATATTCAACTTTTCATCGTAGATGAATTACAATTGATCGGAGGCGAAGAAGGTCCCGTTCTCGAAGTTGTCTGCTCCAGAGCAAGGTACGTTTTGAATATTTTACTAATAATACTCTAAATTTAAAATTATAAATTATAAATTAACTTATTCATTCAAATTTTAGGTACATATCTGCCCAACTTGAAAAACCCACGCGCATCGTCGCTTTATCAAGCTCTTTAGCCGACGCCAAGGACGTAGCTCAATGGTTAGGTGCTCCAGCTTCGTGCACCTTCAACTTTCATCCATCGGTGCGCCCGCTACCTTTGGAACTTCACGTTCAAGGCTTCAATATAACTCACAACGCATCGAGACTCGTAGCCATGACGAAGTCGGTCTACAATGCCATCCTACGTCACGCCCCAAGAAAACCTGTCATCGTGTTTGTGCCTACCCGCAAACAAGCTCGTCTCACGGCCTTCGAAATTTTGACATTTGCTGCGGCCGAAAATAGACCCAATCAATTTCTACATACCGAAGTCTCAGAGATAGAGCCATACTTGGATCACCTGAGTGACAGAAGTCTTAGAGAAACTCTTATACAAGGTGTAGCCTACATTCACGAAGGCTTATCAAATAACGATCGTCACAATGTTCAAGAATTTTTCGCGCGCGGTTACATACAAGTAGCAGTGGTCACTCGCGAACTTTGCTGGAGTTTATCAATATACTCCCATCTAGTTGTTATTATGGACACACAGTGTTATAATGGCAAAACGCATACGTACGAAGACTATCCCATCACTGACGTTCTGCAGATGGTGTCCCGTGCCAATAGGCCTCAAATAGACGACGACGGCAAATGCGTACTTCTATGCCAAAGCTCCAAAAAAGATTTCTTTAAAAAGTTTTTGAATGAACCCTTGCCAGTAGAGAGTCATTTGGATCAAAGACTTCACGATCATTTCAATGCCGAAATTGTGACGAAAACAATTGAAAACAAGCAAGACGCCGTAGATAATCTCACTTGGACATTCCTTTACAGAAGACTCACCCAAAATCCTAACTACTACGGACTCCAAGGAGTGACACACAGACATCTTTCTGATCACCTTTCAGAGTTGGTTGAAAGTACCTTGACCGATCTCGAACAAGCTAAGTGCGTTACTGTCGAAGATGAGATGGACACGGTACCATTGAATCTTGGAATGATCGCCGCATATTACTACATTAATTACGCTACCGTTGAAATGTTCGATGCATCGTTGACTGCTAGAACTAAGAGTCGTGGCTTAATTGACATCATATCCGCAGCTGCTGAATATGAATATATACCAGTCAGACAGAGAGAAGAGAGCTTATTGAAAAGCCTTGCAACAAGATTACCTCATGCGCCGCAAGCACAGAAATTGGCTGATCCTCATGTGAAGGCACAATTATTATTGCAGGCACATTTATCACGAATTCAATTGGGACCGGAACTACAAAAAGATACAGAATTGGTACTCAGTAAATCTATCAGACTTATACAAGCCTGCGTTGATGTGCTCAGCTCTTCAGGTTGGTTAGCTCCAGCTGTAGCAGCTATGGAACTGGCTCAGATGGTCACTCAAGCTATGTGGTCCAGAGAATCCTACTTGAAACAAATTCCACACTTTACATCTGAAATAATAAAACGTTGCACAGATCGTGAAGTTGAGACGGTCTTTGACATTATGGAGCTTGACGACGATGTCCGTGCTCGTTTACTACAACTATCAGATTCTCAAATGAACGATGTCGCAAGATTCTGCAATCGTTATCCCAACATTGAAATGTCCTATGAAGTGATCGACAAAGACAGAATTCGACACGGCGAACCCGTGAACGTTCAAGTAAATTTGGAACGTGAAGACGAAATAAGCGGTCCAGTTGTGGCGCCTCATTTCCCTCAGAAGAGGGAAGAGGGATGGTGGGTTGTAATTGGAGATCCCGACAAGAATCAATTGCTCTCAATCAAGAGATTGACTTTCCAACAGAAGACCTCTGTCAGATTAGACTTTACAGCCCCAGCAGCTGGAAGACACTCTTATACACTGTACTTCATGAGTGACTCTTATTTGGGATGCGATCAAGAATACAAAATTAACATTGACGTTGGAGAGTATGTGTCGGAAGATGATGCCAGTTCTGGATCAGAATCCGAGTAATTTATGCGTAGCTTAGAAAAACAATTAATTCAATATTCATTCAAATCATATATTGCAACCCAATATATTTTTAATTTTTATGATTCCAACAAAAAATGTTTTTCAAATGTATTTCAAAGCTTGTATATAATTTAAAATGTAAATAATAATATCTTGTTAATGAAATAACAATTTTACAACTTTGAATAATTTAATGGGATGCAGTATCTAAAAAGGAAATAGCAATCATTGTATGAGATATTCTGCAGTTTATCTCAATCCATTCGTAAAGATAGTTTGTATTATTATAATTGAAATTTTGAATTAGTAAATACAATGATCATCTCGAAATTTAAACTGAAAAAGCGTTTACATTTACTTCCTTTAAAATTCCCACGAGACATAGTATGTCTTCGCACTCGTTGTATGATGTACTATTTCATTTTTATATCAAGGTCACAAAAATTCATTCAACTGTTCAATGCTTTTGGAGTCATCTGGAAATGATATTATATTGGAGATTTTACTGTACTAAAGTAATATAGATAAAATTATTGTTTGAATTGAAATGACTTACTGTCTATGTTTATGGTATTTATTAAAAAAACAAGAAGTTACGGCTGGACTTATTAATCTGTAAAAGTTGACATTGTTCGAACTGAACTTATAAAATACGATCAGTTTTATTACAGTTTTGATATATTTGCTGTAACAAAAGCATTAACATTTGTTTATTTAATGTTCTGAGGTTACTACTTACTTCAAATAAAATAAAGATTAATTTTAAACAGTATATTCAATGAATATTTTTTATTACAATACTGCGTTATGTAACATCAAATACCGTATAATATTTTATCATGCTAAATTGACCTATCCTTGAAAAAGAGTAAATTTTAGATGAATTTGCACTACTTTTTTTAATGTAGGAGAGATTAGCATAGTCACGATGAAAAATCCTTGAAACTTTTATTACAGTGAAACGATGTTAAGATTTCCGTGTCTGTTCAATTTTCACTTGAAACAGTTATAATTTTCGATGCATAATTTTCTGTAGTATCACCAAATTTATAATTTGTTTTTGCGGATAACTAGATCTTTTTTTTTTCAAAACATTTTAAATGTTTATAATTAATTGATGAAGTTCACTCGTTCCAATAATATTAAGGAATATTCAAGAAAAATGATAGTAATTTTTAATATTTATTTATTACTATAATTATTGATCATCGTATTTATGGCTTTAAAATTAAAAATTAGCATCATCGATTAAAAAAAACATGAGTACGAATTCGAAAACATTTTTTCTTTCACTTTATAGAATGCAGTGTCTTTATGGGTCGACGGAATTCAATTTTTATAATATAACAACAAGTTTTTCACGCGATCCTATAGTAATTGATAAACAATTTATAATTTGAAACATTTTTAGTCCTGATCAAACGAGGACAATCGGTTACAAGAATCAATATAAGTTCATGCGTAACTCATAAATTATTTTTAGAGTAATTCAAAGTATGAAAACAATAATACTTCAATTTTATCAAGGCTCAACTTTTTCTTAAAAACTAAACCCTAATATATCATCATAATCTTCAGGGATTATCAAAGAAAAGTCATTAACTTCGAGGAAAGATTTTCACTGTGTATTTTCTTAAAATGCAATAATATATTGTTGAAACACATTTTTTTCTGTTTTAGTAAAATGAATTTTTTGATAAAAAAAAAGTGTCATCGAACCGAGGGAAAAAGTCAAGTTAATGATATAAAATTTGTAGAAAAACCTAAATTTATTATGATAGCAATAAATAATACATAACACGACAAATAAAGAATAAATACATTGTGTACACTAAAAGTCCAAGTTCGTACAATGTATTCTTTTTGAGATAAGCTAAGTACTAGGTCACCAACGATCATATAATGTAAGTTTACCTTTGTCATAAAAAAATTTTTTTGACATTTAATTCAGAAGTCTTTAAATAACTCAGTAATAATTGAACAAAAATGGTATAAATATAGCTTATTGAAGGTAAAACACTTCAAAGCGTTTTCGCCTCAAAAGAAGCAACTCATTCGTTGTTACGAGTACGGGAAAAGTCGTCGCTTTTTAATTCAAAAGTGGGTGTTTGTTAAAAAGTTATCAATATGAAGTTCTTCGTTGCTGCTTTAGTTCTGTTGGCTTTGTCTCTCTCCGTGACGGCCCAATCATCGGAGCCTGAAGGAGTAGCTTGCAAATCTCCGTCAGATTGTCCTAAAGGAACGACTTGTGTGATAGGTAAATGAATGAAATAAAAAATTTTTATATTAAAAATTGTAATGTTTCGTATTCGCATAAAAAGTTCGTGACTGCTCATCAATATATTTTTTATGTAAAGTGAATTTTAAAAAATACGAATGATAAAAATGAATTTTTCAGAACAAATGAGATACTCGCTGCCGTCGTGCAAGCCACTGTTGAAAAAAGGCGAAAGCTGCCGACCCGGTGCTCCCTGGAGATCCAGCTCTGAATATTACTACCCCAATGGCAAAAAAGTGAAAGTCGAGGGTATTTACGTTACCATTCCTCCTTGCGAAGAGGGTCTGGAATGCAAGAGACCCATGGGAGTTTGCGAATAGATATCAGAACCAATTTTATATAGTACATTAAGTTTCACGTATGATTGTCAATAATTTATAACTTCGAATTGTATAAAATGCATGTGAGTTATAAATAAAAAAGATGTAACATTAAATGTTATATTGCACATTAAATTTATTTCGATTTCCAAAGTATTGCCTTGCCTACAGATACTTAGATGATAAAACACCCGAAAACGCTGTATTTCATCCACTTATACAACTGCTTCCATAATTTTAATACATATTAGAAAAACAGTCGAAGAAATCGCTAATGTGAATATATCACTCTCGGCCTACTACATTTTTTTAGGTCATTCGATTTTTTTATTTACAATGTACAGTTCACATTAACTTTTACCTTATTATAAATTATTCTTACGTCGAGAACATAAGCTTTTAGTGCCGTTCCAGGTCTTTTAAATTGTCATACAGTTCATTTTCTCCAATCGAAGATGTGATTTTTACTGTGGGCTATTTGATTCGAACAGTATTAAATTTTTCAAGTATATCATTCTCTTTACGATATTCGTGATTTCGTTAAGTGTATGTATATAATATATAAAATATAAAAATTCAAAAACGTCGCCAACGCTTCGTCCCACTCATCGAATGTAGAAATTTCGTTATACATCAGTGTACGTAATACTGTGAGACGTGTAAAAATCCATACAGACACTTCTTAACTATTCAACTAATCCTTTTTAACATGCAATTTAAAATCATTACAATTTATTTATTATATTTTTCACTAAATTTTCACCTACTTTACATCGATTTAAGTTTAATTTTTTCTTACTCGTTAATTGTCTTGTTAATGAAAATTATTTTCACGCGCCTCATAAGTTGAGAACCTTTATTATTTTATCATTTTTTTCCATGCTATCAGAAATTTAAATTTTAACGACTTAATTAATATATAAAATGATTATTAAAAGATCGATTACACTTGTTATTTGTTGCGTTTAATATGTTTACATCTCATAATCGACCAAAAACAACGAACCGTCTAAGCAAACTCAACAATCGTACTTAGGAAAAACCTGCGTCTCGCCATAAAATGAGCTTCGAATTTCTCGAATATAATTCGATGGATCGATCTTATTTAGGCAGAGAGATACATCGAATTCGTCCTCGCGATATCTAAAATATGTTTCATAAATGATTGATTTACCTTTTACTTTTTGGTTTAGTTGTAATTTATATATAAAAACACGCTGAAATCAGTCTTAGATTATCGTTTCCTCAAAATTACTCGTCTTATTTATTTATTTTTTTTCACTACAAATATGCCGTTGAAACTCAGTGGAAGATTCTCCGGTGCTCTCAAATCTCGCTATCTCCTTATCACAAAGACTATGTAATATATCTTATATATTGACGATTGTTGGTTGGTAGTTATTATTCTTATTTTTTCTATTATAAAAAATACTTATGCAACTCGTTGAAATTTATTTGGCACAATTAATAATCATATCGTGTCACAAGTGCTTTGTATTATTATTATTACGTTTCTCATCGATTCACACACTCGCTAATCTATCATGTATTTCGACAGGTTATCGTATTGTTGAGATTACAAACCAACCCACCAATTGCTTCTATCGTTCCTCGATCACTTCATTAAAAAAAAAAAAAAACAAAAATTTCGTGCACCACAATCAGTGTCCGATCTCAGCACTTTTCTCAGCACTTTGAAACTTGAAACCCGGCTAAGGCGCGTTTACCCAAGAATCTCCTGCGCGTCGAGCCGATAGGTCACGGACTTCTTGACGCGCGGCTGCCTCTGCAGGCTCTGGGTCGTGGCTGCCGTAGCCGGGGCCAAATGCTACGTGGCCAGGCGCTCGTGCCGGATCGGCCTGAGGGTGCAGCACTCGTGACGCTAGACCCAGTACTGATTGCGCCTCAGCAACGGGTTGGAGGCGGCTCGCTGGGAGGTCTGCGACGGGCACGGGATGTCCGTCGTCTCGAAGCTGCTGCTCCACTCGTCGACGTCGGGCATGCCGTAAGGATAGCGGCCCGACGACACGTCCAGCTCCGAGGAGTTGTTCATCGTCGTGTCCAGCGGACTCAACGGTATCACCTGAGTATGGGCAAAAAATTGGGCCCGAGTGAAACATACAGTTTTTTATTAAATATCATAATTCTTGCATAAATAAAAAGCACAACTCTCGAAGACAATACGTAGACTTATCCAGTCAAATCTATTAAAAATAAATACGTTGAAATTATAATTTTAATCGTCACACTGTTTTTATAATTTTAATTTGTATTTATTTTTAATGAAATCGACTAAATGAGTCTGAGGATTGTCCTCAAGAATCATGTTTTTCATTTGTATCGACCATATTTACTGAAAAAAATCTTAGAGGCTAGTCCAACGAAAGTGGACTCAAAAAAACATATTTTGAAAAAAAATATCTTTTTTCTGATACAGATGTCGACTTTCGTTGGACCAGCCTCTTTTTCTTCGGTAAGTGGCGTTAGAAACATATTTTACGATCGCAATTCTCACCTTGCACTGGGGCAACGTGGACGTGAGCGTCGGCATCATCGGTGGCAGGGGCGTGCTCGAGCTCAAACTATTGTTGCGATGCTCGTTGGAGTATCTCTTGAGATTGGGCGTCGCCGGCAGCAGATGTCCCGGCGGCCTCGGCAGATTGGCGATCGCGGGCGACGGCAGATCCACCTTGTCCTGCTCCATGTCGTCCATGTCGTCCTCCATGTCGTCCTCGTCGCCGTCGCCGCCACCGCCGTTGGGATCCTTGTACTTGGCTTGGCTGCACCTCAACGTGACGATGACGCAGAAGCCGAGCAGCATGACGCCCATGAGCATGCCCAGCAGCAGCGTGTAGTCGTTGCTCATGTTGGGCGCGATGGTGAGCTCGCCCTCGTGGCCCACCGGATCCATGGGGCCGTCGAGCGAATTGTTGTAGTAGTCGTTGGCGAGCTTGACGCGAAAGTCGAAGGTGCCGCGGGCCGGCTGGAAGCGCACGGCCGTCTGCGGCACCTTGAGCACGAACTCGAAATTGTCGAGGAAGCCGCTGCGATCGGCCGTCGGGACTTTCTTGCAGACGAGATAGATCAAGCCCGAGAGAATCTGCGAGTGCGAGAACACGCCGATCTCCTTCTCCTGCAGTCCTCGCTTCTCGCCCGACGACATCGTTCTGTTCATGATCCGCATGACCTTGGCGTATCTGGGCTTCCGCGCGACGAAGAACGACGGATCCTGGCGCGAGAGCTTGGCCAGGGGCGTCGCGTCCAGATACTGCACCGACAGCTTGGTGCGCTCGCCCGCGACCACCTCGAGGCTCGGGCTCGCGATCATCAGCGGCACCACCCGGATGGGCAGCAGCAGATCGCGCACCTCGTACTGGCTCACCCGGGCGGTGAGCTCGAGACTGTCGTTGCTCGCCGACATGTTCTGCTGGACGTAGAGCACGCTCTTGGACTGGAGGTCGCTGTGACGAAACTCGTCGGACTTCTCGCGCGCGTGAACGACCCCGTGCTCGGGCCGACGCGTGACCACGTAGGTGACGAGGTCGAGGCGCACGTTGGCGTCGACGCTGATGCACTCGGTGCCGATCGTGGTGGAGGTGCGGCCCTGCTGGATCTCCACGGGCCGCAGAATCGTCACGTTCAGCCGAATGGGGTGCACGTTGATGTCGAAGGTCTTGTAGACGTGCTGGAATCGGCCGTCGAACACGCGGAAGTAGAAGGTGGCTCCCTGCAGGGGGCCCCGATGCTCGTAGACGAGGCGCGACGAGTCGATGTCGTGCTGCGTGAACTTGAGTACCTGCGGCTCGTCGTTGGCCGCCTGATCCGTCGCGACGAGCAGCAGCCGGCCGTACGTCGGGGCGCTTATCACCTCGTAGACGATGTCGCGCGCGGGCGTGTCCGGGTCCACGGTGAGCAGGTGGCTCTTGGTGATGGTCTGCGTCTGGTTCTGCACGACGTCGAGCGGCTCGACGACCCTCAGCTCGAACGGCTGATCGTTGATCGGCGCGATCTCCACGGGTATGCTGACGTTGCAGAGGGTCACGTGGCCCGGCGACACGAACACGCTAAAGTCGATCTGGTCGCGGCTCGTGTCGCTGTGATCGTGAAAGTAGCCGATCTTGTGGCCCTCGATCTCCGACTGCGAGTACGTCGTGAGATTCAGGCCGTGCAGCAGCATCACGTGCCCGTGGGCGGGCTGACGCAGCAGCCTCACCGACACGTCGGGCTGGGGTATGGCCGCCTTGGTGCGCAAGAACTGCACTATGCCGCTGACGTTGATGGCCAAAGGGGCCGAGCCACCCTCCTCGACGTGCACCGGCGTCGCCGTGGCGTAGTGATGCAGGCCGCCGCTCGAGACGGATATGTCGACGCGAAACTCGAGCTCGCGAATCGCCTCGGCGAAGTGGGTCTCGATGTCGAACTGGAACGAGTCCGAGGCGCTCAGATTGTTGAACTGCTTGTTGTGCTCGTACGAGACCTTGCTGTTGTTGAGATCGCGCTGGGTGAAGCGATCGACCTCGAGCCAGGTGCCGTCCGCGGTCTCCATGATGATCTTGCCCATGGCCGGATTGGTCTTGACGACGTACTTGACGTCGCGATCGGGATCGCTGCACTTGGCCAGTAGCAGCTCGCTGCTCAACGGCTTTCTCGTGAGGGGAAAGACGTTGAGCACTTGATTGCGCTCGAGGGACAGGGACACGGGTCTGGTGCCGATCGAGACCTGGTAGGTCTCGGTCGAGTGCACGCCGTCGTTGACGGAAAACTTGAACTCGGCCTCGGTTTTTTCTGCAAAAACAATGCGACGATATAAAATCGGTTAAAGTCTTACGCCGAAATATATCTACTCACCCGTGTGCGTGAAAATGACCTTCTTCGTATTGATCATCTCCTGGGAAAAGTTACGTATCTCGACTCCCGGCGCCTCCGCCAGAGCAAAATATCCATTGACCGTCTCCTTGACGTTGTAAACCAGCTCGGTCGGAGCCGTATCGTTGTCCATGGCACCGAGCAAACTGTTACTCAGCACCGCGGAACCACCTCTCCACACGGTGAACCTCGTCTTGTTCACCACCTGGGGCAGCTCGTCGTTGATGGGGGTCACGTCGAACCACAGCTCGAACGGCTCGCTGTGCTTCTCGCCCGCCGTCACGATCATCTTCAGGCACTCGTGCGGAGCTTCGTCTCCGTTATGCTTGTAGACTATCTCGCCGTTGGCCAGCTGCTTGTGCTCGAACTTCCTGATCGGATTGTTCTTGCTGTCCATCAAGTTTCCGTGCTGGGGCTTCTCCGCCAGACGATAGTCGGTGAACTTGCCGGCGTAATAAGCGGTGACGGCGTAAAAGTCGAACTCGTGGAGGACGACGCTCTTGCCCTCGGGCACGCTGAGATTGCGCGCGCCCACGTAGAGCTTGTCGGGCACGATGACGATGTTGACGACGAGATCGCGGATCCAGCCGATGCTGTTGGTGACGTCGACGACGAAGCGATCGTGGGTCTGATTGGGCGCCGACTGCACGTAGTAGACGCGATTGTCGTTGACGAGGCTCTGCTCGAAGTGCTTGACCAGGTGCGCGCCGAACTCGTCGAGATCGGCCGAGGACTGCAGGCCCGCGGACGGCTCCTCCGGGTACTGGACCTCGAGGTAGCCGTTGCTCGGCCACTCCTTCACGTAGTAGGTGACGCGATTGGCGGGTATGCCGACGTTGCCCGCCTCCAGACTCTTGCGATTCAGTATGACGCTGGTGGCCTCCTCCACGTAGACCGTGCTGTTGTGCACGCTCATCGGCTCCCAGTAGATCTCCGGATAGATCTTGATGCCGAGCACGCCCGTGTCCTCGGCCGCGCCGTCCTTCACCTGCACCTTGATCCTCATGTGGTCCTTCTTCTGGGCCTGGCCCAAGTGCTTGTACGCGACGTAGCGATGCAGCAGATCGTCCTTGTCGAAGCTCGTCGCCTCGCGGCGCAGCTTCAGCAGCACCCCGTACTTGGGCTTCTCCAGCAGGCTGAAGTGCACGTCCGTGGCGTTGGCGTGCACGTTAGTCTCCAGGTCCAGGTCGCCGACGCTCAGTATCACCGACTGATTCGACTGCACCACTATGTTGTCGCGCAGCAGCAGCTTGGCGTACGCCTGGCCCGCCTGAATCTCGAGCTCGCCCTTGGTGGTCAGCTCGCGATCGCTCACCACGAAGTCCATGCGCTCGATCGGATTGCCTCTGTGCTTGTAGCAGATCTTGTCCTCGTTCACGTCCTCCTGGGTGAAGCGCGAGATGCGCCGATGGGGCTGATCCACGCGATAGAGATCGCCGTTGCTCAGCTGCATCACCGTGTAGACGATGTCCTTGGGCTCGGTGTTGATGTCGGCGTCGCGATACTGCAGGTCCGCCTTGCTGATGATCCTCTCCGAGTTCGTGACCACGCGAAAGACGCGCGGATCGACGCGCTCGGGCTTGTTGTCGTTGCGCAGCTCCACGCTCACCGCGAACCGACCGATGTACATGAAGTCGGCCTCGTCGCTGCCGCCGCCGCCGCCGCCGCTCACGGCCAGAAACTCGAACGAGTCCTCGGTGGTCTCGGAGTCGTCGTGCTCGTAGTAGACGCGCAGAGCCGTGAGCTCGTCGAACGCGAAGAAAGTCGTGTTGAATCTCGTGACGACGCTGCCGTTGTAGACGCTGAGGAAGCCGTGACCGGGTCGCTGGGTAAGATTGAAGTTCAGCCGGCTCAGGCCGAAGTCGCGGAAATTCGTGCGCATCTTCAGGGCCACCCGTTGGCCCTCCTGCACCTGCACCTGCTCCTGGATCTCGGGCAGATGGCCGCCCTGATAGGGCTGGTAATGGAAGTCGAGGGTCTCGAAGAGATCGGCGCACTGGGGCGCGGTGACCTTGAACAGGAGCGCGTCGTTGATCGGCGAGTAGGCCCGATGAAAGAGTCGGTAGCGCAGTCGGCGCGAATTGACGTCGCGCTGATTGAACGTCTGGCCGATGCGCAGCCGCTCGTAGTCCAGATAGAGGTGGCCGAAGCGGGGCAGCTCCAGCAGCGAGTAGACGACGAGGTTGGGCTCGGTGCGCAGGGGATTAGTCTGGTACTCGAGGTGTCGCGCGTCCACCAGGCTGTCCGTGGCGTCGCTGAAGTTCACGCTGGCCCTCTGGACCTTGATCAGCTCCAGGACGATGAAGCTGATCTCGAAGTCGTAGGTGAGATTGGGCTGCATCTCGCGCACGCCCGCCTGAAAGCGAAAACTGTCGCGCAGCGGACTGCCGAGATTCTGGACGTAGCGCACCGACTGCAGCTCCAGGTCGCGAGTGCTGAACTGCTCGGTCTGCAGCCAGGGCTGATTGGGCTCGTGCTGACGCTGCAGCTGGCCGTACTGGGGCGGCCGGATCACGGTGAACTTGATGTCGACCCGGGCGTCCTCGGCGTTGGTGGCGAACGACAGATTGGCCGTGCTGATGTAGGCGAACGACCGATGCACCACGACGAGGCCGGTATTGTGACGCAGCTTGATGTGAAGGGGATAGGTGCTGACGCGCAGGTACTGGGGTGCGCTGTGGGTCTCGCCGTCGCTGACCTTGAGGCCGAGGACGGCTTTCGATTTGTCTGTGGAGAAGCATTATTACGATGCAGTGTTGATAGTTATCGATTCCAATGTATTGTTGTTGAAAGGTCGCGTTATCGGGGATTAAAAAATTTGCGCCAAGTGCATCGTAAATTATTTACCTAAACGCAATACTAAAGCACGATCGAGCTATCATTTGTTTATAGCGTATAAGAGGGTTTTTTATCCGCGTACATTTCACGTTATATGTGAGGAAATTGAAGCGCCCTCTAAGGTACGTACATCACCTTGATTAACAAGTAGTATCGTTCAGTCGCTAACAAAGAGCTAAAGTCATGCAGTAAGCAAGTGTTTACAAATTAGCGAGGTAAAAAGCGAAAACTTTGAAATATCCCCGTTTCATGAACCACCAGTGATTTTAATAATTCGAATTACATTCGAATCTTTCACTATCGAAGCCTATTGTACAATTTTAATTTTAGGAAAACAACGGGAATGAGGTTATGGCATTACAGCAAAAGACGGATGAAAAATTATTCATTGATATCGAGTGCAAAAATGTTAAACTTGAGCAGAAGTCGATAACGACAAAAATCAGCAAAGCTGAATATCAAAATTATCCATCCGTGGAAAACCAAATTCAAATGGGTCCCTTGCATATCAAAAGTCTAATAGTTTTGATAAAAAAAGATTTCGATTATCATAGTCATTATTACTTTGAAGTAAATCCTCGATTCAAAATTGATAAGTATTTGGAGATTAAATTATTTAGAAACAATACTCGATCAAAATTATCTTATGAGTGCAAAAGAGAAGTGAGTGTAAATACACATATTGATTCGACAAATAAGGGCATTGGACCAAATAAATATAAAACTTGCCCCAGTTCATTTGCATACAAAAATAACTTTTGTAGTAAATCAATTGATTGTGAAATTTGTCACAAATCATTCGGATACGCAAGTCACCTTAAATCTCACATAAATGCAGTACATGATCGTAGTAAACCCTACGAGTGTGAGATATGTCACAAATCATTTGGATATAAAAATGTCCTCAAATCTCACATAAATACAGTACACAATCGCGTCAAACCTTTCGAATGTGAGATATGTCACAAAGCGTTTGGATACAAGAGTGTCCTCAAAATTCACGTAAATAGAGTACATGATCTTAGCAAACCCTTTGAATGTGAGATTTGTCACAAATCATTTGGATATAAAAATGTCCTCAAATCTCACATAGATACAGTACATAATCGTGTCAAACCTTTCAAATGTGAGATATGTCACAAAGTGTTTGGATACAAGACTGGCCTCAAAACTCACGTAAATACAGTACATGATCTTAGCAAACCCTTCGAATGTGATATTTGTCACAAATCATTTGGACAACAAGGTAATCTCAAATCTCACATAAATTTAGTACATGATCGTAGCAAACCTTTCGAGTGTGATGTTTGTCACAAATCATTTGCACAGAAAAGGCATATCAATGTTCACATAAATGCAGTACATGATCGTAGCAAACTCTTTAAATGTGATACTTGTCACAAATCATTTGGGTACCAGCATATACTTAAAGATCACATAAAAGGAGTACATGATCGGAGAAAACCATTTCAGTGTGATATTTGCCACAGATCATTTGGACACAAACCACATCTCAAAATTCACATAAATACAGTACATGATCTTAGCAAACCGCTCAGGTGTGATATTTGTCACAAATCATTTGGACAAAAACATACCCTCAAGCGTCACGTAAAGGAAGTACATGAAAGTAAGAAACCTTTCGAATGTAAGATTTGCCAAAAATCATTTGCCCGCAAAAGTGACAAAAAACATTTAAATACTGTGCATGATCGTAGCAACCGAGTACATAATCGGAGTAAACCTTAGGAGCGCAAGATTTGCAATGTATTCCTTTAAGAAGATAATAAAATTAAAAGCCAATTGATGAGTTCTATTTTTTTTTATTCCTGTTGGTATATCGTTTGACATTATTTTCAGCCGAGCTCAATGTCAGATACCAAGCAGCCACGCAGATACGACCCAGATCGTCGTTCCTCAGTTCCTCGACGATCAAGAGACAGCACTCGATTGGCGGCCGGAAGCGCGTCAGCTCCATCAGAGCCTCGAGTATTCGTATTATCATTATTTATCATCATTACTTATCATTATTTTTGTTTTATTTTTCCTCCACTCGCTCGTCGTCGCGCCAAGCCTCATCGAGCACCGTCGACTTGAACAGTACTCCGTGCTTGGAGAATCTTTGTCTCTCCAATCGCTCGAAAGTGCCCGTGGCGTAATAAGCTAGTTTCAACCTTAAAAGAGTCCAATATTTATCCGTATCGAGTTCAAAGTCCTTCTCGAAGTGATCGCGAGATGGAAAATCGAATTTAGACATATCTGCACCATGATCGAAGAGCGGATCGACCAAATCCGACGAAAAGTTAGCCACGGCGCATTAAAGGGGTGTCCGTCCCCACTCATCTTTCGCGTCGATCTTCACCGTCGGCTGCGCGACGTCATCGACCATCGCAAAGAACATCCTGGCCAAGTCAGCTTTGACAATAGTATATTTCTCAAAGGGTTTTTAGCAAAACGAGGGATTATAGCACGAGCCGAAGGCGAGTGCTGTAACGAGTTTTGTTAAAAAACCATATCTGCACCAGTTTGAGATACTATTTTTTCCTACGAGAGCCTAAAATTAGCGGCAAAGTTGCGTATTTTAGGTTAGAGTGGGAAAAAATTGTTTTCTATTGCAGGTAACGTGCAGAGGAGTCTCGCCGTTGACATTGGCCAAATTAGGATCGCTCCGTTCGCCAGTAGCAATCGTATCGTCTTCTCGATAGCCGCCCGTCACGGCCAAATGCAGAGGCGGATCGATTATTTTCAATCGAAGCGGCTAATCGGGATTCTGGCCGAGTTCGAGAAATTTCTCGACGACACTGCAACGTCCGTGGCCGCAAACCAGGTGAAAATGCCCGAGGCCCGACTCCTCGTTGGTGTAGTTCACGTAGGATATTATGTCGTATATATTGAAAAAAGACTACGGGCGACCTCGTGTTTACGGTTGATCGCGCGATGCAGCGGTGTCGTGCGACGCGGCGACAGCTTGGCATCTTCACCGACGTCGGCCGACTCGTCCTTGTAGCCCAACGCGATCAGAAAGGCGACGAGCCAATCTGATTCGATGCCGTTGTCTTCGTCTTTCAGGGCCTCCGTTAAAAGCCAGTCGATCTCCTCGAGATGAAAGATGTCACGGTAGTTAAGTAGCGGACCCTTCCAATCTTCGATCGAAGCGTAAAATTGACGAAGCAATTCGCGTCTTTTATCTTCGATCTCTCGATCGACCTTTCCATTCATTCCTTTCAACTTATCAAGAGAGTTTTGATTGCGTTGAGGCATTGTTCTTGTACACACTCGCACTCACACATTCGATCAAAGTTGAAAATATATGCTTTTTACACGTGAATCACTTGCAACATTTGACTTTTTTCTCTTTGTTCACGCTACAACGATGTAAATGTGAGCTAATATTGCGTCCGTCGCGTTTGACAAAGTAACCCGCACGAACACGATGCACACTGCAGCGCGCGAGATGAAACAAGTCAACGCGAACTGTTACATCGACGTTGCTGTGCGCAGAGGCTTTTAATGAAGAATTCCGTGCACGAGCCACAGCAGAGGCGTAATTCAAACATCGGGGCCAATGAAATAGGCGCGCAAAAGTTAGTTTTTTTACGCGGGTTAAAATGTTTTTCGTTTTATGTATAGAAGAAAGGGCGCAAATACTCACTCTTGCCGCTGTGAACGTACTCGATGAAGCCCTTCTCGAGATCGGCCTGCGTGAAGGTTCGCACCTTGACGCCCTCGGCGTCGATTCGTTCGAGATGGCCGATGTCGCTGTCGTTGCCCAGCACCGCGTAGACCAGCGTCTCGGCCGACGTGTCGGCGTCGTGAGCCCAGACCAGGTCGCGGCTCAGCTTCTTTCGCGTACCCTATATACAACAACGAAGCGAGATGAGTTAAAAAAAATATTTTCATTATTATTCATTTGAGTACTATCGTTTTTTTTTTCATTCGTTATAATATCGTATGCATATAAGCGTTATCAAGTATATATGCGCGCATGGGCTAACGAGCCGGAAGAGGGATGATAAACAAGGTATAGAGTATAATACACGATGATTAATCGCATCGTCCTCGAGTGTCAATAATTGCTGACTGCGCGAACGTTACACCGATGATGCATGGGGGGGTGCTTAGTCAAATGCACATACACGTTACGCTTTCGTTCAAAGTCGTGGTTTGCTTTAAAAAGGAGACGACTTTTTCGACATTTTTTTCTCAAATGCACCGCACCACTCACCTGAGCCAATCTGAGCACCGCCGCGGGCGATATGTCCAGTCGCGGCGGATCGTTCACCGGTGTGACGTTCACGCTGAGGCTGAATCGCAGACTGTCCTGAAAGTAATTGGGCAGCTGGACCTTGGAGCCGCCCACGGCTGGTGCTGCTTGGAGGGCCAGTTTCAGCAGCATCGTGTCCTGCAGTGTCTCGCTGCCGTCGTGCACGTAGCTGACCTGGAAACACAGAAATGTAATAAAAATGAAAATGGAATATTGTAATGGAAAAAGGGAATATCAGATTGAATAAAAATGTGAGGTAAGATTCTCGATTGTACTACGTACGTTGTAAACTTTCGAAGCGACGCATTTTCTATCGAATTTATTTTTTTTTTTTTTTCATTTATTTAAATACGCATTCAGGCGTGTCAATCGAAAAAAGTATTTTATTATGTACACTACGTACGAGCTAGCGCAATATAATAGACGAGATACCGTCAAAGGCTTCGAAGGGAGGAATTTTCCTTACGTAGCCGAGGCCATATACTTTTTGTTCATTTTCAATACAAGGATTGCCGCATGGCTTCACATCGAAATTACGATAAGCCGTGACGCGCGCTCGAGTCGCGTCGTCGAGTCCCTTTCGGGCAAAAGTAATCGCTTCGATCCCAAATGAGTTTCGCGCAACGAGACACAGAGAGAGAGAGAGTGAGACAAACTATTTGCACCGGCCCTGTTCAATGGCAGAGCTCACTGCAGAAGTTGTGCTCAAATATTCGTCGAGAAAAATTTTGACGTTTCAACTTTTTTTTGTGCCCCGTTCGAAATAAAGCATCGGTATAGGGACACGCTCGTGTGGGGTCCAAATTCCGAGCTTATTCGGCCGCTTGAGATTTAACCGATAAAAGACGTGTTCAAACTTCGTTCAAAGATTTATGAGTGTTTGCACACACACACACACACATTTCTTTCATTTTATCGTACGCTTCGAAAATATACATTTAAAATTTATATGCTTTAACCGAGCACAAAATTACAACCGAGATCCGACTGCGTCAACAAGTATCTACTCTAAATTTCTGGATAGAAATTTTTCAGAGAATACATAATTTTTAAGCGTCAAACGTTATAAGGGACGTCTTTTATGAACTCATCCTCGACTTGGTAGTATATAGGCAGACGCTTTAAAAATATATGTATGTAAGTGTGTGGGTATGTGTGTCTCGTGGGTTTGGGCATATATAGTATATGCGCTCATAAAAAGTCCAAAAATAGAACTTAACGCGTATCTGGCTTTCGTTTTTCAACGCTTCGGCGCAACGTTACGATACGCGTATATAAAATTTTATATATCGCATACGGCTCGATGACTGACATTCGTGCCCCTCGAAATTGCGTCCAAGCTTGCATCGATTAATTCGACGACGACTTACCTTTTGCTGCAACACGTCGTGCAGAGTGAAGGGCGTCTTGGGCGCCAGATTGATCCGGTCGATTTGCAGACTGCCGTGGTTGGGTGGCGTCAGCAGGGCCAGAATCACGTGGGACTCGTTGAGGCCGTACTTGGCGATGTCCAGCACGACGGAGATGTGGCGCTCGTCGAGGGCGGCGCGTCTGCCCTCCGCGACGTTGATCGCTTGCACGGACAGGATTTCCAGGCTCAGCGGTAGATTGGTGTTGAGCTGACGACATGGACAAAATTTAAATTGCAATATTCACATATTGATCGAATAAAAAATGAATAAGACTCACCTTGTACTCCTCGGTGAAGTTAGACTTGATGCACAGGCTCTGATCGCAGGTGCACTTGAAGGACCTCACGCCCAACTGCGAGCACATGGCGTCCTTGACGCAGGGCTCGGCCTCGGCGCAGGGGAATCCCCAGACGCAGTTCACCACCACGCCCTGACTGACCTTCACGTGGGCCAAGCCCAGCTCCTTGCCCGCCAGCCACATGTTCCTCAGGCAGCCCTTGTAGCTCACGTCGCCGTTCCTCACCCCCTTGGCCAGGGCGTTGGCTCGTTTGCTCAGCTCCGTGCCCCCTACGTACAGAGTCTCGGCGAGGTCGAGATAACGATTGCCGCTGGCGATCGAGAGATTCTGGAAGCGGCCGTCGACCCCGATGCCGATGAGATTGGGCGCGAAGTCGAACTGAAGACGATGCCAGTGGCCGTCCGAGACGAGATAGGCGTGGGTGAGCTCCGTGGGACCGTTGCCCTTGTTCATGAGCAGGCGCACGTGACCCTGATAGAGCTCGATCGCGAGGAAGTCGGCGTAGGACGCGTGGCCGGCGTTGAACAGGAGCAGGCCGTCGGCCGAGGACGTCTTCAGCTCCAGTTCCCACCTATACACGACGTCGAGAAGTTGGCGATTTTATTTTATGAACAGTCCAACTTTGTGAAAATCGCTGATATCGAAGCTTTTGAGAAACTAAATACCGAAAGTTAAGCGGGCGAAAAGAATTACATCCGTTCGAAATTCCGAGCGCTATTGATTTACGGAAAAGTTTCGCTTGCTATAAAATAAAGTCTTGTAAAATAAAACTAGATAGAAAAATTCAAGAAATTTAAATGGAATGTTATTTACTTATACAAGTGCAATCGCAATATCAAAAGTATAATTTTTCTATTTTCCGAACGTATAAGGCATTAAAAAACCTTCTTGAAAGCACTCGACCCAGTAAGCTATTCAAAAAGCAAATGAAAAATGCCTTTTTTTTTTCATCTCGCAACGAGTGAACAATTTTTTACAATCGTTAAATCGGCTTAATTATTTCCAACAATTGCAGCAGCACACGTTCGCGAATTACTATACTGGTAAAGGCGCATTTCGAAAGTCCTTCGCGCGTGATCTTATTGAAAAGTTCAAAGAGCTGCCGCTGCCCCGCTGCTACTGCTGCTGCTCGCATTCCTGGGCCGATATATATTTCGCGATTGAAAACATCCGAGAATCTTCTCTCAGTCCGTGTTTGTCTTTTCGAGAGCTCGAACAAGTTTTCGATTGCGCTTTTCATCGATTTTTTTTTTCTTTCATTTCATGTGTGCGCTGTACGTACCTCGCACCCGAGCGGGGAATCGGCCTGGGCACGGCAGCGAAGGCCCCGTCGTCGACGAAGCTTATGTCGTCGCTGGGCCTGGCGTCGAATTCCGCGGAGCAGCCCCAGCTCACGGCCGTGGCCTCGGCGCCGTTGCGACGGTAGCGCGCCTGCTCCACCACTCGCAGGCCGTTGTACGATATGTCGGCCATGCAGCCGCGCATGTACTCCATGTGACCTGCGACGAGAAAAGTTTTTCAACGCGTTATTTTTTTATTATTATTCGTAAAGGCGTAAAGTGCAAAAAAAAAATTGACGAGTTTAGGCCGAGCGATGATCCAGGGGTAGGAAACAAAAGTAGTTTTTTAGATTTGATTTTTGACGACGAGCGCTGCTGCTGCTGCTGCTGCCCGTACATTACACGCACGCATGCAAATGCGCAGCTGCAGCAGCAGCAGCAGCGACTTTCGTTATTTTTATCCCTTTGTAACAGGCGTAAAAGCGTAAAATTCGAGCATAAAATTTTAGCCAGTGGCGTAAAATTGCACAGCAGCTTTATCGAGCATTACTGCTAGATCTATATAAAGCAGCGGTCGACGATGCCTAAATCGATGCTATACGGTATCGCTTCGATAGCTTTCATTCCGAGAATCGAAAAAGTATCGTTGATACGTAAATCATGCAACGTTTGCTAAATATTTGAAATAATTTTGTCATCTTTATTAATTTTTAATTATACAAATGGACTCCTTTAAGGTGTCATCGAGTTAAAAAAGTCCATAGTATATGGGTAGTAGGTTTTTTTGTACTAATCAAAGTAAGTTGCGAAAGTGAAAAGCTCGTAATTCCATACGATTATTTACTACTTACGATAAAACAATTACCACATATAGGAAAGACAATTGCTTTGTATTTGAACACTCTTAGTGACAAGTAACTTATGAGAGTCTCTTTTCCGCGACTCTCGCCATCTAGTGACCAAAAAACGAGCTTCAAACGTTAAGTCCAATAGTTAATAGTTAATAGTTAATTTTTGAATTTCTCATGATCAGTTCGAATTTTAATATTATAGTGCCCTCAATTTGAAATAATATTTCAAAGACTTGACTTTGATTAACAGATTTGGGTAAGATTGAGATACTTCGTGGCTTTCTATAGTCCATGTAAGCTTCAAATGGGATGAGACTTCGGTGGTATTTTCAAAGATTCGATTATATTTCCACAAAAAATTCTTTAAAGATCTTTTATTGATGAATTAAGGAGCTGTTTTTTTAGCTATTACGTATATTTATTAAACCGCAAACTAAATGATCTAGGAGTATTGAGCAAAAAATTTTGCAATTTGAAAAATAGTGACCATTTTAAATTCTAATGTACAAAAACTTGATACATATAGCTATACTCTTGTGTTTCAGTCTCGAAATTAGTTTTTCATGCTATTTTCGATGTTTTGACGCGTGCAACGTTTATTATAGGAAAAAAGCAAGAGTCGGCAAATCTTCAGCGGATGAATTTATTTCTACTGTATACTGTGTACGTAGCGAGTATGAATATGCAAATTGAAAATTTCACGGTCTACCGTTTGCATTAGAATTGCAAACCCATATGTACATTATAAACACACACGTATACGTATAGTAACTCTTGCCTTCTTCCTTTTATATCGCTGTCCACACACGTATATTATTGAAAATATTTTCGTTGCCTTTTACATATATCTAGTCTGCACATTTTCATTACATCGCATACGAATGTTTTTATACGGTGTATTAAATTTTCATAAATACAAGAGGGCGCGATTACTTTTGCATATTTAAAAAACGCAATTTCTTTCTATCTGTCGGTTAACAGCCTGGCCGTTGACTCATGGTTCGTGCCGAGTGCAAAGTAACCGTAAGAGCTATTTAGCCCTCTCATTGTCTTTAAACAGAAAATGATGCGATGACCTATTGCCACTCGACGATAATCAAGAGGTATCTTAATAAACACTTTACCCCACAGTCGACAATCTAAATCGTAATATTTTGCAATCAGGTAACAAAATTAACTCAGCGATATCAACAAACAAATTATCGGATTTGACATGATATTTTCAGTCGTATTATCAAATATAAATAGCTAGCTTCAATCACAGCGGATCTGTGCATGAAAGTAAAGTGTCAGTTTGACAGTGTTTTACAGTGACGCGCGTCGAACAAAAACTTATACCCTCGAGATGAGTAATTTCAAAGTTTACTCGCTCCTCGCGACGCTATTGATTATTCAATTGGTCGAAGTTCGAGGGAGAACGGCATCGACTTTGAGGAAAATCGAAGATGCGATTTCCTACACCAAAAAAGCTCCGAAAAGCTGCGCTTACGCGTCGTCGTGCGGTGTGTCGTTGGATCTGTCGGACATGAATCTCGGACCCATGCTCAACAAGCGTCTACTGAACAGCCCATACGTCGAGGAGCTGATACTGCGAAACAACGGCATCGAAAAATTGAGCCCCGGAGTCTTCGACGATCTGCCGAATCTCAAAGTTCTGGACTTGTCGCACAACAGATTGAGCGTGGAGGACATGCTGTCTTTTGGCAGCCACGATAATTTGGAGACGCTGATTTTCGATCACAACGTGCCTAGGATTGAATCATCCAATTCTACGCCTTCCTTCGATCTCCACGAGGATCTGGTGTATCTGAATTTGAAATATCTGTCTCTGCGTGGAATCAGGATGGATCTTTCGTTCGAACATTGGAGCAGAAGTTTTCCAGTGCTGGAGAAGCTCGATTTATCTGACAACAATTTGGAGCACGTTCAGCATACCAATTTTATGGAAAAAGTTCAACACTCGGTTAAGAATTTGATCTTGCAAAACACTAGTTTATCTCAAGTCAACATTACCGAACTGTACTACATCATAGATTTGGATTTGTCCGACAATTATTTCAGCGATGTAATTTACACCAAGCCGGAGACGAGGAAACTTGGATCTTATTTGAGATTGGGATCGATGTCCAGTCTTTTAAAATTGAATCTGTCAAACTGTCGCATTCGTAACATAGACAAAGAAGCGTTGAAAAACGTCTACTTCATAGTGGAATTGGATCTGTCGAAGAATCTGATCAGATCTTTGGACGACAGTTTAATCGTCAATCTGAAGAAGCTGTATCTGAGCAACAACCCGTCGTTGCGTCAATTCAATTTCATCCCTCAAGGTATCAACACGCTGGCGCTCGACAGCATGTCCAATCGAAAATTAGTGGACACTCTGGACTCTCTGGACTTCTCCTCGATGGATTTGAAGCTGCAAGTGCTCTCTCTGAGAAACAACAGCTTGACGAAGCTCCCGATGAAGTTCTTGAATCAATCGTCCTATCTGGAGGAGGTCGATCTGAGCGACAACAGACTGTCGACGTTCGAACATTGGAAGAATTCAAAACAGCTCAAAAAATTAAATGTTCGCAATAACCTTATCGAGAACTTCACGCATATACCTCTGGAATACGGTGCAGCGCTGGAGGAGTTATACCTAGGTGGCAATCCCGCGAAAGAGATCAAATTGCGAGTCTTGGAGAGCCTGCCCAAATACTGTACTCTGAACTGGGAGTAAAGGAACGTGAACTTTTTTTATGTATAATTATGTTCGTGAAAGCTCTGCGAGCTTTTTGTAAGAATTTATTTATTTTTTTAAATAAAAATAGTAAAGACGAGTTTGACTTATCATTTGCATGAATTTCACAGTTATTTTCAGGTACGGGACGAATATTAAATTTGATGAATCTTGGACAATGAGTCATTTGGTTATTCTCGGTCATCGCATCGTAAAATCGATCAACGCTTCGGATCGATAATTGACCAAGCTCAAATGTACATTATTATCGGATTAAACAGCGATAAACGTTAATTGAAAATAATAATACGCACAACGATAACACACCCCCTTAAAATTATTACACATTCACTTTCTGCAATATTTTTATTATCATTCTTCGCTTTATACTTTGTCGGCTCGTAGCTCTTTACGTCACACACACGCACACACACACACACACGAACGCGCGAGTATATAATATTACGCGAGCTCGAGCTCGTTAAAGCTCATTCGCAATTCCTCGTTTGTTTTACGAATGTAATTTCAGTTTGCGATCGTACGTATAGTCGAGCTATGTGCGCCGCACGCATTTGTCCATGAAATATACATTGTAGCGCATAGATGTACATGTAAAGTCTTCAACTTATACGCGCAATTTGTCTCGCGGCTATGTACGTGATGTAGCTACAGCGCGAATCCTTTTGTGCATGTGCGTCGCGTCAGATATACGTACGTAAATATAAATCCCCGAGAATGTCGAGTAGCAGCAGCAGCAGCAACGGCAGAGAGTATAAGATGAAAAGGAAACTTGAAATCGTATACTCGAGAGAGATGTTTCAATGGAGTTTCTTGGCGGAAAAGTGCAACACACGCATTCGCGTCTCGTCGTATTAAAACTTAGTATATCCGCCGCTGCCGTGTACTTTCGCCGTAGCGACGTCTTCGTGCCCGCGCGTAAATGTACTTTCATAATTGCGTTAAATAATTATATTAATTTAGAGGACCGCCGAGTCCTGATGAGTTTCTGTATATGGGTCAAAATAATACTTTTTTACAAAACCGTGCGCACGTATGTCACCGATCTTGACGCGCTTTTGGTATGTTATAGTACATGGTAAAAAGGTCCCAAAAAAAAATTTTTAGACCCCCTCCCCCCTCCTACCCCCCACTTCCGGTATAAACGTCCATTTTCGATCTATATTTTTTCTGAGGACATGAAGCAAGTAAAAAATCTGAAAAAATTCATAAAAATACTTTTCCACAATCCAAACAACCTTGAATTTTTTCAGATTTTTTGAGTGCTTCAGGCCTTCAGATAAAATCATTGAAAATTTCAAAAATCGAGATACGGCGGTATGAGCCGATGTAGTACTCGGAAATTTTTTCAGTTATTTTTCGCATTAAAAAACATAACCTCAATTTTTTTCAGATTTTTTCAGATTACCTAACGCACCTTTTGAAGCCAAAAACCGATTTTTTTGACGAAAATAATTTTTTTAGGACAGTACGGAGCCTCGAAAAATCTGAAAAAAATTTTTTCTTGTTTTTTTCATCAAAATACGTAATCTCAAATTTTTTCAGATTTTTTAATTGAAGGCGATAGCTTCTAGGGCCGAAAAATGCTATTTTTAACAAAAAATGGTTCCTAGAACCCGATGGTTCCGGTGAAAAAATTTGAAAATATTTTTTTTGAATTCCTTGTCAAATTTTAATAAATTTTGACCGTTTCAAAAGTTCGATTGAAGCTTCCTAGCTCATTTTAGAGCAGGACAAAGATTAGTGCAAAATATCTGAAGACGTTTCTGAAGACATTAAGGAATGATAAAACTCGTTTGATGCTCTAAAATGAGCTAGGAAGCTTCAATCGAACTTTTGAAACGGTCAAAATTTATTAAAATTTGACAAGGAATTCAAAAAAAATATTTTCAAATTTTTTCACCGGAACCATCGGGTTCTAGGAACCATTTTTTGTTAAAAATAGCATTTTTCGGCCCTAGAAGCTATCGCCTTCAATTAAAAAATCTGAAAAAATTTGAGATTACGTATTTTGATGAAAAAAACAAGAAAAAATTTTTTTCAGATTTTTCGAGGCTCCGTACTGTCCTAAAAAAATTATTTTCGTCAAAAAAATCGGTTTTTGGCTTCAAAAGGTGCGTTAGGTAATCTGAAAAAATCTGAAAAAAATTGAGGTTATGTTTTTTAATGCGAAAAATAACTGAAAAAATTTCCGAGTACTACATCGGCTCATACCGCCGTATCTCGATTTTTGAAATTTTCAATAATTTTTTCTGAAGGCCTGAAGCACTCAAAAAATCTGAAAAAATTCAAGGTTGTTTGGATTGTGGAAAAGTATTTTTATGAATTTTTTCAGATTTTTTACTTGCTTCATGTCCTCAGAAAAAATATAGATCGAAAATGGACGTTTATACCGGAAGTGGGGGGTAGGAGGGGGGAGGGGGTCTAAAATTTTGTTTTTGGGACCTTTTTACCATGTACTATAACATACCAAAAGCGCGTCAAGATCGGTGACATACGTGCGCACGGTTTTGTAAAAAAGTATTATTTTGACCCATATATATCTAGCTGCTGCGTCGTCTTTGCGGCAAACCGCTTGGCTACGTTAAGCCTGCGGTATTTTTCTTTCCTTCGTTTATTTATTCATTTTATTTCTTTTGTTTAGCTTTAAATCACGCCACGACGGCGCTTTAAGCTCGCCCCTTACACCGTTAATTTATGCGGGTCACCCAGTGGCATTAAGAGATGTACGCCACGTCGCTCGAACGAAAAAAAGTCTCGACTCACCGAAAAACAGGTCCTTAACGACCTGCAGCCCTTGGCCGCCGATGTACACGCCGAAGTTGATGTTGAGCTCGAAGAACTTGCCGGGCAGCACGGCCCCGACGCTGTGTATCCGGTCGATCGTGAGGGTGATGTTGGCGTCGCGCCTCGTGATGTTGACCTCGTGCCAGCCGAGATCGTTGAGCACCAGCTCGCGATTGCTGGCCAGCTCCTTCTCGCCGGCGCCGAGATTTATGTTGACCTGTTGGCGATACGGTAAAGATGAAAAATAGGGGGGGAAAAAAAAATGTTAACTGTGGATTTTTGACAACGCGCGGAATCGATAACGCGTATCGAAGAGAGATGGAGTGTTCGGCACGGCATACAGCACGAGTGCGAGTAACGGATGAAATATGAAAAATAAAAGAGCGCGCGCGCACACTGGACACGCGGGGCTAGCTTATTGAATTCTAATGCCCGATTCAATTTGGCATGGCTGAACAATCGTATCCCGAGTGGGTGCGCGCGTGTGTGGGTTGGACGCGAATTGACCCGCGAGCTTTTATTCAAGCTCCAATGCTTATACGTATGGGCAATTGTTTCGGATGAAAAATAAAAAAAATGTTGGATTCTACTCGGCCAATCTGCCCTTCGATGAAAAGCTTACTTCTTTTGTATTTATTCGTATACGCCAATTATTTAAAAGCACACAAACAGTAGAGCACGGTATCTATCTTTGGGGAGGCAGGCCTCTTTCCAATATTTTTTTTCCTTTTTTTTTTTTACATTTCCAACTTCGAAGCCAACTGCGTGCGTGCATTAAGGTATTGAAGTTTCAGAAGAAAAAAATGTTACGCCACTATGTGAAGGGTTTCATTTACAGATATCCCTACATCTATCCTGCCCTTGCAAACAAATACTTATCGCGCGTATTTTTACAAACTGATAAATTGATATTTTACCTGCTTTCAGTATTACACGAGTTCCCATATGACGGGAGCTTTTCACATTCCGGGTAAAAGAAATCTGGTTCAGCGAGAAAGCCAGAAGAGCATTGTTGAGATAGGGGATGAATAGAATAAAACGAAAACGAAACAAAGCAAAACATATTGAGCGACGTAAAGGTCGATCGAAAGCCGTATTAGAAATTCGCTCATACATATAAAGCCGCAGTCAAAACGAAATTGGGTTATACTATCGTAGTTAACTATTGTTACGTGGGTCGCCTGTCTACCAGCAAAACACGCACACGCGCACACAAGATACATAATCCGGTGTTTGTGCAATGGCAGCAGCTCGTCCGTTAACAGCATTGCATACACACGCATGCACGGAGTATGTGTACCAATACAGCGTACAAACAGACAAGCTCAGACACTGATTGGATCTGTCTCTCTCTCGTCGGGGCTTATAATTGCGAGATTGCCGAGGATCTTGTTATTATATGTACATGGATCCCCGTGTGACGATCAGATTTCCAAAGTTAAGCTTACGACGTGTTATATAAGCGATGATTATCGGCAAACCGGCATCGGTAGTATATGGCTTGGTTGTATACATTTTTGTTTCTTTTTTGTTGGCAGTGCATCAATGCATTCGGTTCGATTCGAGTATATTATCGGATGAATTTTTTTTTTTTTTTTAATTATTCAAATATCGAACTTTTTTCATTGATTGAAAGTGCCCGCGGTGGTGGAGTGGTTAAGTATTTTTAATAAAATATGATATGATCTCTTTACTTTTGTATTTATGAAACACAATGAAAAGAAAAATAAACTAAACTGATGCACAGGGCGTGTAATGTAAGTCGACGTTTGCAAGTCGATCTCGGTCTGTCTTTCCGAAGATCTACTTCGCATCTCCTTTGAAATGGGGTTTTTTTTCATTCCTCATTTTCGTTCGAAATGGAATATCGCTGAAAAAATAGATGAAAAAGATTCGCGTTTATTAGAAACACGTCTAACGCATTTTAAAGAGAGAAAAAAGTGAAGAGACGAGGAAAAACTTCAATATACTGTCAGTTATATCAGCTCAGCGAAAACTTGCATAAAAGCGGAAAGAATCTAAAGCTAATTGCAAAAAGTACGCCTGTGGATAGATTATAATTTTTCCAGTATTTTTTTTTCTTTTAATTTTACTTTTTGCTTCGCTTTGCATGTATATAATACGAAGCTAAGCCAAGATTCTTGCCAACGGAAAGAGAGAAAAAACTTTTCTACATAGCGATGAATCGAATCGACTTTGCGGCCGACTCCTATATATTTTTTAACTAAAAAATAACGCGCGACGTGAGCGCGTAAACGTTTGGAAAAACGAGACTTTCCCGAAACAATTGCCCAGGCTTACGTACGTGTGGAGCGATGAAAATAAATTATTTTTTTTACCTTCTTTGCTACTGCTTTGGTACTGTTATGTATGTTTAGATTTATATAATGCGGGGAAAAATGTGCGGCACTAATGAATCTCCATCGAGCGGCACAAGGAGTTTTTATTCATGAAAAGTAAAGTATTTATACGGAGGCTTTCAATTTGAAATGGATTTTAATTATTTGAAAGAACGATTATTATGATTCCGAGCGGAGCAAACGTATAAAAGGTAAACACTATATAAGGGAGAGAGGAGAGTACGAGGTACATAAATGAGATCATTAAATTCATCATGAAGCAATTTACTATTCCTCCAGCAGATGATGGATTTACGAGGGTAATTTTTGCGCAAAAAATGATGTTTCTTGTCGCTCGTACAATTCAAAATGATTTACAAAAGAGTTTGAGGATAAATATGAAAGCTGTACTTAAGTTTTTTTCATGTCTGAATTGGATCAATTTAGGAGTTTCTACGAATTGCGTTGGGAATTTTTTATACAAAGATAGTAATCACTCTATAACGGTGTCAACGTGTATTAAAAAAACCCCAAATAATCGCATAATTGGAAAGCTTTTGACACATTTTAATTGTGGTCGAAGTGTTACGGCTGGAGAGCCAATTTATAATGAATAATATATATTGATTTTATTCTGGCTGGTGACAACGAGGGAAGTATATATGATGTGATTGATTTGTGTGGAGTGGTGTAGTCGTTATTATTTGTTATAATAAATTACAATGCAATTTCATTCATCCATTCAGATACAAAAGTTTAACTTACACCTAGGCTTACTCAACTAATTAAAAATAATATTCATAAGCCTGGTGGGCGATTCTCGGTGTAGATCGTGGCTCACTCTGCAACTGGTTGGCTGGCGTTCCTGGTCGGCTGCACTGCACTAACTGCACTAGTCTCGATTACAAATTACACTCCGCATTGGACTCGCGGCACAATTTAATACAAGTCTGAATGATATAATATCGCGGTACAAAGTGACGTGAGCTCTGCCCACCGAATAAGTTGATAGTCGAATCGCCCAGAGGCCTCCGTGGGTCCTCAATATATACTGCTAAATTTCGCATGCAAAATTAAGAGAAAGTACCTGTCAGCACCTGCTCATCCGTGAGAACCTGACGACAGCTTTTTGCTAATTTTTACGAGTTCATTGATCTTCCTGCTAATCTGACATCGCCTCACATTTAATCAATGCTTGATATGGCGTGTCTATTTCACACCTTTGTAAGAGGTGTAAATTTCGATGTTCTTTTCATAGAACTCGATGTTTTTACCAATTTTATAGCTTTGTTTTCTACTTAGCTTGATGTCGTCAGATCCCGTAGATCGAGGCTGGCGCGTCTGTTCGTAGAGTGAAATTTCATGTTTATCGTTATTTGAATATACATTATTTTTACGAATATTATAATTGTTTATAATAAAATAAGGGTGACGTGACAGAAGCAACATTTAACACAGTTATGAAAAATTTTAATTACTTTTTTAATTGTCATTCGTTAAATATTCATGGTGCCAGATATAATTTTCAGTGTATTCACTCGACAATAAATTGACGCACACGAAAATTCGATGCTTTGATCCTTTTTTATACAGGTATATATACTCCATTTGTTTTGATAAATATACACACACGATCAATGGCTTCGTAAAAAATATCACTAGTTTGCGTGTACTTACCTTCAATCGGCCGGACTCGAGCCTTATCAGGCAGTAATCCGTCCTGCCGGCGGCCAGCAGCAGCATGGCATCCTTCAAGTGCGTGCGAAAGCGAAAGGCTATGTCGGTCGCGCTCTTGGCTTCCTGCACGGGCAAGTGGATGTAGCTCGCCCCGTAGAACGATACTGCACAGACGAAAACAACATACGTATATATACACAAAAAACATCGTTTTTCATGGATTTTCCCAAACAATTTTTCATTTCATGCCGTATGTGTTATGGAAAAATCATGATCGTGGCTGTATAGACGTCGGTACTTCATCAATCTCGATAAACTCGGCTGACTCGTCGGAAAAATTTTCATAAATCTATTTTCGAGCACGAACGTCGATGCAGAGGAGGGGGAGGGGGTGGCAGCTTAAAAATATTATATACCCCTTACGTACATCTACGAGCAGAAAAAAAATTAACGCGAAACTCGCGCGGAGGAATATAGATAAGCTCTCTCTGGTGCACCAGGCCTTGTAAGATGAGATATTCCCGCGCGCGAAAATATATCATAATGATATAAGAAAAATGATAAACTCGAGAGCAAAAGAGCAGCAGCAGCAGCCGACACTAATCAAGGGCTTAATATCGTACTCGCGCAATCGCCAAGATAGCCGCGCGCAATGTGTAACGCAGGTCTTTTCGTGGTGCGGTTTTTTTTCATATCGTACCGGGTACATGTAGTTAAGAACACTGCGCACGCTGACACACGGCGTACGTACACTGAGAAAAAAAATTCATTGATTCAATGAAACGTTTAATTGAATACAATCTATGAAATAATTTCATTGAAATAATCTTTTTTTATTTCATCCAACAAAATATTTAATTGTTTTTACCAAAGTTTCATGAAAACAATTAAATATTTTGTTGGATGAATGAATTATTTCATAGATTGTATTCAATTAAACGTTTCATTGAATCAATGAATTTTTTTTCTCAGTGTATATATATATGTAACCGCGCGCATAGTTTTTTGCGTTGTCTCGCTCTCTGTTTCTCGAAGACAGAAAGAGTATATAAGCAGAGAAAAAGAAGAAGAAGAAGAAGAAGAAGAGTAGGAACTGCATGCACGAGAGGTTGAAGAAATGCTCTTAACTCGCACCCTGGTTTATTTCCATTTTCATGCAGGCGCACTTACATACCGCGTGCATGTGTATGTGTGTATTATATGTATGTTATGTACACACAGACACGAGTCATTTAAGTGCTTTGACTTTGTCGTCGTCGTCGACGACGTTGTCTTTATGCGCTGTGGCGAGCTTTCGTTATACACTATATAAATTCTTTCTTTTTTATATCCTCGAGCTCTCGGCTGATGCGGGCACTTACGTGCGCGCTTCTGCGTACAGCCAACTCAAAAAGGATGCATTGAAAGACGTCGAGCACGCGGCGCAAGTGCGCGGAACACGATACTCGCGCGCGTCGACTGCGTCGATCGTAAAATAATTTCGAAAATTCATGCGAAGATCGATGATATCGCGCGTTGATTATGTCTTCGGTAAAAGTCGAGATTACAATTTTTTTTTTCACTCCGTCTTACACGCTTCACATTTAACGCTCGCGCGTATTATAATGACATCGAAGCCGGCGCAAAAAAAGGCTCGAAAGTATTACATCGCCCAGCTGATTGTAAAAACTGTAAGCTGAATAAATTCTCTCGCTCTCTTGCCCTGCAGCGACTCGACCCTAAGCGCGCGAATCGTTGGCTCGCTCAGATATTACACAATGGAATTCGCGCGCGCGCGAGTAATAAATAGCGCTCTAGGTATAATAATTCACACTATAGCTTGCTTTGCTGGGTCTCGAGTTTTGCACTTTATATCCGAACTTTCTTTGCTTGCGCTCGCCGCCGACGAGCTTGCGAGCTTGCAGCGAGAGCATAGAGAGATCGATTCGACGAGCTTGCACAACTTAACTGCCTTTTTTTCTACGCTCGGTGCGCTCTTCTTCTTTTTTTCAACACGAAGAATCGTTATATTATCTGCGAGAGTAAAGGAAAGAGAAGGAGGAGGATCGATTTGAGTAAGAGAACACAAAGCTCGCGCGCGCGCGTTTAATGATCGTTTCACCAAGTTCGTTATGCTATAGAACTCCTCCGTTCGTTCGTTTATACGTACATATAACGCGGGGTACGAATCAAAGCCGTGTAGCCAGTATAGCAGTCAAATTTTATTCTTCTTTCGCGTCTCATCCTCGCTCCACGTTATGTATAACATGGAGGACTAAATAATAACGCATCGATTGCCAAGCCGAATCGACTTTGTGCGACGCGTTTATTATATACATATTCCCAATTCGAAAGCTTATACACGTTTATCGGAATATATTTATATGGGGGAAAAAAGCTCTCGAACAGAAATTTCCCCCCACGCAGTTTTCATCAGTTTGCCTGGGCTCTTGACTGCAACTGCACCGTATGCAGTGGTATACGAATGTTATATAGAAAGAAAGAAACCTCGGCGGCGGTGGGGTATCTCAGCGTAGCGAAATTAATATACGCGTGTGTGCGGATACGCTCGCAAAGCTCTCTCGCATTTATACACACGATTTCGTTCAATCCGTGCGTCGATCGTCGACTGCTGCACGAACTTTTTATTTTCCATTTTAAGTTCTTTATGAAAAATGAAAAGATGAAAAAAAAAAAAAAAAAAAAAAACGGGAAAAAAAGTTCGACCGAAGCACGCACGAGGCACATGCACACACGCGCTCGAAGAAATCACAGTCAGCAGCACGGCTGCAGCACGTACCTTTGTCGTCGGTTCGACATGTATCCAGAAGAATCGCCAGCGTCAGTGCGGCGGCGAGCAGCAGCTTCGTCAATATCCTTTCCCTCGCCATTACTCAATCCTTTTTTTTTTCGTCTTTTGTCAATAATCCTCCCTTCCTCTCTCTCCCTCTCTCTCTCTCCCTCTGCAACGTCCGACGAATATCTTTCTCTTCGTTCGTGAATTGTCGCGCGATGATCATTCACTCGATCGCCATATCAATTGTTGTCGTCGACAATCTCAGCCGGCTGATTCTCTGCCGCTGTCGCAGCGGCAGCACGGCTGCTCCGTGAAAAAAGAGTCTCTATCGCATGTCGACATGGCCGACGACTTTTTTTTACGTTGCAATTTTTTGATTCACGATGCCGCGTTGACTTTTTTTTTATTCAATTAAGCCGTATACTCGTCGAGCGAAGGTGTCATCTGGCTCCATGGCGCGATTCTCGACGCGCACTGCTCCGTCGCTGCGGCGGACTCGTTTCCAAAAGTAGAGAGATGCACAGAGTAGAGACGCACCAGTCGCGGTGACTCCGGTGTGATACACACACGCACAAGCCGGTGATTTATTTTTGGTCGCCGAGCGTGACGTCTGCTGCGTGTGCCTCTATATACTTTGGCGGCACATCAGGCGCTCCCGTGGCCGTGTCTAGGATTCTGAAACAGTGAAAATAAGAAAAAGGATCGTTTAGATTGATGAGTATACATGGTTATATAAAATCGCGTCTGGTGAGCACATGTATTATTTTTAAACAACAACAAGTGTACTTTGATGAAAAGCTCGTAGCGAGCGAGCCTCTCCGCGACTAATGAGATTTTGGCCGCTGCTACGATACACGAAGAGGAACGGAAACGTGAGATATATAGGTACAAGCGCGTACCTAATATACTTAATTGCGCGTTAAGGAAATTACTTATATTCGAATGTGTGTCAATATCTGTTTCCTGGTACATCGACTTTTTTACCCAGATTTAGAATACATTTTCATTCGTCGTCGAGCTTTTTTTCGCAGAAATCACAAAGCATTTATTATGTAGGCGACTCGAGACTACTAAATATCATACGTATGTACCGGAACAAGATAGTCTCGTAATTAAATTATAATAATTCGAATGAATGTCGAACTCTTGCTCTCAATCTCTCTCTTTCTCTCTGCTGCGTCGTTTATACTGTATATAATAATACCACGCGTTAGGTCTCTCTCTCTCTCTCTCTCTCTCTCTGTACCACGTTATACGCATCGTCTCTCCAGTTTATGTCAGGCTATACATGAATAATATACAGAGCTGCGCTCGTTCGCTCTGGAATCCCATCGGCATTCCTCAATTAAGCGCTAAATAACTCGGCGTCGTTGCGTTGCAGGCAGCAGCAGCGGCGGCGGCGAGCATAGCTCGAGGCAGGGGTGGCATTGGTAGGTATATAGTATCAGCAGCAGCAGAAGTTCGAATTTTCAGTAGAGCAGTAGCCCGATACGCGCTCGACACCCCATCGGTATATTATGGCGTAATACTACTGCTGCTGGCCGTCAACGGCACTCACACAAACACACAGATGCTACACGTACACAATAATGACGCGCGCGGCCGAAGCTGCTGCTGCTGCTGCTGCAGCGAGTTTGCTGCGCGAGCAACATATCCAAGTCGTAAATCCCATAACTTTATGTGCCTCGTGCGCCGCACGGAGGACGAACGAGCCGATGGGCCGCTATATACTGGTTCGCGATTTAATCCTAGCAATGGGCAACAGCGCCGGCGGCAAGTTTCGAGTAGTAGTAGTTGTCCGACAGTAAATATGTTACGACGTAGATGATGTGACCCATTGTGCGCATTACGATTCGCGGCCTATATAGCCGCCTATATATAATACGACGAGGCATCGATATATGTTGTGCGTATGCGATAATATTCGAACTCGCGTGCGGCGCTGCGCATAATGCGTTATAACGTACGTATCGCTACGTAAATCGTAAAATTTATATCGACCTGCAGAGCACGAGAACGAGCGAGAGAAACGTTATACGCGAGAGAGATAATATAACGTGTGTGTACGTAATGCTACTTATGCAGCGGCACGAGAGACGATTAATCAGAGGAGCTTTTTTGAACGGTCTGCAAGCTCGTTCTTTTTTCTTGTCTTTTTTTCTTGTCCTTTTTTCTTGTCTATGTAGAAGAAAACGATGATTTGCACGAGAGGTTTATCTCAGTGACGATAATTTTTTGTTATACATACGCGTGCACGACGATGAATTAAAAAAAAAAAAAAAAAAAAGAAAAAAGTTGACTTTTTTCAACGGTGCAAGCACGTACGATAGGTACGTGTACCCGTGCTTACGTATATTATTATAATGGTAAAGAAATTTCGAAAAATATAAATATTTCAACAATCTCGAGCTTGCGAGTCTGCAGCCCCTCGCGTGCACGCATATTTACGTGTATTACCCTCGGTGCATATAGTCCAAAACGTGATTTTTACATGCACGGATTTTAGCTTTACTACAGCGAAGCCTCGTGAGTAATTTTTGAAGAGAAGTTCCTGGGCACGAGAAAGAAGAAGACGCAGCGGAGTGAAATCTCGCGAGCGATGAAAGATGATGGTAATTTTGAGACTGGCGCGCGTGCATGCACGAGGCGCAGTTTTTGTTCCCGTAAGCTTAATGTGTTTATGTTCCCTATATACGCGTACTACATATACGCGTGTTTATGCAAGCTCTCGAGGCAGAGTTTTTTTTCTCTCCCTTATACACTCTCTTTCTCTATTCTCTATCTCCGTCGAAATCAAAATCCACTCTCTGGGATTCCCGGTCACACACCCACACATACACCCATACACATGCGCACATACAATTTCCTATATACATATATACTACATACTATTCGCATAAAAAAACATTGAACTCATAAAGCTCGAGCTCGTATTTTCCTTTCTCCCTGCGAGCTCCAAACTTTATGTATACTTTTTTTTCATGCCGCGTACTATAGCGGGGTACACATATCCTTAAAAAGGATTTCTCACGCGCTCTCTCTCTCTTTCCCATTCCACGATGGGAGAAAATAACAATTTTACCGTTTTTCATCCCGGGCTACTCTGCGAACGTGCAACTAGCCATACAACCAGTGAGGGATGTAAAAAAAAAAAAAAGAGAGAGAGAAAAAAGAGAGAAGGAACGCAAAGGTAATAGAAATTATGCGCGCAAGTCGACTAACCACCACTGCACCTCCATCGCGACCGCGTGGCACATAACACGCAAGCTATGTGTGCACGCACATAGCATAGAGATACGTTACCGTACGTATGCGAGAGAGAGAGAGAGAGCTGAGAGAGGGAAAGGAATTTGCACACAGGAGCTCGCGCGACCGTGTAATGGCACGACATATATATGAAGCTCATTTACAACGCGTTTACGGCATATTACATATACCGTATACGATACGTACTCGTGCGTACATTACACGTTTGTGTGTGCTTGCGCGGAAGCTCGCGCGCCGGGCTGCTCGAGACGCACACATATAATATATATATACGGTCGGAATAAAACAGTACATTATTATTATTATTATTATTATTTTTTTTTTTTTGATTTCGTAACGTGTTGTAAGTATACGTGCACAGGTACACCTCGTAAGTACACGTTGTAGTGGTCGCTCGTCCCCGTCTTTCGAGTACATAATCAAAAAAGCACACGACGACAACAAGGGCCCCCGCGCTCGCGCAAGCTCTCGTTTTGTGCTGTACGGCTGCTCTCGTTTTCTCGTTTCTTTCGTTATTTTCTTCTCCTTTTTTTATTCTACTTTTTACTTTTCTCGCTCTTCTAGCCTACATACATAAGTTCGTCACACGAAGCGCGAGAGCAGCTATCGGCCTCGGCGTTGAACTCGTTTTTCGTTTCTTTTCTCCTTTTTTTTTTGCTTCAACTCATACGTATGTTCAGCCGCTGCTGCTGCTGCTGCACCAGCTCGATACATCGACTCGACTACGCGGCTACTACTACGGCTAGTAGCAGCACTACTACTACTAGTACTACCTAAGCTTTTGAGATGTTTGAGCAGTAGCGCTCGGATTTCAGATATTCATGCTGCTGCTGCTGCTGCTACGGGCGACACCGCCTGTAAGTGTGTATATGCGTGTGTTTGCATGTGTGCGGCTGCAGCAGCAGACGCGCCATACTCTGGTCGGTATAGGCTACTACTTTGCGTCCACTACACTCGCTTGCGCGCACTACCTCCCCGACGTAGAGAGCGAGAGAGAAAAGACGTTGAATAATTGAGTATCTCGAGCTCGAGTTTCCCTACACTACTGTGCAGTATAGGCTAGCGCATGATGTTCTCTGGCCGCACCGTCTCAGCTGCGGATGGCAGGTATGATGGAAAAAATGACGAGATGTTCGACGTCATCCTCACTTCGTCACGGACTTTTTTCGGGTTTGTAATCACGACGCGTAACGAGCATCACTGCTCGTAAACGTAATTTTAATGTGGTAACAAACGTTATCAGTTTAATTACCCATATAAAGGTTTGTATGACGCCTAAGATTTGCACCTGATTCGCCGAGTTCAGTGATATTTCGAAAAAATTTTTCAAAGATTGAAAAGCTTTTGAAGTTTAGTCAAGTTACATGATACTCTCATGCCTCAAATTATGATTTTTACTAGTTTTTCTTTTCATAGGAGCACAGGGTTAAAAATACATAACTAATCGTACTGCTGTGGCGAGGCACTTAATTAAAAAAAAAAGTAAAGAAACTTATAGCGTATAGATTAATAATACTTGTCATTGAATGATGCATATTATTCATATAAATTTATTGATGTTTCATGGTAAACACGTAAAAAAAGTATAAAAAATCAATTTTTCATAACAACGCGGAAATAAGCTTTCAAAGACTGATAATAATAGCTCTAAAATTATTTGTTCATATATCACAAACGGACAGCTTTGAATATTCCAATGAATAATTGTGTGGATTATAGTACCACACCATATTATAATCATCGATCTTATCATCGCGTACGGCTTTGATAAAATCCAAATAAGCTGAGACTCTCGTATATTTAGATACATCTCCGCAATAATAATGCGTGTGGTGACTGATAACGCCAATTAGTGTTTGTAAATCTTCGTCGTAGAGAGGACCGCCACTATCACCCTAAAAAAATGAGAGTTATACGACATTTGAACAAACGAGTCTAAATTTTCTAAACAATCTCTAAAATTTAATTTACAAAGCAGAATCCTCCAAGATGGTCCGGTGCTTCGACGCAAACCTGATCATCGTAACAAACGTCACCGGGCTCCTCTACGTTTATTGGCGCACGAGCGAATCGTAAAAATTGACTGATGGGACCCGATACTATCTGGCCGTCCGGCATGTCCGTTTGATAATAAGTCCCAAATCCAGACATGAGTGCCTCTCGATGATCCGGTGGCAAGTATTGATCGGGTTTGGGTAAATCGACAAAGTCGATGTACGGCTCAATGCCTATGGGCATCGGTTCTCTCAGCTACATTTTCAATAAATTGTAAACCATTAATAAATGATTGATTATGCGGTATCTTTCCAACTCACTTTTAACACGGCTATATCGTAATCGTAAACGTCGACTTGGTTCTCCGTGTAATTGTACGGTATGAAAATGGTATCGACGTCGCGATACACGCCATGGTCGCGATCTTTTAAATCGACAGTTCCCGCGACGACGGTCCACGGTATGTCGAGAAACTCGCGCAGTGCCTGGTTGGTGAAGCAGTGGGCAGCCGTCAGGATGTGCCAACGGTCGATTATGCTGCCACCGCAAAAGTGCTCGGTGCAATTTCTCAAAGTCATGGCTTGTATCGAGACTTGATGGGGAAATTGTCCCGGCAATGCAAATTCGCCTTTGATCGTTCTGTTCTCTAAAATCGTTCGATAAACAGGAAATATATACCTCTTTCAATGTAACGAGCGATGAGAAAATGTTTAAAAACTTACTGCCGATGGCATTGCTAGTAATCGGGTCAATTAATTGTAATCCTAGGAATAAACTGAAAAACAATTTTTTCTGCATGTCTGTTATGCAATTTTAATCTATCTACTAATGCACTGATAGTTTTGAAGCTTTTACTCGAATGCTCGAACGCTTTAAGAATTTAATCACTGAGGTATTTCACGAAAAATTCATAAAATTTTTTAAAACTACATAATACCTTACGTCGATAGATATAAAATTCGGAAGCATGCATAGTCGGAAGGAAATTCGATTTTTACTATCGTATCGGTAAGATAAGGCTCGCTTAAATAACTTTAACATTTCTAATTTCTATTTTACAACGAAATCTTTTTAAACGAATTTTTTTTAATAAGCAGCAGTTATGACGGTCCAATAGTCCGTGATATTATTATTGCACGAATAATAAGTGAAGTTTAGATAATTGTAAAAGTTGATTAAAAATCTGACGATTTCTGACCAATCCAAAGTCATTGTCATAAGTAAAGACTGATTTTGATTATGCGGAGCTTTTGTTACATAGTGTATGAAAAAATCCATTGCTCTAAGAATTTTCTCATTTTTCAGTAAAATAGAAGTAATCTAGAGCTAAGAGAGATACGAGAAAAGCAATATATAAAATAACGAACACCCTAATTAATTAATATACATGCATTGTACGCGAATCTATAGGGACCATCTAAAAAAAATTCAAAGAAGAAAAAAGTCAAATTTCCACGTACAGTCAACTTTTTTATCGTCAAATTCGTTTTAACGATTAATAATTTTTTAAGGCACACGTACGCGCTCCCTACTATACATAATATATGTAAAAGCGCCCCTGCACCGCTTCGAGCTCGCTCGCTGGCTGTGCCGCGCGCAAAGTGAAATAACGGATAATGTTTGCGCTAATCGCGTACGGGAATGCATTTTTCACGCTCGGTAAATCACCTCGTCGCGTCGTCTTTCTCTCCCGCTTGCCATTCTCGTACACACTCTCGGGCACGCGTCTATATATAGAGGAAAACGAGAGGGAGAGAGAGAGAGGTAAAACGTGAATAATTACGCGCTTCGTGCCCGAGCCAAAAACGTAAATATAACAAACGAGGGAAAAGAGAGAGAGCCACGAACCGGTGCCCTTATATATTTTCTTCCTCCTTCTCTCCTCTATTCTATTACGCAAGCAGCTATATAGTCCCCATATAGTCACTGCATATATAGAGAGTCGAGATCGTGGAATTTAATGTATATTTTAACACGCACGTGGACGACGATCTCTCTCTCTCTCTTCCTCTTTTGTTATGTTCAACACGGCATAAAGATGAGAAACTCGACGTCGAGCTCTTAAAAGCTCTCGAGCGCGCGCGCGCGCGGGGGCGGCCATATAATAGTAGCTCTTGCTGCCTCTTCCCTCGACGTTCCGTTGCGTCCACGCACACAGCCACACGCACATAGTGTTTTTGCTCTCTCTCTCTCTCTCTCTCTCTCGCTTGCGTCGGTGTGTAAGTATGCGTGCTGCGCTACGAGAGAAGCGATTACTCGCCTCGTCGCCGCGAGAGGTTATTAAAACGCGATTTTCAATATTAATCCTCCGCGCGAGCAACGAGCTTTGTTATAATAAAAGGGTATACTTATACTGCTCTACGCATATTAAGCGCGAAGCTGCTGAGAGTTGCGGAAAAGATTTCGCCTGAAATTCCAACTTTCGCGCCGCCGCTATACCGCGAGCTTAAGTAATGACATTATCGAGTTTTCTCAAGTCGCCGCTTTTCACGCTCGAGTTTATGTATACACACACGCACACACTTGCGCGCGGAGAGTTCAAGCGACGACAATCGGCTTTTAGTAATGAATTTTTCACTTATATTAACGAGCGTAAAGTAATGGGGTGGGGCCCTTGCGCCGCGCGCATTACACTCGTTTTATAAACTTTAGTACGATCGATGTGCTACTGCTGCGAGCGCGAGAGCTCTCGATAAATCGATTAAACTCTCATTAATTTTTCGTTATAGCTCGCGATCCGCGCGGCGTTGATGAAAATCGAATGAAAGACTAGGAAAATAATCGGCGCAGTACTGAGCACACACACACACACATACGTACGTATACGCGCAAGTTTCGCGCGTTATATTCTCTCTCTCTCTCTCTCTCTCTCTCTCCGAAACGCAAACAAACACACTCGAAACTCGAGTGCAAACACAAACTCGTGCTGCTGCTGCTGCATCTGCAGCTGTTTCCTATACAAGTGCAGCTAGCAGCAGCGGCAGCATCAGCACGCTATATGGGGAAAGAAAAATCGATACGCTCGCGGCACACGTTATATTGTGTATATATAGCACAGCTGTGCGCGGGCCTGTATACATATAAGTAAAAAAGCCATCGGTTTTAGAGAGAAAGCGCCAAAGCGACCTGGACGACGTCGAGGATGTCGTCGACAAAGAGAGAGCCTGAGCTAGCCATCTCCTCCGCCCCTCTCAAAAAAAGAGAGAGAGAGAGAGAGAAGAAGTTTTATCGTCCCCAGGAAGCGTCGGTTATATACTCAGTTATATATACAGAGAGAGACGCGCAAGCTCAACGGTGAAAAGAGCTCGATTGTTACCGTCGTACCACCGCAGGGGATGGCGAGAGACAGAGACAGAGAAGAGTCGAGGGAAAGATTCACATTGCCTTTTTTCTGTTCTTTCTCTCTCTCTCTCTCTCACTCACTACACTCTTTATTCGCTCCATTGTACTCTCCTTTCCTATCTCGCCCTCTGTACGTATACGTAGCCTGGCCGAGCCAAGCGTGTGGGTGAATTTTAAATTCACGTTTGAAAAGCTCGGCTACTGGTTTTTATCCCCCCACCCTCATCCCTTTTCTCTTTCTCTATCCTTGCATACACACAACCACACGCTGCACGAGTCATTCTTGCATGCCTGTGTATGTATGTAAGCACACCGCATCCTTATGCGTATTCGAAAAAGCTTATTATATAGCTCTCCAGCTCTTTCTCTCGACTTGCCGCGTTGGTAAAATAAGAAAGCTCGTTTCGTTGAATGCACCACCGGAGTAGGTGGCCTGTATGTTTGTGTGTGTGTGTGTGTGTTTGTGGCTTTAAAGGGCCAAAGAGAGAGGATCGCCTCCCGAATGGCCGTTGCGATTAAAATAAAATGAAGTAAAACGATTTTACTATACCTTTAAAGGTATCCAAGTCATTTTCGTTCTGTTTTTATAATGAAAATAGTGCCTATCGTACACGTGAAAATATCTACGTGGAAGAAGCGACGACAAAAGCTCGACGACGACGACGACACTCAGGCCCCGTCGCCAGAAAACAAGCGAGCTATATTCAGAAGCGCAGCGGCGAATTAAAGCACAGAAGACAGGCAGCGAGTCGAGCAGCAGCAGCAGCAGCCCCAACAGTGACACGAAGATTCCGTTGCTGCTGCTGCTGCTGCTGCTGCTGCTGCTGCTGCTGCTGCTGCTACTGCACACAGCAGAGTCTCTGAGCTGAGTGTTGTACATAATAATAATAATAATAATAATAATAATAATAACATTAGCCGAGCGCGTCCCTCACTCGTCGTCGCCGGCGCTGCGGCGCATCGCAAAAGGAAATTTATGCGAATGCGGGTGTTTCAACGCGCGCGACGACGACGCACAAGCGCGGCGAGGGACAGCACTCGGCGGGCTTTCTTGAGGCGCGCACACGGAAGTAGAGCCGCGTAAATTGAGTAGGAGTGCAGCCATTACATTTATAATTTAATTCGTCACGATCATTACGCGTTGAAAATTCGGCAGAGAATCTAGCGCGTGCGTGCGTGCATACGCAATGCTGCGCACACAGTTCGATTTCTCGCGCGATATCTCTCGAGATAAATCAATCGCGGCCGCGGCAACGTCTGAGCTTGCGTCAAGAGAGAGAAACAGAGAGTAATTTATTACCTCGCCTCACCGCGCTTAAACTGTGTGTACGGTAACGCCACGTACTACCTAGGCTACACGTGCCGTTCACTATGCGTTCGAGGCAAGAAATCGGAGGATTCCGTATACATACGCAAGAGCGTATGCGCTTAGACACAGCATCGACTTCGCGCAGCAGTTCTATATAAGCCATTGTGCGGGTATAAACGTTGTTATCGGGGCCGCAGTAGTACACCTCTCGTATGCAAAGCTCGGCTATTTAATTTTGGGAATGATCGCGGGGTGACAAGAATCAACAATAATTGGCTTCAATGGTTTTAAATTTTTTTTCTATTTATGAAATCACCATCCTTCGTACTTTGTGCTACGAAGGCCTACAGGAGGCTTAAAGGACCGTGCGCAGGAGGCAGACATCGTTATACCAAAGCAAAGCATGCCTTGTGAAAAACTAACAACCTGATTTATGCAATTATTTTGACTTTGCCAGTTACATATTTGCCGATGATGGTGCCCTCGCCATCTAGTGGCGAAGGTATAAATTTACAGTTACGGTTAATTATTTAAATGAAGCATTTGATAATAATGACTAATAATATATTTATTTGCGAGATCGGCCTTGGCTAATATTACATTTTAAACTACTTATAAATAAGCTTTAATTCCGGCAAAGTATACTCTTATTTACAACAGAAGAGTTTTAATAGCAACGTTACCGATAAAATATTAATTGTAATTTTTCACAAATCAATTATAACTAATGTATTGGAATATCAAAATAATCATCAAAGATGTACTTTTAATTATTTGATACAGTGTGACCATCATAGATTTTTTAAGTGTTATTTACAAATTTGGAGATAATTCATTAAAATATTAAAATTTCGAAAAAATCGTCAAAGTTAAATTTGTTGTTATTGCTCGCTCATTAATCATGAAACAAGTCATAGTCAATAGCAACACTTTACTTATGCTGTACTTAGATTTTCAATACGAAGTATCACTTTGCGTGTCCAGACCTTATTGGATTACATGTAAACAAAATTAATCGAACTTGTAAGACAGAGGCTTTAATGACTTTTTATTTGTGCTCGTAAAATGTCTAATATATCAATTCTTTTTTCTTCTGTATATAAATTAAAAGTGGGCAACTTTATATTTCATCTTCCTATTGGGTGTC